AGATGATGTTGCCATCAATGACCGATACACATTTTTAGAAACCCTTAGCAAGAATGAAAACTACTTGGAGCTTGTGGACGCCACTAGGGACCTGGCAATATTAGCCAAACAGAATGTTAGTGTCACTTGGTGCTGTTTTCAATTTTATGGCTTATATGTCCAACAGCCAATTTCAGAGCGACACCAAGATTTGCCTACCTGGGCTGACTGGTCTTGGAGCGAAAATTATCTTTCCGAGGACATTCACACCTCATATGCGACATTGATGGCCAGCTTAAACAAGCTACAGACCTGTCCAATCTCAGGGCCATCATCGGCAATGCCAGTAATACTAGGAATTGGGCTCCTCTATAGGGAGTCTAAGCGTGTGATAGAGTATGAGGAAGACGAGGCTGATCCCAATACCCCTTTCTACCTACCTCATTCTGCTATTGATCTACAGTTCTTGGTCGCTCTGGATGAGGCTGTCCGGGAAGTCTTATTCTCAGTTGTTGGTCAGATTGAGAGGCTGAACAAAGAGGGACTCAGTGACGAGGTTGAGGATGAGGAGATGAGGATGGTGGTAGAGAAGGAAAGGCATGAGGTTGAGGAGAAGGATGTTGAGTCAGAGGAGAATGTAGTTGGGGGAGAAGAACAGCAGGAGCAGGAGGTTGAAGAGGTGGTGCAGAAAGGGAGGAAGAGAAAAATTAACCATGCTTCATCAAGTAAGTCCAAGAAGCCTAGGACTGAGCCTGTGGTTCGTAGATCAGGTAGGGTGAGGCAACCCTCTAAGAGATCCCAGAAGATATGATCTTGTATCCTCCATTGTCTTCATTGCTAGTCAATCTTGTACAGTAATTACATATGCTTGTCTAGACTCTCGCACTGCCTGGTGATAAGTTATGACTTGAGTATAAACTGGCTTTCCTCGCTCTATGTACATATATATTGGCCAGCCTGACTCCTACATAGGTAAATGCAGGACGGCCGGTATGCTAGTTTAATACCTGCAAACAGGCCAGCCTGGCTCCTACATAAGTAAATGCAGGACGGCCGGTATGCTAGTTTAATACCTGCAAACAGGCCAGCCTGGCTCCTACATAGGTAAATGCAGGACGGCCGGTATGCTAGTTTAATACCTGCAAACAGGCCAGCCTGGCTCCTACATAGGTAAATGCAGGACGGCCGGTATGCTAGTTTAATACCTGCAAACAGGCCAGCCTGGCTCCTACATAGGTAAATGCAGGACGGCCGGTATGCTAGTTTAATACCTGCAAACAGGCCAGCCTGGCTCCTACATAGGTAAATGCAGGACGGCCGGTATGCTAGTTTAATACCTGCAAACAGGCCAGCCTGGCTCCTACATAAGTAAATGCAGGACGGCCGGTATGCTAGTTCAAAACATACAAACTGGCTAGCCTTACCCATACATAGGTAGATGCAGGGCGGCCGGTTTGCTAGATTAAGACCTACATACTGGCCAGCCTGGTTTCTACTGAGGTAGAGATATGGTTGGCCAGTATAATCTTAATCCCACATATTGGGCCACCCCACGTCTGCCTATGTAGAAGAAAGGCTGGCCAGTTACAAATATAGATGTGAAACAGTCAGCATCCTAATACACCAGCAAGCCTTGATATTGGTATACCTACAGCCGGCAGTTGTCTTACATCTACTGGCTGGTCATGCTTTTACAATAGTATGGTAGTGTATTATACATGTGGACTACTACTATACAAGGCCGGCCAGCATGTATTCTACATAGACCGGCCGGGGACTGGCTGGCCATGATTCTACAGGGTTTTGGCACATCCGGGGCACTGGTTCTACATGGGAAATTGACTGAAGTATGTGATAGTTCAGGGTTGAGTGCTGCTGTGGAATCTGGTCAGGATACTTAAGTAGGAAGGCCAGCTGCGCGGTTCCTGGCTTCCATGACAGATATTATAGTTTCGGTCCTTGTGAGAAGGGAGCACTCTCCAAAAATCAAATAAGTACTCAGCTGAAATCGGCCCCATCTATCTCCGGATGAAGTTCTTTGTACGAGGCCTATCTTATTGCGAAAATAAAGGATAATACCCCACTAGCAATATTGTACTACGTAGTTGGTGCGTGTTCTTTTCGGTGGAATGTCCACTGAAATTCATCATCGATTTATTCATGACCGTCAGCGTTGGACGTTGAGCCTTTGAACTGCGTCGTTCAAAGTGCCGCCTCGACATATTTTAATCCCAGCGCGCGCTGCTGTGCGTCAGACAATGCTTGACCTCCATTAGAACACATTTTATTTCTCTCAAGTTCAGTCTCGTAAACGACTGGTAGAAAATAGAGCGAATTACTAGATCCCGCAAGCGGTATACACTTGGTTAGTGCCAGTTCCCAGTCTTGAAAAGAAATGCAGTTCACTCGCCCCCGGTGGTCGGAGTAGCGTTGTCGTTGAGGTTGTCGTGGCAATTAGGACAGAAAAGATTCAGATGAGCGCAAGGGTGACTTGGAAAGGACGCGACCGAGATAATTGTTGAGATGGCGAAAACGCAGGGACGATCATTAGTTATCATAATGCCAAGAAATAATGCACGTACGTGTAGGGGCTGTTGGATCATGATACGTCTTTACTTTGGTTATATGTTGAGGCCAGTTTTTCCGTTTCGACGAGGGAGCAATGCACAGTACAGTATCTCGTAGTAAAGGCAGTTGTAGCACGGTGACGTATCACATATGCTTACTGGGCGGCCCTTGGTGGGATGAAAAATCGAAGTATGACTGACTTTAAACTGAAAAGATTAGAATCGCGAGAAGCGGAGCAATGACCTTGGCGATTGAGTATAATCGTGGATTCCTGAGTATCGTGTGAAGTGTGACATTTTCTACAAAAAAATAGACATCACTATGTCGGGCGGCGTTAGCTCCATGGATGACTGAACCAACAAGATCTCCATGTCATGAGAAGCCTCTGAGATCTGACAAACTGTGACTTGGAAGAACATTGTTCAGTTCGATTCATGAATCAAGGATAAAATTACTCAATTTGAAGTGGGATAGAAGTACGGACAGGCGAGTCTTGGGTCAAGTAAATCAAGGGTCTGCACTACGCGTGATGGAGTCTGCGTCCTGAAGGCTTTTCAAGAACTAGTTGTGGAAGCTCGGACTCGGACTAAGGTTCCCTGCCTTCCCGATCGCGGCCTTCCCTCGAAAACTTGATCGACAGAGTGTAGAACACTACCCTGGGCAGTATGTGTATGATATAAGTGAGATGGATGTTGTATGTTGTCCTCGTGAGGTACCCAAGTTAACGCTGCGATGCCGTGTATTGTTTGCGTTTCTGACGATGAGTATCAATATTTCAGATTGAGTCTTCGGACCGAGATCCATGATGACTTGCCATAGTCAAGAAAGATCACCATGATACAGGAATATAGACTGACAAGTAAGCTAACTATCATTTGCGAACTGCATCGAGGGCAGTGGATACGATGTAATCTTTTTTCGATCTTCAGCGCTTCAGCCACGATCTGCCATTGGTCATAAGCTGAGTGGTGGAAGTACTAAGCATGAAGTGGAACCCACGATGGATCGCATGGGGCCATGGACAAGCCGCAACATGTATTGCTAGTTTGGAAGCTAACTCTCATTTGCGAACTGCATCGAGGGCAGTGGATACGATGGAATCTTTTTTCTATCATACTTCAAGCTTCAGCGCTGAAGCTTGAGGATCGAAAATGGACAACTTGAAGCCGCAACATGTATTGCCAGTTTGGTGCCGGCAGTACTTAGACTCGAGAGTTGTAAGGAACGTAGTTGGGGTGATGGACATTGGAGACCACAAAATGTTCGAGCCACGTGTCATCCCTGGTTGCTGGCGAACCTTCCGCGTTAATGTACGCTGTTCGATACGTGATGCACATACTAAGAGTAAGAGTAAGAGTGCGAAGCAACAAAATAACCTGATTCTCACGGGTGATAAGGGAGTTAGATAGATTTTATACATGCCACGTAGACAAGTACTACTCGAATGCACCTCTGGCACGACCATGACCGATTCTATCCGAGAACGCGCATTTCATGGACGACATCGAGACTTGCCAAAAATAGGGGCGTAGCTATTTTGACGCGGTCCTGCCGCGCCTGCCGCGGTCGTGACGCGGCCGTGACGCGGCGTGACGCGCATGTGACGCGGCACTGACGAGCCTTGAAGCTTGACGCGGCACTAACGATCCTTGACGCGGCCACTGAAGTACTGACGCGCCATTCCCATATTCTATATTCAACTTCCAGATCAAGTTGGATGAGTTCACGACCATTCCTTTGTTATTTTATTTGCCTCAGAGCCATGTATACATAAGTCAATGATTATTTTCTTTTCCTCCCTCTCTGGACCCTTCGAGCCTGTGGAGCACATCGACGTTTAACGGGCGGACATTCTTCGGCCGGCAGAGAAGGAACTACAGTTTCGGATAGCTCGTCTGCAGACTCCAAAGATGTGGCATCGGAGTTATCACTGAATAAGGGGCCGCGCTGTCAATCACATAAGTTAGATATCTATCGAACGGAGCAGGTAATTTCTTCCTCACTTCAAATTCACTCTCGCTATAATTCCTAAAAGATGGTTAGTAACTTATAACAAGTTTATTCCGTATTTCAAAGCACTCACAAAGGCCATGATACGATTTACAAAAGCGCGATAATAAGGGTTTCTTCTCGAGCCCAGAGGATATGCTTAGTAAAATAAATTTATTACTGCCTATGGACAATTACAGTGTACGACGTCTAATTCTGTCAGGACGAAAAGGAACACAGTTAGAATATCAATTATTATGACAGATGTAAAATAAAATATACCTAAGTTATACGGACAGTGTGACAGTTGAGGTGGTGAGGTTTGACGCGGCATGTGGAGGTGGCGAGGTCTGACGCGGCATGTGCTACTGGTGACGCGGCATGAATGAAGTTTGACGCGGCGTGACGCGCGGGTGACGCGGCAGTGACGAGGTTTGACGCGCCTGTGACGCGGCATGGAGGAGGTTTGACGCGGCACTGACGCGCATGTGACGCGGCAACTGACGCGGTATGTGCTATGGTTGACGCGGCACTGTAGTAGGCCTTGACGCGGCATAGAGTGTGGATGTTGATATTAGTACAGAGACTGCGAAGATATTTGGGAAAACTTGTCGTGGTGTGAGTAGTGCTTGACGCAGCCTAAACGAGGCTTCTGACATGCCATGGTTGGGGCTTGACGTGGTGGTGCGGGGTATAGAGAGTGGATCAAACTTGGCAGGGTGACGTCGAGGCTTGACGCAGTGAGACACCATTTGACACTGCATCTGAAAACCAACATAGATGAACGAATTAGAGGTAATGCAACAACATAGAACTGACGCGCAAGATGCATACTAGTAGTATGAACGCAGAGGACAAGCACTGTAAATTTGGTGAGAGGTGAATACAGCACCATAGAGCCTGTACGCAGGCAGACACTCATATGTTGATCATTAACGATGATTCAAAGTGTTTGGAATGCGATATGAAGTTGTGTGAACATGATCTGTACATAGGAATTTGTTACAGTGCCGCGTCACAGGCGCGTCACGACCGCGGCAGGCGCGGCAGGGCCGCGTCAATTTCACTTGGCCCCAAAAATAGAAGAAACCCGGGTGTTGTCGGTTTGGTTGCACGTTCGTTGTTAATGATTACGCCGTGTGGAAAACAGATGGATCGATGGAGCATCATGACGATTTGGGATCTTGTTTATGAGGACACTGCTACGGATAACAAGCTCTGATCACGAACAACCATGAGCTCACTAAGAAATCACCGTGTCATCATCGCTTCACTATTCTTACCAACGACTGCAGTTCCAGGTGAAAGTAGCCCTCCTACTCCAGATATTTATGCTCGAGAGGCAGGCACAACAGCAGCTACACAGGACCTGGGCGGTCGTCCTCCAGCATTCAGACATGCTTCATCGCGATCTATCGGTAGCACGCCAGCTCCTCTCAAGAGTATAGTCGATGATTTGAAAGTGAGTTCTTCGATTATTTCTAGGTACGACGAATTAACCCCTACAAGTCTCGTGCAATCACTCCAATCACCACTCCTCCCTCTGAATTAAATCCATTCTCCAAATTTGCTTCATTAGCTCCATCTCCCGCAGGCAAGGGTACAATCTCACCGTCCTCTATCCGAAACATGGACGTTTCCCTTGCAAAGTTTCAACCAGACCCACTCCATCCTATTCGTCTACAACGCAGATCATCTTCAAAACCACCTAGGTACCCCACCCGCTCCTACTCAAATACATCATCTGAACCCTACTACTTTGCACCAAACATCCATTGCAACGGTGGCCTCAAGAACGCAGTCGACAGCGTTAAAGACCGTATGACTAACAAACTCTGGGTCGGGACCCTCGGTAGCAGCACAGACGCCTATAACACAGAACTCAAAGCGAGCATCGATCGAAGGATGAAGGAGTTGCATTCTAGTCTACCGGTCTGGATCCCTGATGCGGAGTTTGAGAGTTGTTATGATGAGTTTTGTCATCAGGTCCTTTTCTTCCCTGTCCCTTGCGGATCCACATTGATGCCTGATATGTAGGTCCTTTGGCCGTGTCTTCATTATGCAGTCCCCGACGCGCCAAAAACGAAACTCTTCTTCGAGAGCGCGGCATTTAAGCAGTATGCCGCTGTTAATAAACGATTTGCAGAGGCTATCGAGAGCGTCTGGATGGAGGGCGATGTCGGTACGTCTTTCGTTGCGGGGAGCTTTGGTTCCGTCTGATATGCGCGCTCAGTCTGGATCAACGACTACCACCTGATGCTCCTCCCCCTCCTCCTCCGCCAAAGCACACGTGTACCCGCTCTCGCTAGTGCTACAATCGGGTTCTTCATGCATGTCGCTTTTCCGAGTAGTGAGATATTTAGGTGGGTCGTGTTTCCGTTTCCGTTGGCGTTGGTGTCAAGTCTTCGACACTCATCACACCCCTCTCCTTCCTGCACCATGCCACCTTCTAAACCACTGACCCCAAACCCATAGATGCTTAAGCGTACGCGAACATCTTCTCCGTGGTATGCTCGGTGCGGATCTTGTAGGATTTCAGACTGCGAGTTATGCGAGGCATTTTAGGTATGTTTTTTGTTTTGTTTCAGCTGAGGTTCTTGGGAAAGGGGATTGGGTTGTGCTGGGAGATGTAGTTAGCTGGGTTTCCTGGTTTCGTCTTCCCTCACTGCGTTCGTATACGCACTCCCAGCGCTCATCTAAGTACCCCTGTCACCCTGTCATTCTTCTCATCTCATCTCACGACGCATGAGCTAACGCACGCAAAAAATCCACACAGACAAACTGTCTCTCGCATTCTTGCAGTCGAAGCGTTGCCCAAGGGGATCCAGGTGGGTTTCTTACCTCGTTCTGACGTCCTTTTTGTTCATGGTGTTTTGGTTGGTGTGTGGGATGATTGTATTTTCTTCCACCAATTCCCTGTCCCCTTCCCTTCTTTTCACCCTTTTCCTCCTTTCCATCTCTCCCTTCCCGCTCACACTTACTCAGGTCGAATACGGCATCCCAGGCGGCGCCCGTGAAGGCCACGGCCGTTTCGTAGACGTGGGCATCTTCCCCATGGGCATAGACGTAGGTGCCCTACGCGAACGGCGCCGCGAGCCCGACGTCTCTTATTGGGTCCAACTCCTCCGACAACGCTATGCGGGTATGATGATAGTCGTAGGGAGAGATAAATTGGATGAGATCCAAGGCGTGAGGCACAAACTCGAGGCGTTCGAGTTGTTCTTGAAGAAGTGGCCAGAGTATCAGGGAAAGGTGCATTTTTCTTTCCTTTTCCGTCTTCTGTCACTTCTACTTCCCATCCTCCTTTCCCATCCCATCCCATCCCTCCTTCCAATACGAACCATAACTCATACTAACACAAACACAAACACCAGGTTATCCTCCTTCAAGTAGCCCTCCAAACAACCGAATCCAACGAGTTGGCAGCAGGCGGCGTTTCAGACGTCGTAGCACGCATCAACAGCGCGTTCAGCACGCTCACCTACCAGCCAGTCGTATTCCTTCACACGCAAGAAGTCACATTTAGTCAATATTTGGCGCTTTTAACTGTCGCGGATGCGTTTTTGGTAACCAGTTTGAGGGAGGGGATGGCGTTGAGGTGAGTTTTCAGTTCATCGCAGATTGGTGGTATTCTCGTCGTGTTTTGGTTATGAGTGCTGATGGCTATGATAGGACGCACGAGTTTGTTGAATGTCAAGATGGGAGACATAGGCCTTTGATCCTGAGCGAGGTTTGTCCCCCCCCCTTCCCTTCCCACATACTCCTGTTTTTTGACCTGGTTTCAAAGTTCACTGGATCGTATAGTTATAGCGGATTTAGGTCATGCATCGCTGTGAACCCGTATGATACGCATGGGACTGCCAAGGCTATTCATCAGGTACGTTTTTGTGTTTATTGGTTGGGAATAGTAACTGATATTGCGTGGGGTGAGGTAGGCTTTAACTATGAGTGATGAGGAGGCATTATCGAGGTGGGAGGTGAGGAAACCTTGTTTGCTTAATTGATGGATGTGCGCTGACTTGTTTTTAAACGTTTGTTGATCATTAAACACGTGCTCATCTCATCTTACACGTGCCCATCTCCTCAACGCGCGCCCATCATCCCTTTCATACGCCAATCATTAAATACGCGCTCATCCTACCTAAAACAGGACCTCCACAACCACGTTGTAACCCAAACAGCCCAAACCTTCGTAATCTCCTTCCTCACGCGCTGCCTTCGCGCCAACACCGAACATACCATCCAAACAGACCTCAATTCCGTCCCTGCGCTTAACACCACGCTCCTCCTCCCGCGCTACAAACACTCCTCTCGCCGAATCCTCCTGCTCGATTTCGAAGGCACGCTCTGGCGCCCCGATATGTCGCGCGCTGGACTCCTCGCGCCGTTCGTACCTCCCGAAGGCGCGGTAGAGCTCCTGAACAAGTTCTCTGCGAATCAGCGGAACGAGGTGTGGTTGCTCAGTGGGTTACCTATCAAGAGCCTTGAACAAGTCGCTGCCAAAGCGCCTGGAGTGGGTATAGTAGCAGAGAACGGGTGTTTTGCGAAGATCCCGGTGCAGAATGGGAAAGGAGGGGTGTGGATAAGTATGGTTGCCAATTTGAATTTGACGTGGAAGGGTCTTTGTGTGGAAATTTTGAATTATGTGCGTATTTTTGGGGTGTTTTGGGTGAGGGTGGTGCTGATTGATGTGTCGTTGGGTGTAGTTCACGGAACGCACACCTGGTTCGTTTGTAGAAGAGCGTGAGGCGTCTGTTGTGTGGAGGTTCTGGACTGGTCCAACGGATGATTGTGCGGATCGTCAGTGGGCGAGGCGTCAGGCTGCTGAAGCGCAGAATCATATCTTTGATAGGTGCGTTTGCCCATCCCTACATCGTCCTCCTCATCCTTAATACTCCTACTCTAGCCTCGGTGAACGTTACGGCCTCCGCATAATCCCAGGATCCAACTCCTTCCTAGTCCTCCCAAACAACATCTCCCGCTCCACAGCAGTAGGCGCGATCCTACATCCAGGTGGACCCGCCCACTCCCCGCGTTCCTCCTCGATGCCCGACCTAGACGTACCCGTGAGCGGAGGAGGTGGTGAGGCAGGGTTCGTCTTTGCTGTAGGTAGTGACGAGAAGCTGCTGAGGCGGTTGAATGAGTTGGATAATGCGGAGACGGTGTCGACGAGTGGGAAGGGAACGGATGCGAAGTGGAAATTGGATGCTGGTGATGTGGGGAATACGATGTGGCTGTTTGCGAATTCTCCGTAGGGGTGGTGGTGTATCTTAGACGAGTTTGGGCTAGGTTTGGTTTTGGCTTTGAATATGTATGATGTACGTTGTGCCACTAGATGATCTTCCGTGCTATTTGTAGATTTGGTGTCGTTGTGTTTATAGCTAGCTAGCGCTGTCGTATCTGCTCTCTAGACGAGTACATTATAATGTTTTGTAGACGTATTTGACATATCGTTTCCTAAGCTTACCAGTACAACCTCCTCCCCAGGCGACTTCGTTACAGGTAAGTTCGTTCATATTTGATACGAGTGGCAAAACAATCTTGTCTCTTGTCAATTGCGTATCTATGATTAATAATTATCATACAAAGTGTGTCGCAACAAAGTAGTAACTGGCCAGCAAAAATGGTCACCACCTGTCGTAAGCGCCAGTACTATGATGTTATTGTGATCTCCAGCTTTGTATGCATACCAAATGTAATTGCTAACAATTAGCTACGCCTTACACCGAAAAAAAACCAGGGAGTGCTGACGAGATCGAAAAAGCCTCCTTTAATGGATCTAGTCACTGACGGTGAGCATGTCCTGCCCATCCTCGAGTCAACGGACCACCAGGACAACGACATGAATGGTGATGACGAGTGTGTCGAGTGGCAGCGCATATGACATGCGAGCTGCGAATGGGAGAGACAGTGCTGGCCTTGATACAGCCCAAGTGCAAGAGACATTGCTTCTGGTGATTGGACATTGTATATTGGACGAGCACTGTGATAGCATATGGCGGCGTTGGAGGGTGCATCGAGTTGGGTGTGTTTGGAAATATTATGGAAGATGCGATCGGACGGTTGACCCACTTAGAGAAGCCTGGAGATTTGTAGAGTTGAGTCAGGGAGTCAACTAGTCACGATCAGGAGAACATGTCATGCAATTCAGCTTTCGCGTAGTCCTGCAAGCCAGCGTCAATGACTACTAGAGGCTAGTGCTTGTTAGACCCGTAACCAGTCTGACATACGTGCATGTTTTGAGAGGTGGGGAGACCGTCAGACGTAGTACTTCAGAGAGTCAGACTGTTGAAACTCGGAGTTTGAAAATGTGCAGGTGTGCCGGCGAAGGTGCACGTGCATCTCTAAAGCAACTTTTCGGAATGCTCTCGACCAACTCTCGACAACCTTCCCATAGACTTTACAAACAAACATGCTTTCATCACGCGCCTTTATTTTGGCACCAAACATCCGAAGTCGTTTCAACTCAAGGCTCTCGCATCTTTGCTTGCAGCAAGACATGTGATCATTCGAGCTGCAACGGAGACACTCCATGATTTTACCATTGCTGACTATCAGTGACACCTCTAAAGTTGCTTCAAAAAGACCATCTAGTACGCTGAATATTTGAATATCACTTTTCTCGGGGCTTCTGTATACAATATTACAGGTCAAAGAATTCGAGGAGGATTGTTCAATCGCAATTAATCACGACACTCACAAGACACTCTGGAGTCTACCTGAGAGCGTTGCCTGTTGGATGGCATTTTCACGATCTTCTGTGCACGTGTCCACAACGAGTTTTCACGACCTGCTGAGGTCCATGAAGTTCATCCGCGTGCCACGGTCAGCAAGGAGAGCATTCTTCCTCCGTGCTAAGGCTGCGAGGGTCCCCTGTCCATGCTAAATATTCGGTAGAGCGTACTACAGTGGTGTGGTGGTAAGTGGAGGATAATATGGAGCGGATGGTATCATTTGCAGCATCCTATCGCTGCAGCACAGATCGACAAAGATGCGGTACCCGTACTGTGCATTGCGGCGTGAAGGGAAGTTCACAACCGTGCCGCACTTGCAAAAATTTTAACTCCGAGATCGACCAGCGCTAAACCGTTAACGATAAACGATTGTAAATAGTAAGCACCTCGTCAGCTCATTGAGCAAGGTGCCAGCAACAATTGGTGTGGATGGAGATACCATGGATCAAATACATGCCGAGCTTTTCCGATTCCAGGATTTTCCCAGGATTAACAGAACCCCTGTGAGTTCCCCAGATTGACCCAGCCAATACAGTTGCAACTTGGAATTATTCTGGCGGATTGATTGCAGGTACAGCCCAAAGGTAATGATCGGAACGGCTTGTCCGTAGTCATATAAGCCAGATCCGAGTTTGAAAAAATATACTTGTTATTGAAAGCTAATCTTTCGAATTCTGGTCTACAAAGTTCCCTGCAGCTAGTCTACGAGAGGTGCCGATGAGGCCTTGGCGTTGAGGTGTCCCTCGTCAATGGTCATTATCTAACGAACACTACGTGTAGGCATGGAAATATCAGTTTTTTTCGATTGAGCCGAAGAGACGATCTCACTAAAGTGCCAGAGAAACTGAGTCACAGTGGAGTATCATCTGATTCGGACGAGCACGACTTACCTTTGATAGCGAGGGCTTCATCGATTGACCCTGAAGGTTGTTTATTCACTAATGGTATAGTGCTACCATGATGATCGTGTGCAGGTGGTCGCAGATCAGTGCGCGCACCGCGATTCCAAGGTCTCGTCACAGCATTTGTACCGCCCCACACAAGCCCCACAAATTGAATGAATTAACGACTTACCGTACGGTGTAGTAAATTAAGCATGGCATCCGAGAATCGATATGTTTAATTCCCTCTATTGATGCACAAGCGTGTATGTAAAATGATTTAAAAAACCCTGTGCCTAAATACTTCTTGCAGTCCGTATGGAGTTAGTCGAGAGCAGCTTGTGGCAATTTGGCAAACGAGGACCAGGCTGCCACGAGTCCATGACACGCTTTTGCAAGTTTCTAACCGACCGGGGGGTAACAAAAGCCAACGAGTAGTATCACTCCACCAGCGGGGACGAGTTTCTTTTTGACTTTTTGATGTTCATTTTGTTGCTTAGCAGGCGCTGTCACTGCCACCATGACGCAGTTCGCGAAAGTAATTGTCATTCATGGACCGGTACCGCGGCCAGCTGTAAGTTGTACAGATGAAGTTCGCTTACATTGCCGCTGAAGCTTAAACCAAACACCTATCGGACATTGAGAATCCGTGCGGTTTCGCGGAAAGTCGAAGTGTAACCAAACATCCATCATAGGAAGGAGCCACGTCAGCACCCGAACCTTCGTACTCGCTGTGCTAGACGGCGGGCTCAAGTATCTCGCCACCAGACCCATCAATTGAAGGTAGGCTTTTGTATATAGGTAGTACTAAACAATGTAAATGACACATCATGAGCAACTTAGCAATGTCTATCTACCATCGAGCATCCATCTACAGCAACCTGCAGAATGTCTTCGAGCGATGAGAATGCAAATGCTTCACCCTGTCCCCTTCCATAATAGTGAGGCTTACGGGAAGGAACTGTGTAGGAATGCACGCAGCAACTACATCAGAGCGATGCTTTCACCTGCCAGTGGTCTTATCGATCTGAACCTTGGTAACGCCCTGATTTCCTGCAAGCGGGCAAAGATAGTATGCTGTAAATATTTGGGCAATGGCAGGATACATCGCTTGGAGCTGCTTATCGGACTCAGCCAAGTAAAATTGTTCGTCACGATGCGACGACGAGCCACCGTGACGATATAGGACCTTTTTGATACCACGGCCCCAGTGTCATGTTTGACGTGTCATAGTAGAGGTCCCAAAGCCCGGGCTACTAGTGAAATAATGACACTAGCCAAAATTTCCGCCTGCGTCTGATCGATGATCATCGACTCTGATCAAAAGGAAATCGTGCCTTCGACGCTGCACCGGGGGTTGCCGGTGGAACGGGAGCAGCGGGGTGCCAGGGTTCTCCAGGGTCTCAGGGTCCCAGCGTACATAGACATGACTCACACGACACATTATACACACATCATCCATTCAGCCATATGATCAGCCTCTCTTCCTCTCCTGAGCGCAGGGTAGAGCCGGGTCCAACGCACACAACATGAGCTCATCTGTATCGTCAGTTACATAACTACGGTCAAGCTGTCGATCTGCAAAGATATCGAAGAATGCGCACTTGGTCTGTGAGATCACGGATCATCGCCGGGAGTCAGAAGATATTGAGTCGTCAAACTGAAGCTCTCGGCGTCTCACGAAGAAGTTAAAGAGTGTTCGTGTTCGCTGTAGCCCGAGACGCAACTTTGATTTAGTGGGACCACGTGGGAACCTTGCCATATTAATAGAAAAAAGTTTAATTCGTTATTGGATCCGGAGCGACAATCAACTCTTAATGTACAACTCAGAATTTCCACTACCCATCTCTTTGCCTGTCCAGAATACCTGCTACTATCCGCGCTCATCTAGCTCCCAAATAAATGCATGCGCCCCCGCCGCACCAGACTCCACTGCATCTGTCACTTTTACTGTCCTCGTCCTCTGGTGATTGAAGGTGCGCGTTTGTGGCCGTGGCACGCGCTATCGTTACTCGTATGACCGCCATCGGTCTTCTCCATCAAAGCCTACCTTTCTCTGCAAAACTCATTCTATATCATACCGCTAATAACGCCGGTTACGCCGTCACTGAGTTATTCAATATCGATTCAAATATCTCCGGCCTTGATCGCATTTCATCCAGGGAGCCTGCGCTGGCACCACCGCTATCCAGCATCATCATCCTCGCACTTTCCAACGGCAACAATAACTTATACGTATCAATATGTCCGTTTCTGGATCCTTCGTTGAAGTTGGACGAGCTTTTTTTTCTGCATTTGTTTGGAAATCAAAATTTCTCGTGTCTCCTGATCTCGTGTGTTGTCTTTCTTAAATAGACTGTATTCCTTGAATCATGTTCATGCGGTTTACTAAACAGAATATGGATGATTAAGTACTCCGAAATTTTCCTAACGGCTGAGCGAAAGCAGGAAGTGGCAGGAGGGTCTCCGGAGGTCACACCCTGGCGCCGGGTCAGTATGAGGGTTTCGAGGCATAGAAATAACGCCAGGCTTCACGAGGTTGTATTGAAATTGGACATAGCGCAATGCGACAGGGCGCAGGTTGGAGATTAGATGTGATAGATGGAATGATACTGCAGGTCAGGCGTGATGTAGCAGACGAGTGATGCTAACCTTATACATGAGCAGAAAATACCTTACTGAGCGGGGTTGTAGTCTTGTTAAGGCCTCGGAGTCTGCTGTAAGTGAGATGACGTTTTGTCAAAAATTGAAGCCGAAGTCAGGAGGGACTTGGATCACGGGGACGCAAAAGTTTGACTATATAAAATTCAAAATTCAAAAATTGACTTGCAATATCAAATAAAAGGGGCTAACTGAATTTTCAAATTCTGCTAGCTGAAATGCGCAGATGTACCATTTTCTCCGTTTGTTGTTTACTGCCAATATGAGAGAGAGAACGGCAATTGTTGGTACTTTGTTACCCAGTCGGCCAGAAAGTATGTCGTGGCAGTAGTCCCGGTTTGCCACAGGGCCCTCCACTAACTCGGTACGCACTGCAAGAAATGTATAAGGTCCGGTTCTATCACAAATCTTGCATTTACCAGTAAATAGCATTCATTCCCATCGACTTGCCAAGGCCACGTATGCATCAGCAACTGTCTTGATTACATCTCCATTTTGCCAGGATGTCCGAGACATGATTTGACGCTCATCTGTGGAATATAAAACAGGTAGCACCAACAATCGAGTCGACAACAACATCCTTTACAAGTGAAATCAACTCATCATGTTTATCCGCCTCTCTACCACTTTCCTTGTGCTCCTCGGCCTGACGGCCATTGTCAGCGCTGGAGCGCCCGTAAGCCTCGCCTCGCGTCAAATCCTGTCATGTTGACACACGAAATCTCCAGCTTCCTCGTTCACCTTACCAGCCCTATAGCGGCAAGCGTGACTATGTCGCGAGGGTGGCCCGAGTAAGCCCAGCCTCGCATCAGATCTTACCTTGTTGATCTTACAATGTGCACTGATGTATGCAGTCTGAGACTGGCAGCAAGCAACCCGATGCCCGCGTAAGCCTTGTTTTGTTTTGCACCGAATATTTCAAACTTACTGTGTGATACATGCAGGCCGAACCTACCGCTCGTGTAAGCCTTGTTTTGTTTGCACCGAACATTTAAAACTCACCGTGTGATACGTGCAGTCCGAGACTGGAAGCAAGCAACCCGATGCCCGCGTAAGCCTTGTTTTGTTTTGCACCGAACATTTCAAACTTACTATGTGATGCATGCAGGCCGAACCTACCGCACGTGTAAGCCTTGTTTTGTTTGTACCGAACATTTAAAACTCACCGTATGATACGTGCAGTCCGAGACTGGAAGCAAGCAACCAGATGCCCGCGTAAGCCTATTTTGTTTTTCACCGAACATTTCAAACTTACCATGTGATACATGCAGGCCGAACCTACCGCACGTGTAAGCCTTGTTTTGTTTGTACCGAACATTTAAAACTCACCGTGTGATACGTGCAGTCCGAGACTGGCAGCAAGCAACCCGATGCCCGCGTAAGCCTATTTTGTTTTGCACCGAACATTTCAAACTTACTATGTGACACATGCAGGCCGAACCTACCGCACGTGTAAGCCTTGTTTTGTTTGCACCGAACATTTAAAACTCACCGTGTGATACGTGCAGTCCGAGACTGGCAGCAAGCAACCCGATGCCCGTGTAAGCCTATTTTGTTTTGCACCGAATATTTCAAACTTACTGTGTGATGCATGCAGGCCGAACCTACCGCACGTGTAAGCCTTGTTTTGTTTGCACCGAACATTTAAAACTCACCGTGTGATACGTGCAGTCCGAGACTGGCAGCAAGCAACCCGATGCCCGCGTAAGCCTATTTTGTTTTTCACCGAACATTTCAAACTTGACATGTGATACATGCAGGCCGAACCTACCGCAAAGTAAGCAGGGCGCGCGTGAGCTTTTTTGTACACAGGGACTCTCTGGAACCAAGCCCCGATGGTTAGTGAGACTTGTTCTGCATCTAATCTCATCATGTTGACTCACGGCGCACGGTACACAGGGCAACTGCTATGTAAAATCAGACCTATATGTAAAACCAGTTTACAAGACATATCAAATATGATAGAAGTAGCACTCACGAGGATACAAGGAAATTTTAAATGCCAGGCGCACTGTCGATTATGTGTCTGAGCCTACGCGTCTATGAAACGTACGTGAAGCTCCGAAGTCCAGGGACAAGTACTTACATATATAAAAATAAGTGCTCAACCGCTACAGGCATGATAAGTGGAACTAACGTGGAGAGGAACTCACTTTGTCCATCTGAATCGTGGTAATCCACATACACTCGTAGGATACAAGCTGCTGTCCTTGATTACTTCGTGGAATGATTTGGATGGTCGAAGCTGCAGCAACTACGGCTGCACGAAGTGTTAGTTACATAGATGGTATATGATAAAGACAGCGCGTATAATACAACTCTAAACGTACCTAGCTTATAATCAGACAAAAATCCGACACAAATTTTGCTCGCTCGGTCTGTCCTTCAAGCACGCGGAGTTTGAAATGGTAAGCGCAATAGATGATCGCCGGTCCAAACCAACACCCTGTGCAACCATTCGAAACCTTTTAATGCGTCATGTAGATTTATCACCGACCATCTTTAGATACCCATTTGCATGTACCACGGCACGCCAGCTGAGCGTGCTGATATTTTCCGGACTGTCATGCGACATCACTCAGTCTTCGCTATCGCTTCTTGCATAGAATAAGTTTGTCGCCTCTTCCATGCTTTCCCTTATGGTTCAGAAACAGGAAGCCCGATCTTTCTTCATCGTATGTATATTAATTGTCTTCAAGTTGGACTGGAAGTCCTACTGTGCGTTATGGATGTGACGCATATTAATGAGCGTGCACGTCATGCATTTACTCAGACTTTATGATTCCACGAGTAAAAACCAGAGCAATCGTGGATTATACGTTCATCGTAATCAATTCTATAAGTCAAAATCACATCATTGACTAGGTATAGTACAGTCCATCGTGAATACGCCTCTCAGAGGTAGACACTACAGATCGTGGAGTGCGGCATCTAGTGTCATATAGGGACACATTGCTCGCTGCTAAGAACATCGTGACAGCGCTGATGTTTCGGTCTACAATAATAGCTTATCATATTGGTAAAGGCATGAATATACCTGATAGTCTGAAGAAACAAGCTTCAGTGGTAGTTCAACATTTGTATAGAGATACTTGCCGACACTCTTATCAGGGTCGCACCAACATTTTCCTTTCGTGTGCACATCTCCCTGTGGACAGTGCTCGAAGTGGTCATGGCGATACCCTATGTCATTGAAGAAGTGAATTTGTTCCTTCTTCGCGAACAGTGCAGCTCCGATGCTATGAACTGGTGCATCTCCCCAACGCTATTCCAAATGAAACCATGTCCAAAGCTTGCAAACGCAAGACTCACCTCATAATAGAACCCACCCTGCTCATCGAGATAATCGAAGAATTTCGAATATGCCTCGCCTCTCCAGAAGTCAAGATCTGCGATTTCAAAGTTGCTCCAGACTGGCCACGTGTTTTCATTAACACAGGAAAACGTCGCGGTGTGCAGTAACCTACAGTGACACAGACTGTATGACTTTCCGCCATCATCAGAAAGAAATTCCATCGCATTGTCAGGAGCCACAGAGTCAGGATTAGCATCAATGAAAGCTACAGGAAGGTGAGATTGAAATCATAGTAAATGCCGAATAAGTACGCTTACACCTTACAGCGTCCCATAGCGTTGGGATGGTAGTTGGGAATTCGTATAATGTTATAGTAAAGCCTGTCGATGTTCGAGACTAGTGTATAATTGAAAGCATCGTTTGATTTACCATACACCTTGTTTTGGTCTTGCATCATGAGAAAGGGATCATAGTCCACGTCGCAGAAAAGCTGGATGTCTGGCCTGATTGGGGAATATAAGCTACATCGCATCTCCTTCGGCTGCGTTTACTCACTCGACTCTCCAATAGTACCTGTACTTCTGCAAGAGCTCGTGTCGATAGAAGAACTAGGAACTAGTCAGACAACCTCGCCAAGACACATTACGATCGCGTACTCCAGAATTGAAGCGACACATATTCCGGTATCTAGGAGCAGTTTGTCAGAAGCAGCGATGATAACTTAGCATACGCACGAAACGCTACCTGGAAAATCGTCACGCTACATGTATGCTTAGAACTGTAAGATAACCTACCTCCGTAAATCACATCGTTCTTAATCATGTCATCGCGAGACTTGCTTGCTCGTTCTTCATCAATCCACGATGGTTGATGCCAATGGTCGGATGGGATGAGACCGAATTCGACTGTGGCATTGGTCAAGGCCCATATGTGACTTTATAGCCTGTCAGCAGCTTCAAGAATTCGAGCGTAAAAGGGCGCACTGCTTGAAGCTCTGCGTAAAGGGCTTGTCGTTGAGGAAGACATAAGGATACTGGAACTTCCTGTTGAACCTATCCTCGAGTTGCTTCATACTGCTCATGATTCCCCAAAGCTCAGAGTTCCGTACAAGTACGACGATTGAGGCGTTCGCTCTGCGATCTTGCAAGTGCATGGACGAATCGGGCTGGCAGTACTCGTCGGGCGCGGGTGTTTTGTAGAGAGGGTTTGACTTTAGACCAGTCCATTGTTCTGCTATATTTGAGATGTATGTCGCCTTTCCGTATTCCTCATACGTAAAGCTCATGATGTAGTGAATTGAAATCTGTTCCAGTGTCAAGCCAGGTAAATTGTCGAGTTGACATGAACACGTACAATAACGCCCAAGACAAGTAAGATGTAACGCATCGGGGTCATCATCTTTCCACAATAGAACGAAAGGTAACTTGATGGTAAATGCAGGAGAAAAGTGGAAAGGTAAGACTGCTGTTGGTCGCGATCGACGGATTGTCAGCCGAAAACATCCGTTGCTCACGCCTATAATGAACTGCAGTGTGAAAGTTTTCCTCGATTCGGAGCTCCACGTAGTCTGTTCCCTCCTTCTCTTCTCGATGTTCAGTCTAGAAAAGATATCAACACACAAACCGCTACATATCGTTGTGCCTCGTCAATATATGTAGCCGTGATCGTGAAAATATGCAAAGACAAATAATGCGCGCCGCTGGAGCCATCTAATTCTGGTTTGGCGTGGAGAATCGTCTTCATCACTGACATCGATCGACGATGACTCCCTGTTCAAAGTTTATAGCGCCAATATCGCTATCCTGTTACAGATTGTCACTTGCGTCCGAACCGAGAACAAAAACCTTGTACTTCCGCTTTACCTGTCTCTTCTTCACAGGTGCTGGCGGTGATATTGAAGGATGGAAATAGAAATTTGCCTCAAGTTTTCTGCTTCATCTTCTTCGGACATGATGACTTGCTAACATTCATCGAGCCGCGCGCGTGATTTATGGATGGAGTGCTTAGATACAGACTTTGTGGCTGCTCTAAAGCAGTTGTGCAAGTAGTGAGAACGAGAAAAAAATGTTTGCTTTGTTGCAAGTAGGGCTCCCGATAGTGACCCCGACCTGTGCAAGAGTGAGCCGAGGTGAGCTGATATTCCCACATTAGCAGGAGTGAATGCGACGCACTGAAGTGAACCTTGAAGCGTCAATCCCTAAAATGTAGGAGCCTCAAGGGGACCCATCGAGGTGAGGCTACATGAGAAAACGGTTAGTAGAAAAAGTAGTAAGAAGGCACCCGCGTGAGCATAAGTGCGAGCATCTGTGTCAATACAGGCCCATCTGAGTTGATACGGGCATCCGTGTCAGTGCGGACATCTGCGTTGATGCGGAGATCCATGTCGGTACGAGCATCTGCGTCAATGCAGAAGTTCGCGTCGGTGCAAGTGTCTGCGTCAATACAGGCATCCGCGTCCACGAGAGTGGGGTAATCCACATGCGCACGGCAGTAGGTATTGGTAAGGAGGGTACTCACGCGAGCAAGCTTGAAAAATTAATGTGCCATAGCACCCTCAAGCTTTCTCGTGGCCGGCTTCCCCGCCAGACTTGCTTTCATTGCGTACGGATGCACACAATAATCTGGGCCATTAGAGCTCACTGGAGTTTGTAAAACAAAAGAAAATCCGAAAAGCGGCAGACTGCAGACAGGGCGCGGGAGCTCAGTGCTAGAGTGTAGCCTGCCAATGGTAGGCGGAGAAGAGAACCCACGTACTGCACAGCCGCTGCACGAAGAAGCCCTTGTTCTAATTTTAACCCTACAACAACCAACTCCCTCTGCTATTTCAAATATGATGTGCAAGAACTTGTCTTGTGCGCCTCAGCATAATATTGCACAAGGTTGCCTCAAGGTTTCCTAGGCCTCATGCACATGGTACATAGCCATATCAATATTAATATCGCCCATCAGGCCTCAGGCCTTCCGGCAGCGATCACATTCATCAATCGTCCTTCACCGAATAAGCATACAGTTTGTTGCATCCAAGTTGACATTCTTTTCTAATTCCTCTGTCCAGGCAAGATCGTCCTCCCACCCGTCATCAGCTCAATAGGACGAGTCGTACAGAATCATTCAGTTTCTCTTAGCGTGCTGTCTTCAGTGGTTTTAACATTGTTCGCATTGCCATACAAAATACACTGGATTCTACATCTCGCCTTGGTGTGCTGACGAGTAACATGATACAAGTCCAATTACTCTGAGACTCGCTCGACCTCAGCTGTCCACTTTCGCTGAAGACTGGTCATGACATTGTCTACTCTAGATTCTTCCACTAATCCTGGTGATCTTCATTCCCAGCGCTTAGTGCAATCATACCAGCGTCTATATTGTGCCAAACAGCCTTCGACAATATGGAAATGCACGTGTAGCATGACCTGAACCTCAACCACCCTCTCAGCTAAACTCTATCCACATACCATATCCTTACCCCCGTCTTACTTCTCACTGATTCCGTCCACACCACTCAGCCCATCTTCAATCACACCATGCCTGGTAGCTCAGAAAGCCGATATATCAGACTTGAAGGCGAGTCCCTCTATATTATGTTATCATCCTCACACAATATCTACAGTCATCAGCGGAAAGAATATTCAAGTTCCTTCCAAGCGCATTCCTGCTGGCATCTACATATCCATCAATGTCGACTCCAGGAGGCGCTGGAAATCAGCCATCAGTGTCTCATCGTCTGATCAATCTGTCCTGTGGAGGAATTCTGTCACTCTGTAAAGTCCATGGACATTGTCTGACGCGATGCGAGAACTGATCATCGGTTTATAGATCATCACACTCCTCACCTGCGTTTTCAGTGGAGATCATGGCGTCCTTTGAGCTTGGTCGAACGCTAGGCGGTGGAGAGGTCATCGGCAAACTTCAGATGGCGTGGGATGAGCTACTCGATCATGGAGATGAGCCATTTGGTGAGTGATTCGCTTCTCATTCATGTACATACACTAACGTCTTGTAGATATATCCTTCCCACCCGTACGCGGTGTCCACCCTTCCCTTGAGCTGAAGGCCGCCATTGTACATGCTTGCGACGATGAGGACGACGCACGGTTTGACGTGAGTGACACTGGCATCTGTCCTGTTGACTTTTGCTGACAGGACGCAAACTGCAGTCCCTCGTAGACTGCGTGATTGCTCGAGACACAGATGCGGGCCACGCACAATTGGCCACATACATGACAAGCGAGAACGTCTCTAACCTGAACGACGCTGTAGAGCATTTTCAGTTGGTTTTGGACCAGTTTCCGGTCAGCCATCCAGACCATGCAACGGCACTCACCAACCTCGCGTGGGCCCGCCTTCGAGGCTACATCCGCAATGATCTTCAAGACATTGATGCCACCACCTCCCTCTTCCGCGATGCCCTTGCATTGCGTACGCAGCGCCATCCTGATCATCACTTATCTCTATACAATCTCGCCCGAGCACTGAATTGGCGCCACAACAAAAAAAGGACTGCTGCCGACATCCGCGAAGCCGCCCAACTCTATCATGAACTACTGCCTCTCTGTCCAGAGGGCACTTACCTTCATACCATCGTAGCAGGGAATGGTGTCGATCATGTGGTCAGCGCATGCAACAATCTTCCAATAGACGCATCTGATGGGGGCATCCATCTTCGACGGGTCGTCCTCGAGCTATGTCCTCTGGGCCATCGACTCCGTCCCGCAGCCCTCGACGGGCTTGCACAAGCACTTCAAATACGCTTTGATCAGCACGGCAGCATTGATGATCTTGACACGAGCATACAACTTTGTCGTGAAGCTGTGTCTCTGTGCCCCGAGGGACATGCTCACCGTGATACCTACCTGGACAACTTGGCCGACTCACTCATGTCGCGCTTCCGACACCAAGGCAAGCCCAATGACCTCGATGAGGCCATCTCTTTGGACGAAGAAGCACTGTGCCTGCGCCCTGTTGGGCACGAATCTCGTGATTCCTCATTGAACAACCTAGGGCTCGTCCTCATCGCCCGTTTCAAGAAACGCGGCGACATTGACGACATCACCCGAGCTATCAGCCTCTATCACGAGTCACTGACGTTGCGCCCACCTGGGCATCCACGTCGTGACACCATGCTTAACAACCTTGCCCTCACGCTCAAAACTAGATATGACAAATCACATGTCAGCGAGGATCTCAACGAGGCCCTTGATTGGTATCGCGAATCCCTTCGGTTAAGGCGGCTTGACCATCCAGAGCGCCACACAACCCTTCTCGGTTTGAGCTCAGTGCTCTGCTCTCGTTTTACGGAAACTCAGAAGAATGAAGATGTCGAGGAGGCCATTACGCTTTGCCAACAATCATTGGCGGCTCTGTCTTCACTGCACCCAGATAGAACACTCAGCTACTGGTGGCTGCAAGTGGCTTATCAGTCTCGTTACCGGGTTCTATACGACCCTACTGATTTGTCACTTGCTGTAGAGAACTTCAGACTAGCATCAGGACATGCCGCACAAGGCTTTCCGCGACGTATTAAGATAGTTTGGTACTGGGTTGCTGCAGCAGAGGAGCACAACCATGCATCTGGACTCGAGGCCTACACAACCTTTTTCAACCTTTTTGACGGTCACTTGGCAACGCGATCATCGACAATTTCACGACGCGAAGCTGCCGCTGCCTTCCATTATGCTAGATCACTGCCCGTAGATGCAGCCTCATGTGCTATACGTCATGTCAATCTACGACGGGCAGTCGAGCTCGTGGAGCAGGGCCGTGGCCAGCAGTGGTCGCTGGCATCTCGACTCAGGACTCCAGTCGAAGACCTCGAGTCAGCAAATCCGACAATGGCGCACAATTATTTGGAGCTGAGCAAACTTGTTTCCAATGCAGCCCAGAGTTCTGCAACCATCACGGACAGAGCTGCTGCTGATCGGGAAGCTACAGGGTACAGGAGACTTACAAGGCAATGGGAAGCAGCGGTAGCTGAGATACGCGATCTTCCGGCATTCTCGCGGTTCCTGCTCCCACCTTCATATGAAGACCTCCAACCCGCAGCACGCCAAGGACCCGTCATCATCCTCATTGCGAGTCAATACTCGTGCAGCGCCATCATCGTCCCGACGTCAGGAGACCCCTATCATGTTCCCTTGCCTTCTGTCGCCCTTGCAGATCTGACCAATCTCAAAGATCGCTTCGCCAGGGCAATACGAGAAGCATCTCGAATGAACCCAGGGGAGTCGAGGACGGATCTAATAGTGCTCTTGCGGATAATATGGGACCAGATTATGTTGCCCATCGTCGACGTACTCGAGCACGTCCTCAAACTAAAGCGCCGCTCTCGAATCTGGCTGTGTCCCACTGCAGCTTTCACGCCCATTCCTCTTCATGCAGCTCACCCGTTTCAAACAAAGGCGGATCGTTCTGGGAAGGAGCCATGCCTGGAGGATCTCTACATCTGCTCTTACACGCCGACACTTTCGGCTCTGATCAGATCTAGACAGTTGATGAAGAAGCGCGTGCCTCCGTCCTTTGTGGCGATCGGACAGGGTCAACCGGGTGCAGGGAAAGGTAAGGCGCTGTTGGCCGTCGACAGCGAGCTCGAGCTTGTCCATAAGCTCGTCCCTGCGACGGCCAACCGCACCACTATTTCTGGCGATGAAGCCACACGAGCAGGTGCACTGTCAGCTTTGCAGCAGAACACCTGGGTGCACCTGGCTTGTCATGGGAAGCAGGACCCTACGCAACCTTATGATTCGCATTTCGTCATGAGAGACGAACATCTGACGCTGCTCGATATCATGGAGAGACATATTCCGCAGGCCGAGTTCGCGTTCTTATCGGCTTGTCATACTGCCGTAGGCGATGAGGAGATGCCGGACGAAGTGATCCACCTCGCAGCTGGTATTCAGTTTTCAGGGTTCAAGAGCGTCGTTGGCACGCTGTGGGAGGTCGACGATGCTGTCGCAAAACACGTCGTCGAAGCTTTTTACGGGTATATGTTTGGAGATTTGAAGAATGGTGGTGTCATGGACTGCACGAGAGCAGCCTGGGCGCTCAACTGTGCTACGCACGTGGTGAAGACGAAAGTGCCGCTCGAGCAGAGGATGGTTTTTGTTCATATTGGTGTGTAGTTCTACGTCGTATTGCTGTCGTCTGGTATATATTCACATTTTGTTGATCTGCGCTCCTCTTTCATTCTGTTGCACAAATAACCCTGATAAATATTCTTACACTCTAGTTCGTATACCCTGCCGTGTTTTTTTTCGACTAGAGTGTTCACTCAAGTTCTTGTGTACACGACTCGTTTACAACTTCGGAGTCGTCTGCTACTGGGGTACTCAGATAGTGGGAGTTAGACCAGTCAAGCCTACCCGCGCCTTCAGGTTTCACCCCTTCTGCCTCATCGAACCTCGACTAACCACCGCCAATACAATCAATGCCAGTTATAAGCCGAGTCAAGGCAGAAGCAAATATCGGCTGGTTGCTTCGACTTGTGGCCCGTATGTGCACTGCTTGCATTCGCTCCAAAATAAGTCCTAATCTGCCCATGAAGCATGCACTTGGTGTAGTATGTGTCGTGTCGTGTCCTGCTCAGGACCACTTTGACGCGACAATTTCAGCCAAGATATGGCCGGTACTATTTGATATTTGTTTCCTATGGTAGACATTAATGATCAAAAACGTACCCGTACTTGTGCAATGTGAAGTGCTCGGTACCTCCTTGACACATCTTCAAACCTACCTCCCGTTAACATTGAAACGAAGTTGTGAAGTTTTTCAGTGATAGGCGTATTCACTGATGCGCCTTTGACTACTGTCAGACTTTCTGGGACATCTTGTGGCTGATGCGCGTGTAGAAATTGTAGCTGGATATCGGAAAGGCTGTCAGTATTTCAGACAGATGAATTCGAAGGGGTGGGTGTAGATCTGTACATTGTGAGATCAGCATAGGAAATACACCAAGCGGAACCTATCAAAGTGTCTTCTATGCTCTTGTCGAACATTGGTCCGCCTGCATCCAGCACTAAAATCAAAGAGCTACCGTGACAGAGCTAGTGGCCACGTCCTCCAAAGCCAACGTGAAAGGGAATCCTCGCGTTCGATGTGCTCTCGTTATACTTGTCTTTTCGTCCGGGATAACTCCTTCAGTAACGCTCAATATCTGTCTTTTGTATCAATGCAGTATTTTGTAGATGCCAAAACTAGATTGACATATGGGCTAGGCGACATCCAACGCTTTACAACCAGTGCCCGCGTAAGTCTTGTTTCGCATTGAACTTTTAAAACTTACCGTGCAATACATGCAGGTCAAACTTATCGCAAAGTAAGCAGCGCACGCGTAAGCCTTGTTGTAGGCAAGAAATCTCTAGAACAAAGCTCCAATGGTTAGTAACCAAGGGCCGGACCTGGGGTAACAAAAGCCAACGAGGAGTGTCACTCCGCCAGCAGGGAGTCGGGACGAGTTGCTTTTTGACTTTTTGATGTTCATTCCGTTGCTAGGTGCTGTCAGTCTGTCACTGGCAGTTCGCGGAAGTAATTGTCATTCATGATAGAAGCGCCGCGGCCAGCTGTAAGTTGTACGGTGGATGTTCGCTTACATTTTGGTCCCAAAGCCATGGCTACTAGACTAGTACTAGTGAAGTAAAAACACAAAATTTCCACCTGCGTCTGATCAAAAAGGAAACGTGCCCTTCGATGCACATTGCACACAACCTGAGAGCTAAAAATCTCGTCAGTTACATAACTACGTGACGGTCAGGCTGTGGATCTGCAAAGATCTCAAAGAATGCGCACTTGGTATGTGAGATCACAGATCATCAACGGGAGTTAGAATATATCGAGTCGTAAACCTGAAGCTCTCGGCATCTCGCGAAGAAGTTAAGGACTGTTTGCTGTCTACAAGCCCGGGCGAGACGTGTCACGCGACACGACTTTCAGTGTGAGGGTACGTGGGAACCTCGCCAATATACTTCATATCAAATTTGAAAAAGTTTAATTTGTTATTGGATCCGGATTCCGGAGCGACAGTCAACTCAACGTACAACTCACATCTCTTTGCTTGTCCAGAATACCTGCTACAGTGCTACTATCCGCGCTCATCTAACTCCAAAATCAACGTATGCGCCCCCACCGCATCACTCATCCGTCACTTTTATTGTCTTCGTCCTCTGGTGGTTGAAGGTGCGCGGGCCATCGTTGCTCGTATGAACGCCATCGTCCTTCTCCGTCAAAGCCCACCTTTCTCTGCCAAACTCATTCTATATCATACCGCCAACAACGCCAGATACGTCGTCACCGAGTTATTCGACATCGATTCAAATATCTCCAGCCTTAATCGCATTTCACCCAGGGAGCCAGTGCTGGCATCGTCGCTATCAAGCATCATCATCCTCGCACTCGCAAACGGCAAAAATAACTTATACGTGTTGTCCGTTTCGGGATCCTTCGTTGAAGTTGGACGAGTCTTTGTTTTTCTGCATTTATTTGTTTGGAAATAGAAATTTCTCGTGTCTCCTGATCTCATGTCTTGCCTAAATAGACTTTATTCTTTGAATCATGTTCATGCAGTTTTCTAAATAGAATATGGGTAATTAAGCACTCCGAAATTTTCCTAACGGCTGAGCGAAAAGTAGGAAGTGGCAGGAGGTCACGCGCTGGCGCCGGGTCAGCGTGAGGGTTTCGAGGCACAGAAGCAACGCCACTGCGCCAGGCTTCACGAGGTTGTGTTGCAATTGGACCTAGCGCAACGTGGCAGGGCGCAGGTTGGATGTTAGGTGCGATAGGTGGAAGGATACTGCAGGTCAGGCGTGATGGGCAGCAGACGCGTGCTGCTAACCTTACACATGAGCAGAAAATACCTTACCGCTGAGCGGGGTTGGAGTCTTGTTAATGGCCTCGGAGTCTGCTGTAAGTGAGGTAACTTGTTTTTGTCAAAGTGCTTCAGCTTCCGGTGGGACTGGATCTACGCCAACATTTGACTTGCAAAAGGGGCCAATTGAATTTTCAAATTCTGGTCTATCAACGATATAAAGATAACGGAGATAGCTTTGAAATGTACCAATGGATTTTTTCCATTTGTTGTTTACTGCCAAGATGAAAGAGAGAACGGCGATTGTCGGCACTTTGTTACCTCAGTCAGCCAGAAAGTAGGTCGTGGCAGGAGTTTTGGTTTGCCACAGGGCCCTCCACCAACTCGGCACGCACTGCAGGAAATGTTTAGAGTCCGGTTCTATCACAAATCTTGCATTTACTAGCATTCGCATTGACTTGGGCCACGTATGACATCTTCACTGAATGATGACATCTCCAGTTTGCCAGTATGTCCAAGACATGACTTGACGCTCATCTGTGGAATATAAAACAGGTAGCACCAACAATCGAGTCGACAACAACATCCTTTACAAGTGAAATCAACTCATCATGTTTATCCGCCTCTCTACCACTTTCCTTGTGCTCCTCGGCCTGACGGCCATTGTCAGCGCTGGAGTGCCCGTAAGCCTCTCCTCGCGTCAAATCTTGTCATGTTGACATACGAAATCTGCAGCTTCCTCGTTCACCTTACGAGCCCAATAGCGGCAAGCGCGACGATCTCGCGAGGGTGGCCCGAGTAAGCCCAGCCTCGCATCAGATCTTACCTTGTTGATCTTACAATGTGCACCGATGTATGCAGTCCGAAACTTTCACAAAGCAACCAGACGCTCGCGTAAGCCTTGTTTCGTACCGAGCGTTTCAAACTTACTATATGATGCATGCAGGCCGAACCTACCGCTCGTGTAAGCCTTGTTTTGTTTGCACCGAACATTTAAAACTCACCGTGTGATACGTGCAGTCCGAAACTTTCACAAAGCAACCAGATGCCCGCGTAAGCCTTGCTTCGCACGGAACTTTTCAAACTTGACATGTGATACATGCAGGCCGAACCTACCGCAAAGTAAGTAGGCCGCGCGTAAACCTTGTTGTACGCAAGGACTCTCTGGAACCAAGCCCCAATGGTTAGTGAGACTTGTTCCGCATCTAATCTCATCGTGTTGACTCACGGCGCATGGTGCACAGGGCAACTGCTATGTGAAATCAGACCCATATGCAAAACCAGTTTACAAGACATGTTAAATATGATAGACGTAGTACTCACAAAGATACAGAAAATTTTGTCAGACGTACTGTCGATTGTGTGTCTGAGCCTACGCGTCTATGAAACTTGCGTGAAGCTCCGAAGTCCAGGGACAAGTACTTACATCTTATAATAATTTAAAGCGGGAGTAAGCCCCCTGCGAATAAGGCTGTCCTACATAGGGTCTTCGACCCCAATGGACAATAAATCTGATTTTTTTTTAAAAGTACTTACATGTATAAAAACAAGTGCTCAAACGCTGCAGGGAGTATAAGTGGAACTAACGCGGAGCGGAACTCACCTTGTCCATTTGAATCGTGGCAATCCACATACACTCGTAGGATACAAGCTGCTGGCCTTGACTACATCGCGGAATGGTTTGGATAGTCGAAGCGTCTTAAAGCAATTTGAATGAATAGAAGTTAGCGGGAGGAAAAATGCTGGGTTGGACCGTACATGAACCGTAGAGCGTGATTTGAACAAGCTGGGCCAGAAGAGCGTTGGTAGCATCAATCGGATTCGACTGCGTTGCAATGATGAACGCAGCATTGACGGCAACATCTACTATCAGTTTCTCGTGTCAACAGAAAAACGTGCACGATTTCACATACAAAGATCACCATTATTGTTGTACTCGCACCTTTCTAACATCTTGTCGTCATATTTACCGGTCGCTTTTTGTACGCCAAACAAAATCTGGAACGGGTAGTATTTCCTCTCGGCAATTGTTGGATATCGAGAAGGTCAACCTGCTGGATAAGACCGTTGGGCTAACCATAATTGAACCAACATATTCCATTCCTACGCGCAATTACGCCATTGGCTAAGAACTCACTTCAAGTTAGACTTGTCGTTGCTTGCTGTGTGTTTCTTTGCGTTGGGATCACCCGAATCCATGTTGAAAACTTCGAGGTGGCGTAATAAGGTAGCAGTGACGGAACACGGGCGCAGAAAATAGCGCTGGTAGTACTGTAGTACTAGTATGAGATCTTCACAGGTTAGTAGTTGGTCAGGGCCACAATACCTAGTAGTTACCTAAGTAACTGCGAGTCCGTGACAACGCCGACACACACAAAGTCTGGAAACTCCGAGGTCGACCACCACGACATCACAATTGCTACCAGCTATGCTCTGGTTACTCTAGTCGATGAAACTTCCAGTTCGGCATATGACAAGTTGCGAGCGAATCCTCAGGCCTGCAGGCTTGACGAGGGTGGTAATTGCAATCGTCGGAATAAAGACTGCATATTATCGCCTAAATACCTGGTATGGCCACCACGCTGACACCCAAGAAGCTTTGGCCAGATAGTGCCTTGCAGTGTGAAGTTTGCTAGTACCATCGATCTACTGATTCCGTTGCGCCACACGAGCGTCACGGGCCAAACAAAGTTCAACAACTTATACTGCAGTTGCACTGTTGCACATACTAGTGGCAACATATATATTTCTCTGCTTCATGGACACTTGGCGTGTACAATGCTCACAGACGACTCGGATTCACGTCTGGCCATTGAAACTGCTTCTGCTCGTAACTCCCTTTCACTTATCATATGGGCACGACACATTAGATAGCCTAGTTCAAGGCGGTGACGTATGACACCACTTTCTTTGTGGTGGTTTATCACGATGGGTTTTATACCATTCATGTTATGTTGTGCGTCCCTCCAAGATTGGCCGGGGCCACCGTCGCATGCGGCGCCTTGGCACTCTGCTCACGCACCCGACACAGTTCCTGCTACCTCATCAATAGAGACACACAGTCCACACGCTGTGCTCATGGCATCCTGGTGGTAAGCACCGCATTTACTGAAGGTCATCATCGTGTGAGCTCAATGACCCCCAGATGACATGATCATCCTGTTGCAATTGGTGAGATTTCCTGTCATATTCGCATGATGCTAACCTTCAGTGCAGGTCGGGCTATAACAGATGGAAACGTAGTCAAAATTCCTCTCCTCTCACCTAAGTTCAACCTCCCACCGACTTCGCTCATACCCCTCATTTAAGTTCTAAGGTCATACTTAGTATCGCTTTGTCTGTCGTCTTCTTTTCGGCGCGGCGTACCGAGGTGGTTTTGAAGGCGAGGTATCGCGCATACGCCACTCACCAAGAGTGTGTTGCTATGTTCGTGTTTCTGCTCACCCCCGCAGCGCTACTGAGCCATCAAGGAAGACAAGAAGCTATTGAGGCGCCGGTTGGTACTGGATTGAGCTCCGAAGGAGAGAGGACGCAGGTGTCTTTGTAAATGGACGAAACGAAGATTCTCCGTTATTCCACCAGCAATTTCGGGAGTGAGCAGAGCCGAGTAAGACTTTGCAACACATTCATGTCGTATTCGATTTCTTGGTCCATCTCCTTCTCTCGCCCTCACCATTGTGATATTTTGTTACTGGCTTGAAGTTGTTGTTTTGAATCTCTTGATGCACGCAGTCTGTAATGTTGCCGCACAGTCTGAGTCGACCTTGCATCACCGTGCAAAATTGTTTTCAGCGCTGATGTCTCAGCTGCTGCCAGTAAGTGCTGGATGGTATCAATGAACTCGAGAAATGCATCGGTGTCGAAATATATTTATTGTAATTCACTGCCTGCACGCTTATATTTACAACTCACATCACACTCCAAGTATCAAGATGCACACAGTATACATGTAATATCCGGAGGGAGTTACAGAAAAAATGAGAGCTCGAATATGTACAACAGAAAGGTAACGAAAGTGTAGCTGAGTCGAAGATATGCGAATCAAGTGTTGTGATCCCCAGCAGCCTTGGCATACCGGATGTAAGTACCACTGTCTACCAAAACGATAGATAATATAATACATAATGCCCGTCAACTGTGACAGAATGTGGCGAATTTTGCGAACGAAGACCGGTTAGATGAACCGTACAAGGAGAGTGGTAATGTACAGTGATAGTGACGCGGTTGCGAGAGATGAGCTGTAGTGGTCAAAGAGATACAGACTCAGTCGTTGGCAGCAAGGAAGGGAGAAAAGAAACATACCGGTGTGATGCTGATCATGCGATGACGCAGTAGCAGTTGGCATTGCCATAGTGCTCCTGGTCAACTGGTACTTGCGCTTGCGTCTCTTCAGAAGAGACAGGCGTCGAGGAGAAGGCAGCAAGTGTGAAGAACGAATCCATGGCTTAATACAGGAGGAGTCGGGAGATAAGTCGAAGTTGTAGAGTTTGTAGTACAGTAGAGCTCAGGAAGCCCTGATATTGTTAAAGGGGAGTCGCAGGTATTGGTGGGTCCTCCTCTCAACTCTCATATATTTATCCGCTTCGACCAGGCATCGCCACCGGTGAATTCGAAGGAATCAGGATGCTGACAATTAGCGTGGTATGCAATGTTCGTCGCCAAACATGGATTTACCCGCGGATATGAAACCGGTGAAAGAAACGCACTATTGTCCATGAAACAGGATTGGCCCATGGTGCCGTGAGCAGAGCAAGCCATATTAATGCGCCTCGTTGGTCAATCGTTGGTCTGTAACTTTGCACCATATCCATCCGGGAAGACAAAAGACCAGCAGCACCCGATTATGTAAGCTACAAAGTTGTTAGCCAATCAACGTTGATTCATCGTTTATCTCATGCAGGGTACATTCTATTCTTATTGTTCGGTAGCTCCGGGTTACCTTGGAATCGACGAGTAGTCGGCGAAGTTCGTTGGCAAAGCGGTTGACAATAAAACGACTAGTATGAATCGGGATTGGTTCTGAGAGAAATGAGGATCAGGCAATTTATGAAGCAACCACGATATGCTGGTTCTTTTGTCTGGACAAGTTTAGAGTGCAGACACTGTAATTGTTTCGTGGCCAAATAGACGGGTGCAACTACTGTTGGAATACCAAGTACGCCCGCAGTTTCGTTATTGTCCAGCGACATGTATCTTTTCCCTCGTTGATTATGTGCTCTTATGATACTACCTACCATTGTATACTGAATCCTTTGATTGCTTTGGCCAGCACCATTTTTTCTCTTTTGCTATGGCTCCACACACTTACAGGATCCCTCGATCTATTCAAACTACTACTGATACGAGCCGTTACCTCAGATGTTTGCCTTCGCGTGCACGATCTGAGTCTACTTGATTTAGACCCACGCGAATTGTTTAGATCCTTCAATCACCGGAACGCATGTTATCCCGATGGTCATTTAGTAAATCGAGCTCCCTCCAATGTCCTGAATGAAGTCAGTGTAGGAAGAAAAGCAATCCTCGGGTGCATATATGTAGTCAGTCTCGTCCTTTAAAAGAGACGTTGTCACTCTGGAAACAATAGAGGGAATTAGTGCGATAGCTGATGTGACGTACAATAAGACAGGAACACAGTTCACCATCCTTTAATCACTAGTGGATAATCGGCAACTACGTGGGTAGAACGGGCCATATGCCCGTAATGAATCAGCGAAATGAAGTTTACTGTACATGAGTCAAGAATCACCTTAGAACTAGTAAATTCGTTTTCATTCAGAGACCCGACAAACGTCGCACATGAAGGCGAGCAAAAACCATCGCCAATAGGTCGCAACTGCACTAAAGACTCTTTCCACTTCACGAAAACGCGGACGAGCACGAGAAAGCACGACAGACTTAGTTCTGTCCTAAATCTCTGACCAACAATTCCTGGCATGGGACAGGAAAATGTCTGCGGAAAGTAAAAGTTTTCGCTGTGATGTAAAACCCGACACCAGATCACAAGTGACATGCCGGCAATGACACGTCAGAAAAGCAATAAAAGTAGTAAAGGATCTAGAAGGCACTCACATCTCGTTCGTTTCCCATCGTCCATCCCCGAAAACCCTGCCCACAAAGTAGTCCTCCAACGCTGCGTTCAGATTGTTGCATTGTCATCAAATGCACCGTAGCACCTTGGGATACGACTGATTCGGGGAGCAAAGGTTGACATCCTCATGTTATTCTCGATGTTAGTCAATGCATCACTACTAACCCACCGACACTGGTTTAATGAGGTATAATGTCATCTCCAGCTTCGCATATAATGTGCCACCGCAATCCACACATTTGGTTTTGCTACAACAACACAGTCAGTTTAAGTCTCTAGAGGGCGAGGGTTGCGATTTTTGTCGAATGGCTAAAACGGACACCGCAAACACATCCACTGTGTGATATAGATGGAGCCGAGAAAACGAAATCACTTTTAGATCTTCAGTGTTTCAGGAAATAATGGTCCTATAGGAATCGTTTAACCTCCAGTACGTCATGGCCGTGAATGGGTCAGGGCAGATTTAAACCTGCCCGTTAGGAACAATTGTGTATGAACAATTGTCGTTATTGCGGAATTACAGTCCTTGAGATGAGGGCTGGGCGGCTATATTGACCTCGGAATTGGGCCCACCGGACGCACTAGAGGCTAAACTCCGAACTGTAGGCCTGTCGGGAAGTAAAGGGAAATCAGGGCAATGTACACTTTAACTTATCATAAAGCGAGTTGCCGGCCAGTGATAGTAAGTTGTCGTAGGCGTCGAGAGCGAGAACCTGCTTGTTATATTTGCAAGTGAGACATACTTGAATACGCCACACGGTTGAAAGCCTGATGACATAAGGAAATTTAATTCTCACGACTTGTTGTAACCAGCTGAATCGTCTTGTTCCAACGTATGGTACTTGATGTATTCCGAGGGGAATATAGTGCACAAGGATTTGCGTTCGGTGAAGGTGGCTATCTTATTATGACATTGGTTTAGCTGTCAATCGAAGAAACTTTTGCTGGTCGCAGCTTGTCGCGGCGATGTGAACAAGTTCAGCATCGATGGTTTGTCACATGTATTTTCAGTCAGTCTATGGACTCATCTCATTTACCTTTACCATATGTAGAATGTCCTCTGAAAGGCGCACTAGGGACGGGCAAAAATACGGTCGCTCAGCGCTCAATGCTCATGCAATCTGCGACATCCACCCCGATGAAGCTCGACATTCGGGCGAATGACTTTGCCGATGCTGAAACCGTGGGCCACAAAACTAGCATCGGTCTATACAATCAACAGACCGCGATACATCTCTGATGCGACGTGGCTGTCGCTTAGCTTGCGATCGAGTGGAATGTGGTGGTCATACACCGCGGGGATGTAAGTATTGTCTCTCAAAGCGTCCTTCTGATGACACTTCGCACAGTATTCCATGAAGTCTCGATGTCCAGAGAGTCAGTCGAGTATCTTCTTGGTTGTTATACCGCTAACGCTGTACTAGCATAGCTAATTTGTTGGTCAGAAATGCATCAAAGTGATGATCCAAGCACTTGAGTCGCCTGGATGTATCTGTCTGCGACTATTGGTGTTGACGGACAAGCAGCAGACACTACTCAGGCGGTTCTCGACTGGTGCATACCCCAGATATCTGACGCCCTGTTACAGCAATCGAATTCTCCAATGTCTTGTCTGACGCTGGATGACGCGACGCAGTGCTGATGGGTCCTAATAAGAGAGGACATCCAAAAGCGTGGTACGAGCCTTGGCTGAGTAAGTTGGTTGATATATGGTATTTGAGACAACTAATCAGTGCTGTACAGGGGACGAGATCCAACCCCTCAGGATGTCAAGGAGTCCTTGAAGTTGTGAGAAGTGCCTCTTCCTGCCAGTGTACGGAGCAAGATAGGGAGGTTTTTCGCGCTTCGCGAAATGTATGCACCCGACTCGGCGAGTGAGGAATTAAGTTTCGTAAGAACACAATGAAGATGTACCTGTTTGAAACATGTGCTCGCTGCCTTGTACTCCATACAAGTATAAGTCCTGTTTATGGCTTATGATATTCCACGGACAGTTGCAATTTACTTATGCATATGAAATACCCATGGCACTAAAGAGATGGAGGACCTGAGGCTTGTGATCGTTAGCTTATTGCTTATTGCGTGCTACAGGCTCTGGGAGGGCACTAGGTCTCATTCCAGACTATTAATATTGCATCGGCAAAATCAATAAATCTCATGGTATCACCGAATTGGCGTAAACTACGACCTGTGCATGCCCCTAATGTTGTCGAAAACGGTATTTCCTTGAAAAGTAAGCCTCGTAGCGTGAACACCAGGTAATGTATCTTTGACGACATGGAGATTTAGTTAAGGCGATCAGGTAGTTTTAGTCTTACATGATATGAGTACCGACCATCAAAAATCGTGACTGCCAACTTGGTATATGCGTCATAAGCTACTAGCTTCAAGTCATCATTAAATTCAATGGCATCTACATCTTTACATGCAGGGTGCCATCGCAGCCGACATATTTGGTTTCTACAACCGACAGTCGGTTTGACTATTATATAGAGGACACCAGGTGTGGGTAGGCGCGTTGTTCATCGGTTCAGTGTAGCGGGAGCGGGTCGACCCATTGCCATTATTCAGAGTTATCGTACTTATAGGATGCGCTGTTCTTGCAAATCCATCGTCATCTGATAGTATCACCGAGTTCAGCGCAGATAGGTTAAGATGATTCAACGTTCAACGTCAAGGACCGATTGTAGCCTCAGCGAGATGCTCGACTCATGAGAGCATAAAATGCATTTCACTGCATCAAAGGATGAACGCAGCGGATTTGAGCTTTCGAAGACTGAGAAAGTTGAGCTTGAAGCGAGTAGTAAGCGTCAAGGACTTTAATCAGCGCTCACATATATGTTAAAGGCCTTCAAATACTATAGCAATGAATGAAACTACAAAAAACGCTTCTAAGAATACACGATAGCACAAGAGGGGATGCAAAGCAAGGGACCAAGTACACCAACAGGATGAAATATCAACAGCTTGTACAAGGTAGAACTACACACCAATATGAACAAAAACCATCCTCTGCTCGAGCGGCACTTTCGTCTTCACCGCGTGCGTAGCACAGTTGAGTGCCCAGGCCGCCTTCGTACAGTCCATGATACCATCATCATTCAAATCGGTAAACATATACGTGTAGAAAGCTTCAACAACGTGTTTTGCGACAGCATCGTCGACCTGCCACAGCGTACCAATGACGCTCTTGAACCCCGAAAACTGTAGACCAGCTGCGAGGTGAATCACTTCGTCTGGCGTGTCCTCATCGCCGACGGCGGTATGACAAGCGGATAAGAATGCGAACTCGGTCTGAGGAATATCTCTCTCCATAATATCGAGCAGCGTTAAGTGTTCATCTTTCATGACGAAATGCGAATTATAAGGCTGCGTAGGGTCCTGCTTGCCATGACAAGCAAGGTGCACCCACGTGTTTTCTTGCAAAGCTGTAAGTGCACCTGCTCGTGTGGCTGCGTCGCCAGAAATAGTGATGCGGTTGGTAGTCGCAGGGACGAGCTTATGGACAAGCTCGAGCTCGCTGTCGACGGCCAACAGCGCCTTGCCTTTCCCTGCACCCGACTGCCCTTGTCCGATTGTTGCGAAGGATGGAGTGACGCGCTTTTTCATCATTTGTCTAGACCTGACCAGAGCCGAAAGTGTCGGCGTGTAAGAGCAGATGTAGAGATCCTCCAGACATGGCTCCTTAGAGCGATCTGCATTCCTTCGAAACGGGTGAGCTGCTTGAAGAGGAATAGACGTGAAAGCTGCAGTCGGACACAGCCAGATTCGAGAGTGGAATTTTAGTTTCAGATCATGCTGGAGGACGTTGACGATCAGTAGCATTATTTCGTTCCATACTGTTCGCAAGAGGACTATTAAATCGTTCCGGGGCAATTTTGGGTCCATGATAGATGCGTGTCGTATCGCCCTGGCGAAGCCATCTTTGAGATTGGTCAGATCTGCAAGAGCGACAGACGGCAAGGGAACATGATGGGGATCTCCCGACGTCGGGACGATGACGACGCTGCACGAGTATTGACTGGCAACCAGGATGATGACCGGGCCCTGGCGTGCCGCCGCTTGCAGGTCTCCGTACAAAGGTGGGAGCAGGAACCGTGAGAAGTCCGGAAGATCACGTATCTCAGCTGCCACAGTCTCCCATTGTCTTGTAAGTCTCCTGTACTCTGTTGCTGCCCGATCAGTAGCAGCTTTGTCGGTATTGGCCGCGGAACCCTGAGTATCAGACAGGTATTTGCTAAGCTGCAAGAACTTGCGAGCTACTTCGGGACTGATAGACCCGAGGTCTTCGAGTGGTGTCCTAAGTCGCGATGCCAGCGACCACTGCTGGCCACGGCCTTGCTCCATGAGCTCGACTGCCCGTTGTAGATCGTCACGACGTATAGCACATGAGGCTGCATCTACAGGAAGTGATCGTGCATCACTAAAAGCGGTTGCAGCCTCGCGCCGTGAGATGATCGACCATCGCGTCATCACGTGGCTGTCAAAAAGCTCAAAGCACGTTTGGTATGCTTCTAGGGCAGATTCATGTTGATGGATCTCTGCTTCGCGAGCCCAGTCAACAGCCTCTATGATACGCCGAGGAAATCCTTGAGTAGGATGTCTTGATGCAAGTCTGAAGTTCTCCATAGCAAGCGACAAATCAGCAGGGTCGTGTAGAATCTCATAACGAGACAAATGAGCCTCCCTGTGCGGGTGCAGTGAAGACAGAGTTGCCAATGATTTATGGCCAAGAGTGATAGCCTCCTCGATGTCTTCATTCTCCTCAGTTTGTGTGAAATGAGAGCAGAGCGCGGAGCTCAAATTGTGTAGAGTTACGTGGCGCTCTAGATCGTCAGGCCGCATTAGCCGAAGGGATTCGCGATACCAATCAATGACCTCGTTCAGGTCCTCGTCGATATCCAATTTGTCGTATCTTGTGTCGAGCGCGAGGGCAAGGTTGTTAAGCGTGGTGTCACGATGTGGATGCCCAGGTGGGCGCAACGTCAGTGACTCAGGTGAGAGACATTCTCGCTTGTCACATATGCGGAAATTTGTGCGTGGCCCGCATCTGTGTCTCGAGCAATATTGCAGTCTACGAGGGACTACAGTTGGCATTCTGTCAGCAAAAGCTAACAGGACAGAAACTAGTGCACTCACATCAAACAGAATGCAGTCGTGATCGTCGCAAGCCTGTACAACAGCGGCCTTCAACGTGAGGGAAGGGTGGACACTGCAGACGGGTGGGAAGGATAGATCTACGAGATATTAGTATATGCATGGATGAGAAGTCAGTTACTCACCGAATGGCTCATCTCCATGATCGAGTAGCTCATCCCACGACATTTCAAGTTTCCCGATGACTTCTCCACCGCTTAGCATTCGACCAAGCTCAAAGGACGCCCTGGTCTCCGATGACAACGTAGGTGAGGCATGTGATGATCTATAAACCCAAGGTCAGTTCTCGCATAGCGTCAGAAAGTCTCCATGGATATTACAGAGTTACAGTATTGCCCCATGCTACAGATTCATCAGGTGATAAGACACTGATAGTTGATTTCCAGCGTCTCTTCGAGTCGACATTGATGAATATGTAGATACCAGCGGGAATGCGCCCGGAAGCGACTCGAAGATTCTTTCCGTTGATGACTGTAGTCAGAGTGTTGAGAATCATGAAACAAATACGACGGTAATATGGAGGACTGGCCTTCAAGTCTGATATATCGGCTTTCTGAGTTACCAGTCATGGTAGTGCGATGGAGCAAAATGATGAGGTTCGAGGATGGGCTGAGTGGTGGACGAAATGAATGGGAGGGGAGGATGGAGAGTAAGGATACGGAGACTCTGGATGGAGTTCGGCTGAGAGTCCAGATCATGCTGCGGACATTTCCAATGTTCGACACGATAGACGCTGGTATGATTGCAACAAGCGTTGGGAATGGAGCCAGATGTTACCAACCAGGTTTAGCGGAAGAATCTGCCTGTGTGCAAAAGAAGTGGATGATGTCATGAACGATCTTCAGCGAAAGTGGCCCAGTAAGGTTGAAGGGGACGTGTGCGTCTCAGAGTGATTGCTACTCCTGGACTCACTCGGTTGGCACACAAAGAGAACGAAGTGTATTTCATAATGTAATCAAACAATGTTCAAACGATTGAAGATGGTGCGCAAGATCCATATGATTGTGTAGGGCAGATGAGAGCATGCGGTGGACTGAGCAAGTAGTAGACTACATGTTCAATTATTGCAAAAGCATTACATAAGCAGACTGTTTTGATTTTGAATTCTTCTGTTCCGCTGGTCATGCAGCCTTCGCTCATTCTACGGTCTGGGCGGTCTGCTTGGAAAGGTTTGTCTTGTATTCACTGTGCGGTCGATCTCACATTCACGCGTGATATTGTCCAGGCCCATATTTCGTAGCCTTTCCAAACCTGAAGGAGGCACTAATCAACAATGTTGCTATAAGAACGCAGGCTCGTGGATGCACTATCCTCCCAAATTTTGTTGGGTGAGACTCTCAAGCTTCGTCTGTGCTTATTCTAATTTAGATCTTTCAGTATTCGTTTCATGGTGCACAATGGTAAAGACTATGCTCCTGTGATGATCACGCAGGATATGGTTGGCCATAAGCTCGGTGAATTCGCGCACACCAAAAAGCGCTTTACTTACAAGTGAGTTTCAGACTAGACAATTTTCATTTACTGACAATCCTACAGGATGACAAAGAACAAGTAGCTGGTCACGTCGAGTGGATCTTATTTGAACACCTTCCGCTCGAAAGTCAATTATAGGCGGTCTCTTAATAGATATCGAACTGCCTCAGAGCTTGAAAACAGGATTGTAGATGTGATGTGAATCTTAGAACCAAAATCATGTAAGGACCGTAGTTAGTACCTTTTCAAGGACCAGTGCTACCAGGTGTTACCGTGGTGATGATATATCCCCCTTGGCGGACAGATCCGGACAGTTGTTGTTGTCCGTTTTGGGGGGTATCAACTTGAATTCGAAAGCCTCCGTTCAATCAGAAGAAGACCAACTCTTGCTCGACGTTGTGTATAGTCCCGCCATCATTACCAACGGCCACAAAGCTCTCAATCTTGCCGTTCTCGCCAGCGAGGAACCCCCACTCCATTCCTTGTCTCACTCCATCACTCTTCACACCCACCATGGCCTTCAATCAAGTAACAGCAACGAATCTGACGCCTTCTCGACCTGCACCCCAAGCACCTGTCCGAAGAGGAACGGAAGGTCCCATATTCCCCCATAGTGCTCTCCAAAGTTCAGGCTACAACACATCCTTTTCTTCTGGCTCGTCATACTCGACTGATTACACTGGGATAGGCGGATCGCCCAATCGCAACTCCCAGGCAGCGTTCAACACCCATGTCGTAAGAACTGGGATGGTTAGCATGAAGGAAGAGGGGTTTGCAAGTTTCATCTTTCTCCGAAAATGGCTCGTATTGAAGGAACAAACGCTCTCCATACACAAAACCGAGGTAAGCCCACGGCAAATTGGCTGATTGCTTTATGCTTCGAGGAACGAGGCACTACTATAGCTAGATACACGATATCTCCATTGGTTTTCTTCTTCATATCCTACTGGGTAGGCCATACATACTGACGGATCATCTCGTAGACGTCACCACAGCAAAGCGTTATCCCTCTCAAGGATATCACGAATATCGAACGTGTCGATCTCAAGCCTTATTGTCTACTCCTTGAGACCAAGGACAAACGATATCATCTCGCCCTCAAAAACGACGAAGAACTTTACGGATGGCAAGATGATGTATATTCTCGCAGTCCATTGATGGGCTTCAGCAACCCGACCAACTTTGTGCACAAGGTCCACGTCGGATTTGACCCTGTATCAGGTGCTTTCACTGTGCGTGGATACCAAACCCAAATATTTGTCTCGGCTCACGTCTATGTTCCAGGGCATGCCCGAGCAATGGAGCAAGCTTCTTACAAAGTCTGCAATTACTCGTGAAGATTACGCTAAAGACCCTCAAGCCGTCCTAGACGTCCTCGAATTTTACACCGATCACCAGAAGCGTGAGTTGGAAGAGATGGGTATGAACTCGATATCACGGTCCGTCTCCGGGACATCTGCAGCTTCCACCCTTGCCAGCTCTACCATAACAAGCAACACCCTTTCGCCATATGGTGTAGATGCGCCAGCTCGATTCGGCGGCACAGGTCTCGGCGGATCTAATCTTCCAAAGATCACATCCCCACTCGACACAGCCCGCAAGCGACAGGACTCCGCTCCAGCAGAAACGGGGACAAACGGGCTCTCTACAACTGCCCTCGCCGCTGCGCGCGTTGCTGAGCTCGTCAATGGCTCACATGCTCAGCACGCCAACACTATTTCCACCGCCTCTCCCTCCGCACCTCCGCGACCCCCACTGCCTCAGATATTGCAAGCTTCAACCTCCTTGCAGCCTTCCCGACCTGCCCCTCCACGACCATTGTTGGCAGCCACACGACCTGCACCTGCCGCTCCCAAACCCCCTGTACCAGATCATACACCCTCGACCGCAGACCTTCGTGCGCGAGCGCAAGCTCGTGATCAAGTGGCCGGGAAACCTTCGCTGGACCAGGGCCCGAAGCGAAAGGAGAGTATGGATACTATTGGACAACAAGAACGGGAGCGGAAGGATAGGGAATTGCGGGAAAGGGAAAGGGACCGTCAGCGGCGCGAAGAGCGTGAACGTGAACGCCAGCAAATGAAGGAGCAACAGGCTGCGGCTGCCGTCGAGCGACCTCCCTTGGTACCTTCTAAATCCTCCCCGGCTACTTCGGAACCTGCGACTGAGCCTGTGGCAGGCGCTGCCGCAGCTGTTGCTGGTCCTCCACCTGTAAAACCCCTGCAGACGATGAAGAAGAAGGAACCGCCGACACCTGATGTTACTATCACTGCACCCGAGGGCGAAGATCCAGGTGTTGCAGCCGCTGCAGAGGCTCTGCAGAAGAAAACCAAGGAAAAAGAGAAAGAGAAGCGGATTAGTGCGATGACCGAAGCGCAGATCATGGAGAAACTCCGGAGTGTCGTGTCTGACGATGATCCGAAGACCTTGTATAGTAAGATTAAGAAAGTCGGACAGGGGTGAGGCTTTCATTGCATTGGCCGCTGGCAAATATTGATAAGCTATCCACAGCGCATCTGGACATGTGTATGTCGCAAAAACGCTTGCCACGGGCAAGAAGGTTGCTATCAAAGAAATGGACCTCTCACACCAACCACGCAAGGAACTGATTGTGAACGAAATCCTCGTCATGAAGGAATCACAGCACCCCAACATAGTCAACTTCCTCGAGTCGTACCTCGTGAAGAACAATGAACTCTGGGTCGTCATGGAATACATGGAGGGCGGTGCCCTTACAGATATCATAGAGAACAATACGCTGGAAGAAGATCAAATTTCGAGCATAAGTTTGGAAGTGTGTACCTTTTTGATTTATCATGATTCATGGGTGATACTCACGCACCGCTAGACATGCAAGGGCCTGTGTCATTTACACAGCCAATCTATCATTCACCGTGATATCAAATCCGATAATGTCCTCCTCGATGCGCAGGGCCGCGTTAAAATTAGTACGCATCTTTTTATGCAATCCTGCACTGGTTTCTGATGTGATACACAGCCGACTTCGGTTTCTGTGCTAAACTCACTGATCAGAAGTCCAAGCGTGCGACAATGGTTGGTACTCCATACTGGATGGCACCGGAGGTCGTGAAGCAGAAGGAATACGGTGCCAAAGTCGACATCTGGTCACTCGGCATCATGGCGATCGAGATGATTGAGAACGAACCTCCTTATCTTGATGAGGAGCCGTTAAAGGCACTGTACCTGATTGCCACGAACGGGACGCCGACGCTCAAAAAGCCCGAAGCCCTCAGCAAGGAGTTGAAGAGCTTCCTGAGCGTGTGCTTATGTGTCGATGTCAAAAGTCGCGCCAATTCAAGCGAGCTCCTACAGGTACGTAAGGTCGACCCTCCCACGTCTCATTCCTTACGTTGCTGTGCAGCACGAGTTCTTGAAGAAGGCTTGTGCGCCATCCGGTCTTGCCCCTCTCCTGAGATTCAAGACCAAACCATCATCATGAGCTTTCGTGCTGCCAGTCTCGTCAATTTTGGACCTACTCAGCTTCATTCGTCGGTTTGTCTCTGCACCACCTTCCTTTTGTTTGTTCCACGTCCACGATCTATGTATAATCCGATACTACCCCCACTTTCACTCGTCTCGGTATTTGCTGTTCATAATGTTTTGATGCGTACCAAAATGCAATGGAAGCCTGTTGTAAACTTTATAAACTCGCTGGCTGCTGGCGTTGTGCATCTTGCGGTATTTTTGTCATGCGACATTCACCATTTGTTAATGCTACGAGCAGGGTACTTTCACTTGTATGTCTTGCTGCTCAGTGGTCCACGTTGGAACCGGTTGGAGGGCGTTGATTCTGAAGATGCCTGGGGCACGTACGTAGCATTTGTCCCTCCCGACCGTACGATCATTACTGACATTTCCTCATAAGACGAGTTTTTGACGAAGGCTGATGGGCCATTTACTCTCATTCCTCCTGTGAGATGTAAGACCAAATCATTATCATGAGGTTCAATCTCGGTCTTCAGGAGTCAGTTGTCTCTACACCCACTCGGATTCCTGAAGCCAGATGCTGCCCCCACTTTGACGTATTTCCGAGTCGATTTTGTTGATCACCAAACTTCAACGGTATGATCGACACCGAGTCCACGTATGGTCGTCGTCTTTCCAGCATATGTGCCCCAATCGGTGCAATCTTCGATGTCGAGAATAGGTGAACATGAAACAAGAAGCACATCCCCTATCAGTATTCTGAATATTTTTCGTAGCCGAGGCGCATATGAGAGTGTGCCTAAATCATTTCAGTCATTGTTTTCCAAGGCAGAGCATATGTCCAAGTTCTTTGGAAGCTATAGCGTCTTGGCACGGTTTGTATTTTATGGGTACGAAGGATCAGTTGTTGGTTAGGATTATCGACCACGTATCGAGGGGTAAATGCATTTTGTATGCGGCCGATTCTCGCGCAGCATGTTCTCGTATCAGCGATGAGTTGCACTCTGAGAGTGTTGAGGATAGTGATATCAGGACCCGTAGTTCTATAGACAATTTGCATGGTGCGGCAGATGCGATATAGCAGGAGTCCAACTAGGCAAAAGGGCAAGGAAGGAAGACATGTTGGACTTAGAGCTCGACTCGGAAGGAGCCGAAAGAGTGGCTGAAACCTTAAAACGTCGGTGGTACATAGAGTAGCTGTACGCTACGCGTTTGTATAGGATTCTGAGCAAGTCGATGCGTAGTGATTAATTGATTCGTTAAGACAAAGGGGAGTAGATAATAAGTGGCAGTGCAGCGGGATAACACGATGTAATATTGCACACGTAGTTTGTATGAAATTACCGACAGGTAGCGGGGTCTATAGCTTATTAGTTCTATAGCAGCTGTTGCACCATGGACTACTTCAAGGTGCGTGCTATTCTTTCCAATAATTTGTGCCGTATGCATGTGTCACATAAACTTTGTTGCTGACGCTCCTTACTAAGTAACGCCCATCATCATGAATAATCCATGATGCTTTCTTGCTCATCAAAAAGTTTCAATGTATTAAATATGTAGCAAGGCTGGAAGGCCTCCAATCATTCTACCATCTACATCTCCTTCACATGTCTTCGCAACAGAAAGCTCTTGTTCTTCTCAAAAAGCAGGGCAGCTTTGAGCTCGGCTCTCGCAGCATCCCCAGTCCTGGGGCCGGACAGCTCCTGGTCAAAATTCAATCTGCAGCGCTGAATCCAGTTGACTACAAGATCAAGGACGCAGGTATATTCGTGACTCAATACCCTGCTGTTCTGGGATCGGATGTTGCTGGCATTGTCGAAGAAGTAGGGGAAGGTGTCGAGAATTTCGGCAAAGGCGATAGAGTGTTAGACAGTCCTTTTCCGCTATCTGTATAGGCTTAACCTTGGTTTACAGATTAGCACGTGGCAAGTTCACGAGTGACTTTGCTGCATTTCAGCAGTATACCTTGACCGATGCAAGCTTTACAGCAAAGGTAAGTTATGTGAATGTTCGTTGACTACATCGTCACCTACATCTCATTCCAGATTCCTGCAAGCGAGTCCTTCGATAGCGCAGCTACTCTTCCTATGGGATTAGATACTGCTGTTGTGGGCTTGTATGGAGATCAATTCGGAGCTAGGATAACACCTCCCTGGGAGGAAGGCGCCGGTAGTCACGAATCAAAGAAACCAATTGTCATCCTTGGCGGTTCTTCCTCCGTGGGTGCATACAGTAAGCGGAGTGAGACTTACTTCTTCAACTGCATCCTGACAATATTGCAGCTATCCAACTCGCTCGTCTGTCGGGATTTTATCCCATCATCACTACAGCCTCTCCGAGCAATGAAGAGCTTGTCAAGGGCTATGGCGCAACTCATTTCTTTGATCGCAAGCTTTCTGGAAAACAGTTGCTGGCGGCTATCAGCGACGTTACTGACGACCCTATCAAACTTGTTTATGACGCCATCTCGTTGCCAGAAACACAGTCTGTAGCATGGGAATTACTTGCAGAAAATGGCACCCTCGTCTTAACTCTTCCTGCATCAGTCGAGGAAAATGAACGCAAGGGGCGCAGGGTGATTCAGACTTTCGCAGGCACAGATGCCGCTCAAAATGAGGAGCTGTACAGCAGCTCCTGGGCTATGGTCGAAAAATGGCTTTCGGATGGTACTATAAAGGTTTGTTCTGCGAGTATTGTTCTGGATTTATGACTCACAAATGATGTAGCCGAACAAGTATGAAGTCCTCCCGAACGGACTTGAAGGTATTATTGGAGGACTGGAAAGGATGAAATTGGGACAGGTGTCTGGAACGAAGTTGGTCGCTCACCCTCAGGAAACACGGTAAATTAATTGTACAATACGTCCCAATTACAAGTGTGTACTGGGCAATGTCGTGAAGAGAGCTGTTGTTGGAAATTCCCAACTATAAAGGCAAGGGGCGAAGTGACATGGACGCTCGGCTTGTGGTTGGCAAGAGGTTCCAGGCACAAACCAACACCAAACACATGCATGGAACTTCGTGAAGTAAGAACAAACCGCACAAAGAAGTTAGCGACTTGCTAGGAAGCTGCCAAAACTCCTTGGACATTCCTGGCAACTCTGAACATCGACCAGTGACATGGTATTTTTATTGTTTCATTTAACCACGCCAACTCATGCTGGGCTCGGACTTATACAGGCTCGATCGCAAGCAATTCTTTCACCTGACCCTCACTTGGTTCGCTGGTTTTAACTTTCTCATCCTTGAATACATCCTTATGTGTCACAACGTACTCAGGATAGCAAATAATATCCGAAGTTCTGGATCAGTTCCAGGTACTATTTGAGAACATCATGGTACCATACGATGCGCTCGACTGATTTACGGAGGCTTGCGCACCTGGCTCATAGTACTAAACTTGGATAGTCGAGCTATTATGGGATATAACATTGGATCTTGTGACAGGTATCACCAGGTTGACCCCGAGTACTGAGTACACAAGCTTCATCCTTATTTCAAGTGTACGCCTGTTAAATGAAGAGCACATTGCAGTATTTAAGCTTTGGAGACTGCTCAATTTGCACGAAGTAATAGATATCTACCTGTCTGTTGTGTCGCTTGCATACATAATATGGCTCTTGACCATTGCGCTATGTACCTCTCGCAAAATAACATTTTTTGGTGTACCAATTTGATCAGCTAGATTTAAGAGCAGAGAAATAAGCAAGGCTCCTGAATCAGATTATTTTAGAGCAAATGCAACAACAAAGAATATTACAAAATTCGTGGAGAACACGGTACAGTATATTCATTTTTTTTCAGAGGCTTCTTACCGAGATTGCATCAACCACGCTGTGCTACGGTACGCGTTGATCGAATATTAAGGCCGCACTTTATCATTAGATCAGGTTGAGCTTTGAACCGTCGGATTTCATCTTCCCTAAACATACCTGCATCTGGATTATGACACTATGCAAACAGCTAAATGAGTCATGGCATAAACCGGGATCATATGAGTGCGGGACATATAGCTAATTGTAAAGGCATATGGTAAGTAATGACGTGCGACCATTGAACGAGATGAAAACATGCTTAGAATAAGACAAAAATTGCTATATCATAGCGGTGTAGAAAGGGTCAAATCTACCTGATGCAAGGATGCAATACAGAGCGTTTGCTTCTTCGAAGCGTGAGTGGCGCAAGGTGAAGTGCGACATTTCAGTTGAGTCTGCATCGGAAGCGGCGTCCACGATCGAGAGCTTGAGCAAAGAGGAATAGAAACGACAGAGCTGCAAAAAAGGTAAGGCGATGTGCTTCGAAGATAACGTGAAACCAACATTTTGAACTCCCTTCGCAAATCGGTCATCACTGACAAGTCCCTCGTGTTCGTCTCTCTCAGCATTATCAAGCCACTTGATGCCCTCATGAATAAAGCGTCCCAGGACTTCAGAGCGTACGATGTCTGCTATCGTAGTTTTTCCACCAGTTGAATAATCTGGAATAGTTGATGTATCACGAAGGAGACGGCCAAGGAGGTCAAATGACGGGAGCGTTGGGGGGAGTATTGTCAGGGCGTCCAAATATACAGAGATATCTTGTGCAAGGTTATTAGGAAGTGCCATCAGTAAAGCGATGACAATCTGGTAAGCTATGTTAGGATTATACGAGACGATGGGTGGTAGGTCCACGGAAGTTATCATCGTGGGAGAGGTCAGGCGGGGTATTAAAGGCGTCAAGGTCTGCGCAATGAATCGTCATAGCGAATATCAAATTTATTCATTCACAATGCTTACCCGTTGTTCTGTGAGTGTGAGTGCTCGATCACGAGCTGCGAGTACAAGTTTCATTGCTTGGACGATGCGTTCATTCTCTCGATCCGCTTCTCGTGTAATCTTGGTCTCCGTGGCCGGCGGGAGTAATGGTAGCAAATTCTTGGAAGCACCTTGCTCGGCAAATTGCTTCGGTTCTCCTGCCGTGATCGTGGATTTGGCAACAGAATGATCACTGACGAATTCGGATATAGAAAGATCGACAGGAGTGAAGTTGCTGCTTACGGGTCATTCTCCAAGAAAGTTTCTTCACCCAAAAACAGACATGAAGCTCTCAACTCCGGAGGCAGGGGTGATTTTGTCAAGGTACTAGGAGAATAGGGACCAATCTGGGCGACTGTGAGAGAAATAAAAGGTAGGACAATATCGAATTTACATCGTTACCATCCCCCTTCAGGATCTTCCAGAGAACCCAAACCAATTGCTCCCTCTCGCTGAACCCGCCCTCGGTTGAAATTTCTATGGCGAGTTCTCTCTCCTTAACGAATGTAGCGTACAAGACAGACTTGAAGGGATTGAGAGAAATCGGATAAGGAGCATACATGGAATAAAGAATAAATGAAACCGGGATGCGCTGTGCGAGCTGCCACATCGCAGCAGAATAGTTAGAGGTCAGTGGCGAGAACCTTGATTACTGTCAACAGAACTCAACTGACATCAGCGGATGAAGTAAGGAGAGGCAGTAGCAGATCAAGAGCTAACTGAAACCTCGCAGTAGGCTGCACGAGCTGCATGAATGCCTGAAAGGCTGCCGAACATGGAAGAGAATGAGCCCTAGCCAAGAGGTGAACTACAGACGCCCGAGTTGGATCCCCTGAACCTTTCTGAGTAGTAAAAGTGTGAGAGGATGTGGAGGATTTTGGGAAGAAACGCGAGCCAGCCATTGTAATGACCGGGCTGGCCCTGGAGGTCGACATGAGCGGCAGCGACGAGCTCATCCAAGTCAATTTATTGTTCCTGCCTATTAGTATTAGACTTCGTTGAGTTTCCCATTGCCGGTACGAGCACTCACGTGCGTGGCATATTATATTGTGATAGCTTTGGTTTCTGTGGCGTGTGCTGCTACACTAGGACTAGACTTAACTCTGGTCACCGGTCACCGGCCAAAATAAACGTCGTTCACATGGCACATGCAGCAGTTAGTGATTGTAGGAAAATGCTGCGCAACCGAGTGTGAAGTCGACTAGCAGCCTCTCCAAATGACTTTTATCCCCTTGAGTGCTTCCATGGCGCTCATGGGTCGCTCGGAACTTTTAGCAACCGAAGACCCCACCGAGAATCAGAGTAACAAGGTCAGTTATCATCAACTTATCACTTTCCGACGAGCTGACCATCATGTGAATCTTCGAAATTTGTTTCTATAGTCCATTCTTCAACACCTCTACTTTATCATTGCTGTCTCTGCATTGATGCTCTTGGTGGCAGCAAGGTGCGTCTGGGGATTTCACGTGAGGCGCATAGAAGATATTTACTAATCTTTGTCAAGGATATGTGTCTTGCGAAGGAGAAACCGACCTCTCACAGAATTCTTCTCCATCAGGACATCAAATTTTTACGACAACTCTCAAGCTCCTGGAGAAGACTATACATTCAGTTCTTCATATCAACCCTCTCGGATGCACCATCATCTTACTCCTCTCCCATCGGCTTATCGCCCCGATCGCAGAGTCCGCCCTGATCGCAGAGTCAATGCTGCGGATACTGATTCTGCTGGACGCAGAACTGGAGGGCCTGATGATCCAGATTGGGATGGGAAAGATATACTTCCTGCCTACAATATATATGATCGCCCTCCCAAGTACGACTTCGGAGGATCAGTGCCTCCCGCTCAAGGATATACACCACCCGCTGGGAGTCAACCACATGACGACGCAGTTGTGGCAAGCACTGGAGTCATTCCTGCTGTAGTTAATCCTTGATTTCTGTAAGGACTGGTGGTTGCTCTGATGGGGACGATTTTGTGTCGCACTACGGATGTCTACCGGCACCGCTAATATGATTTGTAATCGTTACAGTGCCGCACAGACTCTGTACTTTAGCTTTAGCTGTTGTATACTTGACTACCAGATGCCCTTTTCGTTTTCTCTGACACGATTCTGCGGGTTGTAATACATCACTGACTTCTTCTGTTCTGAACCTTGGCCGTATCATAACACCTGAAGCTTGAAGGAGTATCAGTTAGATTCATCTTGAGCTAACCCCCACCCTTGTTTCAAACCAACAGTCACTGTGCTCCGATCTCCCTCACCACTTACACATAGAACCCTTCGTAACTCCAATTTCTCGCCTCTTCCCCTTCTCTAGTCCATCCCATATAATCTGCATTCAACACCGCTGCTCGCACGAACAACGAGCCGTCAAGTTCTTCTGCCCCATCTAGTTCAGTTTCGGCAAAATATCCTTTCGGCCGGATCCCGTAAATGGTGGAGAAGTATGCGAAAGCTCGTTGGATCTTGGGGTGATGCTCACTGGGATGCATCATAGATGATTGAACGAGAGGAAGGAATGAGTTAGATGTCTCTGTTGGAATACCTTCACTGATGGGACAGCGAGGCTGTTTGGGGGGTTCGGTATCGTGGGCGTCGACTCAAAGAAGGACTTGAAATTCAGGGGGGGGCGGCCGCGTGCCACGAACCATGCAACAACACTTAAGAGGTATGCGCGAAGAAGTAGGGCTTGTGCTCGAGGAGACAAGTATACGATGAGTGAAGGGAGGAAGATACTTGAAGTGACCATATGCATCCTAGGATTTGTGAGTATCGAACATTTCTGGATTGCAATCGACGCTCACAGGAAGAAATCGGCGGGAAAACCGTTTCTCCATCCTCCGAGAGCATATATTACCGAGGAGGTCCCAATACACTCTTCCATCTTGCGTTCGATCTCTCCTGGTCTGGATGAATCCACTGTCCATTTCTGAACGTGATCGCGGATTCTGCAACCGTGAGCCACAAGTGTATCAGGATATTGCCCAGTTTAATGTCATGGACCTTTCGACGCAAGGCTGGGGTCCTTGAGAACTCGAGCAAGGATTGAGAAAGAGTGAGTATCTTGTCCACTTGGTGCCTTGAGAGGCATCGCAGACGACTGGTCATCGAGTACCGACGACGCAAAATTGTTCATCATAGCGCCGATGTCATCGCTAGGCCGGGCGACGAACATAGACGACGGAAGGAAATCCGGATAACGAACCTCGTGTATTGCCGCCATCGAAAGCCCTAACCCATTGGTTCACCTGATGTAAGTGATGTCTTCTATTCCTTTGCACCAACGTGTGACTTACCCTCAGCAAGCGTGCCTTTTAAACCAAATTCGACGCCATGTCCACAATGAATCAATGGATGCATGACTGCATCTACGAATCGGCACAACACCTCCGGGTGGCTTTTCGCGTCTCTTCCAGGCTGGAAGTTATACTTCTCGGAAAAAATGAATTCATCCAAAGTTGCAGAGGCGGCCTTCTCTTCGATGGCCTTAGCAAAGGAAGTGGTATATGCTTCATAGTAGCTGTCGATTCCGAATATTAAAAATATGAAGGTCAGGGTATGTGGGGCAAGTATTTGCTCACTTTTCATCACCGAGATGGTCAACAAAATTCTGCGATGTGATTGGGTGGGGTGATACAAAGGCATCTCTCTGAATTTTGATGTCCCGCTTGTAGAATCCTTCCATCACGGGGCCGCTCCCTCCTAACGCGTATATCGTATATCGCAAGCGCTGGATGAGTAACGTGGCTAGGATATCCCGTGAACCATCGCATGGTGTAGTTTTTCCATCACTCACTTGTGAAACTTGATGTAATTCCTAAAGATGTGATATCGAGTGTAGTTGTCGATCAATACGTGCGGCACCGCGGTCAATGATTTGAAGTTGAATCCTGGCCACCTCTGTGGACAAAGTACTGTCGGTGGAGGAGATGGAGTTGGGAAGAGTCTTTCTGCTTTCTCGTCGTAAACCTTTTCGTTCATTGTTTTGTTGGGAGTTGACTGATCGACGATAAGGACGTAGGTTGTTCACTTCTTGGAAGACTCTTCTATGTAATTAGCCCAGGATCTCAACGATAGTTTATTAATATCGCACCTTCGCCTTCAGAAGCTTCAGCTAGAACGCGCACCAAATGAAGCGGGCCAACATCTTTGGTTAAGTGGATGTGTCTCGTCCTTCAAGCTTCAAGCTTCAATGTTATACGTCGCCGTGTACACGGGAGGTTTACCTGAGGCTGCGTAGTCAAACCACGGAAAAGGCAGACAGTCATTCCTTCTATTAGAGCGGGAATCGTGGCAAGTTGTTCAATTTCAGACACTTGTCTCGTTAACAACTTGAAAGTTTGCATGTTGCAGCATCTCGGCAAGCACTCTAGTACCACTTGGAAGTCCGAGTCGGAAAGCGCCCCTTGCTTTGTTCCCATCAAAAACATGCTCCTAGTACTAATGCTAAAGCGCTAAGAATTTGTGGCTACGTGTCGGAGACAAATGTGGTAATAAGTCCCAAATTTGGACGATTCGGTCCACAAAATGAACAAATTGTGGTGCTTGTGGTCACGACGATGAGTTGCTATATAACATGGGGCGGAGATTCCTTCGTACCAATATTCATACCACAAATCTCGAGCCTACTACACCAAAGCGCTGCCATATGGATAACTTCATCACTCTGCTCGATTTGGAGCCGTCGCCCTTCGCTGGGTCATCACATACTACATCACAGCCCAATTGGGGTGACCCATCACAACTCGAAATGCAGTATATCGAACCTTCCGACTCACTACTAGTTGATCAAGACAACCCCACCAATTACTTTTCCAACATGTGTGTCATTTTATAACGTTTTCGGCTTGCGGCCAGCGGTCACTCTGAAGGTCAGCGTGAGGTATCTCCGTTTAACATCTCTCTTTCGATGGACGTCTCCTTAACCAGTTCTTATGAACAACTTGTACTATATATCGTATGCGCTGGTTTAGCGGCTATTAGGACTAGAGGCTAGCCCTCGCATCATTTATTTTACTGGCCCTGGCAGGACTCGGACGTTTAACTGCGATATACTTCAAGTCATCTATAGCACAGTGCTATATCCCTCCTTCGACGCTCCCTCGACTCACATTTGACTGCTATATACTCATCTATAGCACAGTGCTTAATTATGTGACTATACCCCTCCTTCGAAGCTCGTTCTCTTCGTTTTCGTGTTTACCTGCGACATTAGCACGGTACTTAATTTGCCTACACCCCTTCTTCGATGCTCGTTGCCTTCGCTGGTTTCTTCATCACGCGTGTACCTGTGATGTTTCTACCTATAGCATAGTGCTTAATTCTGTGACTATACCGCTTGGTGGACTCGCTGCTTGTGCAGTTTTACATATTTTTGTTCGTGTACCCCAACTACTTTCCTAGTAGTACTTATTCATTCGTCTTTCTTGAATCCTTGCTTACTACCTGCTAATTGTAGTTCTAGCTGCCGTTGTTCTTACTTACCTTGTAACCACTTCTCTCTGTCATTTGACTCATATTCTGCTGTGGTTATAACTGTTACTGGGTTCTTCCTTACGCTGTCTCTGCCTTTTGCATTGTTGTAATTTGGCTCATGTCGCGTCCTGGGCCTCGTCATTCTTGAGTCAATGTATATCTTCCACTTTTCAGTAAAGTCGAGCTCGGGTACCTACAATTAGATGCTCACAACCGTTCAGGGCGAGTCGCTATGTATGTGCACAGAATTGACTGTCAGAGATGCATTGGTATTATTGCATAGTTAATGACAGCATACGATCGTCATATTGAATGTATATACGCGCAACGCAGCATTTCTAGATAAATACCCAGCAGATGTACATGACTAGACTCGTGACTATGTAGTTCTCACCATGCGGCCCGCTTGCCTCGTAGCAAGGACTCGTCACAAGTCTAGTACATGACATAACTTAGAGGGTGAATTGGAATCTCACCCACAGCTATTTGCTCGAAGGTGTCGCGTACGTAGATGTAAAGTGACCGTGATGATTAAGGAGTGTAAATGACTACGAAATGAGTCGAGTCGTCTGTATGTATGTCAACATACGTGCAAGACGAAAAAAATAGTGCCAGGACTTGTGAAAAGTCGACGAAGATAAGAGGAAAGGTTGGGAAGGTTGGGTGCAGAAAAAGGAAGCCACGAGAGAAGAGCGAAATTGGGGTAATAGTGGCCACGAAGCATCTGTGAACGAATGACAAACGAAGCAAATAAAGCAAAGCCTCGGAAAGTAAATAGATAGATCCCATTCATCTCTTGCGAACGAAGCATGAATTAAAGTCATAAGCTGTACGTCGATTCTATCAGCCTGACGAACGAGCGAAAATGAAGGCGAGCCGCGAGCGTACATGTAACATCACAGATCGTTTTCGAAACAGTCTGAGAGTCTGGCTTGGCTGGAAAGACGTAGCGCCTCTCTCACCTCACGAGGATATTGTGTACTTCTCTGGTGTGTTGTCGTCTTCCAATGTGTGACACGGTGCGAACCCGCTGATTTTGTAGATTCATATTAATAATTCGCCTGTTTGTCGACAGCGTGTCCTATAGAGAGCCTGCACGTGTCGGCGAGTCGTGAGCAAAACTGACATAACCTACGGACGTTTCCGTTCAAATCGTCCATTGAATCATCTTAGTCTCAGGCTATTAGAAGAAACGACCACCACTCCTTCATCTAATGATATCGAATCTACTAATAGGAGAGATCATCCATTTCATACTATAATATTGACTGTTCCGTTTTGCAAATAGTTGGTCCGGAAAACGTCCCACTTGCAGTAAGCTACCATTTTCTTTCCTCGATGAGCTGGCGAAAATCTCACTATGCACATGTAGTATCTGAGAACGCCCACTGGTTGTTAGCATCTGCAGCGCAATCAATATCATTCATCATTCTTCGACTCGAGACTTACAAGCACCATAGGTCCCGAAGCGCCGTGTACGTTTGTATGATCAACTATTGCAACATCTCCACGGGACCCGAGTATCATTCATGTGCCGGTGCGATCTTCTATGTCTTCACTTGGCCGATGAATTATCCTGGTGAGGTTCTTGCAGCTATATGCGGAACCTCGCTTCACCGGCTAGTGTCACATTATCGTTCGTGTTCGATACTCTTCAGGCGTGTGGTACTTGACTTTGTTCTCACAAGCAAGGGTGGTATCTGCATGTACACAGTGCTTGCGTTCCTGAACAGTTATCACCTGAAGCCTGGCCTGGCTGGTTCCTCGCCAGTTCACTGATGGACCGACAGCTCGGAGCCGCCCGGTCTCTTGAATAATGAGCACATTTTCAACCCTGAAGGGGAGTCGACCGCTATCATCGACTCCTGTTTGATTCGACCAAGCATTGCCCTCGATCATTGTTTTTGTTCAAGGTCCTGTTATGTTACTTTGGCTATTTCATTACAAACAATGTTCTACTGTCGACAGACGGCGTTCAATATTCAATCATATCTGCCTTCCGGCAAACATTTAATACCGATGGCATCGCTATTATTCAAATCGGCCGCATCGCTGGTTGAAAAGGAACTTTCTTTATCTTTCGAAATTAGTTCGTTCAAGTATGATCGCGTGTTTCGAACTTGCATTTATTTGCACACTAACCAGTACTAGGGGTATGTGGACAGACTTACGTATATGAGACATCGCCGGCATGATGGCAGCTGGGCTGTTGAGGGACAGCGTCCGCCACGGCATTTAATGCCCTTCTGACGTTATGCCCAAGATCAAGGCCATCACATCATTGTCTTGATGCAGGTGTCACACTTTTGATCTACAGTATGCAGACTGCCCTAGTCGGAGACCTTCATTCCTCTATTCCATTGCGTGATTAGTACGTCAGTTTTTGGGTCGGAGGGTCTATTAGCCGCGACATTCATTGTCCTCCATATAGATTAGATCATCGTTCCAATCCACATGCAGAACATGCTATTCAAATTCGATCCTATGGGCGCTGCGCAGCAGGTCCGACCGGTATGTTCCACTCCATTCTCTATCAATTACCACATGACATCTGTCTTCCAGTGCCTACGCAAGTCTCCGCATTGACTGTGCTAATCACCTATGACAGTCGCCGATCAGCTCCGCGCAAGGCGGCTTTGTCTGCGCGCCTGTCGTATGTATATAAATGCAGCTGGTCAAACCTGATTTGTTACCGCTCTCTGACCTACTCTAACAATGAGCTCTGTTGAATACCACTATCCCGTGATCGGCCGCAAAGGCACTGGAGGCATATTTGATCGCTTGCCTATCCAGACGCTGGAGAAGGACCATCCCTACCAATTTGCATTATTCATCCTTGCTTTCAATGCGATCCAGCAGCGTCCCGATGCTCCCCAAGTTGTAGAAGAGCCTGCAGCCACCTTCATGGAAATTGCGTCAATTCACGGCAAGCCCTATGTCGAATGGGCTGGTGACCGCAACAAGGATATTTCAGCTGACTATAGCGCCAACGACAAGAAAGATACCAATCCCGTTCCTTCCAGATTTGGAGGTATGGCCATCGTTTCCCCTGTTGTTCTCTATAGCCTGACAATATTGTGTGACAGGTTATTGCAAGTAAGTTGATATACCTCCTCTCTCTCTGTTGATTTGAAACCTTTCTTCAGCCATGGTGCTGTTGTGTTTCCCACCTGGCACCGCCCATATGTTATGCTTATTGAGGTATGTTCAATACACGATCATGCCTGACGCGCTATTCAATTCAGTTCTATTGGATTCCAGCAATCGATCGGAAACATTGCTGAAAAATTGGCCCAAGACATTGAAGCTAATAACCCGCATGAAAATGGAGTATGGATCAAAGCTGCAAAGGAACTGCGTTTTCCGTGCGTGATAAATCATTCCTGACACTGTTACAGCCATCTATATTACGCGCAGATACTGGGACTGGGCCGGTAAGGATGTACCCGAGAATGGCCTTCCTCCTGTTCTGTACGAAGAAAAAGTCGAAATTATGGCTATTGGTGGTAAAAAACAAATCGTCCATAATCCACTCTCATATTTCTCGTATGTCGGTGGAGTCCCATCCGACTTTAGCGATGAGAAGGATGACTCGGTAATGTTACCTTTTCCTTTCCAGATCACTGAACTTGCTCAAATTTAGTATGTAGACAGGACAAGTGGCGTATTTCTCCAAGTGGCAGAGGACATACCGCTACGCTTCTAGTACCCCGGACCCTGAAGGCAGTCGTACAGACTTGTTGCAGAAGTGAGAATCTATGGGGAAATGTTGCGCGAGGCTGGTGCTAACTTTGCATTTGTAAGGACATTCAAAGCCGGGGCAAACGATCTGAGACGCAGAGTCGCTCAACTCTTCACGTTCAATGATGATGAAAATTCTGCGATAGCGTACGTTTTAGTTTCTGCCAGTATCATGAATGTATTGACAAATATGCTGAAAGCTGGGATGACTTCTCTAATCATACCGCGGAATCGAAGCGAGATATAGACTTCATCAACCGTGGGTCGCTTGAAGGCGTGCACGACACTGTTCATATATTACTTGTGGGTGGAATACACTTGTTCCAACTTTAAAGTATGCTTACTCCAGCGATGAGTTAGGGCGGGAATGGACAAATGGTTAGTTGCTTGCGTGTGAATGAAGCTTGTTGATCTATATTAACCAAATTTGCAGGCTTACCCAGACTATGTGAGTAATTCCTTCTGACCCTCTGCGATGATTTTGGCGCTCATCTTGACATAGGCCGGTTTTGATCCTATCTTTTTCCGTACGTGAATAGGTGCAAATTACCCGTCTGCATTACTTACGTGGTTTCTTTTTCTTTCAGTTCACCATTCGAATGTGGACAGACTATGTATGATTTTGTTCAAGGGTGTTATCTTGTTATTGAATCCCCTTAAGTCGCTCTGTGGGAGTGGTGCTACACCGAATATTGGATGGGGAGCGGATATGAACAGGATGGGGAGCAATACCCTTGGACACAGGTATGGGTTGGACGATGTTCTCGCACAGATACTCAATAGTTGTATTTTAGGCACGTGGCACGTACGCGCAAGTTTACAACGAACAACTCCTTCCAGACGGGGCGCTCCAACCATTCCGAACAGGACAAAGAGACTACTGGACCTCTTCTCAGGCCCGATTTTTGCACAAACAAAGCTACCCCAAGTGTACGTAGTGATCTTATCTATTGGATGACATAAGTTTACGTTGAACAGATTACTCGTTTCCCGAGTTTGAGGGAATCAAGGTCGATCAAGCGGCCGTGTCATCCCAAGAGCGTGCCTCGGCGCGCAAAAGGGTGCAAGCTTACTATGATTTTGATCCGCAAACCAAGGCGAAACAGGTGACCTCGCAGGCTTGGAAGCACTTACCTGTTCCAAACAAGGAAGATCCTGCCGTGCCAAGTGATCATACCGTTATTCCTCACTACCGCACATTTGGTGTGTATGTGAAACTTCCGGAGCATGCATACAACCGCTCCTACTCATTCCAGCTTCACCATAAAGGGAATGCTCATTCGAGTCCGCAGCTCGTAGGTACCATTACAGTCTTTGCAAGGCCAGATCATTCTCCTTGTAAAGCATGTGCTGTGCGTCGTGAGGCAGGATCCATAGTTCGCGGGCTGATTCCCATTCCTCCCGAATTGATCGAGAGCATCATTAGATCCAACGGAGGCGGAGAATCAGGGGTTTCGTTCGACCAGACCCTCGCTCACATCAAAGGGGAGTTCGTTGGAAGGCTTGTGGATGCTACTGGCTCAGAGCTTGCCGGAGCTGAGGGAGGGCTAGAGGTGACCCAGATACCACAACACCGTGCCGCTGCTCGTAGAGTTACTCCCGTAGAAATTTCTCTGGTGTCGGCTGCTGTTGCTGAGCACGTAGAGGACAAGAATCGTCCTGTCTACCTATGTGACTGGCAGCACCATAACAGTATCTTTAACGTGAGTTTGTTGTTCTTTATTCTGGCAATTCGCTGAATATGACTTTTGGCAGGGTGGATGGCTGGCGACTCACAAGGATTCGGAGTGATGCAACGCGCTTGGTTGAGTTAACTTGGCCAAATTCACTACAATGACAATGTATTTTATCCATGTACAGTACGTGGTATGCTGCGATTATTTATTAGGGTTGAAAGTACTAGGCTGAGGCCATAAAGTAAAGAGAAATGTGCAAAATGCACGCTGAATCTTCAACGCAAGATCATCTAGTTGCAACATTGCGGACTGAATAAGGTCAAGGAATGGTTTGTTCCCTGGCGAAAGAGATGAGGTAGCATCGAGGAAACCTCGAATGTCCGGCCGAGGGTAGCCGCATGCGATCCAGCAAGCGAAAGTCAGATTGTGAGTAAGACAACACAGATAGAAGGAAGAGACTTGAGGTGACGAGATGCAAGCTTGAACGTCCTAACATTTCATTTAGTTTGTTCGCAGATGGTCGCATCGGCGTTACTTACAAGAAGTCTGCTATGAAACCTTGGTGTTTTCCCCATCTGCAAGTAGAGTAGAGGATGGTGTTGGTCTGAATGCGTTATTCCGTATTGCGTTCAATTTCACCTGGCTGTGACAAATTGATTGTCAATCACTCAGCGTAGCACATATCAGCATCTTACTCCAACAGGCTACAGCAGGCCGTTATATACATACCATTGCTTCCTCATCGTAAATTCTGAATGCATGAGCTTTTCGCGAGAATGGAGAGAGGGTACAATACTTGATAGATATCGATGTATTGAGGGAAAGCGAGGCGAGCCTAGTTGTTACCTCTACTGCACTCGTGCCACCAGACCTGAATAGGAAAGGGGGAAGGGTCTCTCTGATTAACGTTCAAGTTATTCATGCACGCAGTACTTTCGAGAACCTCTAATTAGGGATCTGTTGCGATAGTTTGTCGCACCTTTGACACCTTCAGCAGCAGAATGTCAGTGACCGTCTGGGCCAAGAGTACAAGCCAAAGTGTGGGACACGAAGGCAGCCAACGCCACTCTCAGCTGTGTTTACATAAACCACGCTCACTGTTTCAGCGGCCATGCCAATCGATCATGCCAAAGCGCCCGCTGCTGCCGCCTAACATCCCGTTGACTTCTCCTTCCTGCTCATCTCCTTGCCACCACGTCAAAGAGAAAGTCAGTTATTGAGGGTGCAGTACATCAGGAAAGGCGGGCTCGGTGTGTCGCTGCATGGCAGCAAAAAGGCTCCCAACATCCATGGAGGTAAGTCCCTGGCGCTGTAGCAGACAGTGAGCAATGAGAGGACACAGCAACTTTCATACTCCGCTTGGAGGTGCCGATTATGGGCCTGTCGTGTTCCGGACTTTGTCCGGAGATGCCCTCTTCAGCAACTACTTGCCCAGGATTCCGAGTCCAAATGATTTCTGTCGCGCGTCACACATAAATTACTCGAGGTGGACCCCCCCAACAACTTTGGCTAAGTGGATGCGTCTCGTCCTTCAATGTTGTACACATCCGTGTACACGGAAAGTTTACTTGTATAGTCAAATCACATAGAAGAAAGACAGTCGTTCCTTCCATTAAAGCAGGAATCGAGCGTACTACGCTATTGATGGCGCCAAAATATGCAGACTCACCGAATCGTATGTACAGTTGTTCAATTGCAACTGAGACGCCTGTCGTTAGCAGAAAGTCTGCATTGCAGCATCTCGACAAACACTCTAGTGCCACTCGGAAGTCGGAAAGTGCTTCTTGCCTTGTCTCCATCAAAAACGTGCTTCAGGCAAACCCCGATGTGATTCGCTTGTTCGGTCCACATTGCACAACATCACATTTGATGTCCTAGACGACGCTTGATTCGCATACACTCTCAGCCGGACGAGGCCGGAGCCTTAAATCCATACACAATGCAGAAGAATTGTGTCCACAGATATTTGTCCACAGCCGCAGTGAGTGGAGATCACAGAATAAATGGAGAGGCCTCAATATGCGTGCATTTTTCATCCTTCCAACCCTGCTCAACTTGCCTCGTATATCTCTCCATCTGCATCCCCAGCAGAGGGGTTTGTATTTATTACACAATCCTCATCGCTCTTGTCGCCTCTACTTGATCACTGATCCATATTTCGCTTACGCCCAGCTCACTTTCCAGCGGTCGAGTTTATCTTGGAGTTTTTGGTATCACCATGAAGCCCTTCTCATCCCCGAAGGCATCCTCCCGCCCCGTGCTTAGGATTACTATTCCGACAGTTAAAAAAACATCTTCATGGCGCTCCATGGCACTAGTATTGCAATCTTCGAGAGTCCCTGCGTTTTCGTGGAGACGATTGCTTCGTCCCTCACGAAAGAACAAGTCCTGTGATGGCGAAACACATCTCACCGAAGGTCTTACCTCACCGTCTGAGACACTTGTCGGGTCTCCGATCCAGGAGAAATTGACTAGTCCGAAAGTGAGTATTACTCTTATATTATAACTGATAGTTTTCTAATTCGTTCTGCACAGCTGGTCCGTTTCGCTGACTCGCCAACGTACTTCCGCACCAGGCGCCGAATCAAACCTCACAGGTCCCCCACTCCAAAGGGGGCATTGCGCTCCTGTCTTGTCATAAATGTTTGTGTACTATTCAACATTGTTTCTCACATCAATTGACGTCACTACTTCCAGAATACCGACCCCTTCAGAGAGTTGCTTTCGGATGATGACGACGACCATTCCGTATATGAAGATTGCCTTACATCCTACCCTGGCTTCTTCAGGGATATGGAGGATCTTCTAGAGCGCGAACATTTCGAGCAGATAGAACTTGAAAAGTCTCGCTCTCCTTCCTGGGAGCTCACTGAATTTGGCTGCACGAAGATGGACCCGCAAGATTATTTGAGCTTCTGCTTGGCTACGCAAGCAGAGAAAAAATTACGACAAGACATCGAAGGGTGTAGGAAGGTCGTCTACGACCATCCGATGACGTTACGCTGGCCTAGCCGGGAGGTTACTGAGCGACCAGTTCAGGAACCTCCAGTCATTCCGATGACACCCCCACGACTTTTCGTTCCAGAGCCCACACCGGTAACTCTCAGTTGGCATGAGCAGATTGCATGTGATGTCACTGATATGCTGATTTCGCTATGCATTGGGCTTACCATCTACATGTGCATTTATATTTGGGGCATCTATTGTTTCTTTAGTGGCGTTTTTCTGGATGAAGAGTAGCTGCCATTGGTATCCAGGGGATCGAGAAGTCTAGTATCTAGTGTTTAGCACCTTGCTATTGCGATGTACTATTGTGTAAATTAATACTTGTTATGCTCGGTCGGTCGCCAGTTGTTTGTTTGTACCTATTGAAATCACAAGGTGCTGCCTTCCTTATTCGATACATAGATTTCTATTTAGTTATCGCAGTGTACCTACCTGTATGATGACCGCCCATATCAGTCTGCCCGTGTAACATGTCAGAAACAAATTCTCCATCAACCTCCGAACCATTGCGCGCTCGCGGCAGGGGTCGTGGAAAGTCCCGTGGTGGGCTAGGAAAGTACCTCCGCGCACGAGGCCGTGGTCGAGGTGGTCGTCCAGCAGAATTCCACCAGCGCCTAGTGCTAGAGGGCGAAGAAGTGGTCGATCTCGAACCTGATTCGGAAGAGGCGAAAGAGTTGCAAAAGAAGTACTCACGGCGGCAAGTTGGATCCAATGCCGATCGTTATGTAGAGCTCGAGCCTGAGTTGGATTCTGACGGTGAGTGATCAGTGAATGATGTGTTGAGCTTATGTTCAACACTGTGTAGGAGAGGAGGTTCGTGAGCCGGAAGTAGACCTGTCATCATTTCTTGCGAGACAACGGTTATCGGACGTGTCGGAGACGACTGTGGTCGCGGTGCCTCAAGTCGATGATGACGATATCGACCATGAACTCGCACATATCTCGTCTCACCGTATCCAACCTCCAACGTCTCAGAAGGGACGCGTACAGGTCATTGAATGGGATTCAGAACTTGAAGAAATGAATCGTGAAAAGGCCGCTGCAGATGCAAGTCGAGGTGACTTCAATTAATCATAGCCGGTGTGTAGAAGATTGATTATAGTCCATAGATCTGAAAACACGATTCCGTGCAAAGTCGGAGAAGCTCAAAGCAAAACCTTTATTTGTACGTGATAGAAAACAAGGTAGTGTTTTCTCGTCACACTGCACTGAAATTCATTGACACTCCGGCCAGATGACAACTACGCTGAGGCACCAGCCCTTCCCACTGATGCACCAAAGGCACCCAAAGTAGAAATGGAAAATTTTCTTGATGAGTTGCTTGGCTGATGATCTTACACTCTAAAAACGCATTACGTTGGGGAATGTGCCTGAAGGCGCCTTTTTTACTGCGACCTAACTATCACAACATAGGAAGATCGACATCCTTCTCTACGGCTCTCAGCCAAATATTATGCAGAGTTCACAAAGATTGGAGAAAGGTTATAGTTCTCGCAATGCTGGCCTATCTTTGTAGTTTATTAGCCAGGCGTCCATCCCATCTCAAAATATTGGTCTCGTGATCTCGAAAATTCACAGCAAGTGTACACCAATCCTGGCCATCAACGTTCTGACCGCCGAAGACGTCAGGTAGAAATAGTAGGAAGTATGAATATTCAAGTGGGTGAACAGTGAGCGTGTGCGACATGGTACAACAGGGGTACTCGTAGTAATTTATATGTAAGGACAGTGTGATTATGTAACGTGCTATGAAATATGTACATGAATGCGAAATAGAACTTGATATAATGTTAAGGAGCGTGACAAAGGGGTTACACGAGGGCACAGGCGAGAATATCCTCTTGTGACCAGTAGGCTCTGGTTGATCTATAACGTCAGCGCCCAAGCGCTCGCGACGCTGATCTATCACTGCGAAGAGGCAACACAATCGGCGGGCTCCAAGGCCTGACATAAGGATATGAAGGCTTAGGACCAGCCCCAACAATGGTTGATGTAGTCAAGGCACGTGGATGAGGGCTGCTGAGATGACTGCGATGGGATGAGCGTTCCCAGGGTATGAGACAGTCAGGCATTTCTAAAAGGCCAGCCAGCCTCAATGTCGGGAGTGTACTTGGAAGGAGGAATATAAGATGCATTCGGGAAAGTGACCTTGTAGGGTCTAGACGGAATTGTGGTAGAGCGTGACATCCCGTTGTCGGCAAGAGGCACCAAGGGAATAGGTGCAATTTTTGGACCACGATGCCTGGAACAGATGTTAGCAAATGAAATTCTGGGCATGAAACAAGAACATGCCTGGCGCTTGGCAGATTTGATCCATGAAAGCTAACATCCTTGTTCGACTGTCTTAGGACGTGTTTTCGGAAAGCTTTGATGATCTTGCCGTACTCCTTCCTCGCGTCCTCGGTGAAGCCAAAGAACAAAAAGAATATGTATGCACTGGCAGGCATCGCCCACCACAACAAGAACATGCTTCTAATGAATGAAGGCGACAGTTCGATGAACGCAAAGAGGTCGACGCGGAGCCAATCAGAGTGAACGTTCTGCCAGCTGATCCAAGGTCGCAAGCCCGAATGAATGTTGTTGTAGAGGTTGAAGGCTGTCAAACTAGTCCCCCACACAATTTCTGTAACAGCCATGGCCATAAGGCGAAGATAACGGTGTGTTGTGAGGATTGAGTTGGCATTCTGTAAATGTGCTGCAAAATTCATGCGTCTACAAGCAAAGTTATACAGCGCGAGAGCTGAACAGTGGAATTGACATCAACAACATTGTACACCGATGCGCTGCCAAAACAACTGACCTGCGTACATAAGCGTAGCCGTTGCCAAAACTAGGGGCGGCAACAAAACAATTATGATGCCCTCGACGGAAAAGTATGTTGCAGGTTGGCAGCCAAAGTTCTCAACGATGTCATACCGGTGACCTTGCACAATATAGTCTGTGGTTCCATGAGTTGTGAGTTTAATCGCGCAAAAAATACTACCAAGAAACTTACGCAAGGCCATAAAAATCAAAGGAATTCCAAAGCATATCACTGCGTCGAAGATCATGCGACGCCGTTTATCATCGTGATCGAGGCGTGCTACACGTTTTGACGACACGAATGCAAGATGTTTACAAACACACATAGTCGCCAAAGGCAGTGCGGTGTTTGCACCGATAATGAGCTTGGTAGCTAGATGTATGTCAGTTTGTTGGCTCAGCATGAGCAGTGAATTTTGCAGCTCACTGATATCGCACCAAAGTGGAGCGGGGTTGTTGACATTTGCATCCCATACAATGGTATTAATGGCATAGATGATGTTCACAATAAATAACCATGCTATGATGGACAGGGTCCCGATGTTACGAGCCTGCCAATGCCAAGGCAAAGGAACAAGGACCAGAGCGGCGGCAAGGAAGGCGCCTGCAGGAAGTGACGGATATTGCATTCGAATCAGAATCTTTGAAGAGAATTATAGGCAGGCGGGTGCGAGATTCCATTGCAAAAGGCCTTTGGTTTTAAGATTTTAAGGACAAAGGAAAACTATCGTGGACTGTGAATTGCTTACGTTATAATGGACAATGACTTATCAACTCCGCGGCAGTGTGGGCGGCACCACTGTCCCCACTGAATATTATTATGTAATGGGCATACATGTATAGGGAGTGTAATTATGACCCTCAATCTCAGGCTGCACGCCTCATCCAGCATAAATTATGTTCGAACATGCTATCGTAGTTCAGCAAGACAATTGCTGCTTCTTGAGACAAAATTTATAGTACTATTGCAGCCACAGCCTGACACATTCACACAAAGTTGCTCGACGAACACGAAAGAGGCTGGAATTGGCGCAGACATACGTACTAGTAAATTGTTAAGAGGACAGAGTATACAACAGTCAGCAGTAAGGTATTGTGCAGCACGGATCAGAACTGAACTACGTATACAACAGTAGAACGAAAGTGGTGACGAAAGAGTGGACAGCATATGAGCCGGGGTTTGGTAACGATAGATGAAAAGTTAAGTAGCTTTGGGTGTTGAATGACTGCCATAGAACCCTTCAGCGTTGGAAGAGGGCAACAAACGAAAGCAGCAAATTTACATTGTTACATAGGCAACGCCATGACGATAATCGACATCAAACGATGACACAAAATCCACCCGCTAATAATGGGGAACTTTCATGGTCGACGGGCAGCCCGTCATAATCCTCTGGATGATTTTCATTCTCCAGGCTTGTCATTAGATGAAATTGCTCGACGATGGATAGGAAAGTGTCCATAGCATGAATAAAGCAAGAGGGTTGTTTGAAGAGCGAAGTTAGGAGTCAACGAGTCAACGGCGGTGGGTTCAAGGGTTTGCAGAGGTTATCAGCTGACGAGGAAATTGGAATACAATTAACGTCCACACTGGTAGTTGTGACTTTTAAAGGCCTTAGGAATAAAAGTATAATGGAGTTGTGTTTTGCCATTGTTTAATAATAGAACATAGTTTATTAATTAAACTTAGGTTAAGGTTTAGTATTATTATTATGACCACTAGTGGCTATCAGATAGCGGAACCAAATCAAAAACCGTGTCGACTTGCATCAATATCATGACCGTGATGTGTGGACACGTTATGTTATAATCGTAGGGCCCTCATGCGGCGACAGAGCCCTCTACCATAATATTCATGATACACCTCTGCGCAGCCTGCCGTTATCCGCTCCATGAATAGATTGTTCGTGCCCCAGGAATAGCGCCTAAAACTGAAAAACTAATGTGCACGACATGTACTACTGGTGAAGAGGATCGCAACGGTGTGGATCGCCCAATTTTAGCATAATGAGCACGTTGGCTTGGTCTCGTTCCTCGCCCAGCCGACATGCTCGCCACGACGAGAACCAGCAAGTCCGATTTTCGATGCGGGTAACAATTCTACACGAAACTGGCATCATGCAATCTGGAAGAAGTTGCTAATCCTTATGCCACGTCACTTAGAAATAGCGAAAATCTGCATTGATACCTGGAGCGAACTCTTGACATCCATTTTATCGTTGCAAGTTCGTTCAAGTCATTGCGCAAATGTGCCAATGTGTATAGAATAGGCTTTGCCTCGATCAGGTGAATTTGCTTTGTGGCGGACACGGCAACTGAAGCTAAGTGGTCGCGCGTCATACCAAATGACCAATAGTCCAATACGCCATCAGCCCAGTCCCCGACTCTCAGGGTATGTCCAAACCGGGAGTCAGCCCGCGCCAACAGACAGGAAGGATACAAAATGATGCTGATAACTCAGTGATTGATGAACGAGAACACATACATAGCATAGAGCGAGAACAGTACTTACTTACTGAGTCAGTTAGCAGTTAGGGAACAGACAAGCGCGCGACACTGCACCACGTCGGGAGGATAAATGACTAACAAAGGGACGATTAGAGGCGTGCGAGGCTATCTTTCGCACTGTTTAAATGCCATCTGCAAAGAAAGGTCAAGCGAAGGCCACTACCTGAGACATTTCAGGCCTCGGATTCCGAAAGTTTTGGTGGGGTGAAGTGAAACTAATTTCGAGCCAGACCTTTGGGAAGCAGATCCAGATTGAAAACAACACCTCTAGCGCTTCGTGACTCAATACGAATCGGACGTATTCCCCAAAGGGGACCTTAGACGTTCTAGTTCGAGATGAAGACGGAACTTGAGAATTTCCTTGGCCAATATCTTCCCAGACAAAGGTATGGATGGACTTCATGAGAGACGAGGGAGGTGGGTGAGTGGTGGCGTAAGGCCACTTTTTGAATCGTGAATCGATCAGAATGCAGTGGCAAAAATGAGTAGTTTGATGGACAAACCAAATTGCAAAAGATCGGTTCTAACGTAATGAGATTATCCTTGGTGGGTGGTGGTAGACGCAAGGCCACAATGTGGAGCCATCGAGGACTCTGCCAATCAGTGGAAGTTTTCTGTTCGTCTAGTGAATGTTGCCAAGATAATGCCAACGGACTGTTGTGTTTGCGTCCTTTGACGACATAAAGGGGGAATGAGGTTGCTGATGGAAGTATCGCAGGCACACGAGGAGCGCGATTAAATCTGTAGCACATTTATCAGTAAAGTGTTTTTTTCTCACGACAAGCCACGTACTCATTCGAGTTCATACGCTGTTGCAGCCTTGCTGGGTAGAATCCGAATATCTTTGCTACCCACCAAAATGCTATGCTGTAGTTCTTCCGCGCTTCTGCGGCAAACCCAAAGAAAGCGAAAAATGTGAACGCACAGAAGACTATAAGCCACCGCGTGAGCTGGATGGCAACAACCAGGAGGTAGTTCGTTGTCCACAGAACAGACGGGTATTGCATGACACGCGAAAAGTCGCAGTGAACATTTTCCCAGCTGATCCAGGGCTCTACAGGATGTACTGCCGAGTTGAGCCATATTATAAAAGACGCGAGGGGGATGGTGCACAATATTTCCGTCATTGCGAGTGCCATGAGACGGAAGTAGCGACTAGCGCTGAGAGACTTGTTGGATTTCAAAAAAACGGGTGAATTGTGCACGGCGAAGGTAAAAAGCCTTTAATGAAAGACCTGCGGGCGGTAAGAACGCGGACAACAAACCACCAAGAAGAGGCGTACCACAATAGACCGAAGATACAAGGCCAATAATTATAGGCCAGCTATCGGACAAGAAAAACGCTGGTAGCAGCCGATGTCTTCGTAAATATAAAAGCGATGGCCCTGTACGACATATTCTGTAAAAGGATCAGTGGGATGCGTGTTGTGGATGAAAGCAGTGCACTCACGGAGCGCAACGACTATCATAGGAAAGAGCACGCAAATTAGGGTGTCAATAAGAATGGCTCGTCGTTTCTAAAAGAAGATAAACAAAGGAACTGAGACTCCGTTGATATTGACCCATACCGCTTCATCTGTGAATGCGACCGCATGAGTTTTCGCGATGTTGTATAATCTGCGATTGATGCATAGTGACGCGGCAGGAATGCCCACTGGAGCACCGAGCATGATTCGAATGGCTGCACAGAGTTTCAGGAAACAAGTAGCGGAAACATAACATAACATCACTTACAAATGTCGCACCAGATGGGTGCCCAGTTGATGGCATTGTTATGCCAAACGATGGAGTTGATGAACTGGTTGAGGCAAGAGAGTGCCGCCCAAATCATGTAATAGCATGTTCCCGAATTCCATGCTTGTAGATGCCATGGAAGAGGCCATCAGGAAAATGCCAACTTACTTAATCAGCCTTTTTGGGACTTTTCATGTCTTTTCAAAAATGAGTGGTCTTTTTTTCAGTTATTTTTCTTAATTCACTGCCTAATCCAAACTTATGTGTTCCAATATGTTTTATTAACCTAAGAGACATGTTTAAAAACATAAAAACAGAAATTTGTTACCAGTAAGTGGCACAGAGTGCTGATTCTTTTCATTTATTTTCATTTTCAAATCCTCTCCTGAAGTAGTATGTCGGAAATCTCGGAAATTGATTTCAACATATTAGGATGCTTTGTAATAGTCCCAATATCACACGTGATTGGCAAGCCGTTGAATCAACCTGCACTGGTGATAGGCACTCGTGCGAAGAGTTTTAGGGCAAGCGGGGCCCTCCAGCTCAATGCTCGGAGGACCTGCAATCAATTTTAATACTGGGAAGTGACAGCTCGTTTGAAAACAGAGAAGTACGTATAGTAAATAGAAAGAATCAGTAATGTACAAGCCACCAAACGACTGGTGACTGAGCCCCCTCCAAATGACTGGTGACTGAGAAGTCGAGTATGACTCTCGACCAAGCGCTAGAGGGCTGTTTTTATTTATTTTTTATTTTTTTAAAATAATGCTGATGACGTACTTAGAATCCCCAGACCGTTACAAGAAGCCGATGCAAACAACCATTCAACCAAGAAATCCAAGCGTTAAGCTGTCAAACCCAGTGAGTTACGGATTTTGAGAACCATGTATAAGCAAGTGAAGCAGATAAGGGTGCTTTCGAATGTATTTCTGAAACTCATCCGAAGACCAGCGTCCCGCTGCCTGAATCAGCGCAGGCGCGACACCAGTCGCAGCAAGGGCAGTGGCTCCCCCGGCTCGCATCGAATGTCCAGAAATAGTTGGGGGAAAGAAACGCCAAAGGTATCGCATGAACCATGCGTGCGTCGGGATAGTGCCGCTCATAGTCAGCCAGAGGTGTGGATGGTGTGGAAAGCGACTGTCACGAGCACGTACATACCGTTGTAGGAGAACTAGAGGATTCACTCTAGATTCAGGCTCTGCCATCACCAAGATCTCACATCCTACTCCCAAAGTGCTCGTCTTATGGTGAGGTAATGTGTAGCTTGCCGATGTTGCAGACAGCATGAGAGAGTGGCATAGCGCCACTTTATGATAGGATTGGTGTCGTTTCGCATTAGGCCAGCAGAGTTCTGCGAGACGTTGCAAACTCTTGAAGCCTGTGACCAGCATTGCCACGAATAGCGTATCGTCGTACTCTGTAGATGATGCGAATGTGTTGACCACAAGAGTGAGATCATCCAAAGTGAGTGGTTGTTTGCGCTGAACAGGCTTAGATAAGCGACGTTTGCAACCCCTCAGAGTTCGTGTGACGAGTAAAGATGTCCGTATTTCACGAACGTGCGGGAAGTGTGTCTCCAGACGATTGACAATTCCCGAAAGATATGAGTCCACGGATCGTGGCTCGATATGATGTGATAGCCACACCACGAAGAAGGACAGTGTGTCCGCAGTTGGTTCTACCTCCCGGTGATGAAGTCGACAAAAGTTAAGATAGGAATTTAGGTGCGAGTCGTAAGCTGAAGCTGTGGTAGATTCAATAGCGCAGCCAAGGGCAAGTGAACGCTCTAACTGTAAGCGTTCGAGAGTCCAAGCTTCCTGCACGGGTTGCTTGGACTGTGTGGTACCTCAGATCATTTTTCTGCCACCCCCAGTGCATCCCGAGGGGGTTCAAAGTCAAAAATCTGCGCCGAAGGCACAAGATCTTTCACGAGCTCATTGTGAAACTGTGAGAGTGCGTCAGCGATGACGTTCTGCTGACCTGGAATATGCTCAACCCGCAGGTCAATGCCATAGCTGATTAAGATGTCCACAGTCGAAAGTAACAGTGAATTATAGACGGGTCTTGCTCGAAGTGAGTCGAACATTGCCACAGTATTCGAATTGTCTGTGTAGATGAGTAACTTTGCGGGGGTCTCATCCATGTTTGTGACAGCGTGAATAGCGGAACATACAGCCAATGCTTCGAAGAAGAAGATAGAGTCGTGGGGAGCATCTCCAGGTAATGGTGACTGGCACGCGAAGTTATCGTCCGGGAACCAGAGACCCATTCCCGCTGCTGACGCGTCAGTGTAGACAACCACAACATCATCTCTTGATGGCTCAAAGTCTAGACACCGGAATAGGTGTAAGCCATCCAAACGTTCGACGTGATCCGCAAGCCAATGTAACTCGCGCAGTAGCGCGTTATTGACGTGAATTTGAGCGAATGCATTCTTCTTTCCTCGGATTTTGTCGTAAAGTACCGACAAACCCGGCTTCAACAGAGGAAACACGTTAAAGCTCCATTCGCACCAACCAGCCAGATGCTGGAATTCGCGCAGGGACCAACGGTGATTCTTCTGCGCGAAACGACGTAACTCTATAACCAGCTCAGCCTTTTTATGATGGGGCAACGTGACCTGCATAGCATTCGGGTCGACTTCAAATCCAATGATGGTCAATGGCGCGCCAAATACTTGCTTTGGTCGTTCATGCGGCAGGTGAAGGTCGTCCCAAAGTTGTAAGAGTCGAGTCTGTTTTGCGGGAAAGTAGCAATCATAAGGAGGATAATGGAGAACACGTCCAGCAACTTCGAAAGAGAAAGAGTCGTCCATGTAGGTTTTAAGCGCATCAATTAAGATTTTGTGAATGGCGATCCACGCAACGAGTGACATAAAGGATATCCAAATCTTTGGAGATCCTCGACCACCGAAGTTGTTGTTACGATCTACGTGTCGTTGACCATGCACAGTCAAGATCTGTTTGACCTGCCATAGAGGGTGCATCGGTAACCGACGGAAAGCTTGTGAAACGTCAGATTTGAACATAATTAGCTCAACAGTTCGGATGCTGCTCTCGAAATTTGAGCAGCGAAGGCACCTAGTGAGTGTAGACCATCAAGCTTGGTACCCTTGATCGCATCCCGATCAATCATAGAGTTCAATGAGTACTCGCCCGCAGTGTGGTCCACAACCAAGCGAAGTTTGTCCGAATTGGGTTTAGGAACTGGTGTGCATTGGCACACTATACATTCCTGGATAAAGCTCATGTTCCAAAACTTTCGGACACTCGACCCAAACGAATTTCTTCCTGCATCTGATTTTCAATGAATTGGAGTTGTACGTCAGTCTTGGAACACGTATGCGAGGAGTTGTCATTGATAGACTGGGTACGTGTCATCAGAGGTGTCAGCCCAAGGCCAGAAGCCTTCACGCAAAGCGTGACAAACCGATCTAACAAACGGCTGGTTCGGATGGTCCAAGAGAAGTTCCTCGAAACGGTCAACATTGATAGGTGTAACGATACGAAAAAGGTCTGGCCTTCGAGCGATGGTCTGAGCCGCATCACTATGAAGGACTTCGTGAGAAGGAGGTGTAGGTACGGGTTCCGAATATTCAGTTGAACGTGCTGTTGGACTGAATGAAACATCCATTGGAGACCAAATAAGGCCCCGTCTATGTCGCGGGCGCTTAATTGGACGTTCAGGTAGGTTTGGGCTTGGACTCTTCGAAATGCCTCGCTTCTGTGTGACGTCGCGCGCACAATCTCCCATCCTGCTCGTGTGAGCAGACATGCGCATAGCGGCAGGTTTGAGCACTGCGAGAGCATTCTCCCGAGTTCCATTTTTGGCAAGGCTCTCGCCGATTGAAGGAGGTCTTATCCCGTGCCGTTGCACCGGGCTTCGACTGCTTGTCCTCATCATGATGCCTGCCGTCTGATAAGAAGTGGGACTCGTAAATGTCTGCAAAGGCCGCGAAGTCGGAGAGTTCAACTCTACGAGAGTTTGCTGCTCGGTTCCTAACGGCTTTGTCAAATCTAATAATTCTCTCGTGAGCTCGTTCGACGCTGCGGTCAAACTTATCGTTGATGTACTCTCCGTAGGAGGCGAGCTCATCCTCTCAATGAGGGAACGCGAATTTAATGGCCCTTGCGGCTCTATTCCAAGCTGCGGACCATTGTGCAGAGGTAGTGATCTTTTTCGAGACTGCTTCAGTAGCGGTGGAGAACTTGATCTCAATGTCTCCAATAGTTTCGGTGCATTTGTCAATAGTGCGCGAGGAGGAGATAATGGAATGGACGGCGTCAAGATTGATGCACTTTCCTGCGACGATTTCTGCCCATCCAGCTTCGTGGAATTCCGGGCAGCAGCGATGGTACATGAGTCTTCGTTGAACTTCTTTTGGGTCTTGCGACCAGTTGAGAAGGATTTCGTTGGTGCGAGTGAGATTCGCTGAGAGTTGACCTCCCTTAAATGATTGCTCGGCTCGTCCGAGACAGGAGAGGTCCAGTTTAGACCGTTTTTTGACAGGTTCACCTTCCTCAATACTGGGCTCTCTCTCATGCTCATCCTCTCTAGGAGGGACGAAGTCCCTTTCTTCAGATTGTCGTGCAGCGTCAGGTTCCCGAAACGTTCTGGTCCTATCAATGTCTCTGGACCATTGTTCGACCATGTCGAAGTACGGAGCCGCGATAAAAGATTCGGCTTGGTCAGAGGCTTCGTTGGAACTGGCTGCGACAACCTTCGTAATAGGGACATATGCTTCTTGCTTTGAGATGAGTGATTGTTTGTAGTCTTCGACGATGTTGAGGCACTTCTCAACCAAGTCTTGTTGCGAAAGAGCCGATCTTCCAGTGTTGGCTTGAGACGAAGTCCTCGCTTGTTCTGGTCCTGTAAGTGATGCTTGGGTGCCGGATGAGACATTTTGGCAACTAGACATGGAGGTACGACCGAATTTGAAGTTTTACACGTAGAATTCAATAAATAGCTTTAAATTGTGGCGCAGGATGTGCGCAAGCAGAACGTGCTCAACGCTGATGACGGTCGAGACGAAAGAACTAAAGACCGAAGTCTGCGTCACCAGCGTTTAGGAGACTCAGTCACGGCAACATGTCACAATCAGTGACAAGTATGTGCGTAGAGCTGAGACTCGGCCAGAGCTGAGACTCGGCCAGAGCCGAGTGCGAGCGTTGATTCAATTCGTTTAAACCAATTAAAACCCAATTTGCCGTGCGTTCTAAAGGTAACCTATAGGGTGCTCTGGAACGCTCTTGACTAGGTCTAGAACGAGCCAGGTCCAGATCTTCTTGTGATTGAAATATTGCAAGAGGTAAAATATCGAAACCCCCAATGTGTCATCGCAGCAATCACACTGTTCTACTACTCCGAACGCCTCTTCGTGCTCATTCCACTGTTTCGTGCCCACGAGAACACCGACAACTCAATACACGACATTTCTACGAAGTGTCTTCCTAAAATCCTATCTTGAGAATGCGGATGCTTCCTCTGAAAAATTTGCGGACGTATATGCAGAAGACTCGGAGTTGAGCCTTGGTGGGGAATTCAAGTGCGTAGCGGTGCGTGTCCATAACTTTGTCACTGACCTATTCTCTAGTAGAACGGCCATAGTATATTGCATACGAGAACAAGTTCAAATTTATCAAAAGTCACTGTTCCGAGTTGGCCACCCTCAGATGTCCGAATCGACGGCTTGCTCCTTCCTGCCGAGCCTCGCATCTGGCATTAGAGCAATGGATCAAGTAAAATCTTTCACACCACTACTCAACTATCTCAGCGACGGCGAGATTGAACGTGATGAGAAGGAGAGCCTGAGGAGGGAGAAAGAGCTCACCAAGCACAGGAAATGGAATACACGAGGATGTCAAGGTATTGCTTTACCTGATCGGGAGCCTAGTCGCACATACCGTACACTTACCTGCGGGCTCCAAGAACTGGATGCTGCAACCCTTGCGTTGGCCGCCATGAAGGCGCCGACTTCGAGACGTGCTGCGGCCGCGGCCGCTTCTCTCACGGTTGCCAACATGGTTGCCTTAGAAAATGGCACGAGCATCATGCCACTGCAGCTGCCTCCCCAGCAGATCATATCTACTGCTGTCGCTGCTGGAAATGAGAAGAAACCTGAAGGATCGTTCAAGGCGCCTTCGTATCCTTCTTCCGTGCTCCGGCCTCGTGCTCAGGTCACTGCTCCCACACCGTCAACAACGGTTGAATCGACGTCGATGGTGCCTTCGTCGTTTCTTAATACTGAAGCACCTGCCTCCTCAGTTAGTATCCCTCCCCCCAATTCGCGAGCCGTCGCAAAGAAAGCCAAGGAGTTTGAATTTGTTCGCTTCAAGAACAATACACAGATAACAAGTTCGAAGCAATCCTGCGTCGACTTGCCCCGTGTGCTATATTTGAGTGGAGGATGAAATTTGTGGACTGTCCCGGCAAGGTTCGTCCGCACCACTAAACTTGAGCTAAGGCAGACTTAAACTGGGTTTGCAGCTATATAAGTTAACTCTGGGCCTGGGGATCACGCTGCAGAACTACAAAGTCCATCTTAGAAACTGACATCATCGCTTACAGGTCAATGTTCATCTGTGCCATCTGCTGTGCTTATCAGCTATCTTTGTAACATATAATTTGACCGTTCTGTCGTTACATGCGTATGTTTCTATCTAACATATCTAACATATCTATTCCCAGTGAGAACTTATCATGTGCAGCCTAAGTTGTCATGTATATGACAGCTCATGTCAGTGTCATATAACGATGGGCGAGCTTGAGAGGTATCTCACCTGGCTTATTCCCGTGCTGCAGCTCATCGAAGAGTCTATGCAATGTCATCTGGAAGACCCCACGCAGAACAGATGCATCATCGATGCTCTCGACGAAAATTTTCCTTCGGAAGAGGCGGGAAGACTTGTCACGCTGTTGACAAACGCCCTCACAGGTCCAGCCTTCCCGGTCATCCACGTAATATTCATAAGCCGCCCTGAGGAACATATCCGGGCAGTCATGCCCTCAGCGTCCACGAGATTCTCGTGATAAAGACACCATATGGGATGTTCTAGAATGGTTGGATAAAACACGGACAACTCGTCCCGCTATTTTCGGTCGGCCAACCATCTCCTGGCCATATGCTCGGAGGATGAATTTGAGACGTTGGTCCTTTCTGGCGGGCGTTCTGTGCTGACATTGATCACTTTATCAGCAAATCATTGCAACCTCCGAGGATCCACGCACTGCCAAATGTTAGTGTCTACTATCATCCATCTAACTACACCGGAAACTATACAGACAAAACAAGCTTCGCTGCGACGCTTGAAGCATTTTCGCCCGTCATTTTGTTAATGATGGCCTCGGACACGTTGAAATCTATCACGCTTCGCTATGTGACTTCACGAGCGAGCCTTTACGGTTGAAGAAATGTGTTCATGAACACCTTGCATGTTGTTTACTCCGACTGTCCTCCTCATCGACGTCATATCCATTTTTGGGGCGTGGAATAAGCCCGAGCATCTTTCTAGGGTCTATCCCAGACTTCGAGATCTACTGGATCAGTTCAGAACTTCAGAGGCAAAACACTGTGACATTGGGTGCAGGCCCCAGGGGACAGTCTATTACACGTATTCAGAAGCAAGAGGGGCTTGTTTATCTTTGGTGACTGTTTGAAATGTGTTGGTCAGATGCGTATCAATCATCATTTGGTCAGAAATGAATCAGCCTGGGGGCCCGTAGGACATATGCATCATGCATCATGATTGCATAGCGTATTCATAAAGCTTTGTAGAAAGATGGAAATGAATATTGAATGTTCACGAGACTGGGCAAATTCTCAAGCTTGCAAGTTCAAAGCCAGTCTAGAATTATAGCCATTTAGATCAATGTTCCAGATTAACGTAGTGGTTCCTTTTCATACGCGCCGTGCAGGCAAGCGTCATCAATGAATTTCGCTGCTCGGACTGCTGGCAAGCACAGATGCAAGAGTGCGAGGTAGGGAAGTAGACGAGTCAACTTTCTACTTTGTTTCTGGCCGAGAATAATACCAGTAAGAAAATATCCTACCGTCGACTGAGGGCGAATAGCAGTAAGTACGACAGCCACTGAATCCGTGGAGCGACCGAATCATTAATTACCGAAACCTAGTAGATGTGGCTGGAGCCCGGATGGTCGAACGCTGCTTATAAGTCTACGATATGCAATAATAGAATAGACTCGAACGGTCCAATTTGGAGTGACATGTACCGAACACCACGTTCCGAAGACATTTTGATTATGATGATGTCGGACCTTGCTAGTGACCTTGGCGATGGGCTGAGCTGCGAGTCGTATCTGGTCTGTGAGAAGTTTCCTTATGGAGTACCTCCTATTGAACCATAGCATCTCTCACTTGCGCTTTGACCACCATGTCATCTGAAACTTCTTTCCAAATCGACATCCCCGACGAAAAATTGACTATCCTCCGTGCTAAACTTGAACTTGCTAGTTTCCCGAATGAACTGGAGGATGCCGGGTGGAAGTATGGTGCACCTCTGGCGGATATAAAGCGACTCACAGAGAGGTGGAAAAACGGGTACGACTGGCGCAAATATGAAAAAGAAATCAATGAGCAACTGCCAATGTTTACACGCGATATTGACGTGGATGGTTTCGGCGCGCTGAATATTCATTATGTTCACAAGAAGAGCGAAACTGTTGACGCTATTCCGCTGTTGTTTTGCCACGGATGTATGTCAATTTGCATGATCGCAGACCAACATATTTTGACCTTAACTAGGGCCTGGAAGCTTCTTGGAAGTCGGGAAGGTTTTGCCCCTCCTGACTTCATCGGCCCCTGAACATCCTAGCTTTCATGTTGTGGCGCTTAGTTTGCCCGGTTTCGGCTTTTCGGAGGCTCCCCACAAACAAGGCTTTGCTATTGATCAGTATGCTGAGGTGACTACTATTCGTTACAAATTCTAACCTCTCTACATATTGACTGTGTACCCAGGTAGCTCACAAACTCATGGTCGCTCTCGGGTACAACGAGTATGGTACGTTACTGAGTAATTCCTCAAATGGATCAACGAATCAATTCATTTCTCTTACAGTTACCCATGGAGGTGACTGGGGTAGCCTTGTGTGTCATATTTTACAAGTAGACCTGACTTATCGTTAATATATCCTCAGATTACCAGGAGAATGGCTTCTGTGTATGGTGGGAGGCATGTCAAGGCATGGCATACCAACTGTCCACTGTATGTCGTTTTCTCGCTCCGCGCACACCTCGACTCATTCTCGTCTATGTAGTGCCAAACCACCGAGCTGGAGATCGCCCCTGTTTTTCTTGTCTTTCTTGCTAACCCCATGGTCTACAGAAGAAAAAGCAGGCATCGAACGTACCACGTGGTTCCGTACCAAAGGACAAGGCTACTACAACGAACAGAGCACCCAGCCACAGACACTCGGTTACAGTCTCGCCGATAGCCCTGTTGGCCTGCTTGCCTGGATCTACGAGAAACTGGTCCTTTGGACTGACAATTACAACTGGTCTGATGATGAAGGTAACAGCAATATTGCTTTTTCGGATATCGCTCAACTGTTTCAAATAGTGTTGACATGGATCTCATTGTACTGGTTCTCCCGCGACGGACCCGCTGCCTCCCTTCGTATTTACTTTGAATTACGTAGCGATTGCGAGGATATAGGCCAAAGTCCTACCATTCCTATGGGAGCATCGTTTTTCCCGAAGGAACTTATAGTTTTGCCCGCAGCGTGCGTTTCTATCAATCGACTTTTCTGAAGCTAATATGAGTTTGTAGGTGGCTGCGCAAGTCGCACAACGTTGTTTTTGAGTCCCATCATAAGACAGGAGGCCATTTTGCTGCCACTGAAGTTCCGGAACAGCTTGTTCAAGATATACGGAAGATGTTTGCGAAGGGGGGCCCTGCGTTCGCAATTGTCCCCGGAAGAACTGGGTATGCTTGAACAACCAGCATTTCCTCGCGTTTGGAATGAACATTGAGTGAAAGTGTACAAATATCCAATGTAATTTTACAAGGACACGCCTTCGGTCTTTTCTTCGACGACAAATTGTATTTACAGTGAGGAAACACGATATTTGCACAGTCCTGTTCTTCGTTCGACGAATCGACGGTGGAGTGCGGTGACGCGCACGTGCGCATTTCTGACCAGTCCTTTTTCTAACGAGATGTTTCGTTGAATGGCGCAAATGCAACTTTGTTTCAGATCTGGGCGATGAGGAGGTACTCCAGGGTGAGTCAACATCACTAGATAATCAGGCATGTTCTCTGGTCCGTTGAATGGAGCGTGCTCTGCTTCCTTTACAAAGCTGCCCGAACTAAAATAAGATTCTGCGGATTCTCGTCAGTTGAATCATTCGTGATTGATGAAAATTAGGGATGCTCACGATTTCGGGGCCGACGTGGCAACTCATGATCTGCGCGAGTATCTGGCAAGACCTGGGGAAAGGAAACAGAAAGGAACATGCAGCTGCCAGCGACGTAGTGGACACAATTGCCCCCGAGCCGGCGGTATCTCGTGCTCTAGTGAAGCAAGCAAAGGCCAGCGCGCGGAATCTCGATTAACTAGTACAGTGGTTTATAACTACAGCCAACAGATACGACAGCGACAACGAAAGAACGAAAGAACTCGAAGGTATGTAACAACATTCCCGGACGTGAAGATATTCCAAACTCAATTATTTTAGGAGGCTCCCATATGTGCCATACGGCGCAGTAGCCACTTTCAAAAATCTAAGATGCATGTTGACTTCATCCCAATCCCTACCCAGGTTTTGAACTCGGTAGATACAAGGGAGCCAGGCGGAAATGATGCCCGCGAGAGTTTCTGGATCTTCTATTTCAGATGATGTCTCCAATTCCAATGATCGTAGGGAGGTATGTTGTATTGGCTCGGCATCAGGATCAACGTCGATAGTTGCAATATTGATTGGAATTTTTAGTGTATGCAAATGTGGACATAGACTGAGCGCTGTGAATAATCCATGGAGGGTGACCTCGGAAGAGAAAATATAGGCGTCTAAGTAGTCGATTTCCAGAGTGCGGATATGCGGCCAAATAGACATAGCTTGCAAGAGCATGTCATTGTCTAGGTAGATGCAGAAATCAGTAAACATGAGCTGCAGGGTTCGGAGCTGTGTAAAGCAAAGGAAATGCGGAGTTGGTGTCAAAAACTCGTGGTATTTGGGTCCGACTTCAAGACAACAGATGATGATTTCTTCTAGAGTCCGACACGCTTTGCAGTGGGACAGAGCATGCAAGAGTTGCTCGGCCTCTTCTAAAGACAGATAGTTGGCTTGAAACTTGAACTTTTTCAGCGAGGGAAATTGCGAGTGTTGCATGACTGTGATGATGTTTGCAGAATCGTACAGCTGTCGAAAGGAAAGGCTCGTGATGTTAAGGAATGATAAATTCAGAAGATCTCGGTTTGACAGCGAAGGAGGGTCCTCGTACCCTCGATCAATTTCCAATTTGAGAAGGGTAGGGAGGTGGGAGAGATGCTTCCATGTTTCCCAGTCGAGCATCGGACAAGAGAGAGTTACAAGCCGCGTGCACCAACGAATCCTATCGGATAGCAGGGACAGCTCATTTGCTGTGTTGTCAATATCGTGTGTTTCGGGAGTACGGTGGATGCATAAATGCTCCAAAGCAATGCAACGTGTCACAAAAGATTGCAAACCCTCATCAACGCTCAATAGATGACATCGATGCAGCATGCGAGGCAGAAAGAGGTTCAAATATGTGATGGAAAGACTTAATGACTTCAGCCTCGGAAATACGCATGCCTCGGCGGGGATGACAGAGAGAAGGTGCGGATGATGAGATTGTATGATCAATGCGCGTACACGGAAGGAGTGACGCAGAAATTGATGGACCTCGTGGGCAGATAATGGCTCGACACCTTTTGCCCAGGGCTCGTCCCACTATTATGTAGACGCTCGGTGAGCCAAAAGGAAAAGAACAAAGTGTAATGAAGCCGTGCACTGACCATTATACCACCACGATATATCAATGGATGTAACCTTGTTACACAGCCTAGCAGTGGTTCTAACCCATGGATTTCAGTCCACAGCACATCCATCGCAGGCTCGTAGAAGATTTTGCATGTCCTTGCAAGCGCTGCAAACAATGTCAGGGTCGATGTTGTTTTAGACGGTATTGTGTTCAGATAGGCGAATATCTCCAGGAGGACTTCGGGAACAAGTAAAGCTTGATGCATCACTGGGGTAGAGTCAGGACACAAAGCTAAGTTGGATGTAAATCTAAAAACATTGCCAATGGGTGTTGTTACCTGCTATTTCGGAATTCCAGTCGATGTGCCACGGCTATGTGCGGATACAATTTACTTATTGCCAAAATTTTAAATACTTCATAAATCATAAAGAAAGAGAATGCAACGACATGATGTGGCGGACAACATGCCGGTTATGCGTGCTTATATACTTTAGAGATTTAGATTTAGAAGAAGCATCAATAGATACCAAACGATACGCCAGCCAGCAATGACGCTAGTACCACGCTCACGTCCGTGGAAAACACTCTTCAGCCCAATCCCTAGGCGTTAACTCCTCCACTCTCCGCTGAAATGCCTCCAACGTACAAAACTCTGGCGAGCCCGGTAAATGTTTTCCCTCCTCGGCGCACATCGGAAGCACCATGTTCTTATTCTTGTAGCGCATGCGGACATCTATGTTTAGCAAAGAAGGGGACAAAGTTTACCGAGAGTCATATCTCAGAACGCATCTTGATACTCACAATGTTCGTCCTGTCGTCTCCAAACTGATGAAAGCGCGCGGAGGCCTGAAGCCGGAGTTCGTTTTCGGAAGAGCTCAAATGTTACTGATGAAGTGAATGGCGGCCACCTTGCACGCGCGAAGATGAGCATGAAAGCAAGAAGTAGTGGGATAAACGCACTTGTCATCGAATACATCGAATGTACAGAGCAACGCCGCAAGCGTCGAGTCGTGCGTCGAGTGCACGAGAAGCTTAGTTGGGTCTGGTGAATCGGGTTGGGCCTTGCGTCGCATTCTCTCTGAAGCGTCGGCGAGGAGGCGACCCATTCCTAGTCGGCGGCCATCTTCTGATTTGACTAACGATCAATAGAACTTTAGTTGAAATTTCGGTGAACGTAAGGAAGTATCCTTACAAACTGGAGGACGACGATCAATGCTCGTGTGCGGATGTAGAATAATTGACTAGGGGCTTACTGTTGAACCACTCAGCTGTTACAGCTGATTCCTAGGGATTCATAAGTGAGCGGAGAATGCGATGAGAGGATGAAATGATCGTACAATTAAACCAATAACATCATCATCCATGAATTCTGGTGGAACTCGGAAACCGTGAGCAGCTGCCGAGCGTACCTTTGGAAAAGAACTGAGGTCAGCTGCGTCTGTCCTGCCCTGAAAAAAACATACTGTATCAAGAATCCCCGAAGCTCGAGGAGTTCCATCAAGGCGTAACGGCCTACCGCCTATGTACTTGGAGACTTTCATATCCAATGGCTTTAAACGCGGGTTCCAAACAGCAACAGCAACTGGACCATATCAGACTAATCTGCAGAATACTAGTCAAAAGATTACCTTCAGCAAACTTCAATTCTAAGAGGGCCAGTCGCTTGCAGGCTAAGGTGTTGCTGACGAGATTCTCGTCGATTGCATTACTGAAAACAAAGACACCGCGAGTAATGAGTGTGCGTTTAACTTCTCTGACCTATGCGAAAACGTACCGTATGATGAGAGAGGGTATCGTACCTGGAGCGCAAGTAGATGGAGGGTACACTCCGTGGACTATGTGCTGCAGAGATTCAATCGTTCGTGCGATGTTTGTAGAGCTGCGCGTGTGAATTTTATTATGAGTCACAAAGGGTTGGCGAATAGATTCACCGAAAGTAAGTCAAACGTTCATCCTCGAGTTTTGGGGGAAGAAATTTCAATCTTCGGAAAGATACGAGTGAGATACAATTGGCAAGAAGGGGCTCGAATGCTTACCTATCTACATAAAGGCTTCGCAATGCCGTCCCGAAGGAATATGTGGACTGTTCTCAGACGCGTAAGCCAAGCAATCAGGTGTCGCATAGAACCCTCTCACCTTTTTCCCGATATCAGTGAGCTCCCCCAGGAGGCTATATACGGTATTAAAACATGTGTATCGCGAGTAATTATACACGCAGATCAACGTACCATAATCCCTCAGCTGTCTTGCCATGCCTGTTCTCGACAACTTTCCTATACCACAATCCGTCATCTATGGTAGGGATATGGCCAGCTACAGTCTCGTGAAAGCTTTTCGCAGTGTCGCACATCTGCCAGTCTGCTGGTATGGATGCTGGAGGATCCGACATGCGCACTCTGACCGGGGTACGTTCGCCTATAGTAGAGCATGTATGAGCGATGTCACAACTTGACGCGAACGCGAACTCGACGCACCATGCCTCACGTATATGTGGACTTGCTCTAAGTCCAACCCTTCTGGTGTGACGGGGTAACTTTCGACGTCAAGCGGGACCGGTGCACCTTGCATTTGCTGTGTCACTGTTGTCGCACTTGGGGAAGATTGTATTGCGTTCCCACTGCACCATTGTGTTCGTGGGTTAAAAAGGTCGTGGAATTCTTAGCCTTCGGGTTATGTGCCTCGTGCCTCGTATGGGTGGCGATGTAGATCTGCTCGGATCCAATTTCTGCTCCGAGTCGGTCCATATTCCGTATATATTCGGCCCTTTAGGCCATCATGATAAATTCGAGATGACCAACGAGCTGCAATATTGGTACTCCTCTACATGCAGCGGGACCCTACGAAGAAGTCGACTGTATTCCGATCACAAGAACCCATCAAGCCGTATTATGTCATAATGATCTAGTGTTAGCCTCCTGCCACCCCACCGCATCAACCTCTCCCCTCACCCGCCATCTTCACGTTGCCCGCCGTGCCCACACACCCTATAAGGCTACAAAAATCCATTCATCTACCACTATGTCAGCGTCCGAGTTACTGTCGTCCACCAGCAACACCTCCGTTAAGAAGCAGAAAGGCAAGGATAAACCTGAGGATGCACTAGAGACAGACGCCGACGTCAAGAGGCAGGAGGCCAAGATGAAGAGGGAACGTTTGGTAACAAGATTAGCTCTGGGAGTCTCGCTGCCATCGGGACTCCAGCTGCAACCTCAGGACCGCTGGGAGGCTTTTCTTGTCCGGGCGGAAAGGCGGTTGAGGATGCAACTCACATTATCGACGATCGTCCTATTTAGCTCCATCCTGTTCATAGCATCAGCGCATTTCACGCAGCCGCACCCTTTGACGTCTACCGCCTCCTACAAGGCGTTTCTAGTAACGGCCTTCTTGTCATCCGGCTCACTCGTTCACATCATCTGTACCATCCCCAGGATACGGGTCATTTTACAAGTAAGTCAAAGTATCATTTTCGATTTAATTCACTAATACCCATGTCCCTTAGCGACCTGTGTTCCCTCTCTTATGGCTGTCTGTCGGTATCGCATTCAACGTCTCCGCGAGTCCTTCTATGATGGTCACCCTCGCACTCATAAGTTGGGAACAGACTAGTAGTGTTGGACTGCTAATTTTTTGCATCGTCTTTACCGTTCTGCTCACCATATTATGCATACTGGCAGACATTTTCTTAGACACCATTACTACATCCCATGATGTGTGACCCGCATCCACCTTTACTGTATAGCAGTCCGCTCGCCTGTGGACATTTATCTTGATTTGTTATAACTTACAGCAATAAAGATTTTCGCGATGATTTCGCACTCTCGACAATATTGTGGCTTTCATGACAATTTCGATGTTTAGAGCACTTCTAGTTTTGCTAACCGCCCAGGAGTACCTCGACGCATCACTTCGCCCAGATGCTCTGGTGCGCAGAAAAATAAGAAACATATCTCGAGGTTGGGTGAATATAACACTGCCGGTACGAACTAATACTATATACAGAATGGAGTGAACACGCGAGGCACTTTCCAGCCTGAACACTACGCAAACATATCCTCCTTGCTCACGTCCCGCATCTCACACACATAACAGCAGCATTCAAATCCTCCACATCATCAGTCAACTGGGTTTTGCCCCAGATTCTTAAACCAATCCCTCCCAGCCTCCAACGAAACCCTTGCCGCCTCAATACCATTGAGTAAATGCATCTCCCCCTTAAACCACAACATTTCCACTCTCCTTTCCCTGCCCTTGAGCGCATGATAAAATCTCAACCCCTGTGCCGGTCCCACACGCAAGTCGTCTTCTCCAATCAACAACAATACAGGCGCGCGTACATTATCGACGTGCGCGATAGGCGACGCTTCGAACATTTGTTGGAATGTAGCGGGTGTCATGAGCGAGTCCGGGGTAAACTGGAGCCCGAATTCAGTGTAGGCGCAGTCGGGGATGTCGGACGCTAGTTCGCTAAAACTGGTTATGGGGTTGCGCATCACTGCTGCGTTAAATAGCGTTGGGTATTGGCCGATCACTGTGTATGTCAGTGTCAGTGGGAAAAAGAGGTTTGTTTTTGAAATGGAGTCTTACGGTGCGCGGCAATGAAACCACCGTAGCTTGCACCTTGGACGACTTGTTGTCCGTGCTCTGAGATGCCCAGCCGGATGAGGTCGTTGACACTCTCTACGACGTCTTGTACTTCCATTGTTCCACAGTGCCCGACAAGTTTTTGGATGTACTTTTCGCCGAATCCCATGGAACCGGTATAGTTGGGAAGGGAAATTGTATCTGCGAGTATGCTTGCTCTAAGTGGCCAGTAGGCGCGAAGTCAAAAAGACTTACATCCTTCCAAGGCTAGTGCAGCAGTAGCTGGGGAGAATGATGTTGTCGTTGATGTATGTGGTCCTCCATGTGGAATGGTAACGCAGATGGGTTTTGGGCCAGGTCTTGTGGAAGCTTCCTTCGACTGAATTACAATAGTCTCTGTTGGAGGACGCGCGCCAATGGGTATGATCGATGCAGTGAGATCACGGAGTGCGTTCTCAGCTGAAAAGCATGATTAGACTTGGCAAGAATCCAAATTGACTAGAACTTGCTTGCGAAAGATATCATTGGCTTATCTAGAGCTTTCCAATCGAGGTTGTCGTGTTCATCAAAGTATCCTAGTAACACTTCGTGTGGGGTAGTAGGCGTGCTCCTTGAACAGATGAAGTGCGCCTTATCGTCTGTAGCATGTAAATCCCAATTATACAAAGGTTCGCCATCTCGCATTTTTGTCTCGTCTGAAATTGCTCCTGATTCTGTATCAATGAAGAGGATCGTCGCACGAGAGCGCCATAAGGAGTGAAGTACGATGTATGTATGGTCTCCGCGACGTAAAAACGGGCTGGAGGGCATGTTATAATTGGGATATAGACCTGGAAAATGGTTTTCGGGGGTAGGCTCCATTACGGTATCCACGAGGACCTTGTTGGTACCTGTAGTTAGATCACGAGATTCCAGAGACACGCAAGATGCGTGGGGACCGCCGACAGGATTCGAGAACCAGAAGAGTTTAGTAGGTGTCTGATTGTTATCATATAATACACGAGGTGAACGACAGGACCGTTCCGACGGTGTCAGCTTCAATGCATTGCATGGCATTTTAGCACCAAAAGGTGTCCCCTGCACGGTCGCTGACTCGGGGAGTTTAATCTCCCATATACCCATGGGGCGATTAAAGCACCATTTAATCCCCAGTAGTCGACCGTCTTTGGTGTGTTCGTATCCACTGGCGTAGATGATATCTTCTGTCGCAAAAGTAGCTTGGCCAAACAGGACGGGCGCTTGGGTAGGCTGTGCCAGCGAAAGGGCAACGAGCAACATATCTTGCTTAGTAGCCTTGGTGAAGGCTGTGGACCTTGTCCAGCGGAATAGAAAAATAGTCGGTGCTTTCTTGCCGCGAGATAGTTCGCCGAAGTGCGGAGTGTATCTGAATTTGGGATAAGGATCGTCTGAAGCATTATCATCGCCGATGATTGCTTCGGCGGTATATAGAAGGGATGTTTCCGATGGGGAGAAGGAGAGCGATGATGTGAAATCTGACGTCCAATTTGCAAGTATTCAAGGACATTCGCAGGTTATTTAACTCACCATCTGTATGGAAAGCATCGTGGTACTTTGTGACATCCAAGGAAGCCTCTATCTGGATGCCGGCCCAGATTTCGACGAAACGTTTCGTACTTGTGCCATCAGCAACCTCTCGGAGGACAGCCTGGCGAGACTTGGAAGGAGATGTTCTAAATGCCTTAACTTCGGAGGAATCATGGGATGTTGTCTGATGATCAGAACCGATGCCCCCAGGGAAAGTTTTGGTGAGGGATCGTGTGATATTACGCTCATGATCGCGAATGGTGTAAGTGACGCGTGGAACTGTTCGGGTGTCTGTTATCAATTTCTGGCTATATTGACTAGTAGACGCACCATCGGAGCCAACGAAATCAGCAGACACAGGAAGGGGTAACTCTGCTAATTCCGTGTAAAACGTTGATGGACCAGTGTGCTGAAGTAAGGACATGTCAATAGTGATAGTTGTATGGGTTTCGCAGATATCTATAACACCTTTCATGAGCTGAGAGGCTTGACACGTATCCGTTGCCACCTAAAGAACTTCAAATTAGGGACGCTCAAAGTTAGGTGCGTACGTCGCACACGACCCCCGCATGGGAAGGAAGAAGGACAGCGTAATCGCTATACCCGAGATTACCTGGACCAATGACTTGATCTGGAAGTTACTGCACAAGTTACCCTATATGCGAAGCTGGAGATAACATTGTTGTGAATCCAATGGTGACAGCCAGTCAATGTAATGTTGAACTCATTTCACTCACAACAAAGTATCACAATAGAGTATTACGAACGAATTCCGCATTCCTCGCAACACAAACGTTGAACACGCTTGTCGTTCGTTCTTGTTGGCCTCCAGGAACTAATACGGATCATGGTGAGTGCGTAGGGAAGGATCTCCGAGTCGTTCCATATTACGTATATATTCGGCCCCGGTGATCCGTTACCCCCTATTTCAATCTTCTTACCACCAACATCAATGGCTACCCTCGTTGATGTGAAAGTCGCTGATGACAGCAGTACACCTCCTTCGTATCACAAAGTCTTAGCAAGACCCATTCAATGCGATCAATCATCTATATTTTCCTTTGGTCTCATGAAGAAGAAACGTGCAGCTGTTCTATCCCGCATCCGTGACATCGTCTTAGCCCCTGACTACATCCCTTGTTTTGTGGTTCCAAAAGTCATTGCCTGCGCTGCCACTCTCCCAGTTACCGAGTTCTCCAAAATCCTGACACAACTCAATATCGAAGGCCACACAGCACCGTATTGGGCAATTGTGAACAATCGGCCACATGCTCTTTGGGCATTTATCAAGTTCATTTCCGGCACGAGTCCCTCTGTTTCTTCCGACTTGCGCATTGCTTGCATGATAACCAACGACCATTCAATGTTTAAGGAGCTCAATTTTGGAAACTGTAAGTAGTACACAGCAATGTCCACCGGAGAAACCACTGATTTGGATACTAGTTAGTGAAGACAGGCGTTCGAGATGCATTTTAGGACGTCTACCAGATGAAATCCAGGTACACACACGCGACAAACCCATCAAGCAGTTCGATGTTGTTTTTCGAATCAAGATGTTCCAGAAACGCCTGCGCACTGCTACTGACAAAATTCTGCGCTTCGAATTTGTCGCAGGGGGTGTGTGGTCCAAGTCTCTCGCTTTGTTCCTTCATTGATCTGATGGTATCCCTTGCAGGACGCATATGGTGGTTTAGCTTCTACATACCAGAGCCTAGCTATGGATCATGCCGCACCGCTCTTGGTCTCAGTCAGCATAGCTATCAAGCGCGTTTTAACGCTGTACTTTTGATCGAGGCACATAGCCGGAAACCTGGTCGTGCAGCCCCACCTGAAGCGCTGAAAATTCCATTATCATTAACAGATACAAATTGTCTGGCCCTTGTACCCTGGCAGTAGGTTGAATTTGTTGTGACTCCATGGATTCTGGTGTGCTGATTGTCTGATGTTCACAATGAACTTCATTCCTTGTGCTTCCGTCGATGTCTACAATAGATCCCCCGAGGGCATTGAATTCGAGCCTCCAAAAATGACTTGGAACATATGGGATGAGGTGGGCGATTGGGTATTGTACAAGTAAGTTTGTTTATCAATCGAGGAGGCATTTCGCACTTCTCCTTAATCACTCGAACTGACTTGTCATTGTGCTGTTGTAGCAATACGGAATATGTAGATGACGAGGGCACTTTAAATGCGAAGCTGCAGATGACATTGTTATGAATCCAACTAGTCGATGTAATGGAGTTCACTTCACTCAAAAAAAGCATGTATTAAGGCTACAACTGAGTACTACGAACGATTTGCAAGAATTTCGCATTCATCGCAACAGAAACGTTGAGCACGCTTGTCGCTCGTTCTTGTTAGCTCCAGAACCAAGACAGAACATGGTGAGTGCGTAGGGAAGGGTGCTGAACTGAATTACTGTAATTCCCTCGATACTTGTTCTATGATAAAGCAATGCAATAAAGCGACCGAATACCTTCATTCCCCCGAACTCCACAACATCGGGAACCCCAATCCATGACCCTCCGAATGTCTCGAGAAATAATCATAATCGATGTTAACTGCCAGAAATCAGTATCCAACTCGATCAAAATACTCGAGCTACTGACCTGCTGCCGCAAGCACGAGCTGTAGCGGCGTAAAAGAAAAGAATCAGAAAAATGACAATGATAAAACAACCAAGATATATTTACCGCACGCTCGTCAAGAGTGAGATTCCTGATCACCGTGGGCCGCTCCGGCGCCTCGGATCCGTCTTGGTGCGTGGCGTCAAAAGTCACGAAATATTGTCCTATCAACCGCAACACGTCCCCATCACATCAGTAAGATTGGCATCTCAGGACATGGCATATTCAGAACCTGTATCAGTGAAAATCTGCGAAACCGTTGAGCTCCTGAACGATATTGAGAAGGACATGGGCATCTAACTTACCTCTCTTCCAAAGCCGCGGAATGCCCTGTTGACAGACGCAATGGGTGTCCCACGCGCATCAAGCATGTTAAAGTGCCACGCCCAGAGCCCCTCATCGATCTTTGCGAATTGGGTGAATGAATCTATCGGAGGCTCAGGCTGGGGCTCGGAGGCGGTAGAAAGAATGCGCCTAGGCTGATCACTACGACACAAGTCTCGGGAGTCGGTACTGACAAAACAAAGGGATGCGTTGCATTACCGAAGAAAGAGATGGTATCGTCTTCGCCAAAGATGCCATTCCTGTTGGACTTCTGCGAAGGTATCTAGAACAGGTTCTCCTTCTGGTGTATACTCGTGAAGGTTTTTTAATCGTTGAACGAACATGCGTGAGTTTATCCAGGCGAATGGACGGCGAATCTGCGGGATTGGATGAATTTATTATGACTGGGGAGGGAGTGCTATGGACCGCACCCAGAGAATAGGTGATCCGTGGAGGTCCATGACTAGAGCACGAAATGGACGATGGGTGCGGAAGATCTGTCTGGCAAACATCGACAGAACACCTCGTGGCTCTTCAGCAATGTAACCAAGCGGTTCACCAGCTTCGTTCGCTAATCGAGAACAAACGTTGATGATGTATAATGGACAATAAGACCCAAGCATCACGTACAAATAGTATATCGATTCGACTGTTCAAAGCCCATGAATATGCTCAGCATTTCAAGCTTCCTGCAATCATCAAAAATTAGTCGAACGGTCATCTATGTGGTTCAGTAAGAAAACACACCTTGTAATCACCAACGTATTATTATTCAGCAGCAGATGCTTCAAACCTTCCTCCGGGTTACTGGAGGGCGTTCTCTGACTCGCATCCCAAAGCTGCGAATCATCCGCAGAGGACCGTGATTCGTATGTAAATCGAAATGACGCAGAATCATATGTCTCATCCTGAGCGGACGACACGGTTCCTTGGGTGGGTTTGCGTCCTGAACTCGGAGCCCTTCCAAAACCGGTCCTTCGGTTAGGAAATCGAGAAAGGGCATAACCTCGCTGAAAAGATGGTGTATGGTGGAGGAGAGCGATGCATAGGTTTGAGTTAGTGAGCCCTCTACGACCTGTCGAGGCTAGTAGTCCAATCATTCGGATGCGACGGTTTACCAGCTGAATGAGTTCATGGTTTGAAAGCGCTATGTAGCTGAACGCGTAGTGCCTTGCCGCACTGCCGCAGGCCTCGCAATACTCGCTGACTAATAACCGTGACTTTTAATTTACGCGCCCTCCTTCGTTCGGTTTTACTTACTACCCTCTCCAGCACTAGTAGGACTCTTCGGTGGTGGATCACTCACACCATTGCATGGTTATTGGTGCACTCAAATATCACTTCATGGCGCTCTCCCGGATTGGTCATTGAGATCTGAGACTGCAATTCTTCAGAGTGTCGGTGCCCAGCCTGGATAGTCCAAGTTTCTCAATGAGGAACTTCCTTGTTTCTCGGCGACCTCCTCAATAGCAAATTGACCTCAAATAACAATTGCCATGGTATGGATTCTCGGGCGTAGAGGGGGGGCGCATACAAGTCGGCCATGACTCACAAGATACCTTGGACCCGAGTCAACGACCTTGATCTGGATTCTGATCCTTTTTCTTCCTCTTCGTTCGTTCTTACTTCTATCACCCACCATCGGCTTCCATCACCGCGTGGGAGTAGAAAACCATGTACTACAGCACCGAGCAAAATTCAAATTGCATCCATTCCAGGCAGGAACACCGATCTACCAGTTACGAGGCGCATTCGTATGATATCCCGCCGCGGGTCAAGACCCGGATACTCAATGTTCAATCGCCCTCGGTTTTTTTTGCTCCCTTTTCAGAACAGTAGTGACACACGCAAGCCCTGGAGCAACCCCATCGTATTATACAACTGTCGTGCATCATGCATGATTCAGAATCTATGGGATACTCATCACACAAGTATTCCGTCCAATCGCACGTTGACTTTTAATAGACAGCCCGCTGGATCATAATCACGACGATAAAGTCCAAGAAGCAATCAAACTGACAAACAACGGAGGATGGATGTTTCCAAGTAATCTTGGGTAGTGAGTGAACTGCTGGATGACTTGTACCATCGTCTTGTTGTTCACCCACTACCCAAACATCAACTGCGTGGCGTTTGATTCTTCCAAGCTATGTAGAAGGAGCTGGGACTTTATTTTTTCTCGTGAGTCCTTGGTCAGTAGCGAATCGAGCTCGGACTGACGATCGCGAGTACTTGATTCTATCAAGATAGCGAGCGGGGGCTGAAAATGGGTCTCACGCCTTGGACCTCCATCGACTTTCATCTTCGTCTTGCTTCTATCACCCGCCACCGGACAACAAGGCGCATTCGTATCATAGAATAGGCACGGGGCGACATGCTGATTCTATCATACGCATGCGGCTCACTCAGTATTCAGCGCTCTGTCTCTTTTTGATGTGTTATAGCAGTTGTGTCGTTTACAGAGTCGAAGGCATCGTGTCGTGTCGCCATAATATGTGAATTGGGAGTCGCACGTTGACTTGACGACACAGAGATGGGCATCATATACGGTGTCGAATTGCGATAAGATACAGATAAAGGATAAAGTACAAGGTATTACTTGTTGCAGGTGCGCCGTGACGATGAAGGGCGCAGGATACGGATCTGTGCTCATGGCCTGATCGCAATCTTCACTGCTTTTCTGCTATTCATCTTGTCCAAGGCCAATTGGTAATCCTCGAGCTTGAACACATCCGTCACCATTCCCTTGACTTTGACCTTTCCGCTATCGAGGTATGCGACTGCTCGTGGGAAGCAGTATGTCTGCGAGAAGGAACCGATGATCTGGATAGGCGCATCATCAGCATCATATCGAAGTTATAAATAAGAAACTCACAGTTATCTCATCCCCGAAGATCTTGGACGGGGGCCAATGAACGAGCGCCTTATTCTCATACACCCCATAAATCATCAACGTCCCACCCCTCCTCACATATCCAATCGACATATCGGCAATCTTTTCCACGCCAGTAGCCTCTACCACGACATCGAAGCCATATGGATTATCTTCTTTGAGTTTCTGCCACTGTGCATCGGGATTCTGGCGATCTAATTCGATGTATTCATCACCAGCGTCGAGTTCGCGGGCGATGTCCATCTTGATGCCTTTGTTGGCGGCGATGACGACACGGGAGGCGCCGTTAAGCTTGAGGAGCTGAGCGAGGATGAGTCCGGTGGGTCCTGCGCCGAGGAGGAGGACTTCAATGCCGACGGGTGGGTTGAGTTTGTCGAGGCCGTGGATTGCGCATGCGGCTGGTTCCAAGAGGGTTGATTCTTCGTCTGTGAGGTTCTTGATCTTGTATAGCTTCTTTTGATGGCTGAGATATGAAATTAGAATTTGGAATGAGAATCGCGTGGAAATGATGGGCTGTGCTTACTATACGATGTATTCGGCGAAGCCACCATCGAGAGTGACGCCTCTGGCGTTGAAGTTCTCACAGAGGAGGGAATTGCCGCGTCTGCAGTAGAAGCAGTTGTCGCACTGATATTTTTATAGTGTAAGGAGATTGTTTCAGGTGTGGAGTGAGACTTACGGTTAGGCCTACGTCAGCAACACAGCGGTCGCCGATCTCGAAGCCTGTGACGTCCTTTCCCATTTCGACGATTTTTCCTATAGCTTCGTGACCCGGGATGAGCTGGGAGTGATAAGCTTAATAGGGAGTGACGTCATTGACGATAAGGGGGACTGACCGGGAATGTGGATATGAATTCCCCGTCGTGAATGTGTCCGTCTGTGCCGCATACACCTATGCAGAAGATATGGTTACGGTGGGTTCGAGAGGGTGTGGTGTGGATACTACTGACCGCAACATGATACTAGGGTTTTTGGTGATTAGGAAGTGAGTATTATTGTTAAGGTGGTGAAAAGGTACCTTTCAAGAGTACATCGTTGTCACCGACTTTGGGTATTGGGACTTGCTTAATCTCAAAGTCTTGTGGCTGTCGCTAGGTTAGACGATGGTGAGGGTAACGGTAGTGGAGGATGGGTACCTTGTTGTACCACAGAGCTCTCATGGTACCTTCAGGCATTGCGAGTAAGTGTAGTGAGATTTAGAAGGGGAAGAATGATTTTTTTGATTAAGAGTATCCAAGCTGGCTTTTATCCCCAGAGTTCTGCTATTGGATTTGATCAATATCGGTGACCAATGATTTGTTATTGGTAATCTTAGGTTAGGGTTGGGTTCACTCTGCTCGATACCCCTAGGACTCCAATTCGAGGCATAACTCACTCGCACATGGAGCTCCTTTAGCTCTTGGTGGAGCTCTTCGTTATCATTTTCGGATCAACTCTCGCTCCCCTAAGTTCAAAGTTTCGCACGCCACATTCCTCAGATAGACACAGTACTCATGTGCGCAGAACGAGCGCCTCTTGCTCGCTAAGCCCTCCCCCGGATCTTCTTGGGCCGGTGCACTCTGCATCCTCCTTGCTCTACCCCAAACCGCCGAAGAGCTTTGCCTGCTTGAATATATTCGCAAACTGAAAAGCGAGGTTCCGTATGGACGTCGTGATGTGCGAGGACGGCTGCGCGCACTAGGGCCCAGTCCACGATTCGGGTCGTAATATGGCTTTTGGTCAACATAGACCTATATAACTCGTGTCATGATATCATACATATTCTGGAACCTTCAATACAATTCTCATACCCAAAATAAAACAGATAACGCGGCCTCGCAACCCAACCATTCTCTCAGACAACCCGGCCTCCCTCTGCATCCTACTCGTACACTCATGCCCCGCACTGTAACCCTCTTAGCATTCCCCTCCCCAACTTCAAGACCCTTCACAAACCCGGCTGAAGCCACCCACAGCACAAGCCTGTCCACAAAACGGATTGGAAGCGTCCTTGGCGCGGTACGCCAGTTGTGCAGGGTCATGCGTTTCCATGCATGTCTCGAACGATGTGGGGGGATTCCGAGGGTGAGGCAGGGTTTTGGGAGTGTCTACGAGTGTGCATGAAGTAGCTAGATGGGTCGGGTACTTACCGCAATCTACGTCAAATGTCCTCCAAGACTGAGTCATATTGTCTATACCCCATTCCACAATCATCCATTCACCCAAGGATGAGGAAGGTGGTCGTGTGGTATGGAGATGAAGAAGCCTGCGTTTGTTGTCCCATCTTCGTCTTCCTGTGCATATTGATGAAGGGATGTAACCGGGGCTGCCGGGCGCAGAACCTCACCAGTGACAGTGTCTAGTTTTGTCCCCGTGGAACAACTCCCCTCCACCAGTCAACATTTACATGCTGGTCTCGGGAATATCTGCATCTCATGCCTGTTGTTCCTCACGCCCGACATGAGTCTACTAAGCTAGAGAGGACTGATGATTCAATATCGGTTTCGTTCAGGTCTTGATACTTCGCGCTTCCGTACATGCACTGTCCAATGACTTCCACTCTAACACAACATAACCGTCATAATTAAGGGACTAATAATTGTTGATCAAAGTTCTCGAGCATGTTGCTGGCTGCAGTCCTCAACTCCGTCACAGCAATAGTGATTCCCTCTCCCTTCTCTAAACCTTGTATCTCCGGTCCCATCTCCTGCTCTAGATGTTCGAGAAAATCATCCACATTTCGAATGAACCGCTCGAGATCAGATTTTGAAGCAATCTGCATATACTTCTTTGTGCCATCCACAAGAACAAGAAAGTGCTCGAAACAGCGTGTGTTGTAAAAATCATCTGGAATACGGTTCCACGCGCTTCTCATCACGTCCCACCACTGCTGCTCTGTGACAGAACTGAGTGATGTAACCGACGTCTGTTTAGGTGCGATCCTAAGGAGGATACCAGCTATGTAAAAGGCATGCGTGCTGTAGCCGGCATCGCAGTATACTGGAATCATGCTAATGCACCGATCTATGTGGCGATCGCCAGACAAATGGGGGTGCCAGTTAGAATTCCTTGCGAGGGCGAGGACCAGCTCGACATAGCACAAGTCGCGACCATAATCGAAAAAGTTGTCAGGATCATCATTGGCGGGTGTTGTACCTGGGTGCGGATAAAGCACCGACAAAATAGCAAGGGATAGCTTGGTCAAAACCATGTCCCGTAGCCCTGCATCATCAATGGTATCGATCGAGGCTATTTCTTCTCGTGCACCGTAAGTAGCGCGAAGAGCGGCATGGCGTAAATGGTCAGGCATGTTACTGTCCATGCAGGCGATGAGCTTTTCGATGAATAGATGTTGTTTAGCTGGACTGCAGCACACCCCCATACTACCCAGTAGCAAAAGGATGTCATATGCCGCTTCATAATCGTCGGAATAGATGAAGTCGAAGTAGTCCACCACCCAGTCGAAGTCTTCTGGCGAGTGCGATTCGCCTCTCCAGCAAGACTGTTTATCCCACACCTGGGCAGGGTCCCGAAGAACATTGGCAGCAGCCAACGTGAATCGCAGGACCTTTCGCAGAGCTGCCAATGAAACTGAGGCATTTTTTTGTTCGGATGACCTCCCTCGTAAATAAACCTTCCTGCACACGTCAAGGTCCCGCAATGTGTGTAATGAAGGACGATCGTAACGTCCAGCAAGCTCAAGGATGCGATAGATAATCTCGAGAAGGTTCTGTACCCGGCGTGCGACCCCTGTGCTATCTTTGTCGAGCTCGCCTCCATCCCATGCCCAGAGAGCCTTTTGGAACTGCACTAAAAGGGACTTCTTGAGTCGAGGCAGAGCAGAACTACGCAATTTCTTTGTTAATCATGGCAGAAAAACTGCTAAATGAGTCGATAGCACCTTTTATCAATCCGAACTATGTCTTTCTTGTCAACCTGAGTCCCGACCATGACGCAAGCAAGAAGAGTGCAATTGGCTACGATTTGATTCGACGGAGAGATTGGAGATAATAGCAATTTTGATATCACAGTTATCCCGAGGTCTTCTATGCCTTTAGTCACTTGCCCAGTAACAAAGTGATAAGGAAGAAGATGGGACAATTGTTTAGGGACGGTGTCAGGGCAAGCCTCTGACCAAAAAATATGGAATGGATATCTATTGCAACCTGGACGGGAAAGATTCATAGTCGTGTCAAACACCGTGCCGTTGACTGTGCGTACGCTCGCCATCAAAATATCATCAAACACGGTATGGTCTGGTCTCCCGCGGACAATACAATTGCTACGACCAGGATATTCCTGGAGAACACATCCATAGTATAGATGAGTTAAAGCCATTGTGCATGCCGATGCGCTTCTGAATGTCGACGCAACTCGTAAAAATATCAAACAGCTGATGCAGTATGTCAGAAACGTCAAGATCCAGGGGCCATTCGACCTGCGGAACAAGCCTGGCAGCAGCGAGAAATACTTCAGGATCCGTAGATGTCTCGAGTAGCCAGATAACGCTCGTCGCTTCGAGATGGCCGCTGGGTATGTCCGGGAGGTCGAGGGTAAGGGTGCCATCATTCTCCGCCAAAACATCCAGACCCTGGTTGAATGGTTGTGCTTCTGGGTCCACAACCTCTGTCGAAGAGTGCGGAACCAAAGAACGCAGCCCTTTGTTAAGCGCAGTGAAGAACAGCTGAAGGGAACTTCGTGCGAATACGCCAGTGGCACGAATAGGGCCTGTAGAGTGAGATGAGCATTGGGTATCTGTGAAAGAGTAGATAAGAACGTAACCTGCCAGTGCTTCGGAAAATCGGGCCCAGCTTGATCTGAGGGTAGCAAGCAATGGTTGCAGCACGCCTGACAAGAAACGGTCAAAATATGAGTATATGTAAGAAAACGTGCCTCACCGTCCGTTGACGTCGCGAGCCGCTGCAAATGCCTGGAGGCTGGTTCGAACATCGAGCGCAGAACTCCTGCAATATTGATTTAGACTGAAAATGATAACCATCAAAACTATAAAAATAGCCTTACTGTCGATGCGCAACATACGCAGCACCATCGACATTGGCGTCTGGAATGGACAGGCCGGAGATATCAAACATGCCATCACTGTCAGCGAATAGAACAGAAATCCGAAGACCGTCGTGGAAATGATCACCCAGGCTATGCTGGGGTGCTCGTACCACATGTTGGCGCCGAGGGCAATTCCAAAGAGAAGAAGGGAGATCTGAAGCAAGACCGGAAAGGATTGCACGACGGCATCAAAATACCATGTGACGAGGCCGTCGAACTTTTCTTGTCTGCGTTTGCCTCGTTCTTCCTGCGAGCCGCGACCATATCTGTTCGACTTGTAGTACCCGAGCCACTGCTTTCCCAGTACGGCCCCGAATGCTGCTAGCAAGCTCATGGATAAGCTTGCGTATACGACCATTTGGATTCTCAGAGTCGACTCGGACGGCGACCACGTAGATGCTGGTTCTTTGGGAGTGGTGCCCGCCTGAGCGAGGTTGCCGAGTCCGATCTGCACGAGTTGCTTCAAAAGCGCATTCGTGGTGTCGCTGGGGTCAGGACTGAGATTGGACTCCATCGCGACGATGAAAGACGTGCTGACAGCGGAGAAAAGACCAGACTGATCAAATATCAATCTCACAATACGTGAAAGATAAGCACGCCAAACTTACGAAGATCAAGACGATGTCCATGTCAGTAGTGTATCGCTCGAGGAACTCGCCATCGTGTTCCTCTGCGACTCTTTTGTACACCCCCCAGAAACGAGACCGATTGTCCTTGCCAATCTTCGACGCAATGGTCGAGTCCTGGAGAACATCCAATACTTGCCTCATGATATTTGCTCTGCGTATACAGTGTGGTCAGTTGCAATCACTCGGCTCATTTGTCACTCACAATTCGTTGAGACTCGGATTTGGCTGGTCCTTCTCCGCCACGATATTTTCTGTCTGGCTGAGACAATTCATGAGCTTGTTTAAAATACAAATCACCATTGATAGGAACTTACGGAGCTAAATTGTCGTCCAATGCAGCCTTGAAAGCATTTTCCTGTTCGTGAGGTTCTGATGACTGAGAGGGCCCAGTGTTCGGGCTGCAGTTCTGGTGAGGAGTTGCACACAAACATCAGGGAAGAGTCACTTACATCACTGATCGTAACTCCATCGCTGAAAATCCGCTACTTTCCTGTTATACGGGTGCCAGATCCCAGGAAACCGCAACTTACTCTGAATCCTGCGGGAGTCCTGGATTATCCTGTTCTGGGGCAGGCTGCTCGTTGGTATGGGCGCGCTGGTCCTCATCACCGTCAGTGCTTGATGCCTTTGACATGAAAATGTGATAGCTATAAGTATTTGGACCCGACGTTGAAGCCAGTGGAATTGGGAAAAGCCTGAGCGCACAGAGATAAGCGGTGGGTATACAAATACCTTCGGCGTCAACAATGTCATACACGTGTTCATGGTGTGAAACCCGTCGAAGAGCACCTGGTATGCCACCTACTAGACTGGAAAGCACAGTTTCGCCGGTTTGGAATACGGATGGCAGTCGTGACGCGTGATGAAGTGATTGCACACTACTAGCTAGGACGTAATCAACCGTAATGTGGTTTTCGGTCAGTGTCTACTATATATAATTACAAACATATTCCGAATCATAATACATCCTTTAATAAAACTCTCGTCCCAAAAATCAGACAAACCCTCACAACCTCAACCACTCCCTCACAAATAACCCAGCCTCCCTCCGCATCCCACTCGTACATTCATGCCCCGCCCCCTCCTCCACCACAACCCTCTTAACACCCCCCTCTCCAACTTCAAGACCCTCCACAAACTCGGCCGATGCCACCCACGGCACAAGTTTATCCTCCTTCCCCGAAAGCACCAACACCTTCTTCCCGAAAAACGGATTGGAAGCGTCTTTTGCGCGGTACGCCAGTTGTGCAGGGTCGTGCCTTTTTACGTATGTCATAAAGGAAGTGGGGAAGTAAGGTGGGGAGATGGGGATGTTTGAGGATTGGGCGCGTTGATAGATTAGTTTCGTGTAGTCGGGACAGCCGATTATGGGGATTCCCAGGGTGAGGCGGGGCTCTAAGGGATTGTGAGTGTGGATGAAGTTGCTAGATGAGCTGGGTACGTACCTCTAGAAAGCGCAATCCACGTCGAATGACCTCCAAGACTCACACCGCCTATACCCCATTCCACAATCGTTCGCTCACCCGAGGGATAGAGGGAGGAAGGAAGGTGATCGATTAAGAAGGACACGTCTTGTGCTGTACCGGCTTCGTGTGGGGTCAGATTCACGATTCACGTTTAGTACCGGTTGTAGCCTGGACATACTTTGGATGGTATACATGTCTACCCTGCATTCGAATGAGGGGACATTATCAGCTTTATGAATAGACAGCAACGTACGCATGATGATCATTATTCTCGGCCGGTTCTTTGCTCCACGCGAAATTTCGCTGCTTGCTCACGAGTCTCGGCCCGTGGTTCCTGTGATCCTTTTCCCCCACCCACCATCATCATTTCTTCCCTACGAAGACGAAGCAAAGAATGACTCACAAAAGTGACGACAATAAGATCTTTCTTCCTCTCTCCCCCGCCCAATCCATAACTCTCAGCAAAAATAACTTTAACAGCATTGATTATGTATTCATCTTGTGCGCTTCCGAAGCGGCCGTGGAGGAAGAAGAGCACGTGGATGGGGTGTGTGGAGCTAGTGGTTGAGGTTGGGTGGGAGTAAACGTCGACGAGGAGACCACCGATTGGGAGGGTTTGTTTAGTGGGCTCCATTGTGGGTGCGAGAGACTAGTGTGGTATGATGATGGGAAGGACTCAGTATATCTAACATATATAAGCTGCCCAACTCGCTGGGCACCTGATCAGTCGCTGTCATGTGCGCGTTGATATTAATATCAGTGTCTCGAAGCCAGCGTTCTGATGACATAGACTCACATTACGCCAGCGGGGTCCAACTTAGGCTTGTGATTATCAAGATTTAAACTTTCTCAGGCACCCTGAATAGATAGTTCCTCGTCACGCGTAGAGTCGTCGCGCATTAATGCATTATGGGTGATGAACAGGCTTAAAGCTAACCCTCGAGTAAGTGGACCAATGCCGCTGGAAACCAACCCTTCAAATAGAGTATTCACGGATAACATGTCGACATTCGAGCTCTTCCAAAACGAAATCGATCGGCCTTACAACAAACCAATCTCCTGGCCCGTGTGCCTTACTAGTCACTCGAAATTTGAGAGACGACGAGATAACCGAACTACACATACACTCCGAGAAACGACCCTCCACACTAAAGTCTTGCTCATCATGTCAATGTTTCAACGTTGTATCGATTATCAGGCATTCTTGATTAATCTTGATTCTTGCCATGCATAACCTATAATTCACGTCAAAATATTCGAATCAGGTTTTCACTGAAGCAATTTAATATCGATCAGGAGGATTTCAAATACTTTGCGTCCACCCCACCAAGCTACTCAGAGCATTTAGTCCGAAACTGATAAATTGGGGAGAGCAGAGTCTGATGGATCATGCAGTACGTCCCTTCACCTGTACCTGCCCATATTAGCCCTCTTACAACCTATACAGAGTCCTGCGTATCACCTTACATATCCCAGCCCAGCACATAGTCACGGGTATGCTTCAAGGTATTTAAGCCACCGCCGCCGCCCTGATCCCCATCATGCTGTGAGTTCTGTCAATGAGCAGGGATGGACCATCGCAGCTTCTGAGCCAAATTCATTATGTGATAGGGACGGAACAGTTAGTTTCAGTGTCACATTGTGCTCGACTCGTCCTCGACTTTGATCTCCAACTCTATTTTCGAGGCCGGGCTGCTGCCAGCGTGGTACGTATGGGCAAGTTGTGCTTGGGTCTTTACGAACGTGCTGATAACATCGCCAAGAGGCAAGCGGTCAGCGCTCGGAGCCTGCTGCACGTGGTGTGTGTAACTCTAACAAGGAGGTAGGCGTAGGCATGTTTTTTTTATAGAAGTGGCGTGTTCCTAGTCTGCATAGACTTCAATATGCCCATGAACCTAGTTGCGCCAACCCGACGTCCTATGAGTACGTTGTTTACTGTCGTTGTTGATAGAAATCTCATTTTGTTAACTAGCAGGTTGATGTTTGTCAATCATTCACTGATCTCTTCCAGGCGATTAATGTTTGACGTCGCACAATGCAAGGATGACTCAAAGATTTTAGAGGTTATGTTGAGGGCGACAATCATGTCGATCACACGTTTCCGTGGTTGGATTTCTCAGAATTACTAGGCGAACAACTCGTGCAGCTCAGAGCAAGCTTCGGGGTCGCGGGCACACATGCGGATAGACTCACGTTTGGCCTGGCACCCAAATTGGCATCGTTCCTCTTGATTTTCATACTGCGATGACGCATCAACTATCTCGAGCTAGTCTTTAGACCATGTAATCCCATTGCTAGACGTACAGCATGAAATATGCCCTTCGTTCTCGGGCTGAACATATCATGATACCAAGACTACTAGTTATCGAGTGTTTTTTAATTCGCTAAACTAGTAGTAATGAAGTATGTGTGAGTAATACCGTTAAACGACAACGTGGAACATATTTTGCAAACAATGTGATTCGAATGATAAATCTTTGGCGGGGACGTGGTACCATATGCCCGAGCCCTACTATTACAGATTCTTTTACTGTACTAATAGTACTGCTGCTAGAATGAGTTGTGAGGGTCCTGAGGGAAGGTTGCATGTTGAGTGATGTTACATGCTGTGTCTTTTGACCATGCAACGCCTGAAGCAACCCTTAAAATAATGAGCTGGGGTGTCAAAACCTAGTAAATCGTCAGTGCAGGACAGTTCAATGTAGTAGTGCAAACGAACGTACCATGAAGGCTGCCCAGATTATTTCTATCCCCATCGCACATGGGGCACCTTGGATATAGGTGGCAAGGGAGATGATTCCCAGAATTGTGAAAGGGAGGGTAGACTCCACCAAAATTGCCACAATGCCCGTGTAAATATTCCTCTGTTCGTCGTTAAGAAAAGATCGTACTCTACGATAAAAGTATAGCAGCCGGGAAATGATCAATGCAGTCACGGTGATGTTAAAGCTGACAGTTAGCGCGATCCATGAAATGGCGAATTGTGCGGGAAGGCCCCGCCATAGATTTGACATGGGCATGGCACTCTCAATCACCATCATGACAGCCATAGCTGCACAGAGAAATGGTTAGTTTGGCGCAAGACGTACAGCACAGCACGTACTGGTAGATCCCAGGTAGATAATTCCAGGGATGACAATTACTGGTAATCTTGACCCCCAAATGATGTAACAGCGATAAAGCTTTCAAGATGTATATATGAGCATTGGAGTGCCGAGCTCAATAACAATATATGTTGTAAACTCACCAAGAGTCCATCTGTCATCATATTTGCGAGACACATTGCCGCTGTGGCAAAGGCATTGTACCAAGCGGCCATATTTGCAGCAAAAAATGCAGGGGGGCCACCAGGGTTGTTTCGCCTTTCTATCCACATGAGTTCGCAGAAGGTGATATTACCTGCGGTACTGATTGTCAAAAGAAGCAAAAGAAAGCCTCCAAAATATATGTAGAATATTCTGTGCTGCACTTGCTTGCTTGAGGTCATAAGCAGGTAGGTAGAGTAGGCATATAGGAATAAATTTCCTCCTTTGCGTACGAGGTGTCCACTGTCAACAAGAGACTATTACTCATATGATAGAAATTCACCATAAACAGCTGTGGAAATCATATTTCCAACATACAGAGCACGTTCCGTAGCGAGTTCGGTGGACGTCATGAGGGACACAGAAAAGGGCACTGTAGGTTGGTTGTCACTAGGACTATCAGCGTTTTAGCCGCACTAATACATAAAACAACGATAGTTATAGGATCACGGCTGAGCACATTTCTGACTCACTCGGACAGAACCCAGGCTGATACGGTCATTCGAAATTGCTAGACTGGTGACCAGTCTAATCAATTGTGACTAGTACTTAGTAGGGACGCCCCCACGGCGAAGCTGAAAAGACCGGTAGATCCGTAGATAACCGTGACATGATGGTCATTGATTGCATTAGCAAGACGGAGCCTGCGGAAGTTTCCGGCACCACACGTCCAGCTGATTCTTTTCTCCTTCTTCGCCACCCATCCCCTCGACGACTCCCTTCCGCTCTTTCTCGCTCCGGACTTCGTTATTTTACTCCCACACACCTCTCCCTTAGTATTCTGTTACAGACATTAGTTTCATTCATCTGCATTCAAGTACATACTAAGCAATACAAATTCTGGTTTTCGGATCATTAAGCATATGTTCCAACTTCCTGCCCTTTCCATTCGTGGCACGTCCGAATTCGCGACCAGTTGTCCACTCCGAGCTACGCTCAGACCAGCCCAACCACCACAAGGTCGTGTCATCGAAGTCGCAGCAAGCCTACTAGCGCAGACGAAGCTGGACCACGCATTCACGTTTGATTTACGTTAACATGTCTATTCCGAGTCTCACTGAACTATGCACAGCCCATCATGTCATTCGTCCTTCAAGTTGCTGCGACCCGACTCAATACAATCATTATTTTGTGTTCCAAGTTAGCTCACAACTGGATCTCTTGCAGACTACAGTACGACAACCACGAGCCCAAAGCAGCGAGCAGTTGATTTACTCTCTACAGTTTCTGCACTGGACAACCTACGAGTCCCTACTTACTCCAGCCAGAGATTGCATCTCTGACTCGGAGGCCTGACATCATTGATAAAGTTCTGCAGCCTGTTGTCTGCCTTATCTCTTTCAATCATACTCTCGGACTCAATGATTTTCACCGGACCAATCAGACCTTAGATTTGGTATCTGACTGTTTCACCATCATGCGATATTTGCGTGGCGCTTTGATGATGTCGAAACTTAATGCCAGATTTGGTATATACTAGTGCCCATGTGCCCGAGGGTTCTAAGTCTATTGTGAGAACGTTCACCGATCAATAACTTTCCGTGCAACTTGATGGCATACTACTAGGGTGAATGTTTTTCACCGGACTAATCGGATTTAGTATCTGGCTGATGACCATCACATCACATGGCGTTTTGAAGGTGTTGTGCCAATGCCCATGTGCCCGGTCGAGAGTCTGAGACAGAGAGTGTTTAGGCTTGGATGAGTACGCCTATAAGTGTGACACCTTCAAGGAAACAAGGCTATGTCGGTGTACCAAATGGATCGTCACTGGAAATTTTGTCCAAGTTTCAATTGAACACATAAGAACGATCATGATGATAAAGATCCCGTACTAAGATGATTAATAGTTTTTAGTACGTGGAATTATCTTTCAATTGTGCCACATACCATGAACAACTTTCCGTACAAACTGGCTATCGTTAACCAGTTAACAGGTATCCAACCTATCTATCATCACCGTTGCTTGCCACATAGCTCAAGGATGCCACAGAATCTCAGTTAGACGAGTCGGTCGGATGTGTGTCAGAGGTTATGTCGATTGTAAGATAGCCTTCAAACTATCGACAGCGTAGTCGTGATGCTCTTCCAATCCAGCTCCATCTCTTGACGCCATGACTGGTGGAAATAAGAGTCTCGAGGGGCCATTGTTCCGCGCGATGATCAGGGCCTGCCTGCTAGCCGGAAGAGTATACACCGCAATAGTTATTAGTACAGGCGCCATTGCTGGATTAGCTCTCTGGTTTCCTCCAGGGAAAGCTCTTTGGCAAAAGTCAGTTGCAATCTTTGCTGGTTACTTAACCTGGCTCACCATCAGAAGCGATGCACAGAAGAATCTTGGCTTCAACCAGTTCTTGGAGTCTCTGTCACCCAAGACTAGAGAATGGTGGATTAACACTGTAAGTTAGTACCGATTCTCGCTGTTCTTGCTGTTGATGTCTCTGTCATGTCACAGTATGGTTCTGCACTGGCCCCGTTTATCAAGACGGCTCTGTCTCCTCATGTGCGTCCAATCCTGTCATCCAAATTTTTCTTCTAATTAGTCACTTTCTAGACTGTCGAGAGCTCCTGGTATCTGAATTGTATTTGTGTGGATCCGAAGTATCAACGCCAAGGAATCGCCACAAACCTGATCAAAATGGTGGAACAGCAGGTGCGGTGTTCCTACTCTGTTTGCTATATATGCATGATTTCGTCCTATCTGCAGGCAATGACGACCTCCATCCTTGCGCTCTGCACGGATACCGATGTCAATGTGCGTGATTAAAGGGGTTGCTAAAAACTCGCTCATCGCACCACAGGTTGCGGTATACAAGGCGCTCCACTTTCAATACAAGGGAGAAGCGCCTCTACCAACTCCAGACAATGAATGTATCGATGTACATTGTTTCACTAAGCCTGGCGGGCGTTGAATGTATTGGCAGGCGGTCTTATACCTACCGGCGAATGTTCTCGAGTGTACTTTTTACGTCTACATCAATCTTCGCTAACCATAGATAGAAGAAGGCTCAGAACCATCAGTTGTTAGAGGCCGCGCAGAAGACGGTTTTGAAAATGAGAAATGAATGCCCTTGAGAGGACACTGAACAGAACGGACTCGTGAGTTTTCTATGTAAGTTCAGTAACGAATGTGGTATCACATGGAAGGGACGGACTGAGCGGAAATTTGAACGAGGGTAGCGAATCATCTGAGTCTATGTAAGAGACCAGGGAAAGAGGCAAAACGAGGGTAGGTACGTGGAATCAGTATGTATTATAAGAATGTACAGAGATGTAGCGAGTACGGGTTGAAAGACAAAGGTTGGGGTATACTCTATATTTGACAATTTGGTTGGCGACAATGGCCATCTTCGTCTACTCGCTTGGAGGAATTAATGGAGCCTTGAATCTATCGATGACGCCCATCATTCGGTGATTCCACAAGCCTTGCCACCCATGACCGCCAATCCGGTAAGAGAGATTACAGGTTTCAGAGCAGGAAGACTACCTATTCCGATTCTGGGTATCTCGGCCGTCTGCGCAACTTGCTCAATAGGTAGAATAAGATATTCGTCTTGTGGCGAGACTGCGTTTCCTTTGTCTGCTGCAGCTCTGGGCTGTGAGCTATTTGACCTTGTTCAAGGTCCAAGCCAACTTCGGAAGTTGGCATTATCGGTGAGGGAGAAACGACCTGAATTTGAACCGAGCCAGGGTGAGCCTATAATTCAATCACGTCAAAACTTCCCTGTATTCATACCAAGAACGCTTACCCATATCAAAGTAAGTCGATCCTGTTCCAAAAAAAACCGGTCAAAGTGACACGTCGAGAAACCCGTAGGGCAGACAGCAGTAGTGTAAGGATTATTCGTGATAATGTCTGCATCGTCTTTTGTGAAGCACGTCTGAGCCACCCGACCAGGCCTGCGGATGAGACGACCTGGTGAATTACAATCGTAGACATTATTCGAATGTTCTGAGCGAGAAATGGCTCTATTGAAGTCACAGATGTGTACGTAGAAGGCACCCTCTGCAGGGAGTTCTTCCAATCTTTGTCCAGGTTCAGGAGCACGATCCCGAGGCAAAGCATATGCCATTTTGCTGCCGAACACGCTGATTCGGTGGCTTGGATGATGCGGAAAGTAGCGTGCGTACTTGGGGCCCCACTCTGACCAAGGAATCTCGACAGGTATCTCTGACTGTGTGGCCTTTGTTGCAAAAATGGCCATATCGACGACTATAATCACCTGCCATGAGAGCGACAGGACCTCCAAAACCATGATTTGTGACTCCAGAGATGTCACGTAGTCAGGTATAAGGTCTGGGTGAACCGCTTGCCCATGAAACGATGGGGTTGCATGAATAACATAGCGCGGTAGCAGTGGTCCCACATAATGATAGAAGTCAAGGCGTCGTTGCACACTCGGAAGGACATACGTAATTCGGCGCCGAGGCGAACCATCGAGTTCTAATGTGTACAAGGCCATACGACCTTCCGTGCCGATGACAATGATCCTCTGTTCGTCAAGTAGATGGAAACTCGCCTTATACCCACCCAGTTCGGTTAAGGAATACTGCTCATGCTTAGTAACAGAGTTTCAAGAACAAAGTGAACTTACACCCTTCGCATGTCCTTTCCTCCAATCTATCACTTGTATGAAGATGTTCGACGTTGATCCGTTGTGGCTCTTGTAGTAATATAGTGCCACTACACGATCCCCACAGATCGCTGGCTGATCCACAAAGCGAAGATCATGGTCAGGGTCCATTTCACAAGGATGCATGCACTCCAAAGAAGTGCTTGCAGAATCTGGGTGCGGACGTTGCGATGAAGCCAACCGAAATGTCATCGAAAAGACGCGACGATCTAGCATATCAAAGACGCCGTACGACGACACCATAACGGTAAGGTCCTGAAGAGGGTCAATGACAACTGACTTCATGAGGAAGTGCATGTCTACCAGCGAGCCGAAGCTCTGCTCCGGCCACGTCTGGGTTGATTTGAAGTTTGTGTCACACTCCCGAATGAAGAGTCTATTATAAACCCACATCCACCAAATCCCACACTTCACGGATTGCAAGCCGGGAGTATACGGGCTGAGAATATCCCCAATAGCCACTGTTTGTTCAGAAACGGAGTTCAAATGGAAATCAGATTGCCACATGGATGCCAATCTCTTGAGTGAATACATCTTGCTAGAAACGTCGACCCAGTCCAGGGTGGGAGTCTCCGTGAAGCCCTGGGCATAAAGCTCCAATAGGATTTGAACGTCGACGAAATTCTGGGCCACATGCCAGAAAGCTTTGCAGGTCTAGCGTAATCCAAAAGTCAGCCCATAAAAATCATAGAACCACGTGAAAGAACGGACTAATACACAGTATGAAAGGTCTTTGAAATGAAGGAGGAGAAGAATATGACATATTAACTCTGTTGGAAGCGAGAATATCCCTATAGCTATCGGTGTAGTTATGGCTTTAGAAGAATCTGAGACTTCAAGTTGCAACTCGAAATTTTCATGGTCTTCAGAAAGGGGTCGAATTGGCTCTTCCACACTTGACCTAGGAAGAGTCGAGGTCCTATCCACCACGGTGATAGTTTTAGAAGAATCTGGGACTTCAACGTGAAGGAAGTTCGGGTCTTCGGGAAGGGACCAAATCTGCGCTGCCGACCTTGCCCTAGGTGCTTTGAGGATGCGCTGGTAGCTGCTGGCGCACCCCATGATCCTGTGAGTGTGGATGATGGGAGATGTTGCAGTTGAAACGTAAAAGCTTACGAGTTACTATATATTCACTGTGGGAAGTACAATGACTTTCGGCCGTAATTTGATAGCTTGTACACAACGAGTCACAAGTTTTATGTAGTATATTTTTGTTCTTTCGATTGCTTTCACAATTTTCTATCCTCGACTGTCAAAATGGCCGATGCACTCTCCAGAGTGCTTGCGAGGTTGCAAAATCTACCTGTGATGTCTCTGCCCACAGATTACCCGCGATCGACTGGTGCTAATAAACTCATCGAAGCCGCTCATCTGGCAGATCTTTCAGAGCAGACCTCACTCAGTCTTTTGAAGCTTGCTCTTCATGCTGAGAGCGAAGATGGCGGAGAGGACGAGAATAAAACTTCTGAAACTAAACCATCGGCTTTCCATCTATTCCTCTCTGCTTTTCTCGTCCTCCTACACAGGTACATGAACGTGCTGAGAACATTGCCAAGAGGCAAGCGGTCAGCGCTCGGAGCCTGCTGCACGTGGTGGGTGTAACTCGGACGGTGATCGCACTGCACGAGGAGGTAGGCGTAGGCATGTTTTTGGTAGCAGTGGCGTGTTCCTAGTCTGTATAGACTTCATATTCCCATGAACCTAGTTGCGCCAACCCGACGTCCTATGAGTACGTTGTTTACTGTCGTTGTTGATAGAAATCTCATTTTGTTAACTAGCAGGTTGATGTTTGTCAATCATTCACTGATCTCTTCCAGGCGATTAATGTTTGACGTCGCACAATGCGAGGATGACTCAAAGCTTTTAGAGGTTACGTTTCCCGCATGATGCACGACGCAATCGTCCAGCAAACGCTCAATAGATGCTCGCAGCGTGCACATGTCTCGCGGAATCGACCAACACATGTCTGCGATAGAAAACAATCTTGTATAATGTCTCACCACGGTCAGTGTGTCCAAGTTCCGCGACGAACACGTTTGTATTCTGGCTAAAATAGGCGCATGCCCCATGATAGGTAAGAGGCTAGGTGAAACTGTAGTAGCATCGGTGCTGACTCATGTGTTGTGCCCGTCCTCAGAAGTAATCTGCGTGGTCATACAGAACCTTTGATGTAGACAACTTTTTGCAGCTTGCAGCAGTTTCGAGACATTGTATGCGAAAAAAAAGTAAGCATCGGCACTGACACTTACACTCCCAGCAGCAGACGGATACAGCTCTATCCGGCTTCACGACTCGTCCTTCCCTCCGGTCATTTCAATTGACTTGCATCTCTTAATCTTACTGCTACTCTTCACGACAGATTCCAGCGGTGCGTTTTATCTGACCTGAACGAAGCTTTTGGCAACTTTCCCACCTATATCACGCAGCCTCTAATCTTAGTACTTCAAAGTCATGGGCCACTCCTGCTGAGGAGATGAAGTTGAGCTCTGTATTGATTGCTTATCAGACTGCATTGACGTTTATTGAAAACCAGTCTCACCACATCCAACAATTGTCGGTGCAATGGGATGATGCCGTCCGCATGCTACTTCGTTCAAACGGCTCGCATCGTGTACTCTGGAACCGAGTTGGTGAGCGCTGTTTGTGCTCTGAAATTCCCTTCCTCTGCAGAGGGAGATAATCACATTTATCACACGTTTCTGTGGTTGAATTCTCAAAATTATTGGAGACCAGGCAAACAGATTGTCCAGCTCAAAGCGAGCTTCACGCAGTGTTTGTAAGTTTTAAGTATAATTACGGGACACGAATGAATAACCATGAGTTGGGGATAGGTGCCCTACGCTACTACAACAGTTCTACTACTAAAAGGTGTGGAATTCGTCCACTCACTTATCCGGAAAAGAGTTAGTTGATTTGATCATGCTAGCAGTCGCTGAGACTTACTGCTGTATGATTGCCAAGTTGCCGGTCTTTCCAATTGATGGCAACACTGTCGTACAGCTCCCCCCAGTCTCTGCAGACGTGTGTAGCACCAACGCGGTGTTGTTCGAAGTCTCGCGTTGTAAAATCTCCTGCCTCCAGTGTCAGATCTGCTTGGCACAGTATCCATTGTCTTAGATAATTAAGACAGTGATGAGTATGCTCTTGATCAAAGTTTGGACCCGCGAGAGCCACTCGGAAGAGCCTGAGACAATGAAGCTGATGGAACATGGCCACGAAGAAAGACCGATTCTCCGCACCCAAAACTACATGTCCAGTCCCCGGGGGAGAAGTAGAAAGCCATTCCGTCTTGGACTCTGGAAGGTCTAGCGCAAATCGTACGCTTTCCTCCGCCACGAATCTCACTTTGCCCGCGTCAGGTACTAGGGACTCAGGAAAGTCGTCGCCCATGAAAGCTGAGGACATAATTTAGAATCATCCTAACCTTGGACAGGAAGTATACTGACTAAAATTTTGCTGCTGCCTTGGGGTGCGTGTTTGAATGTTCAAGTTTTCCCTTGAGAGCATTGACTTGAATATGATGCTAGTGAGCGCGATAGATACGATAGTGAGGGATACCATCATAATCAGGTAGACAAAACGTTCAAGTCGATTGTTGGGCATAGCTTGAATCATAGTGGACGGAATGGATCGCTTCAATGGCAAACTAGTACTGATAGTTATTATAAAGGCATTCAGGGTTGCAAGCACGCATGCGAATAGACTCGTGTTTGGCCTGGAAGGTATTTTTGGATAGGCTATTCAAATCTGCAGCGGGGCTATGTTGGCTATGCAATACATGCATGGCCCTTGTGCAGATTATAAGTGTGCGGCGGCTGCAAACATAAGTAAGTCTAAATATAAATTATCGATAAACGATAAACGATTGGCTGACTAACTAGTCAGCCAATTATGTAAGATCTGTCATCTTTTCGGGACCTAGTATTACATTCCTTTCCTCTGTGAAAGCACACCAAGACGAACTATGGATGATTCGGAGTCCATTAACGATCTACGATTTGGTAACTTCCTTCCTCCCAATTTCCATACTCCCCAGGCTCAGTTACGAGCATCAGCGGAAGTAAGCCATTCAGGCTCGGCTGCTAGCTCCTCAGCTCCAATGGCGGCATAATCTTCTAAAGTAGTATATGTTGAATATAGAAACGACAACTTTAATTCGATCCTAATCACTGCACTTACCTCCTCCTACATTCCGATGAGTCAACTGTGGTGCAGCGATTATGTAGACCACAAATGTTGAGAGGATGATGAGAATTTTAGAAACCATGTTACAACGACAATGGGAAATGGGTAATGGCGGAAATAGGGGTATCTTTCAGAGATTTATATCCACGCCGCGCCACGGGTATGTTCGCCGAGTTATTGATGTCTATCCATGATATATATTAACCAGTATAGTCTGCACGCCCAGTAACATGGCCCATCAGAAGATTGATCCCCGCATTAACATTAGCGCTACAGCATTAGTTATTTTGAGCTAGTTTCGAGATCATAGTATGTACGACACTATGAGGCAGGGAGGCGGTTTCCATTTTGCCTTCCAAATCGGTAGCGAGGCAGTGATGTGTGAAGTCTTGAAGGTTGCATCGATCCCGGGGCCCGAGTGATTTTGTATCACAGCCTCAAGTTATTTGGGTGGTACTATCAACTTGAACACCCTTTTGATAAATTATTAATACCTCGCTTAGTACACCTCCGAGGTGCGACCTCACCCGATGTGGTGCGCCGAGGCGTAATTTTCGCCAGCTAAGTTACGTGAATGAAGATAATCATTCCTTCTTACCACCGTGCGGTTCTGAGCTACAGCTTTTTCATTACAACTAATGTCCGTTTGGATGTTACCCCATGGTCATCTCCACAGCCTCACAGATGCATCAGTGTGAGGATGTAATTTCATCGTCAGACGTGCAGTATGAAACATGCCCGTTGACGATGAAACTAGCAAGTGTGGGAATACTAATAATATCGATAATTTTGAGACAGGCGGAAGATATCTTGCAAATAATGTGATTCAAAGCTAAATAATTCGGATGTGGACGTGGTACCATGCCCGAGCCCTACTATTACGGATCCTTACAGTTCATACTACTGCTGCTAGAAGACGAGTTGTGAGGGAAATTTGCATGCAGAGTTGTTAGAGAGATGTTAGAGGCCGTGTCTCTTGACCATGCAACCCCTGAAGCGACCCTCAAAATAATGAGTTGGGGTGTCAAAACCTAGTAAATCATCAGTGTGGGACAGCTCGTCGTAGTAGTGTATGTGAACGCACCACAAAGGTTCCCCAGACTATTCCTACCGCCGTCGCACTTGGAACACCTTGGATATAGGTGGCAAGGTAGGCGATCCCCAGAACTGTGAAAGGGAGGGCAGACTCGACCAAAATTGCCACAGTGCCCGTGTAAGTACTCCTCTGCTGATCGGTGAGAACAGATTGTACTCTGCGATGAAAGAATAGCAGGCGGGAAATTATCAACACAGTAACGATGATGTTAAAGCTGACAGTTAAGGCAACCCATGAAATGCCGGATCGTGCTGCAAGGCCCTGCCATATATCTGACATCGGCATGGCACTCTCAACCACCATCATGACCGCCATAGCTGTACAAAGCAATGGTTAGTTTGGTGCAGGATCGATAGTAAAGCACGTACCGGTAGATCCCAAGTATATAATTGCAGGTATGACAATTATTGACACGCTCGACCCCCAAATAATGTAACAACGATAAAGCTTTCGAGATGTATATATGAGCAACAGAACTCGATGATCGTATATTGTAAACTCACCATAAGTCCGTCTGTCAGAATATTTGCGGCGCAGTCTGCCGCTGTGCCAAAGACATTGTACCAAGCGGCCAAGTTTGCAGCGAGATATGCAGATGGGCCACCAGGGTAGTTTTGCTGTTCTATCCACATTAGTTCACAGATGGCATTATTACTTGCAAGGGCGATTGTCAAAAGAAGCAAGAGAAGGCCTCCGAAACCTATGTAAAATCTCCTGCGCTGCACCTGCTTGATCGAGGTCATAAGCAGGTAAGTAGAGTAGGCATATAGGAATAAATTTCCTCCTGCGCCCAGAGTGTGAGCTGTCAACAAGAAACTATTACTGATAGATACTAGAAATTCACCATAAACGACTGTGGAAATGGTATTCCCAACATACAGCGCACGCTGCGTAGCAAGTTCAGTGGATGCCATGAGGGACACGGACTCAAGGGACACTGTAAGTTGGTTGGTTGGTTGGTTGTAGCAGTATCAGCGCTTCAGCTGGTGCGCTAAGAAACCCAGCGATAGTTATTACGGCAGAATACATCTTCCTGATAAGACTACTAGTATGTGACCCACGGCAAAGCTGTGAAGACCGGTAGATCTGTAGATGTGGATACATGATGGCATTTCAGAACTCACTGATAAGCGGCAGCTCGACGGCAATACCGAAAACGATCCCGTCTTGATCCTGTCCATTCTTACTGAAAATAACTACTGCATGAATGGGGCAAGGCCTGCTACTTTTACTCATTTGTTTGTTGTCCTTGCCATTTTCTGTAGTTACCTACCTTGCTGGGTTGGGTTAGAACGGGGTTAGCCAGGTTAACTTTTTGTAGATATTTTGGAATTCTACCCCGAAAGCGAGATACCGTCTTGGTACCGTACGAGGTTAGAATAAGGACTTCGTGCGGCTGTGCAGCACGTGGCTTCTCTTACTTTTTTTTCTTTTTAGGTATACATTCTTCTCCGCTTACCACACAGCGCGCTCCAGCATCGCCCTGCCGCTTTTCTGATTTTTATTTATTTTCTGCTACAAACTCCGGTGAGCTTTGATGCGTTGATGGCTCAGATCCTTGTATGCATCCGCATGCAATGAAGACAAGTTCGGTGGGGAAGCCGGCCATGAGGACACCTTCTGCTAGTGGCAAGCAAGAGTACCGTCCTCACCAGCACCTGCTGCCGTGCGCATGTGGATTTCCGCATTTTCGTGGATGCGGATGCCCGCATTGATGCAGTACTGACACAGATGCCCATGCTTATGCTCACGCGGATGCCTTCCTATTACTCCTCATCCTCACTTCGATGTGTCACCTTGCGGCCCCTACAATCTGGGGATCCGAGGTTCACTTCACTGCGTCGCATTCACTCCTACTGATGTGGGAATCGCAGCTCACCTCGGCTCACCTTTGCACAGGTCAGGATCACTATCTGGGCTGGGTTGCCCCTTCGGGCCTTCCACCCCAAAAAACTATCTGCTTGTCTCCAAGCAGACGTTTTTCTTGTTCTCACTACTTACACAACTGTACAAGAGCGCCTACGGGGTCTTCAAATTCTATGTGCGTCGAGTCCGGAGTCTTACTTGTACTATGTAAGGTGACGTCGTAATGAAACTCGTACTATGTGCTACCACGGCATAAGCTCAGCGCTCAGCTCCAGCCTGGTTTCTCTTCACTTCCTCCAATACAGAATTCCAATTATTACACACATATGTCCCAGGTCGCACGAAAAATGGTTGTAATGAATCTTCCTTGCTTGCTAATAGTATGTTTTCCAGCTGAGCATCACTGCGACACATTATCATCTGACGCAAGTAGTTGAGGCAGTGACGGCTCAGAGCCGCATTACTGTCTGCTCCAACAATATCCTCTCGTATGATATCGAGGCAACGCAATTGGTGGAACATTGAGATCGAGAATGGGCGACCGGGCTGCTCCCCCAGATAAACAAGTCCATTACCCGGCGTTAGGCTGGCCCACTCCGCCCTCCCATCTTCAGTGTTTATTTGATAATGTACTGAATCCTCGAAGGCCATCAGGACTGGATCAGCCTGTGCTAGGGGCAACAGTCGAGGAAAATCGTCGCCAGCAAACGCTGCGGTGGAAAATCAATGCATGGTTCACATTTTAGCCGCAGGCTCGCTCACAGTAGACTTTGTTCGTTTTTTCACCGACTTGAATACTGCAGAAGAAAAGTATCATGCTAATCTTCATGAAAATGCAGAGAGCAACAATCCAGAGCCGAGTTCGGGAGTTGTTACTAGTATGTGTTGTTGCGTCCGAGTCCATACTGTACTTACAGGCAAGTCGCCAGCTTACTCTTGCGCTATTTATATCAACAGTAACGGACGTAGTATAGGCTGTGCGCTCGTACTTGTTCTCGTTTTGCTCACTCTGATGCTAAGTAATACCTAAATTAGCTCATCAGCATCGATCAGTCACGGGCAGTGTCTGATAGAATATTTACCCGTCATGTTTATAATTAAAGGCAGAGTGTTACAGCTGCCAGTAAGAAGACCGCGCGATACTACTAAAATAGTGTTGATCATGATGATCGATGAGCGCTAGTGCGGTTGGCAAGCTCGTTAGCATGATCAATTCATCATGGGGTTGGACTGCGAGTAGACTACACGTGGTGGACAAACAACTACTATTCGGAAGATTTCTCTGTAATAATATTGCCACTGCCTGCCGCACCATCCGAATTGTGGCGAAAAGCTTATCCATCATGATACAGCTATTTCAATGCACCACTGGCAGCTCCCTCAGTTTGTATCCAAGAGGCGTTCATTAGTAACCCCACACTGTACACTGACGTTTGCATAGAATATTTCATTTTTCCTACTATGTTCTGAGGCTACAAAGTTCATGTCAGACCTAGTAAACGAAGTCTCTGCCCGCGCAGTTCAGTTGCACGCCTAGTTAGATTGTTTGACTCTGATACATGTATAGCCCTGCAAGTAAGGCTAGTCAGAACATCGTCAACAATAGTGGACATAACGATCACACCTGAAGGTCCTATATCCTTGCTTGTGACATTCACAAGACAACCAGGACTAGAGCAGGAGACCGCAAATGTCTGGTATGACTGCGACTTGCACTGAAAGCTTGGCATACGATATGTCTTCCCATATGACACATTCATGTGGCCAATGTGTACCCTTGGTCGAGGAAGTTTCGACCACGACAGATTGTATAAGTCCAACTTATGTCTAGCCGGTAGAAACCAGACATCGAGAATTACAGAATCACCAAGATCCGTATAGAGGAAATCTTCTGTGGTGTCTCTTGGAGGGACGGTGAGTGAAAGGCTGCAATTCTCCATGCCGAAATCAAGCACACGAAACTGCGCGATGCTCTCGAGCTAGACAAAATCAGTCTGTTGAATAGAATCTTTATCGATGACATACTTCGTGTGTCACTATTAGACGTCGCTCGTATATGGGAGCTCTGGTTTCTCCCGTCGACTTATAGCGCTGAAACGGAGGGAGAATCTTCTGGTGCTCCTGATTAGAAACTTGAGCGATTACTGGTACATTGTTGATAATTGGATCGTGGGTAGAGCTCTTGAACTCAGGATCCTTATAGAGGATCTCGAGGTTGAGATATGGGTTCTGGAACGGGAGTAGCTCAAGCTCATCTGAAGTTGAAGCGGAGCGAAGGTGGACTCGAAGAAATCGATCCCAGAAAATCATAGAAAAATCCAAGATAGTGCATAAAATCGCGATCGCAAGGAGCCATATGGACAACGTCTGGTTGTGTTTTGTCCTCTGCGGTAAATCCCTGACATCTGAATTTTTCAGCATGGTTTCAATGAGATCTATTAACGAATTATATTACCTTCATCACCAAAATGAGTGACCTGACTGAGAGCTTGATACCCTTCTCTGGTGTTAGAAAATTTGGGCGACATGATCCAGTACTAACTGAGCAAGATTCAGACGCGGACAACTCAGTGAGCTTGGTGTTGGATCTGCTTTCGAAATCTTGGAACGGTACTTATCTGAATAGGAAATTTTGAGAACGCATAAGCTAGTAAACTTGACAAAGCGGGCTATGATACTAGACACCGCCGAGAAGCGGCATGATCAACGTGGTTGTGTGGAAAACTTTACGTTACGTACCGCAAGCTTTGATTGCAACAGCTCGCCACAGGTGAGTCTCATTCCGCAGCCGCTAGCAGAGCTACATGCAGCATAATCATGAGATGCATGCACGTAAATTTGAACTTACATTGTGCATTTATGGATACGACCGAACGCCGACTCGGAAATAAGTAGTAACTAGGCCTGATTGATTGACCTCCTGTGGTCCGTGGAATTACTAAACGGATTTGCGCCTGCTCTGCCCTGTGATATTGCCGAGCAGTGTAATGAAACCTATTATTTGCCTTATTGCTTGCGATCATACGCTCAGAATGGTCTAGCGTATTAGTATATGACCGTGGACTGTGGCAAGTCGCCTACGTACATGAAACTCACAGGATAGGATCACCGGCATCGTATGGTTTTCACCAAACTAATAATCAGATTTGGTATCTGGCTGATTACCATCAGGTGACATCACATGGTGTTGATGCGTTTTGCGTCGGATTTCGTACGTTACATGCCAATGCCCCATGTGCCCAGCCGAGAGTCCGAGACAGAGAGTGATCATGATTTGAAGTATTTAGGCATGGATGAGTCACCACAAGTACTGACACCTTGGAAACAAGGCTATGTCGGTGCACAGGACGGATTATTTCTGTTCAAGTTTCAACAATACCCTTAGTAAGTCTATTACGAGAGCACCGATAACGATCCTGTACTAAGAAGGAAACAATAACTTTTACTACGTGGAATTATCTTTCAATTGTGCCACATACCATGAACAACTTTCCGTACAAACTGGCTATCGTTAACCAGTTAACAGGTATCGAACCTATCTATCATCACCGTTGCGTGCCACATAACTCAAGGATGCCACAGAATCTCAGTTAGACGAGTCGGTCGGGATGTGCGTCAGAGGTTATGTCGATTGTAAGATAGCCTTCAAACTATCGACAGCGTAGTCGTGATGCTCTTCCAATCCAGCTCCATCTCTTGACGCCATGACTGGTGGAAATAAGAGTCTCGAGGGGCCATTGTTCCGCGCGATGATCAGGGCCTGCCTGCTAGCCGGAAGAGTATACACCGCAATAGTTATTAGTACAGGTGCCATTGCTGGATTAGCTCTCTGGTTTCCTCCAGGGAAAGCTCTTTGGCAAAAGTCGGTTGCAATCTTTGCTGGTTACGTAAACTCGCTCACCCTCAGAAGCGATGCGCAGAGGAATCTTGGCTTCAACCAGTTCTTGGAGTCTCTGTCACCCAAGACTAGAGAATGGTGGATTGACACTGTAAGTTCGTACCGATTCTCGCTGTTCTTGCAGTTGATGTCTCTGTCACAGTATGGCTCTGCACTGGCCCCGTTTATCAAGACGGCTCTGTCTCCTCATGTGCGTCCAATCCTGTCATCCAAATTTTTCTTCTAATTAGTCACTTTCTAGACTGTCGAGAGCTCCTGGTATCTGAATTGTATTTGTGTTGATCCGAAGTATCAACGCCAAGGAATCGCTACAAACCTGATCAAAATGGTGGAACAGAAGGTGTGAAGTTCCCACTGTTTGCTATATATGCATGATTTCATCTTATTTGCAGGCAATGACGACCTCCATCCTTGCGCTCTGCACGGATACCGATGCCAATGTGCGTGATCAAAGGGGTTGCTAAAAACTCGCTCATCGCACCACAGGTTGCGGTATACAAGGCGCTTCATTTTCAATACAAGGGAGAAGCGCCTCTACCAACTCCAGACAATGAATATATCGATGTCCATTGTTTCACTAAGCCTGGCGCAAGGGTGTAGGAGTGGCGTTGAATGTATTGGCAGGCGGTCTTATATCTACCGGCGAATGTTCTTGAGTGTACTTTTTAACGTCTACATCAATCTTCGCTAACCATAGATAGAAGAAGGCTCAGAACCATCAGTTGTTAGAGGCCGCGCAGAAGACGGTTTTGAAATCTGAGAAATGAATGCCCTTGAGAGGACACTGAACAGAACGGACTCGTGAGTTTTCCATGTAAGTTCAGTAACGAGTGTGTTATCACATGGAAGGGACTGAGCGGAAGGGTAGCGAATCATCTGAGTCTATGTAAGAGACCAGGGGGAAAGAGGCAAAACGAGGGTAGGTACGTGGAATCAGTATGTATTATAAGAATGTACAGAGATGTAGCGAGTACGGGTTGAAAGACAAAGGTTGGGGGTATACTCTATATTTGACAATTTGGTTGGCAACAATGGCCATCTTCGTCTACTCGCTTGGAGGAATTAATGGAGCCTTGAATCTATCGATGACGCCCGTCATTCGGTGATTCCACAAGCCTTGCCACCCATGACCGCTAATCCGGTAAGAGGTTTCAGAGCAGGAAGACTACCTATTCCGATTCGGGGTATCTCGGCCGTCTGCGCAACTTGCTCAATAGGGAGAATAAGATATTCGTCTTGTGGCGAGACTGCATTTCCTTTGTCAGCTGCAGCTCTGGGCTGTGAGCTATTTGGCCTTGTTCAACGTCCAGGCCAACTTCGGAAGTTGGCATTATCGGTGAGGGAGAAACGACCTGAATTTGAACCGAGCCAGGGTGAGCCTATAATTCAATCACGTCAAAACTTCCCTGTATTCATACCAAGAACGCTTACCCATATCAAAGTAAGTCGATCCTGTTCCAAAAAAAACCGGTCAAAGTGACGCGTCGAGAAACCCGTAGGGCAGACAGCAGTAGTGTAAGGATTATTCGTGATAATGTCTGCATCGTCTTTTGTGAAGCACGTCTGAGCCACCCGACCAGGCCTGCGGATGAGACGACCTGGTGAATTACAATCGTAGACATTATTCGAATGTTCTAAGCGAGAAATGGCTCTATTGAAGTCCCAGATGTGTACGTAGAAGGAACCCTCTGCAGGGAGTTCTTCCAATCTTTGTCCAGGTTCAGGAGCACGATCCTGAGGCAAAGCATATGCCATTTTGCTGCCGAACACGCTGATTCGGTGGCTTGGATGATGCGGAAAGTAGCGTGCGTACTTGGGGCCCCACTCTGACCAAGGAATCCCGACAGGTATCTCTGACTGTGTAGCCTTTGTTGCAAAAATGGCCATATCGACGACTATAATCACCTGCCATGAGCGCGACAGGACCTCCAAAACCATGATTTGTGACTCCAGAGATGTCACGTAGTCAGGTATAAGGTCTGGGTGAACCGCTTTCCCGTGAAACGATGGGGTTGCATGAATAACATAGAGCGGTAGCAGCGGTCCCAAAGGAAAATAGAATTCAAGGCCTCGTTGCACACTCGGAAGGACATACGTAATTCGGCGCCGAGGCGAACCATCGAGTTCTAATGTGTACAAGGCCATACGGCCTTCCGGGCCGATGATAATGATCCTCTGTTCGTCAAGTAGATGGAAACTCGCCCTAGTCCCACCCAGTTCGTCGTATAAGGAATACTGCTCATGCTTAGTGACAGAGTTTCAAGAATAGAGTGAACTTACACCCTTCGCATGTCCTTTCCTCCAATCTATCACTTGTATGAAGATGTTCGACGCTGATCCGCTGTGGCTCGTGTAGTAATAGAGTGCCACTACACGATCCCCACAGATCGCTGGCTGATCCACAAAGCGAAGATCATGGTCAGGGTCCATTTTACAAGGACGCATGCACTCCAAAGAAGTGCATGCAGAATCTGGGTGCGGGCGTTGCGATGAAGCCAACCGAAATGTCATCGAAAAGACGCGACGATCTAGCATATCAAAGACGCCGTACGACGACACCATAACGGCAAGGTCCTGAAGAGGGTCAATGACAACTGACCTCACGAAGAAGGGCCAATCTACCAGCGAGCCGAAGCTCTGCTCCGGCCACGTCTGGGTTGATTTGAAGTTTGTGTCACACTCCCGAATGAAGAGTCTATTGTTAACCCACATCCACCAAATCCCACATTTCACGGATTGCAAGCCAGGAATGTACGGGCTGAGAATATTCCCAATAGCCACTGTTTGTTCAGAAACGCAGTTCAAATGGAAATCAGATTGCCACATGGATGCCAATCTCCTGAGTGAATACATCTTGCTAGAAACGTCGACCCAGTCCAGGGTGGGAGTCTCCGTGAAGCCCTGGGCATAAAGCTCCAATAGAAATTGAACGTCGACGAAATTCTGGGCCACATGCCAGAAAGCTTTGCAGGTCTAGCGTAATCCAAAAGTCAGCCCATAGGAATCATAGAACCACGTGGAAGAACGGACTAATACACAGCATGAAAGGTCTTTGAAATGAAGGAGGAGAAGAATATGACATATTAACTCTGTTGGAAGCGAGAATATCCCTATAGCTATCGGTGTAGTTATGGTTTTAGAGACTTCAAGTTGCAACTCGAAATTTTCATGGTCTTCAGAAAGGGGTCGAATTAGCTTTTCCACACTTGACCTAGGAAGAGTCAAGGTCCTATCCACCACGGTGATAGTTTTAGAAGAATCTGGGACTTCAACGTGAAGGAAGTTCGGGTCTTCGGGAAGGGACCGAATCTGCGCTGCCGACCTTGCCCTAGGTGCTTTGAGGATGCGCTGGTGGCTGCTGGCGCACCCCATAATCCTGTGAGTGTGGATGATGGGAATGTTGCAGTTGAAACGTAAAAGCTTACGAGTTACTATATATTCACTGTGGGAAGTACAATGACTTTCGGCCGTAATTTGATAGCTTGTACACAACGAGTCACAAGTTTTATGTAGTATATTTTTGTTCTTTCGATTGCTTTCACAATTTTCCATCCTCGACTGTCAAAATGGCCTCAGATGCACTCTCTAGAGTGCTTGCGAGGTTGCAAAATCTACCTGTGATGTCTCTGCCCACAGATTACCCGCGATCGACTGGTGCTAATAAACTCATCGAAGCCGCTCATCTGGCAGATCTTTCAGAGCAGACCTCACTCAGTCTTTTGAAGCTTGCTCTTCATGCTGAGAGCGAAGATGGCGGAGAGGACGAGAATAAAACTTCTGACACTAGACCATCGGCTTTCCATCTACTCCTCTCTGCTTTTCTCGTCCTCCTACACAGGTACACTGCTGATACAGACTTCCTGATTGGCTCCTCTTCTGCCGCTGCAAGCTATCCTTTGATTCTTCGTCTTTCCGTGGAGCCATCAGATTCATTCTGGACTATCGTGCGCCGTGTTCAGCACGTCGAACGCGAGGCCGAAGCAGACCTGCTACCCTATGAGACGATCGTACGGGCTTTACACAGGGACAAAGACGACTCTGTCGAAGCATCTCGTCCTCTTTTCCGTGTCCGTTTCTTCGATGAAACAGATCAGCCACGAGATAATTTTATCCGATCAACTAGCTTAACTTCCGATCTCACCATCTTCGTCACAAGACCTCCCACTACTACGCGCGCTTCCTTAGCTCCCCATATTTCCCTTCGAATTCTTTTTAACTCCCTGCTGTTCACATCCGCCCGTATATCATTCATCGTCGATCAGCTCTCTGTGCTTTTAAGGAAGGTATCTGCCAATCCGACTGCAGCGGTTGGTTCTGTTCCTCTCTTGACGGCTGCCCAACGCGAACGCTTGCCCAACCCAACAGCGAATTTACATTGGTGTGACTGGAAGGGAGCCATCACAGATGTGTTTTCCCGCAATGCGCAGAAATGGCCTGATAGGTCGTGTATCATTCAAAGTGTACCTGCCTCGATTCCTAGCGAGCCGCAGACGACGCGAACATTCACTTACGGAGACATTCGAAGAGCCTCCAACATCCTAGCGCACCACCTCCTAGCAGGCGGTGTGAAGAGGGAAGAAGTTGTCATGATTTACGCACATCGTAGTGTCGAGTTGGTCGTAGCTGTTATGGCTGTTCTTAAAAGCGGTGCGACATTCTCAGTTATAGGTACGATTTTTTTGTGTTTCTTTCAGTTCATTTGTAACTTGAGTCAGACCCTGCATACCCTCCTTCACGGCAGATAATATACCTTCGGGTAGCTCAACCTCGTGGCCTTGTTGTACTTTCGGGTGCTGGCCAAATTGCACCTTCTGTGCGCGAATTCCTATCCACGGAACTCAAAATCCGTGTGGAAGTACCAGCGCTTGAATTCTCTTCTACTGGCCAAATACTCGGAGGCGCGAACGACGGAATCGATGTCTTGAAGGCCCAGGTCCGTCTCGCAGAAACGGATCCTAATGTCATTTTAGGTCCCGACAGCATTGGCACGCTGTCCTTTACCAGTGGAAGCACTGGCATCCCCAAGGGCGTTCGAGGACGCCATTACAGTCTCACGCATTTCTTCCCTTGGATGGGCAACCGCTTCCTGCTCACTGAAACATCCAAGTTCACAATGCTGAGCGGGATCGCCCATGATCCCATCCAACGTGACAGTACGTGCTATATTTTCGAGCAGATACACATCCGTTGACGGGGATAACGTTACAGTTTTCACGCCCCTCTTCTTGGGTGCAGAGCTTCATGTACCCACCGCAGAAGACATCGGCACACCCGGCCGTCTCGCAGAATGGATGGACGATAGCAAGGTTACTGTCACGCACTTAACCCCCGCCATGGGTCAGTTACTCTCCGCACAAGCGACGCGTCAGATCCCATCCCTACGAAACGCATTCTTCGTCGGTGACGTCTTAACAAAGCGCGACTGCCTCCGCCTCCAAGCCCTCGCCACAAATGTGCAGATCATCAACATGTACGGCACAACAGAGACGCAGCGCGCTGTATCTTACTTTGCGATTCCACCCTTATCCGATGACGCGACTTTCCTCGCCACTCAGAAGGACATCATGCCAGCTGGAGAGGGCATGATTGACGTGCAGCTCCTTGTCGTCAACCGCAGCGACAGAAATGTCCCTTGCGCAGTGGGAGAGGTCGGAGAGATTTATGTGCGATCTGGAGGCTTGGCAGAGGGATACCTCGATACCGAAGCCACTGCAGAGAAGTTCGTCAGCAATTGGTTCTCTTCTGCCGCTTTACCCTGGAGGGACACGATTTTGCATCCGCCCCAGGGCCTTGCTGGGCCCGAGTCACGTCATTGGAAGGGCATCCGTGACCGAATGTATCGTTCGGGCGATCTCGGTCGGTATCTCCCTGATGGGCGCGTCGAGTGCACAGGGCGTGCAGATGACCAAGTCAAGATCCGTGGTTTCAGAATCGAGCTTGGGGAGATCGATACGTTGATGAGCCAGCACCCGCTCGTGCGGGAAAACGTCACACTCGTACGGAGAGACAAAGATGAGGAGAAGATTCTCGTCAGTTACTTCGTGCCTCTGCAGGGCTCGAAGCTGGATGGATTTGACAGCGAGCTTACGGAGGAGGACGACGAGAAGGTTGATGGTAAGAGTCCAAAGTATAGACGGCTCATCAAGGACATTAGGGAGCACCTCAAAAAGAAACTGCCCAGTTACAGCATACCAACATGTAGGATTGATCATTTCCTTGGTCTACTTCCTTTATTCAACTCTCCTTCTACAGTGTTTGTTCCACTACATCGTATGCCCCTCAACCCTAACGGTAAAATAGACAAACCGGCACTTCCCTTCCCCGATACGGCACAAGCCCACGCCGTGCACTCCGAGCCCAAAAAGACTGTTGATGGGCGCACAGCGAGCCCCACCGAACAAACCATGCGCACCATCTGGGCCAGTATTCTCCCGAACGCACCCACGCCTATCCCCCTCGACGAAAGCTTTTTCGATCTGGGTGGCCACTCCATCCTTGCCACGCGTCTGATTTTCGAGATCCGCAAAATCTTTGTTGTCGAAGCTCCGCTTGGCCTTATCTTCGACCAGCCGACTATCACGGGCCTCGCTTCGGCGCTAGATGCGCTTCGTGACCCAGACTTTGGTATCGCTTACGGGGACGCTGAGACACGCCCTGCGACGCCTGTCAAGGCGTCTGCGAAGCTGAGTTCTGCTGTTCAGTACGGACAGGATTACGAGACCCTTGTTCAAGGCTTGCGATCCTCGTACCCGCCAATGTCTGAGGACTTCAAGTCGGGTGCTGTTACTGTGTTCTTGACGGGTTCTACTGGTTATCTTGGGGCTTTTGTGTTGCGTGATCTCCTCCAGCGCCTTGATAGGGTTCGGAAGGTCATTTGTCTCGTACGCGCGCCCAGCGTCGAACAAGGTGTGGCGCGCCTTAGAGAAGGGTCTGGTGATCGAGGCGTTTGGGATGAGCAGTGGCTCACCTCTGGTAGACTGGAGGTGGTGATTGGAGACCTCGGCCTTGATTTGTTCGGTATGGGCGATGAAGTCTGGTCACGAGTCGCTGCTGAGGCTGACGTCGTCTTGCACAATGGTGCCCTGGTGAGCCACGCTACCCTTTTACATGCATACGGTAATATTTAACAATGTGCTGCGCAGGTGCATTGGGTGTACCCATACGAGAGACTTCGTGCACCGAACGTGATTGGTACCTTGACTGCTGTAGAACTCGCCTCGACGACAAAGCAGAAGTCGCTTGTTTTCGTTTCATCGACATCGGCGATCGATACAGAGCACTATGTGCGATTATCTGACTCTCTGGGACAATCCCAAGACTCGCGGAGAGGTATTCCGGAAGATGATGACCTGGACGGTGCAAGAGTAGGTCTCAAGTCCGGCTATGGTCAGAGCAAATGGGTGTCGGAGAAGCTGCTCTTTGAAGCTGGTAAGAGGGGCTTACGGGGCCATATCGTTCGGCCTGGTTATATTGTTGGCGACTCGCATACTGCAGGTATGGAAGCTCCTTCTGTAAGATGTTGATGTATTGATTGTGGGACCCCATAGTGACCAACACCGACGACTTTATTTGGCGCATGTTCAAGGGATGCGTCCAGCTTGGCTTCGTCCCAGATATCAACAACACTGTGAACATGGTGCCCGTGGATCATGTTGCTCGTTGCACTGCTCTCGCTGCAGTGGAGCCTTTGCCAAACGCTGCACAAAGCGTGTTGCACATTACTGCGGTGCCCCCTCCGACCTTCAACAACATCCTCTCGTCGTTGGCCGAGTACGGGTTCCCTACACAACAATGCGAGTATCTCGTATGGCGTCGCAAGCTAGAGCAGCACGTCATGGAGGTCCAAGATAACGCCCTTTTCCCGCTTCTCCATTTCGTGCTTGATGACTTACCGACGAGTACCAAAGCCCCCGAGCTTGACGCCACTAACACTATGATGCTGCTGCGCTCGCAAGGGCAGCAGTGCACGTTCACGGTTTCGGAACAGCTGATGGGAAGATACCTTGCGTGGTTAGTCGGAGCGGGTTTCTTGCCAGCACCATCTTCGCCAGGACCAAACAAGAGGTTGCCCCAGTTGGCTAATGGTACCGTTATCAAAGCTGCAGGTCGGAGTGGTGCTTGAGTGGCGGGTAGGATATGCAATTTATTCATACTGTTTTTGGTGTTTTCGTGTGAAGAAGGACTAGAAAGAGTGTCGTATTGCCTTCTTCGAGTCGGTCTGCGATGAAAGTTGTAAGACAAATGATTAACAAGTCGGCATTTGGTGAGCATGTGATTGGTCGTTTGCCTACCCGTGGTCCGTGGATGAACCTTTGGGCTGAACTTTCCCGAGAGACCCGATAGGGGGAGTTTGATGTCGCGTCTTTCTTGTATCTTGCTTCGCAACTTAGGGTCGACCTTGCTTGCAGTTGCAAAGCATAATTGTTTCTACGTGGCAACTTTACTCGCGGGCTCTACGAAAAGTACTATTGGCGCTATGTTGCCAAGGAATACCCGAGATCTGGGTAGACAAGCTAAAGAAGACAATTGGAAAGTGCTTATTTCGTCGCCCTCTGTCTTCAAATTTCTCACCTCGGGAATAGGGGTGTGTTTGGTACCGATATTGGATCCATGCAAGCGCGATGTATCGCTGTGATAAGTAAGTTTTGGACCAAGTGGGAGCTCGTGCAGTTATGCTATGGGACAAGGTGGGCATGAACTCGGACAAGACGATTGGAACCTTCGAGGGTGGGTATTTGTGAGCGTATCTACGATTCAGTTCACTCTGATAGTCAATCACTGATTCATGATGGATCAGATGGGTCGCCAGTGCTCTAGATGGACCATCGCAGCCTATTGCAAATTGCAACATCGGAAGCTAAAGGCTCCGTGGTATAAACAAGCTGGATGATTATTCCCCACAGCGAAGCTGGGACCACGTGCCCCTAATTCATTACCTCGAGCACGGTGATTCGAATCCAGGACGGGTCTTGGAAATGAAGACTGCGATAGGCGCATGGCTGTTGTCCTACTCATCAAGTACTACTTCCAAATTCATTCACGCATAAGTGTCAGTGCCGATGACTAAGGTGAGTAGCAATCTGGAAGTCTAGACCGTGACGTAGTTACTAGGTATGCTCTCGAGACTCTTGAATCATGCCGAGTATTGCGTTTTCCCTGATACCCTATGCGACTGGGAGTAAGTTCATTGTATGGGGGGGCAAGCCACATTGAAACTCCGTTACAGTAGTCGCGATCGCGCTTCAAGTTCCTTTAAGCTGTTTTAACGTTTTCCCTGGCAGACAATCCACTGCGTTGGGTCCAACCCAGGAACAAGATCGCCTAATATGTCACTCAATTTTCCATTCCTATATACTCAAGCCTTTCGTCGTTTCTTCTATTATTCAAATAGCAATGCTTCTTCATTCCTCTTTATAATCTTTCTTTTCTTTTCAGCCATAAACTACTTTAACGCGAACCGTCCGCCCATCGCTCACACAATCATTCTTACTTTTCATTTCTTGCTCTACGTCGTCCCAGTCACCCCTGCATAACTTACGCAACGATATATCCTCACGTCCATACCATCTAACCTTGATCTGAATTTTTCGTGTTCATTTCACAGATGAAAGAGCTCGGTGTCATAGACAACCAAGCAACGGAAAAGTATCTGCGCATAGCATCAATCTCCATTGCATTATACGAGTAAGGCTTTTTTTCAGGCGGTACCGTGGTCACTGTCATGACTAAATTTCTTCAGTTATATCATCACCCTCCCCGCAGAATGGCGGTTTTACCGAAGCCAATCCTCATTTTCTCGTCTCCGGTATGTATGTACACATAAGCATTCGTTTACCCCCACTGACAATCACAATTCATCAGCCTTGCCTGCATATTATTCGTCCTCATACGGTACGTCTGTCCTCATCCCATCATGCAACTTTTTTGCTGAATTTTATCAAGCTATGGTAGTATCATAGTCATGACACTCAGTAATTACGGTGTCTTCTCTACCGGTTTCACTCGAGAAACGTGTAAAAATTACTATATGATTGCCCCCGTTTTTAAAGGTCGGTCCTATTGATCTTCGCCTACCAGAACTTTGTTCACTGTGTTGTAGTTATACAGACTATGATATCACAAGTCATCCTAGGTGTCAGGTATATCTTATAGGCAGCAGGCTGTACAGAATTTTACGTTATCTAGGACATTCAATATCGCAAGGAGGGATAGGCAGATAGGAATTGCATTGGTCGTGCTATACTTTGTCTCAGTTGCAGTGAGTCGTTACGACACTAGTGTAACGTCTCTGACCCGGTTTAGCTCGAGTGGTTCACTAATATGTTTAACCGCATACGTGAGCTCTAGCCTGTGCTTTTATCTCGAATTCATGTTGACATTGGAACCAACAGCTGTCGTCGTTAATGTACGTCGATGTCCCTCATAACGAGACTCACGCAAACAGCGTATTTTTTTAGGGAAAGTAAGCGGTCCCTGTACCAACGTGTTGTTCAAAATCTCATGCACCATAGCTGTACACCAGGAAATTCTGGTAGAATTCTATCGGCATGGTTCTTCTACACCGTTGCGATGTTATATGACCTCGCAGTCTTAACCATCTCCACCGTATATCTTCTGCGGTACAATCCTCTCAACAGCAGGTGCACCTATCCTCTCCCTCAGTGATTAGAGTCGCTGACCTATTGCTAGACTGGAACGGCTGGTACGGGTGTAAGTCCCTCGATACTCTCGCAGTGATGGAGAGTCGCTCATCGTGCTCAGCCTGATCTATGACGGCATTGGTTATTTTGTCGTGCTGACAGGTCGGTACGCTCTACTTGTGCCTGACTCACCTCTGAATAGCATTTCATCAGGATCGAACATACTCAACATCATCCTTTATCATACATCCGATATTCAGACCCAGGTATGGTTTATATACAATGGTCCATAGAAGCTTCGTGCGCTCATGTTTTATTTGACCCTATTAGGCGGCAGGGTAAGTTCTGCAGCATTCCATTGTAGAGTTGCTCAAAGGGCATCACTAGGGCATCAATAGGTTTTGCTGTAATATGGATTATGAGCCAACGGATCCTCATCCATCTACGAGGTGCGCACCGCTCCACAATTTCACTGCTCTTACGCTGACAGACTCGCAATCTCACTCGTTCCATCGCTCCCCCGCTTCCACAGAGCTATCAGAAACAGAAACCCGACGCTTAGAAAACATAGCCGCCATCCGTTCCCCACAAAACGCTCGGCATGCAGCATCCGCCATCCGTTCTCCGCTCACCGCTAAAAGCCACACTGATCCTGAATCCGGACTCAACGATGCGCACACCGATGACATGGAACTTGACATCCGTACATGTGTCAAGCCCACGGTGACGTTGGACCACTCGGATGAATGTGGGCTTTCTAGTTCATGGGGTGTCCCGCTGGTGAAATGAATCTGGGCGCGATGCAGCTGTGGTGCTATGATATCATTTTAGGCAATATATACACGATATGTTAACATGCAAAGTGTCCGGAGGGCGGACTGTGGGGACATGGTTAATTTCATCATATCCGCAAAGGTCGGGATAAACGGCTTGTGGAAGTAATAAAGTGATGCATTCCATCCGACGAGTTCGCTAGTTCCGGAGGGGGATAAACTGAAATTATCCCGAGTCGTCGCAGATTTGTAAGGACAGGTGCTGAGTTGTCAATACGTTACAGAAGTAGATGAAAAATTGCCCGACTCCCGCCTTGTTGGCGTAAAGAATACTGCTGAGCGACAGTAGTTTATTCCTCCAATCTATCCCTTGTGTGAAGAATAATGTGACTAGCGAACTGACGCTGCTCGTCAAACACAGTACCAATACACGATCCCCACAACGTGTATACGATGACGAGATGCCAATGCTTGCGCTCCAAGGAAATGCATACAAGAGTCCGAGCGTGAAAACCAACCGAAGCACCACTGAAAGATAAAATACGTAGCAGTCTTGCTTAGCATCGGGCATGGATGGTGCGGTCGATGGCGATCGAGTTCAGCAAAAAGGTGCATGCCCACAAGACCAAGCTTTGTGTGCCACGTCAGTGGTATTTGCGTCGCACGTCCGAACGAACGAAGAGTTTACCCGCAACGTACGTCCGCGCTTGACGGATCGTATGCAGGCGCTCGTTGTCGATAGTCGCTGCCCCTTCGAGAGTAGGGTTCGAATATTAAGAAGTTAGACCGCCACGTGGGTGTCGATCCAGTACAGGGTAGGAGTCTCAGCCCAGTTCGAATAGGCATTGTAAATGTTGGAAGGTCTGTTGGTTTTGCGAGCCTGGCACCCAAAGTTGGCCTAAAGGAAACCATGGAAGCACGGGTGAGAACAGACGCTGGATCAGAGTTTGAATGTTGCGAGTGGTTAGTTCAAGTGACGGTGATGGTGTCCCGTATTAGATTGATGTCGACTCTAAGAAGCGACCGGTATGGTTATGGTTTTAATAGAAAATCCGAGGCTTCAACTTTGAGTGCGTATGGTTACACAGGAATATGAATGTCGACACCGGTGACCTTAGCTGAAGAGCTATCGCCAGAATTTAAAAAAAGAAACATAACAATCCTCGATTTCAAAACTTTCCGCTCACCCTATGGTTGGCCCAAGAAAATAATACCCGACATCCAGCTGACACCCAGTGATCCCACTATTCGCACGTGCTGACACACGCGGCCGCAGCAATGACTGTTGGTCGATGGAACCCCGAGTCAGGGCTGAAGCAGACTACAACATATGTGGGACTCTGCGCAACCAGGATGATATGTATGTGTTCTCTGAAGGCTGTAAGAATGTTAAATAAGCAGTGGTATCATAGGCAAGAAGAAGCAACAGGACGCACCGAACTCCCGCTCTCCCTCAGAAATATCCAACTTTGTTGGGGTACGGTCGCACGAATATTTGAAATCCTCTACGTGTCAGATTATGGATATGATCACCTTGTTCGTTGATTTGAGGGTTTTTGACGTTCTAGGCTAACGTGTGGCAGGATTGCATATATATCTGACAGCATGCGTTCCTTGCAGATAATAAGACCGTCCCTTTAAAGTGGGCGAGCCGCGAGACTACTAATGCTTGACGGCAAGAATATTAATGAGTGACTTTGGAGTGACTGTAATATGATTATGCGACGCACGCTCGATGAGCCTGAGGGTCGTCGCCCACGGCGTCAAAGTGCTTACATCAGCAAAATCGTCCAGGTGCCTTAACTTGAACTTGTTCATTGAGCATGGCCAGGCACATGCAAATGATCATTATTATTGCGAGGACCTTGCCGCTGCCTTCACAAACGTTTTACCGAATATTTACGATTTAGGGACGACTTTTGAATTCTGGATGTTTTGACTCTAGGCACTTTCTATTTACCAACGCGGCTCGGAGCACTCTCGGAGCAATTTCAAAGTATAGATGATACAAAAGCTGCGATGCCTTTTGTTCCTCAGTGTTGCTCCTTTCTCCGCCGAAATCGAAGCGTCCGGGTCATAACGTGCAGCAGAAGCCTTGCATCATTATCAGCAGCTTGCTCAGACACAACTCTGAGCTACATACCCTCCCCCCTCTATCTATCAAGGCTAGACCGGCAGAACCACTTGACAGACGCCTGCTATACCAGAAACAACGTGCCTTTCATCTACTAAATGGATCGGAGTTTGGCTTTAGATAGCACATCCTCAGAGAACTATTTTCGAATAGCATCCATATCCATCGCGTTTTACGAGTAAGTACCGTCTCTTTGGTTGAGTTGGAGTCCTGCAATGATCACTGTGTTCTGAACAACAGTTATCTTATCACGCTTCCCGCAGAATGGCGATTTTACCGAAGTCAACCGTCAATTTTCCGTATCAGGTACTTATAGATACACGGATATCCGATATTCACCTACCGCCGTTGACAAATCTCTATCAGCCTTGCCTGCGTCCTGTTTATTCTCATACGGTATGTTCCGTCCACATTATGGCATGTAATTCTCCTTTGCTTACATTTAATGCAGCTATGTCAGTGTTTTGGTCATGATACTCAGTAATTATGGATACTTCGCCACCGGCTTTACCCAACAAACGTGTCAACATTACTATCTCGCGGCGCCTGCCTTCAAAGGTTTGTCCCATCGATACTCACCCACTAGGACTGTATTGACTATGTTGTAGTTATGCAATCTATGGTATCACAGGTCATCCTGGGTGTTAGGTATATCCTACTTTTTGGTGGGTACACAGACTTAAACATCCCATAGGACATTTAATATCGCAGGGAGAAACAAGAGGCTAGGAAGTGCACTGCTGCTGCTATACCTCATCATCGTTTCGGTAGGCTCTTGTTACCAGTATATTACCATCTCTCTTATATGTTCAAGGTGCAATGGTTCACCAATCTATATCACCGGATCCGTAAGCTCTGGCCTATATTTTTGTCATTTGTTTCGCATTGACCTTCAGAACCAACAGCTGTCGTTGTTGAAGTATGTCGGTGTTCCTCACAATGAGACCTAACAAACGTTGTACCTTTTCTAGGGAAAGTAAGTGGCTCCTTTACCACCAGCGTGGACTGTCCAGATTCTTATGAATCATAGCTGCACCCCGGTAAATTCTGGCAAGCAATTGTCTGCCTGGCTCTACTACCTCGTCGTGATGTTGTATGACCTCGTGATGTTGACAATTTCCACCATACATCTTCTGCGCTATAATCCTCTCAGCAGCAGGTGCGCCTTTTCTCTCCTTTTATTTTAGGTTCGCTCAACCACTATTGTCGTTAGAGTAAGTCGATTGGTACGAGTGTAAGTCTCTCGTCATCGATAGAATCGATGCGCGTCGCTCATCATCCTTAGCCTGATATATGACGGTATTGGATATTTTATCGTGCTGTCAGGCAAGTCTGCTCTGCCTGTGACAATCACCCTCCTAACATTTCTTCAGCGACGAACCTATTGAACCTCATTATTTATCATACCGATGCCGAGACTCAGGTACGTAGGCTTTTTACCGATCCACTATGGAAGTTGATCCCAGTTATGTTGCCTCGCTCCTATTATCAGTCGGCGGGGTAAGTTTCGCATTGTCTGGCGTCAAGAAAATTCAGCTTAGACTGCTTCATTAGGGCATCACTGGGTTATGCTGTAACATGGATTATGAGCCAACAGATCCTCATACATATACGAGGTTCGCACCGCTCCAGAGCTTGACTGCTCTTCCGCTGACGTGCGATTTTAATTGTTCCATTCACCTCTCAAAGAAATGTCAGAGCCAGACCCTCGACGCCTCGAAAATGTGGTTGTCGCGCGTCCCACCACACACAGCAGTGCGCGGAAGAACGTGATGTCCGGTCTCCGCTCACAGTTCGAATCTAAAGGCCACTCTAAAAACTCTAAAAGTCCCATTGGTCTAGAGTTTCCGCCCATATCATCTCGCAATGGGCATCCCGAAGACGTGGAACTTGACGTACGTGTATGCACCGACCGCTCGGTGAAGGTAGACTATGGCTGTGACGATTCAAGCTCGTGGGATAAGCCGACGACCAAATGAATCTGGAGGCACTAGTGCTTATCAAGTCATACCCGTGTTCGGTGCTACTAGTATTGTCAGAAGTGCTCTGTTTGCGCAGGTTGCATACAGGATACGGAAACGGGAACTAAACAAAGCGGTTTCAGCGGTGGAGTTACGGTCAAGGGGCTAGTTAATGTATTACTTTTGAGTTATGTCGCTGTATATGTACGCATCTGCATTAATATTGTTACCAGGGTACTGTCGGTGTACTTATCCGCGACTGTGTGCCTGCATGTCGCGGCAAGAAGCCTAGTGAGTTGCTGACTAAGCTACGAGTGCTACTTCGCCCCTCGCATAGAGTCCCACTCCATTGTCTTCGTAACTTTCAACTTAGGGCTGCGTGCAGTCTGTAAGAGTGTGCAGAGGGTTATCACGAACGACAGCAATCACTACGAGACTCGTAGGAAGTTAGTGGGAAGGGGGGGAAACTCTGTACAACATTGAGTAATGTACGGCCCCCATAAGTACACTACGGCCTAACCCCCAAGTCTCTCCCCACTGGCAGCTACTCCATACGCCGCTCACCCTAAGGTACACTGTGGGATGCGCATGTTAGGTAATGAGCGCCACAACATCGCGCATGTCCCACTTCGTATGACTCGCAATCGGCCTGGCATAATACAATGAACGAGTCGAGTGACGGGGATCCCAGCCGCGGGCCAGACTGATCACGAGTTTGATGTGAGCGTATGCAGTAAATATTGCATTCTTCCCGATGGAAGTAGAGGCTCCGCGCATGTGAGAAAGATCCACAACTCGGCGCATGCGGGTGCAGCGCCAAGGTGACTACGGATGGTGTGCCCGGGACAGGTTGCAAGGTGAGTAGGTTCAGAGAGCGACTCGGGTATTTTCAAGTCGTTATATATCGTAATATCAGGACTGTGACAAAACCGTGAGGTCGGCCGAGGAGGTGAAGGATTTTAGCGTGTGCTATTAGACATTTTCTCACTCGTGAACTTTCATGAGAAAAGATAAAAGTTCCAGTGTCTCTATCCTTTATATATACGCATGGTCTCGCTGGTCGCGAGTTGATGGATGCACTAGTGTTCGAATGGTAGATGGCCGTGTGTTCCCATATTTTGTCATAGTTCCATGCATTGGCCGGTCGTGGGTTTGTTAGGTTCAAATGAGGAGTGCAAGGAAGGCCGCACTTCGTGCGTATCGGTGAATGCTTGCGGGTTTAAGCGGTAGTGCAAATTTGTTTGCAAGGCAGAGTTTGCAGACCATCCGATGCGAGTGACCAAATCTCTGTGCACTCCTTGACATCGACAACATTTCCCCGTTCCCTCGAAGCACGTTCACATATATGATGGGAAGGGAAACGTAGCGCCTGGCTGTGTATATGCACATTTGTTCCCCTTGATGCTGTGGCCATGGTAGCTTGGCGCGTATGCAATCTCGACATGGTGGGGGGTGACGCAGCCAGGAATTCTTCGGTTGTTGAAACAAGAAGTTGTGAGATGTCGCGCGCACGGTCAACCGCAGTAGTTCACATGTAAAGTGTGATCGCCACACCGACACCTGCTTATATAAGCTGTGGGTTGCACTTTGCACTGCCAACTTGAACTTCATCATTGCTTGCAAGAAAGTTTTATTGACTCCGATGAGTCCGATCGTTGAGCCTGTCCATGCTTTCCCCGTTCTAATATTGCCCGCTCCAAGGCCTTTACTAATCAGCAGTTTTGGTACCCAGAAAAGCATGGCGCGACTACTACTAATAGTATGTAGATTTTCTATTCATAAGTCTCCCTCCCTTCCCTGCGATCCAAGTGAAGTATCCAGTGTGCCCGGGCCATTGGTTTGCCTCTTCCAGTTCGTCATTAACCGTTTCGATCCCAAACTCTATTGACCTTCTCAATACATCATCACCTTGCCGCTGTTAACTTCCGCAGAGCTACCGCCATCCATAATCACCACGAACGCTACGAGCTTGATTTCGCATTTTTATATGAATTCGCGTGCGGTTGTAGACAGCCAAGCTTCGGATAAGTATTTGCGAATTGCGTCCATTTCCATTGCATTGTACGAGTGAGTCTTTCTTCTTTTATCGAGTGATAGACCCATAGTAATGGTCACTGCGTTCTACTTTTTTCTGAATGATATCTACCTTCAGTTATGTAATAACGCTCCCCGCAGAATGGCGGTTTTACAGAAGTCAATCCTCAATTTTTCACCTCAGGTACGTACACATAACCATCCACGTTCTACAACTGACAAATACGTTCTCGATCAGTATTGCCTGTATCTTATTCATCCTCATACGGTATATTTTGTTCTCATCCCATCATGAATAGATTTTTGCTCACGTTGATGATGCAGCTATGTTAGTATCGTAGTCATGCTACTCAGCAATTATGGATACTTCGCCACCAACATCACCCCAGAAATTTGTCAACATTACTTCATTTTGGCGCCTATCTTCAAAGGTCTGTCCTTTCGGTGTTCACACGCCAGGACTCTATTGATCACGTCGCAGTTTTACAAACGATGGTATCGCAAGTCATCATCGGTTTCAGGTATGTGCTGTCGAATTTTTGTGTCGCTAGCTGTACAGAATTTTACACCGTCCAGGACATGGAATATTGCAAGGAGAAATAGGCGGGTAGGAATTACTCTAGCACTGCTATTCCTCACTGCAGTTACGGTGTGTTCTTAACGCGCAAGCCTGACATCTGTCACTCACTCATTTTAGCTGGAGTGGTTCACCAATATGTTTGACCGGATCCGTAAGTTCTGACCTATATTTTGATCTTGGTTTGCATTGACCATTGTTTGAGCTAATAGCTGTCACTGATGAGCCTGTACGTAAGCGTTCCTCTTGAAAAGATCTAACGCGAACAGGCGTCTTGTTTTTAGGGAAAGTAAGTGGTGCCTTTACTACCAGTGTGGGTTGTTCAAATCCTTATCAACCGTAGCTGTACCCCAGGAAATGCTGGCAAAACATTGTCCGCCTGGCTTTACTACGTCACTGCGATGGTGTACGATTTAGTGATTTTGACCATTTCCACTGTGCATCTTCTGCAATATGATGTTCTCAGTAACAGGTATATATATTCTTTCTTCTATACCTTCGGATTTGTTGAACCACTGTTAGGTTAGAGCGAGTAGTACGGGTGTAAGTTCCTCACTGCTCGATGACATGGCGTCGCTCATTTTACTCAGCCTGATGTATGATGGTATTGGATATTTGGTCGTCCTGACAGGCAAGTAGTTTCTGTTTGTACCAATCACCCTTCTAATGTTCCTTCAGGATCGAACGTATTGAACATAGTACTGTATCGCGAGTCTGATCTCCAAACTCAGGTAATTAATTATATCTAATTTCCGTATGCCGTGGAAACTTACTGTGATGTCCGTCCGCTTCTATGATTAGTCGGCAGGGTAAGCATTTTATCGTCCGGTATCGAGATGCAGAGTGCTCAGAGTGCACCACCAGGGCATCAATAGGTTATGCTGTAATGTGGATCATGAGTCAACGAATTCTCATCCATTTACGAGGTGCGCAACACCCCAGTATTCTCTTCTTCGGCTGACGTTCACAATTCCCATTACTTCCGTTATTACCCCCCCCCCGGTTCACATCGCACAAAAAGAAATGCAACAAGCCCCGCATATGGAAAGTGTGGTCCTCGCGCGTCCTGCACAAAATGCAAAGAACATAATGTCCGGTTTCCTCTCTAAAAGCAATCTCGACTTCGTAACATCGCCGCGTAGTATGCACGTCAACAATGACCTTGAGCTCGACATACGCGTATGCGTTGAGCGTTCGGTGGTCGTAGACTACACGGATGAATCTGGAGGTGTCGCCTAGTAGCGCCTATGCCAATCAAGTGATACCAGGTGATGCACCGCTATTTATATATGTGTCATATCTGCTGTGCCATGTAGTTGTTATGGGTGTTCGTGCACTTGTACTTAGGTCTTGGCATGCAACCTTTGACAGTCTTTGACATTGGAGTGATTGCGTGATGGGTACTGATTATATATAGGCTATGGAGCTGGGAGCGGCGAGCCTGAGCAGTGGAGGGACTTAGGGGAGTGCTGCAGTAGGAGACGGAAGAATATAAACCATGAATGTCCGTTTCTATCTTCACCGTGCATGAATTAATGAGTACAGATCATATCATAGGAAAACAAGTTGAAACGAGGGAAAACCATCGGTTGATTGAAGTGCGGCGCACCGCACTACTGGTGACATGTAACTTCGAACAATGTCGGCGGCCTATCACGGTATCTATGTTTGACATGCACGTACTAGAATGTCAAGCCCCAGCCTCGGGAAGTAAACTGTTGACTTGATGGAATCCAAGGTAAGTAGTACTAGTCTTGGTATGCTACTCAGAGTCATTCTGTTGATACACCCCTTCCGGTTACATAGCAAGAAGTCTGGAGAAATGCATGAGGCCTCATATATAGAAAGCGTAGCCCTCCCGCACAAAATGTGAGTGACGTTATATCAGGTTCCGTTCACTGTGGCTCGGCCCTAAAAGCGACTCGGATGCTGACTTTGTAAAACTGCCGTGTGATGCGCATTCCAATGGCATGGAGTTCGACATGCACGTATGCGTTGCAACGTTGAGCCTTCGGTAGTCATAGACTACTTAAGTTACACGGATAAATCCCAGAACTCAAGATGAATCTGGCAGCTGGAGGCGTCACCCTAGTAACTTATGCCCTGTCAAGTGATACCTGGTGATACACCGCTGTTCAAATATACGCCGTGCCATGTAACTTTAATGGTAGCTGTTTTCAGTTCCGTGTACTAGTGGGTCCATCCTTGGCAACTTTTGGCAGTGGATGACGAGCACTGATTATATATAGGCTATTAGGCCAGGAACTAAGCACTAAGCAACTGCAATTCGAGTGGTGGAAGGTGGCGCTACAATACATATGGAATGAAAGAAATTCATAGACGTCTCTTGGACGTTTCTACCACTACCATGCATGAATTAATTAGTACAGATATGGGGAAACAGGCTAGAATAGGGGGGAAACTGAGTTCAAGGGTCGAATGAAGCGTGGTACACTGCCCGCTTGTAATATATATGTAAGTTCGAGTAATGTAGGCGGTCTGCATCTATGACCTGCAGCTGTGCTGTTTGACATCTATGTAACATCTATGATGTGTTAGACTCCAACCTCGGCAAGCAAACACGGTGTAGTCGTGGTAGTATGAGGTACAATGGGCTATGAAGACCTAACATCAACAACATTTTGACAACGGGGATCAAAGCCACAGTGGAGTGCTGTCCAACATTGGTCCGACATGTAAGGTGTATCTAGTGTATGAGACCCCAAACCCGGCAAGTAAAACATTGATCTGATGCAGGAAAGTAGTCATGGTATTAGGTATAAGGCTATAGAGACAAAAACCCAGTGATACAGTTTGAGGGCGAGGATGAGCTACAGTTGAAAATATATACTAGTATACATCACGAACGGTAATGCTCGCTATGAGATATCGTAGGAAGGACAACAGAGAAGCCAAAAAAAACTAAACTATCGTTTCAGCAGACGTGATCAACGATGTACTATGTGGCTGGGACCTCAGTCGCTTGGCTATCCAACTCAGCCCCCACGCACCGGCCCGCCCTAAGATCCACTGCGCGATGCGCATGCCAGGGACGAGCCCTATCACATCACGCATGTCCCACACGTCACGATGATACGTTATCCGTCCCTGTTCATTGAAGCTTAGGCACGTGATGACGTGAAGCTGGAGGTGCAGTGGCGATGGAACCGCGAAAGGCGTACCGGGAACTGGGAGTGAGGGAGTGACTAGTGAGAGCTCGTGTATAGTTTCACTTGCAGGCGTAGACTCGGTCGTGCGCAGGGAAAGCGACTTGGGCATCTTGAAACCCATATGCAAGTCTGGGAAGAATAGGATGTTGAGCGTGTGCTCGACGATACTTCTTTTGTGGCCGTCTGTGAGGATGGTGAGAAGGCTGTTATGGAGGTAGAGACTAGGAGACGGACCGAAGCTCTCGCTCTCGTTAAGTTCTTCAATTTCTGACCAGATACGCAGAACACGAAACCAAGGGTCCGAGCCGACGGATTCTTTGATGAAGACTCGGGGAAGCAGGGCGCTGAATATTTTGGATGGCTTTGGAATGTCGACTATGGAAAACTGGCGCACGAGGGCGTGAATATCTGCAATGAGGGTGCGGGACGTGGCAGTGATCAGGGGGTTTTCATAACTTTTGGTAGCGTCAGTATTGCAGTAAATAAGAAAATGACGGTATCCTTACACTGGAGACAAAGGTAAGCGAAAGTAAGGAAGATATCCAATATCCACTGACCTGCGCGAGTTTCATAGAAGAGCTCGGCCGTATCCAGAAAGCTCGTGGATGGAGAATTATCGTATACAAAGTCGCAGACTTGATATGTGAGGGGGTTACCGTTACATGTCACCATAGACAGCTCTGAATGTTTCAGGTCGGCTGGTTGCAGCTCAGACATGATCCCCGATGTGCCGGGTGTGCCTGAGGTAGGGAAAGGGATGGTGGACGTCATGTCAAACGATGACTAGAAGGATATGGATGCTGATGCACTGCTCGTCGTCGTGGTGCACCACGACGAGCGGGAGGAGGCCGGAAGGATCATTACCGTTTTTAGCCACTTCATTGGCCCAGTGAATTCGAAATTGACCACGTCCCACGATTCTTGGAGAGTCCTGAGGCCTGAACATTAACTTGTAACTTATGAGATGGCGCCGGCATGACATTAATCTAAATCACTTCCTGGAAGGGTCTTGCCGAGTCGCCATCATGTTCGATAAGTCTAACGCGACGATCTAGTACCTCAACAGGTGTCGATCAGAGATAAAAATGTCTACACTATTATGATTTTCATTGATGCACGACCGGCAATCCACCAAATGCTACTATGTATACATTCCTAAACAATGTGTTATGATATTGAAACCATAAGCCTCGAAAACGGGGTGAAATGACAACTCCAGTTCACTTGTCGGCAGAAGACAAATCATCATTTGCATCAAGTGCGAAGAAGTCATCTCCAAGTTGGCAAATTTCAGTTTCCGCGGACACCTGACGGTTCGTCGTGTTAAATATATCGTAGTAACCGAGAACTGGGAGAAGACTCACATCCAGGAAACTCGGATATGGATCTTTGGTGTCCTTCTTCTTTGTGATACGCTGAAGGGGAGTTGTGAGTTGCCACGACAAGGACGGTAGAAATAAATAACCCACCTGAAGCAATGAGCGCACGATAGAGCGACGAGGGGTTTTAGATGAAGAAGCGTTGGACTAAAACATGCGTAAGGGGGAATTCATAATAAGGCCAGGAGAGGAAGAACATACCTGCATATTTCTAAGGGTTTGACACTTCGAAGTAGAAAGACAGATGATGAGTGAGGTTGTGAATAAACTCTGGGGAAAACATGGTGGCTTATATATGAGACGGTAAGGTCCAAGCATATTGTGGAAAGTAGAAGCGTGAAGGGTCTAAGTGCGTGGGGAAGTGTGGAAGAATGGTAGCTAAACAAGAGTGACCTCGACAAGTCCAATCATAAGTCCGAATGAAGAAGACAGTAGGACAATGAAATCAAAATCTGGGTGTGTACTACGATAACGCTCACGACAAGTGGACATCTTTGGTGAAATCCGGATTCTTGAGACATCACCCAGAAGGCCTAGAATGAATGTCCACGTATATCTCCGATCGATTGTAGTATCTCGAAGGTGGGCCAACGCACACATCCGTTGCATGAACAGTGGGTGTTTCATTTATAGGTAGGCTGGCTCATCCAGAATGGCATATGGGATAGTTTGACGAGGAATGATTGTCGACTGCCCTAGATAATCCACTCGAGAGAAGTCTGGAAGTGAGTCCAAAGGAACCCCACATCTGGTATAGTAGGCGTTAGTACTAGTAGGACTCGCTGACGGCGCGGGCAACGATCGCAGGGGGGGGTGGCTTATGCCAGTCTGGCTTCTGCTTGAACCATCATATTGCGAGCACTGTTCGGCCCCTGCAAGTGCCGTCCCCTGTTGATGTTTCTGATGCGTACCGGTGTAAGGTCCGAATATGTGAGTGGGTGAAGTCTGAAAGCTTCGGTTAGTACGGCCGCTGAGCGCTGAGGGTTGGCTTACATAATTTCGAACAATCACTTCAAGCAACTGCTACTATGTAGTGTAAAGCCAGCTGCGACTTGCAATGTAATATCTATGGATCCCGCCGTATTCATGACTTCGTACCCTGGACCGTATTCAAATCATTTGGTCCATGACCGTCCATCCTTTACTTCAAGTTTAGCTTGCTCAAACCCGATTGCATCCAAGTGCAATCATTGGGATTGCAGAAGCTCAAGAGTCAAGACCAGTCAGTAGCTTATACTACAGGGGGCTAGGCAGAGGTTCAGAAGGAATAACATGAGCAAAATTTGAGACAGATTTCCAGGAGTCGGGGACTGGCAGTGGCGTGAGTTCGCGTTGTTGCGATTAAGGACGTACTAACTTTGTACTACCGGTAAGACAGTTTGTGATCATTGCTTTGATGGCTTACTTTTGCATTGCACTTGAAGCTTGAGCGCTTGAGCCATCGAGGTACATGAGCTTACAAGTTAACTTCACTCCTAGCTCACCCACACGCTCAAGGCTCGATCTCCGTATCCTGATGCGGTTGTCTCTGGCCGGCGTACTTTTATTTTATCAGGTTTGGAGCAGAAGTTCACCAGTCTTGTTGAGTTATCTTACTCCAATGGTGCCTTGTAGCATTGACAACCATGAGTCACCTAGTTATTGTAGGTGTTTATCTTGTCGGGCGGAGCAGAACCAGACGGTCCTGGTCCAGACCCCTTTTCTTAGTTACCTCCCTTGCTGTTCCCCGTGGGGTCGTATCATATCTGTTGACAATCCTGGGATTGACAGAGACAAATGTAGGATTTGACTTTCCGCTTATCGTTTCTACTTCGACACACGGCGCTAATGGTTAGCAATATAAAATGACCCCTCTTTGGCTGGCTTTTTCTCCAGCAATCCACTCTATCATCAACTGCCTCGTATATCAGGTGAGTTGTCTGACTCAGTTCTGAGCCCCCTTGATCATGACGCGACTGACACCGTCTTGCAGCTTAACCGCACTTACCATCATCATCATGTTCAACAACAACACCGAGCAATGCAACTGCACCTCCAAGTGAGTTTTGCCCCGTGACAAGTACTTCAATAACCAGATTCTGACTGTCTGTTGGCAACAGCTGCAACTGCCAGGTTGGTAGCTGCAACTGCAAGAACTAAATATCGCGCGCGAGTGCACCTGCCTTGCCGTGTGTATAAACATAAACATATCAGCCGTTTGACGTGACTTGTACTGTTGTATTGAAATGCCAGAGTTGTTCTAGTAAAGCGACGTCTCTTGATGAAGCCAACAGTAAAAACTGCAACATCCTCCAGAATTCTGAATCGCTTTTGAACGTTGAAGTTCAAATTTCTAAGTCAAACTTTAGGTGTGAACACACGCTATGATAGTATGGCTAGGTACTATCAATACGGCGTCACAAAGGATGATCGATGGCCTAATACTGCCCTCGTCCTGACGCCTGGCCTCGTAACCAGCCTGACCATGCATCAACTTGAGATGATGAGGTTCCATCCGCAGTAGTATGAGCTTGAATAACAATAGAACTGTTTTACTGTAGAGCCGTGTACATACAATCATCGTTGTCTGAACGCCTGTAACAACATCAATCGATCACAAACCATACAGATTGAACGATCTGACCGGAGCAACAGTCGTGTGCAGGTAAAGGAATCTCTCGATGATTCTCTGCTATATTCCGGTGGTATTACGACCAAGAACCAAATCACTCACAGCGGTGTCAACCACAGCGAAAGCAGCGGATAAATTCTTAGTGCCATCCGAGATGGCAATGAAGCCTCGGAACGGCTTGTGGTGTATAAGACTTCATCGGCGAAAACAATAGACTAAGAATTGGGAAGGAATAAAAGAAGAAGCGCAGAGATTGTGTGAAGCGACGACACCTTCGAATGTAACATATAAAAACGTGATATAAGCCTCTGTTTTCGTCTGACAATTACAATGGCTAAGGACAATTCGGAGATGCCGCATCATCAATGATTCCTATTGCTCAGCAAAACAATCTCCTACCCATAATCGAATAACTGTCATGCCTGTATCAGTAAGCCTACCAGTAAGCATCACCCCAGCACATCAACGGCCTCTACATGCAACCGATCACTGACCCTCTTCTCCATCTTGTTCATCTGAGTCATTTCCTTCCGAGCCTTGTTAAGTCCGAAAAAATCTAAGCTAATACCACCAGAGTTTGATATTCCTTCCCCATTTTCACCAGCTTTGAAGTATTCCTCCGCTGTCCTGCAAAGCCCCTCCAGAGTCGTGAACGGACCATGATAACCCAAACCACCTTGTTCAGGCGGCAATCGAGCTCTGGAATCGTCAAAAATGAGGTGCACAGATACGAGCGCGAACAAAGATGGTTGCAGATTGATGGTGTCTCCAACTATGTTGGGTATAAAATGTGCAAGCGCACGTCGCATAGGCAACGAAGACATTGTCAAGAACGTGCGTGAGAGGTAAAGAACCTCTATAATCTGCGATATGAAAAGCATAAAGGTGGGCGACATCTCTGTGAACGTAGTTTCAGGAGCCAGTGTCGTCAATCCTACGTATATATCGCTATATGTGACTGGTGGACCAGTATTCGTGATGGTAAATGCCTGCCCACCGAGGTCAGGGTTGGATCCTCCTCTTGCAGTTTCGAGGAGACGTGCTTCATAGCAGAGGTGGGCCAGAGCGCAGTTTTCCACATAAACGAAGGATTGCATGATGTTGGCAACCCAGGTATAGTTGTACTTGCGTATTAGGTAGGCACCGCATATAAGATCTCCGCCGGGGCCAAACACACCATTGCCAGGACGAATACATCCCGTCCGAAGTATCTTCTCGCCAGATCGAGATCCATCAGCAGCTCTCACCGCTCTCTGTCCGAGGATCTTAGACGCAGCGTAGTTGGAGAAGAAATGGTCGTGGTATTTGGGAATGAGGTTATCGTCGTCATTGATTACTTGGACAAAGTGCTTTGGACGCTTCTCCCAAGGCCATAGCCAAAAGCGCGATCTGCGGACAGAGATAGATCCAGATGAGGTATACACCAAGACCGTGACACCTATAGATCGTGCTGCGTTGATCACATTTTGAGTCCCTTCATGGTTGACTTTGGAAGAACGCGGAAGTAGTGCAAGATGACGCTCATAAAAGCGCATATTGGCAGCGGTGTGAAAGACAGTGACCTCTGGCTCTGTATCTGAAGGGTCGGAATTTGGCCATGGAGCCTGGAACGCATCATCCACAGCTGTCGCGTTAGAAATGTCTACTTTGAAGAAAGCAACCTGCGCGGCCAAGCCGGTGCGTAGATCTGAACGAGTCGGTGCACGGATGTCGAGGATTCTGATTTTCTTTGGGTCTTCGCCACGTTGTAGAAGTTGGATAACAATCCAGCCGCCCAAAAAGCCAGCCTATGCCAAAAAAGTCAGCATCAAGATCAGAGCGCTAGATGCAATGGGGTTGCTTACACCAACTACGATATATCGACGTCCAGTCTTTGCTGGAAGTATATCCTTTACAATTCTCGGGGAGCTGCTAAGCTTTTCAGCAGTTTCACGGACGACGTGTGGTGTGAACCGGTTGGGTGAGAACGCTAGGGCTTCCGACGGAAGTTGGGATAACCCTTGGTCATTGAAGCGAACATAAACATATATGAGCAGCACAATCCCTGCCAACACACTGAGCAGAGATAACATCGCTGGTGGAGGGATGGGGCTTGCTCGGAAATCGTGCCGTCGGATGCATGGAAAACTAGTACAATTAATGAGCCTGTACCCGCCGTAACTTAAGACCCTGAACCAGCGAATCTCACACGCCTTAGGGGTATGGTGACAATGAAGATGACATCCAACATCGTACAATTGACGAGTGGATACAACTTTCAAGTTAGAAAAACGTTCCTGATCATCAGTTACTGCACAGTGCACATGTTGCTACAGAACCTTCACACTCCGGGGTAAATTGGAGGGGATGAACCTGAGCTGGATTTGAAGTTGCACGAAGTCTGCGGTTTCTATTAATGCTATTCTTGTACTCCAAGATCCCTCCTTATCTCCCCAGCAGTGGGAAGGAGCCCGGACACAACTTGGCATTACGGTTTCAGTGCAATCTTTAAGGCGGTTCTGCTGTTCATTTTATCGAGTGCCTGTTGATATTCGCTAATCTTGAACACGTCAGTGACCTAGAAAACATTAATGTGGTCGGCCAAATTTGAAGTACGGTTCGCGCGTACCATGCCCTTTACTTTCACTTTACCACTGTCAAGGTATGCTATGGCTCGAGGGAAACAATGAGTCTGAGCAAATGAGCCAATGATCTACTCGAGTTATAAGCAAGAAGTGAGCAGTAAGCATTACTCCACACACCTTGATTTCATCCCCAAATATCTTGGAAGGGGGCCAGTGGACACGAGCGCTATCAGAGTAAACGCCGTAGATCATGAGCGTACCGCCCCGCCGGACGTAGTTAATGGAGTCATTCGCGACCGCCTCATTGCCAGTGGCCTCAACCTGTAACGATTAATTCAAGTTCGACTTAGGTCTTCAGTCCTGCAAATCACTTACGACCACATCAAATCCATACGGATGGTCCCTGCTTAGTTGTTCCCACTGAGGTGCAGGATTTTCTCTATCAAGCTCAACATACGCGTCACCAGCTCCTAGATCCTGTGCAATCTGAGTCTTAATGCCCTTGTTCGCAGCAATAACAACTTTGGCAGCGCCGTTCAGTTTGAGCAGTTGTGCGAGAATCAGCCCGGTAGGGCCAGCACCAATCACCAACGCATCGATGCCTACAGGTGCGTTGAGCTTATCCATCCCGTGAATCGCGCAAGCAGCGGGCTCGACAAGTGTTGCTTCTTCATCGGTGAGGTTCTCGATCTTGTAAGTCTTCTTAGCCTCGCTGCACGAATGAGCAAATGTATAAGATGTGCGGGCTCAGCGCTCAGTAGTGGTGACACTCACAATACGACGTATTCAGCGAATCCTCCTGCCATCGTAACTCCTTTGCCGTTGAAGTTCTCACATAGCAGGGACTGCCCCCGTCTACAATAGAAACATGACTCGCACTGTAAAGTTATCAAGTTATGCTCTCAATGTACTGGAGAATTGGATTTACTGTAACCCCTGGGTCGGCAACGCACCGGTCACCTTCAACGAACCCTGTGACGTTACTGCCGACTTTGGCAACTGTCCCAATTACTTCGTGACCAGGGATTAGCTGTGATCGGCAGATCAGTCTCAAAATACGCTTAAATTTGTTGTTGCGAATACTCACAGGAAACTTCGCGATGAATTCTCCCTCGTGCACATGTCCGTCGGTTCCGCATATACCTGTGGTTGGTTAAATACGCGCACAGAGTGTTTACGGGTGTCGTGCGTGGAGCTTACCACAGTATGAGACTGAAACAATCAATATCAGAACCACTGCTAGAAAACTACCAAAAGTGCACACCTTTGATCAAGAGCTCATCATCATTTATCGTAGGAATTGGTACAGTTTGCATGCCGAATTGCCGCGGCTGATGTAAATGAGATGAGATCGAATGTATCATGATAACATGAAACTCACGGCCTCGTAGCGGACAGCGTTCATGGTATCCATTATGTTTCCTGAGAAGAGAGGTTTCGCCGATATTAACGATGGAAAGCTTTTGATGGGGAGGTTACTATGGAAGAACAACCTGGGAGATATGGTTCGTGCCCTTCGTCTCAAAACTTTTGTACTGTATAATATTACACAACAGATCGGTCAGGCAGGAAGGTCACTTGAGTGATTTTGTCCGTCCCGGGTTGTGATACAGCAGAATCGGCCCGCCCGGATGTGCATGCATGCGGTGTATAAACAGCTTGCTCGGCGAGATAAGCTTGAGAAACTAGTTAGTACAGCACCAGTCGAACGTAAGTCGATGTTGCAGCAATGTACTTCTGACGAGGAAATCCATCGAACAAATAGATATTATCAGTCACGCATTAGTGCCCTGCAATAGTTTCGCAACCGCCAGACCCACTGGCAGCCTGTGCAGGTTTCTGGCTTAGGCTGTCACAATGTGATAATCGAAGCAGGTGGAGGTGGACATTCGAAGGACGGTAAAGCCATGGGAATCGATGCTCTGCGCACAGTGGCAGTAAGTCTATAAATTTAATGCCGGTAAACGCCGCGCCGGTACGGTCAAGTATCATAGTGGGAACTCATTGTATGTAGTAGCATATCTTGTTCAACTACGATAGGGACAATGATTGAAAACATTAATCCGTGGGTGATGAACATTATATTGGTCCGCGAAGTGTAAGTAAAAAATGTACTGAAAATGCCCAATAAAATGAGGTGATGAAATGTAAGAGACAAGCCTATCCAGTCGCAACCACGAAGTGAACTCATACGGGAAGGACAGTTTTGAAGACGTAGTCCCAGATCTTGCTGGTAACACCGAAACCTAGCTCGAAGTTCTTGTAGTGGTGTGCAAGGTGGTATTTCTTCATATGGCGCAAGTATGCAGGTAACTTGGTGTGGTGAAGTCTGAAAGTGGATCAGTATAAGGCGTCAAATTAGAACTGACCAGACTCACGCGTAATGCATACAGTCGTAAAGGATGTCTGTAAAATATGATCAGAACAAGTTTCAAACTCGTGCACGCCTACTTACAAAACGCGAATGAACCGGAAATGATACCGTTAGCGACTGGAGTGGGGAACAGGATATACGCGAGGCGAGTGAATGGGGCCTGGAGGATCCCAAACAATATAGGCGGCATGACGAGCCTGAGTCTAAGAGCAAATTAGTAAATATGTTATACTCCCCTGTGATTTACGCACCTATCCATAGGCATGTAATGATGAATACCGTGAAGCAAAAAGTGAAGTGTCAAAAATGCAGAGTGGTCTGGCAGGAACTCGTCGATATGGAACAGGAAACGATGCATTCCATATTCCAGGATTGTCCATATGAAGTTCCCCAAGAAGAAGCATGAAAGGGTTTTAGTAAATGCGTCTAATGTCACGGTTGATGTGAGCGACAATGGGAGCAGGGGATTGGACAGGAAGGTGGGTATGGGACCATTGAACTGGAGCATGGATCGAAGGAACAGATTTGCGGTAATTGGCAGCCAAACCAGTGGTACCACATACCACACGGTCCGTGTACACACCTGTATAATCAGATAAGATGGGAACACGAATTTATGGACATGCTGCGCACCTCAAAGATATCATACGCAAAGAGACGAGCAGACTCTTGCAAATGCCGTGGTTGATGAACTTGCTGGAGATAATAGGATTTGCTATACTCAGGCATTCAGAAAATGTGTCTTCTGTAAGGAGGTCCCAACATACCTAAAGTTGGCCTGCCACATTTGATGCAGTAAAGGCGTGCGCAAGTCTAAAAACTGTGTCTTCTCAAAATCTTCCGCAGAGTCAGTGTTCTCGGGGTGGAAGTCATCTGGAGCTTCCCAGTCTGCAGAAAAAATCCTCCATGAGTGTGTTTTCCGTTAAAGCGCAGCTAAGTACGTACCATCTCTGACAACTGTTGTCTCCGTCCCCAAACGTCCAATCACGTATTCCTCCAACATGTCATACGCAGAGTCAGAGTGATCATGAGAATCCCCATCCTTCATAATGTTTTCTACGTCCGTGCCAGCATACTCAAGAATGAGGTCGTCTCCTCCTGGATGGTCGGGCACGAATCCAGTGACATCGTAAACCTTGCCACGGCAGGTTATCCAACAGCTTTTGGCGGACTTGTGGTTTGCAACATCCTCTTCAGTGTAAATCCGAACGCGTTTGGTAACCGCCATGTTTGTTGTTGGAGTTGGGTGAATGACAAACTTTTGTTCGTGCCACCACTTTTGACCTTTTCATTTCCTGCGAAAGTTCTCACGATCTGGACGATGAATTGCCCCTATTAGTGACGATCCACTATTTCCTACGGCACTCAATTTTATGTGCTCGGTTACTTACTTCACTAGGGTTGTTTTATATGTTATAAGAGCACATTCCAAATGAAACAAAACAAATCTGTTGAAAAATGGTGGAAGTCATGTCCTCAGCGTGACAGCAGTAAATGTCACGGATCGGTGTCTGTCGGATATGAAATTTGACATCATTGCTGCGGTCTGGTGGCCCATCTCAACGTTCAACTATGAGTCCAAGATTCAGACTGCACTCATCTATGTCGTAAATGGTACCTGCAAGAATATCTCAAGTCCCAGGAGCTCTCTCCCCCCATCTGAAGATCAAACTATCAATGATTGGCTAGCTCATCTCGCGCATTGAAGGAGACATCCAAATGGAGGCATCCGACGGCTCCCTATCATCATGCAAGCGCAAGAACGTAGTCGTCCTCTTTTGCTACCCAGAGATGGGGCAAATGATTGAACTGACTGCACAAATCAAAGAACATCTTGCAGGAAATCCTGACTTGACATTTAATTTTTACCACCTTTTGCCGCCAGTGAAATCACATTCTAAAGGTAATCTAGGGTGCTCTGGAACGCTATAGGCTAGGTCGGAACGCTTCAGCCAGGTCCAGATCTTAAATCTTGCAAGAGATAAAATGTTGAAACCCCTAATGTGTAATCAATTGCTGTTGAAGCTCACGCGTTCACGAATCGCGAATCTGCCAAGCGGACTGTGAATTCGGCCACTGAGTGCGACTGTCTGCCACCATTCGTGACATCAGCGAGACTCCCGAAGTATGTAGTGGACCGAGCGTGACCGATAGTCTATTATGCATGATACATCGATAGATCATTTCCCTCCGACAGTCCCAATAGCATTCTGCGCAAACTCTGCACTCCACTTGCGAAGAACATGCTTCATAACCTTCCCACTGGCAGTCTTCGGAAGTTCTTCCGCTGCGCCATCTTCGCCGACAAACCATACCCACGCTGGAGCATTCTGGGAAAGCGTCAGTTTGGCCGAGAAACTTGCATCCGGAACTTGCCTGTGGATTCATATTCTCTGCGACGGCCCGACGGACGTCCTCTCTTGACATATTGGTGCCCGGTTCTTTGACAATCCATGCCCCCACGACCTCTCCATACTTCGTATCACGCACGGACACAACTGCAGCTTCCCTGATGGAGGGATGTGCAGTCAGTGCGTTCTCAATTTGGACCGGAAATAGATTCTGTAAGCTGAGTTAGACCACCATGGTACTACGTACGTGAGACGGAATGTGTCACCTCTCCGCCACGGATAATAATGTCCTGTGAAGTAGTTTATTTCTCTGGATTACCGAGTCAACACGTGTACTAACCTTTATCCTGCCAACAACTGCGGGCCATCAAACAATTATTTAAGAAGGATGTTACAACAGACTTACTCTTCAGATATCCTTCCTCATCCATGATCCCTTCATCACCTGTATGCATCCACATTATGGACGGGTCATTCGGATCTGCCCGCATGGCCTTCTGCGTTTGTCCTTCATCCTCCCAGTAGCTAGACTTATTTCAGTGGACACAAACAAACTAAAAACTGGACCAAGCAAACCCTTTCTGAACAAGATAACCAGCGATACACAGTTCACCGGGCTTTCCGACAGGAACAACATATCCATCTTGGTCAACGATCTTGGCCATCACGTGCGGTTGCACTCTACCGACCGTCTCAACACGCTTGATGATTGGATCCGCCAGTGTGGTTTGGAAAGACACGGGGCTGAAATAAGATTAAACCATTATAGAACCCCATTCCCGCCGAGGGAGTAAATTCACCTTGTTTCCGCTGTTAAAAGGTTAATTAACCGAATTTCAGTTTCACGAATTGGAAACTCACTCATTCCATATGCAATAGACAGATCCACGAGGTTCAATTTCTCGATGAGCTGTCGCATGAGGTCGATAGGTATTGGGGAGCCTGCCGCAACCCCAGTCCTACATGTCATGAGTGATGATGCGCAGTTAGGCTAGACTTGTTCCACTTACCGCAGGCAACTCAAATCCAGCTTCTCTCCCGCGTCTTGCCGCTTCTGTACCTCCGCCAACACACCCAAGAAATGCGTGGGGACGCCATGCAGGGCCGTACATCTGTGCTGCACGACGGAGTCCACGATAGCTTTAGGTTCATAGATTTCTGAAGGGTATACAACGCAAGACCCATAGGACCATGCAGCAAGGTTACCGATGACTAGGCGTGCATAAATTCAAGGTAAGAATGATTGTAAGAAAAAACAGATAATTGTCACTCATCAAAGCAGTGGAACAGAGGAGGCACATTGCCTGGTGAGAAGCATCTATATCATACGACACGAGAGTCAGAGATGAACGCACAAAGGACATCGTCTGGGCCCAGTCGCATACAATCACCAATGGAGATGCCATTATTGAGTAGGTTCGTGTGAGTTAGCTGAGATGGTATTCAGGAGCGGCGCAAACATAGTAGAGGCAGTTGTTTACCGAGACAGCCTTGGGAGCACCGGTGGTCCCACTATGTATAATTATTCACTATGAGAATTTTAAGCTGATATATCAGAAAACCTACCTTGTAAACTGCAGGTTGATAACTTCGTCACTTCTTTGAGACTGGACCGACTCTTCGATATGACGCTGTTCCCACGTATCTTCCCTCCATATTAAGGTCTCTCTCCAATCAGTAATACTCTTCACATCGCACGTCTCCCGATGCCACTCGGCAGTGTCGTGGATATTACTGACCACGACTAGGTTCCTCAGCGAAGGAAGGCCGGGCTCTTGGATATTACCGGGACTTGAGTTGCACAACCCAGGAAAGGCATCAGAGAGCATGCGAATATAATTTGACGTTCTGATGCGAGGGACAGTAAAGAGATGGGTAACGCCGACAAGGTTGAGTGTCTCCACCTGCAACACAATGGTTCAAGCGTTGCAGGTGACGTATAATCAACTTACAAGTTCATTCAACCTATAGGCAGGGTTCAGCGTTACGAGGATTGCACCTATGCTCGCGCACGCCCACTGAAGTGTTGCATAAGAGCTTCATATAGGAATACACCACTGGATGAGCGGATATGACGTATTAGAACCAAAGCACAATACCTATTGTTCCCCATGAGCACTGCAACACGATCGCCCTTCCTGACACCCATCGAAACCAAGCCTCGCGCCAGTGCTCGTATGTGCTTGTCAAACTCGTCAAAATCCCATGCTAGGTGGTTAGTCACATCGAGGTTCCGTGATGGTGGCCCACCATGGGCACGGGGACGTTCTTGCGCACAAATAAGGGCAGGACGGTGAGCATGTTTCCCGAGGATCTCTTCTCTAAAGAAATTTGTGAGCGTTCGAAGATCCAGGGAGGGTTTAGTAGGTCCCTGGACAGAGGAAGACGTCAGAGAGCAGTATTGTCCGGTATTACGACGCGTCGACGCGCTCCTGGCAATTTGCAACGCAGACTTGACGCTTTGACGGAGTCCCAGTGAGGTCATCTTGAAACGAATTCACCATGCACGCTACAAGCAAACAGCTGACCTCGAGGCACATATGTATTTTAAACCGTTGAAGCGCCGGGTATTACAGAAACTTGAGCCTTCGCACGTATGTAAAATTGGCTCCGGCGGGAGTGCTTGCCCGAAACATTGACTCGCAAACGCTGAGCCAGCTTGGTGTCAAAATTGGTGGTCCAATGGATGAAGTTTTCAGTTCAAAGAGAAAATGTATTCCGAGTTGAGTATCTACTGCAGGTAGTAGAAGTGTCAGTACTTAGTCAAGCGTCGAGCAAGAAGTGACTACCAGATTAGGAACGATAAGCGGCGGCAAAGCGAGCACGTCCCGTCGGTTGCCGGTGCCAAAATTGTGCTTTGGATGCAAAACCGAGCGGAGTTGGACTTAGAACCGTCAATTTTAGGAGCGAAGCGGAGAATCCTACAGATGCGGCCCATGATCGAATCGATGATCAATATCATGACGCATGAGGTTTCTACATTGCCAGAACTTGGTGACCCCCGGGAAAGCACCTCTTTCTGGGAAGTTGACCCAAGCTTGGAAAGTCTCGCCGCCGAGCCTGGACCTGCGGACAACTGATGACTAGGAATGGGCAGCTGAACTTGAGATCAGCTTCCACAACGGAATTTCCAGCTGCAAAAGCGACAGGAGGTGTCGAAGTCAACAAAGGTAGGGACCACAACTGCTGTAGAGTGCCAATGATTCTTAGATGATTCTAGCAGGGATGACAATGATCAAGATGGAGCACAATTGTTGTGACATATGCCAATCCATCAGAACCCGGAATGTGGTGCGGGTGAAAGCTAGTTGACGCCTATCGGTAAGTCTCTGATCCACTAAATTGGGTTCAACGTGTCAATGCAAGCGTCTACCTACCAGTACTTGCTGTGCTAAATCCCTTTGTATCAATATTGCGCAGAACAAAATAGTGGACAATGCATTCACGCTCCGCCGCATCAATAATATTGTCAGTGGCTCATGTCCACTAGATGCTTCCGCAAATGTACGTTTAATGGGATCCACAATCATACATCGGTCCACAACAAGCGTCTGTCCACAGTTCAAAGTGTCTGTCTACAATGCCTCTTGCACCTCCAGGAATCGTATAAATATCAGCACAAATGCCTACCTAGCATCATCATCACCTTCAAGGACAATCAGCATTCACCTCAGACAAAATCAAGTTATACCCCTCACTTATATTCCTCCTACAATCAGTCATTTCAAAATGGCTGTCATAAAGGTGAACCCAATCACGAGCATACATCATGCACTAAAACTAAATTTGGAACGTGTAGAACTATGTTTGCTCTGTTCAAGCTGACTGCAACAAAACCTTTACTAAATATAATGACCTCAAGAAACATGAGGCCGCACATTCACCCAAGTCCGTGATTATCTTGTATGCTATACGATCCACTGACATTCGTTCACTGTCAGCGCTCACATATGTCGTTTCCCCGGCTGTGACTTTGCGACTTTGTCCAAAGCCAGCTTCGAAATCCATTCCGACAGGCAGTAAGTACTTCTTCATAACCGACGACCATTCCATCTAATTAACAACAAAAATTTCAGCACTGGTGAACAGCGTTACAAATGTCCGCACGGTTGTGGCTATAAGACCCACAACCCTGCCGCACTGACTCGCCACCGCAAGATAGAACATGGGCATCTTCCTCTTTCTCGCGGCGGTCGTACTGCTGCCACATCCGCATCACACATGACCCCGTTGTCTGCATCCCAGACAATGCCCCAGCCGCAGCCCCAACCCCAGCCGCAGCTCCAGCCGCAGGCTCAGCCGCAGCTCTTGCCGCAGCTTCAACTTCAGGTCCAGCCTCAGCCTCAGCCCCAGCCCCCTCAGCAAAACAACTACAATAACATGCTGGGGGCCTTTTACGGTGGGCCCGCGAGGCCGGCCGCCAATCCGTGGCAGCCCCCCGCCGCACCTTATTCCTACCAATACCACCCTTCGGTAGGATACTTCTATGGCCCGACATATCCCCAGAATGGCTATGCCGGGCTCGCGAACGCTGGCAATGGGTTGAATGCGGGCTACATGTACCCGGGATACATGTAGAGGCCCCCTTACCAGATGCCGGGGCGTGATTAGTTCTCATGAACTCAATCATCGTGCTCAACTGAAATGACGTAAATGTTGTCAAGGACTTTTAGTTTCCCGCAGGAACGTTCGAAACTGGGTAAAGTCATGAACAGGACAAGGAAGAAGATAATACACAGCCTTATGTAGGCTGTGGGAAGGTGGTGAAGAATATTGTAATATATATATCACATCTGCGAGTCAGATTTATGTCTGTAAATGGTGTCGCGTAGAATTATGTTGTTGTCATTTAATTAGTGAAGTCATAATCAAAACCATTTTGACTTCCTCGTTTTTACTAAGACGCAGACCGCAATAGTCAATCGTGAGGTATGCATTGAGCCCACAACATACAGGCGGTCAACAAGCTTGCTACGTAGTATAAGCCAACTAGCTACAAATATACAAAGATAAAGATCCTATAGCTATTTTCCGTCTAAATGCTGAGCAAAGGTAATTGGAAAAGATATTGATGTATATAGATGAGTAATATGACAGTCTAAAAGAAAGGAAAAAATGCTAAGCGTCAGGTCGCAGCCACAGTCTGTCAGTAGACTACTGAGATGACTTCGTCTCAGCCTCCGTCTCCGGGTTTGCTGTGTACGGGGGTAATGATGTCGTCGATAATGAATGTGTGAGGACAGAATCAGGACGCGGTCCGAGACTTTTCTCGGCGGTCTTCTGCTCCCAAACGATGTCGCTGGCGATGAGTCCAGGGGTAACGGGCCGTGACGACGTTGGGGTATTGGCTTGGGAACGGTTGTGGACGAGATGCGCACGGACGAGGTGACCGGCGGCGAGAGCACTAAGGAGCGAGAGTTCACCGGCCATGACGGAAGCAGCAATAATACAAGCAAGGCGTTGCGCATTGTGGCCGGGAGTAGTGGGGTGTGCGCCCTTGAGTCCGAGCATCTCGAGGACGGAGCCCTGAGGACCAAGAACAGTACCTCCACCGACAGTTCCCACCTCAATTGAGGGCATCGATATAGTCATAAGGAGATCTTCACCGTCGTTCGTTCTACCGACAGTCATCAGGATCAAGCACGGTCAGATGATAGCAATGGCGACTTACGGCTCCATGAGGGTCATACAATTCGAGCTCTCCACGTTCTGCGCAGGGTCCTGACCAGTGGCCAAGAAAATGGCAGTGAGGATATTTGCAGCATGTGCATTGAAGCCACCAATCGAGCCCGCCATAGCACTTCCAACCAAGTTCTTCTTTGTGTTGAGATTGCAGAGCGCCTCAACCGTGGTTTTCAACACGCTCTTGACAACCTTGCCAGGAATAACAGCCTCAGCTACCACACTCTTTCCACGTCCCTCAATCCAATTGATGGCAGCAGGTTTCTTGTCTGTGCAGTAGTTGCCCGAGAGAGCAAGCGTGATCATCTCCGGGAAATACTTCTGCACGACCTCAAGCGCCTTCTCCGTACCCTTGGAAATCATGTTCATGCCCATGGCGTCACCAGTGCGTGTTGCAAACCGAACGAACAATGTACGGCCAGCCATTGCAGTCTTGAGGCGCTGAAGCTTGGCGAAACGCGACGTCGACTCGAATGCCTCACGAATGATCTCAAAGCCTTCTTCCGAGTCAATCCATGCCTTAGCTTCTGCAGCCATGATAATAGAAGGGAAGTCGATTGCAGGTCCTCGCGTCATGGCGTCGTTCGTAAGGACGGTTGTGACACCTCCACCTGCATTCAGGGCCTTACAACCACGCGAAGTAGACGCAACAAGTGTGCCCTCAGCAGTAGCCATGGGAATGTGGACGAGCTCGCCATCGATGTTGAGTGGGCCGGCGACACCAAGAGGAATAGGGATGTAACCGACAACGTTCTCACAGCACGCTCCAACGACACGAGAGTAATCGTAGTTGTGCATGGGGATATCCGAATACTCAAGCGATTTGGTATCAGTTGCACGAGCTAGGTATTAAATGAGCACCAATATCCCTGAAATATGGAGACAGACTTACAAATCAATGCACGACGGACGGTAACAGCCCGCTCAAGATCACCAAGCACCTTCTCCAAAGCATACGCCGCAATCTTCCCGTTCTGTGCAAGCATGACAACCTCTTCGTCATTGAGCGTCGCAAGAGCCGCTGACACAGGACGAGGTCCATTCTCAAACACCTCGATGCACTGTTCCAAAGACCGAATGGGGAACTGAATTGGCTGGTCCTCTCTTGGTGCAGGTGCAGCTTGTGCGCGGAGCTTCATGTCAAGCATCTGTGCAGACACACCAGCGGTAGCGGGAATTGCAATGGGTGCAAGGACCCGCATAGGGCGGATAGCAAGGGGACGAACGATAGGCTTCTCGGAATCTGAAGAACTCGGCGAGGACGGCTTCGAATCACCAACTACGAAGGATGACCGTCTGCGTCCACCAACAGCCCTAACTCCAGGGATCACCACTTCTTCTTCATCCTTTTCACGTTTCTCGGCAACGACCGACCTAAAGCGCACATTGTTTGGCTGCAGTCCACGCATGGCACCCTCAGCAATGCCCTTAAGAAGGTAACCGTTGAGTGCCACGCTGACAGCGAGCACAAGGACGATCCATTTTGATAGAATGGGGTCGCCGACGAGTGTTGTCCAACCAGTCATGAAGTTCTCGATCGCCTCGGTAGATCTGAATAGTGCGCGAGGACGAACTGGACCTGGTGGCGTGACGCGGATGTACAGGGGCGGCGCGATCTTGACAAGGAGATCGGTAGGTGCAGACACGTTGGCTTCACCTTCGACTTCTACTTGAAGAGTAGTGTCGATAGCGGCAAGGTTGGCGAGGACACTGGCAATGGCAGGAGAGGTTATGTCAACTCTGTGTGACACCGAATACTCGGTTCTTGCAGAGTCAATCAATGTCTGAGTCTGGTACCTCGAAATGGTTGCAGGAGTGAGCGTGGTTGCGAAGTTGAGGATGTGCACAGTTAGGAAGGATACAATCTATTCAATTGAACATCAATGTGACAGGAAAGGAGGTCAGGTGCGGCAGTGACATACGAGAAGAAGTTTCAGACGTGCGAGAGGATTCTCTTCCTTAACTTCTGGCGGTGGGCTGTTCTTCTGTCTGAGCATAGAACCCTTGACACCCAATAGGGTTTCTGATAGCTGACGGCTAAGACTGGCGTCCTGGACTTGAGGAGGTGCACGGACGAGCGCACTTGGCTTGCGTTCACTAAGATTGTTCGAGCTCCGGGATCTTGTCATATCACGAGCAGCTTTGATCCTCCGAACCTAAAACAATCAGGCACCATGAGCGTTGTTCTGGAGAACAATCAGAGAAAGAGCCATGTTGACCCTAACCCAGTTGATCCAAAAAAGGAAACCGCATGATCACTAACCTCGACCATAATTGCCAACATCGCGGCATAGAAGGTGCCAAATAACACACAATCCAAGGTCAGCGTCAGTGCCGCAAGCGCACAGAACTCCTTCAGACCACCAACTTTACTCTTCGCTCCCATGGAGAGGACCGCGATTTCAAGTGCGTAATCACGTAAGATGGCATTACCGCTGTTTTCGATGGCTTCCATAACTACTTCGCCAGCAGGTTTCATCTGGCCACGCCACCTGCCCTCCTTAACTGGAGACAACAGATGAGGATGGTTGAACACTGCAGCTGCCAGACGGAGGGGCTTATCGAAACCAACCGTGCACACAAAGAAAGGTAGAGCTTCAGTGAGGCTGATTGGATCCAAAGGAATCTCGAGGTAATGCGAGATAGGAAGAGCGAGCATGAATGCGAGGATGGATGACGACAAGATTGCAAGGCTGAGCTTCAAGTTGGAACCAAGCGCGCGAGCTGAGAAGAACAGGCGAATGAATGATGCGTGCATGAGTATGTAGCCAATGAGAACGAGCAAGATGTCCAGTGAATCCGCTTTCTAGATTGCAGGTGAGCATGACGAGAATATGACATAATAGGCTTCGGACTGCTGACCTTGGTAAGCTCCCAGAACCGCACAATAAGGGCTCGTGCAGCATAGGCCATCCATTTACCACCTTTCATTTCTCCGATGGTCTCCGTGACGTGGGTCTCTATTTGATATCTGACTCCAAACTCATCAGCTGTGAAACCAGGTTGATGGTTTAGCGCGTCTACAAATGCATCGCTAGCGCCAGCAGCAAAAGACAGCGTGACCGTCTTCGACCGTGAGGTCTGGAGGGATGCAGTGGTGAAACATGAGGCGGGTAACGACGATTCACCGGTCACTGGATAATAGCAAAGCGACGTGTACGTCTCGCCTAATGGGGTAGAGAGGCCGTGAACTATATGGTGCGTAATATTATCAATAGATTGTGATAAGGATACGAGGTCGACAGGTGCGGAGTCTGCAGTGACCTGGCAATGAACGTGTTACAATGATGACGACAAAAACAAATTGGACCAACTGACTGTAGCTGAAGACTGAGCTGGATCTAATGAAAATATTAATTGTTGTAATTCCAATGGACGCGAGTCAGCTGTTTTGACGCGTTTCAAGTACCAGTCTTCATCGACGCCAACCCACTCGCCATCACGCAGTAATGCATGGGCTGGACGGAGTGTTGAAGGGACGGATGGAGCGAAGAATGAAGAGTGTTTGATTGCTGAAAGGACCTGGAAGTATGCGAGAGTTCCGACGATGGCGAAGAAGACTATTGTTTCAATTGGTGCAAACACGGTGCGTCCAGCCAAAGGCTGAAGAATGGATCGCATTGTGTTCACCTAGAGACAGTAAAAAAAGTGGGATGGATGGGACAGATGTTTAGCGCGTCAGAAGCTAGTGAAAAGAACCAGAAGTTGGTCAGTAATTGGATACGAAGTGAAGCAAGCCCAAGCAGTGTCACTGTTACGGGAGCATGTTGTACTCACTGTGAAGGACGACACGCTCGTGCAAGATATCGCGATGAGCAAGTGTCGGAATGGACTGCCTAGTGTGATGGCAGCGCTTCGTTTAGCCAGTCTCAATAGAATGAGAGGCCTTGTGAAAGGACTGGGACAGGGAATGGTACGACGGTCATTTCTCACTTTTTATTTACAGTGCATGTAATCGGCTAATTATGGCATACAAAGACCCCAGTCACCACCCAAGTCGGTTCGGTTCTCTTTCGTCCCTGCACTGGTCTACACTCCGGTTTAGCCGAGCTCGCGACAGAATCGGGTCCAATGAAAGAAATCTAATAGAGGAACAGCCTACTCGATGATAACGCCATACTAGTATTGGCCTTGTGAACGATATACAAAGTGTATCACCCCCAAGGTCTGGTCTTCAAGTTTCCCCATAGAGCCAGTTCCAACGTCCACGGTATAGTCGTTGCCAACGTTAGAGTCCGGACCAATGACCAATTAATACAAAGTCAGAGCCAGCGTCATCCCTCATCCCTCGGGGTCTCTTCCATTTTGGTTGTCTCAACGCGGTGATTTGAAGATTCGGAAGGGATGCTTTTGTATCCAAACCGATGCATGATGCACGCTCAAGCACCCATTTGCGGCAACAAATGATGCTGCTGCTGTCTCAAGCCATGCATTTCAGAATGTAGGTGCACAATACGTACTCGAACCTAGCTACACAATCTGAATTGGATGTGTCTTTGAGTTGATAAGACATCGTACGTGTTTTAAATATTGGATAAGACTGAACGTGTATAGCCATTCCGTGACATACGCACGCGCCCATATCACCAGAGTTCTCTTCCGCATCTTCCCAACCGAACAACTTATCTTGATATCAACCAACAGATTTTCAGGTTCCTGCATTGTTCTTGCGGAATTTACATTATCACTCCGACAAATCATAACAGCCCTTCATAGGAGCTTCATAACAACGTCCGTTGAGTATCCTTCCGCGTTACATCCGCTCAACTTGAAGGCATCTTTAGAATTATATATATATATGCTTGCTTAGGCAGATCTTTCGTTCTTCCGAGTCGCCAGGGCGCAAGACTCACTGTCCCTGGCAGTTTTCTCTGCATGAACGCAATGCTTCCGTGTACGTTGCTTTTTTCCGCTCTCATGGTCTCGTGCGTCTTCAGACTCAGAGCGGATCACCACTTGCCTGTCGTGGTCCTCTTTTTTAGGTAGTGACCAAGCCATGTCTTGTCGATTTCTGGCCAGACTCTCCAGAATCCATTCCAGTCCGCGGCTAGACACCATAATGACAACGTCATCCTTTGTAATCCCCTTGCTAATCTCCCGTCCCTGGGCCTTCATCGGACTCGTCTAATGTTCGGTAGCTAACCGAAGCGAACGAATGACGCTTCTTCAAAAGTTACAGCCCTTTTGATCGATAACGAGACTACGTAACCAAATTAAATCGTACCATTCCGCTATGAACCAGTGAGCTACTGGTATCAACCTGCCCAATCAGACGTGCCACAGCACATTTATATCCAGGTATGTATTTTAATGTTTCTACACGACTCAGCGAGGCTAGCGCAATTAATTGTCCTGATTATAGATTGTCTAACGTTAAGTAACGAGTGATCATGTTTCACCTGGGTCCTTCTGGACCACCTTTCGATTCGGTCGGTCTCATCCGGATCATGCCAGATAGCCTATGATTCTGAAGACTGAGCTACGGTTCCCAGGGTCCTCAGAATCGCACAGCATTGGACCTGCTGGGAATGTATCCCCAACCAGCCAGCCAGCTGCCAATTCATATCCTGTGATTGCCAATGACCGAGTCTCGTTCCCAACGTCGTCATGTGCCCTGCATCAATATGTATGACTACGTGACAGTCTTCCTCTCAATGAAAAAGTGTCACCTTTCATGAAATTCGGTAACGTTTGACTCACACGAATTTGACAAGGCCCGTTGCATGAATTCACTTTACTCCTAAGTACATATGGCTCGCACACTGCTCGTGATGCTACCCCACCCAAACTCCACCACCGTCATGGTAAACGTCACTGCCGATCTACTATGTCATGAGTATACGTCAGTATGTGATTCATTTGATTTCTTAATGGTTGGATCGATGACATTCTACTAAGGTACTGCCGACCTGCAGTCACCTACGCCAGTCTCGATTGGCAAAATCGACGTTAACATACTCTCCGAAAATCATGCATGGGTTCCACGTGAGCAATGACAAGGAATCGATGGCATGGTATGTCCATGTCAAGACTCGGGCGATCTGCAAGTGCAGATCACCCGGTCCTCTGCGGCAAGGTAAACGCTGTTATCCATAGTTCAGAAACACTTTCTACATAAGGCGGTAGTCCCCGGATATGTACCTCCGGTGACCCGAGATGAGTGCTGAGCGCTGAGCCTCGTGATTTTAGCTTTACACCGCTTCAGTCGTGCTTCTTAAATACTGCCACGAGACCGGCAGAAGAGACGGAGCAATAAACCCGGAGCTGATATTTACATTACATCCTGTGTATAGATGTTCGAGAGGAAAAGGTATGGCATAAATCGACCAAAATGCTATAAAGCTGCACGCGCTACAGAGACTCCTGTGCGATGACAGGCCATACAAATTAGACATGAGAGGGGGTAGTCACTGGTACTTGTTCTATGATCCTGTTCCACAGGTAAGCAATGAATTGGCTCGTGTTCCTGTACCGGATGCGAAGCCAGCGCCGCAGGAGGGACCCAACGTGAATACGATTTGCAGCCAGTACAGACCACATGACTAGAATGACTATGGCGACCCATGTCGGATATGCGATCGAGATGATGGCAATGTCAGAAGTGCGGAAAATCACAACAGACAATGCTGCAGCAAAGAATACTATTCTGTCGAACAATGAGCCGCTGATGTAGAATGTGACAGGAAACCTACCCCCATATCAGAAGGCCGAACGGTAGACTGAGCATAAAGGGAAAGCTTTCCAAGCCAAGCACAGAACCCGTCATTCCTATTAAGAAAGAAACCTGAGGGCGTAAAGATTATCGGATGATATCAACAAGGAGAGATGAACACACCACATCCGTAAGGGAGCCTCGTAGACTCTTATTAACATGTCCAACCAATAATAGTGTAACTATTAACGAGCCCATGACGCAGAGAGTAGACATGTAAGATAGGAGGGTCGCAGGCGTTTGAGTCTCGATAGATGGGACTGCGAGAAAGCTGATATCAACAGCAAGCATCACAGTAGACTGAGATAGTCATTAACTATGATAACAATATGAAGCAAAAGTACAACTCACGAATATCGTATATCCATTCCAGTCGCTATTCAGCTTGTCTATGTACTGCTTCCACCGCACATCAACGATGTTTTGATCGACTAATATCTTGTGGAAGGCCCTGCTCTGTGCATCAGGGGATCCAAATAAAATAACATTTATCGCACGAAAAAGCATGTTTTTGGAGGCGTCAGATTCTCCGTATAACGATTGGTCTACGTCAAGTCTGGCGCTTGGCTGTCCACAGAAATTCATGAACTTTGTGCTGCCTAGCAAAGTAATCAGCAAATGTAGATAGCAGACTACTAGCCGAATCACAGAGATCTTTCATGAATCGAGCTGACATCAGTAAACATATCAGAAGCAATCAACCGACCGTCCATGATTGGACTTACCGGCGATCCATACAGAGTGCTCACACTCCTTGTTAGTACTGTCTAAAAAGACGATCAGTAGCGACCCCCCTCATCGGCGAATGATTCACCCTTAAGAAGATCTATAAGGCTGAGCATACTTGCAATCTTATCCGAAGTAAAGCGTGTTAGGGATGTTGCAGAAGTGATACCGTCTATTACAGGTCAATCTTGTAGGGCATGAAACGCTTATTAACATGTACTCACCTGCCTGAGTATACATGACAAGTTCTTTGAGTTCCATGGCAACATCTTCCGGAAGAGAACGTTTGTTTGGGAATAGTTCAATGTGTGTCCTGTAAATATCATGATATCCAAATTATGAGGCAAGAAGGGCTGTTGCAAAGTGAGGTCATTGACATTGATCAAATGAGGTGATATGCGTACTTCTAGAGGTCATACGAACCAATACTGTGTTTCCAGTGCATACTCTAGGAACGACGTGAGTACAGAAGCTTGAAATGGAAGTATTCCACGAAAGAACTTACTGATGTGGCTCTTCCGCTCTACACCTCGAACGCCGTCCATGAGGGGATATGATTTGTAGTCTTCGAACCAGAAAATGACACGTCGTTTGTGGTCAACAAAGTAATAGCCCCATATTTCTTTGCCAGCCTGCATCATGAACTCCAACGCGAGCTCGACGGATGGATGCAGAAAGATGTCTGCATTGCACGCTCCTTTGTACGCCTTTTCAACAGCTGTGGCTAATTTGGCAGCAGTCTCAGGATCTCGAGCATTGGCATCAGTGAATACTCTCTAGTGTGCGATTTGAGTAAGGCCACATAGGAGCAGGCAGTAGACGCACTTTATATGGGTGATAGAAGATCAAAGCCCCTTCTGGTTGCGTGAGTGGCTCCCATCCCGCTATTGGATAAAGCTCCCTGACTTTCTTACCATCATGCTTACTCTGAACAGTCCAGAGGACCTTTTTGAACCAAGAACGCCTTGAATTCAGTTTTACTGCGAGTATGGATTAGAAACAAAACTCGCTCAAAATACAATTTGCGCACACTCGCACATTCCTCCGGTATCGATTGATCTGGCGGGGTATAATGGGAATTAGAGTGATATCAAAGGTTTGGCCTTGCGCCGCAAGAGGCGATGGCATAGTGATTTGGATATTATTTTTGGGGATGCTGAGTTCGAGTACAGAGTTTGACATCAATGGAGCAGAAGAGTTCGAAGGAAAGTCTGCGTTAAAAGCTGCATCATTCCACCCTCCATGAAGCCCGGGAATCATCTGAAGATGCTGAGAGTCCATTTGAGGTTGGGACCCTTGGCTGTGTAGACTCTGTAGAGGTGCCTCGAGCAACGGCACTGCAAGGCTCACAGGAGGCGCCGGCTCGGAGCCGGGTTGGTTCAAGTTGGTCCCTGGCTGAGAGCTCAATGCTAAACCGCCAGGCCGTTCACGAAAGTCTTCCTCCTTCCCATTCAGGATGGATTGACAGTGTCGGATCAGTCGCAGGAGTACGGAGAGGAGACTGTACGATCGAAATGCGGTTGCCTTAACAATGTGCCTCAGCCACACTGAGATGAACATGATGGAAGCGAATAGAGCCGTGCACTAAAACTAGATGACTTTGTTTCAAACTAGTAAGTAAGAAGAACGATAAAAAGGTGTAGGAGGATGAGTGTACGATCCAACGAACAGCATGACACACGTCTTGGATTGGCGCCGGAATCGCTCTGAGCGTCAAGATTGTCTTTGAATTGAGACTGACATTAATATTGATAACCCGCTCCTCACATAATGCTGGGGTCAATTACGGACACTAATTCCTGCGATACCGTATATAGAGGACGCGTTGTCACTATCCATCCTGATTGTGGAACTCAAGCGGAGCTAAAAGTGAGTGCATGCCAGCAGTGTGTCAAGTGCTACTATCCTAAGGATGTACTGTAACGTACTCGCGCTAAGGAAATGGGACTAGTATACAAAATTACACCACCACTTGATTGGTCGTCTCAACGCCTAATACAGTTATCATAACAGAACTGGACATACTAGTCCTTAAAAAAGGGGGAAGGCTATCGTCGTACATTTTTGCAGAAAAGAGATCTAGACAAGCCTTGTGCTAGGAATGTCAATTCGAGATCTAGAGCTGGTAAGTTCTGTGTAGGGCTATTCAGGAGAAAACGTGTATCATATAAATCAACTTGTGAAACATCATGTACTAACCATGTGCGTGTCGCGCCATAGAAAGTGCCTGCAATCAGACAACACAGATTAGTGATGAGAGATGATGATGGGTCCCGCAGCCTGAGGTAGAACATGTTCTATGATCCAGAACCTCAACTGAGAAATGTGAATATTATTGGCGGCAAGTACAGGCCACATCGCCAGGACGAATACGGCGACCCAAACTGGAGATGCGATGGAAATGGCGACAACACCAGAAGTGCGAAAGATTAGGGTGGACAATGCTCCAGCAAAGAACGTCATTCTGTAAAAGGATGAGCCACTAGTCCGTGAAATATAACCCAGAAACTGACCCCCAAATCAGAAGTGCAAACGGCAGGCTGAGCATCAGGGCAAGGCTTTCGAGGCCGAACATAGACTCCGATATTCTTACCATGAAAGAGGCCTGTGGACATAATTAATGTAGGTAATGCGATCAAACAAAAAAACCTACCCCGTCTTCAGCGGAGCCTCGCCGGCTGTCGTTAACTTGTCCAGCCAGGATCAGTGAGACCACTAAAGAGCCCATGGCGCAGAGGGAAGACAGATATGTTAAAACGATCGCGGTCGTTTGAGGCGTGATAGTTGGGACCGCGAGAAAACTAATATTGACAGCGAGCATCACAGTAGACTGAGACGGTCATTTATTGCATGACAATTTGGAACAAAAGCACAACTCACAAATATTGTATATCCATTCCATTCGGTGATGAGCCTATCAATAAAACCCTTCCATCGTGGTTGAACGATGGTTTCATCGACCCATATCCTGTGAATTGCCTTGCTTTGAGCAACTGGGGATCCAAACAGAATAACATTCATGATACGAAGAATTATTTTTTTCGAGCGAGTGTCATGTTCTCCATATAATGACTGATCTACGTCAAGTCGGGCACCTGGTTGTCCACAGAAATTCACAAACTTCGCGTTGCCTAGTAAAGTAATCAGGAGATGGAGATCGCGGAACTACTGGCCGAAACTCACAGAAAAGCCTCATCAATCGAGCTGAAATCAGCAAACATATCAGGAGTATTCAACTGACATCCCATGATCAGACTTACCAGCAATCCATACGGAGTGTTCACGCTCCTTGTTAGTACTGTCTGAAAAGACGATCAACAAAAACTCTCCTGCATCAGGGAATGATTCACCCTTGAGATGATCCACAAGGCCAAGCATACTTGCAACCTCACTTGGGGCAAAAGGTGCTAGGCACGTTTCAGAAGTGATGTTTTCTATTAAAATGTCAATTGTATACGATGTAAAACGCTTATCGATCTTTACTCACCTGCATGAGCATGCATGACAATTTCTTTGAGCGTTATGACAATGTCTTCTGGAAGGATGCGTTTGTTTGGAAATAGCTCAACATGTCTCCTGCCAACGTCACGGTATGTAAATCCTGGGAAGTAAAAAATATCGCTGTAACAAAGGGTGAGCGCATTTACTTTGGTCGAGTGACGGAACATGCGTACATCCGAAGGTCATACGAACCAATACTGTGAATCTAATGCATACTCTGGGAACGACACAATTACAGGAGCTCGAAACGAAAGCCTCCCGTGGAAAGAACTTACTGATGTGGCTTTTGCGCTCTACACCTCGAACATTACTCACAAGGTCAAAGGAGTTGTAGTCTTCGAACCAGAAAATGACACGTCTTTTGTGGTCGGCAAAGTAGTAGCCCAAAAATTCTTTGTCCCCCTCCACCATGAGTTCCAATGCGAGCTCGACGGACGAATCCAAGCGGATGTCTGCCTTCCGCACGCCTTCGTGCGCCGTATCAATAGCTTTGTTTATTTTGACAGCAGTGTCAAAATCTCGAACATTGGCATCAGTGAAAACTCTCTGGTGTGTGACTTGAGTAAAGTAAAGTCGTGTACTGAGAGCAGGTGGTGGACACACTTTATATGGCTGATAGAAGAATAATGCCCCTTCCGGGTGCGTGAGCGGCTCCCATCCTTCTACTGCAGCAAGCTCCCTGCGGGGACATTTTAATCTCATCACGGGCTCTCTCACCGGCATGCTTACTCTGAACAGTCCAAAGGGCCTTTCTTAACCTCAAATGGCTTGTACTCGCTATTTCTGTGAGTATGGATTAAAACAGAAACTCACTCGACATAGTATAATTTGCGTACATGGGAATATGCCTTTCATATCGTCTAACCTGTGGTTCAGGTACAATGGGAGTTAGAAAGATATCAACGATCTGTCCTGGCGTCGTAGGAGGCGGTGACATGGCGACAGTCACGGGGATACTGGGCTCAGGCATAGGGATTGGTGGAAACGGCACAGCAGAGCTTCCGGGAGATTGTGTATCATGAGCTGTGACATTAGTATTTGTCACTTCGTAAGGCTCTGGAATTGGCATATGAAGGTTCATTCCAGGTTGGAATTCTTGGGTTTGCAGAGGCGCCTCAAGTAAGGGCACTGCAAGGCTCACAGAAGGCGTCGTCGGCTCGCCGGGTTGGTTGGCCACTGGCTGAGAGCTCAATGCCAAACCGGGCCCTTCCTTTCCATTCACGACAGATTGACAGTGTCGGATCAGTCGCAGGAGAATAGAGAGGAGACTCCTGTACGATCGAAATGCAGTTTTTTTGATAATGACCCTCAACCAGGAGATGAATATGTGAACGTATCCTTCCCGCATGACGACGGAGGTAACCGAATGCAAAAGCTAATATATCTTTGTCTGCTGACGGGCGAGAGAAGGTAGAGTGTTGAAGAGCGATAGTCCGGAAGGTATAATAGTAGGCACTAAGCGCACAGAGCTGGTTGTGCATGCCGTTGAGATACATGATTACATAGCGCACTGGCGCCAATCATCGTCGGCTACATCCGGGCGGGATACTAGTGGTCGAGAACCGACTACGTATACTTAAGCTGTAACTATGACATGATGAGAGATCGGTGTGAGTACAAGGACTACCTAGTAGTACAAGTGAATACCAAGTGAGTTACGTGTGAAAGTCAAGAGTCCCATCCACAGATCGAATAAAGGAATCTTGATCATTGCCTTCGTATAATGACCATGTTTTGCATGATATCTTTCCAGTACTTGATGGCTCGCCTAACAACATCCGAGACGTGTAAATTATTAGCTGCTAAGACTGGCCATGTCGAGAGGAGAAGAACAATCGCCCATATAGGAATAACAACGGTCAATGCAATGATATCGGTAGTATAGAAGATCAGTATCGAGAGTCCGATTGCAAAGAAAATCATTCTGCAACATTCCTCGTCAATAGTGCGCATATCGAAACTTTGGAACAACTTACCCCCAGATAAGGAGAGCAAATGGCAGGCTGAGCATCAAGGCGAGACTCTCGATGCCAAGGAGTGATTTGGACATCGAGGAAATGAATTTTGCCTATGTCGGTGTGAGCCATGAGATGGGGCATTTGGACTACAGCTAGCGACGCACCACACTGTCAGCCGAGCTTCGTCTATTGTCGCTGACCTGACCCGCTAGGATAAGAGAGATCACGAGCGAGCCCATTGCACAAAGTGTGGACAGGTAAATGACAATCGTCACAGCTGGTTTTGACTGAATGGAGGGATTATCTACTCCAGGAACTGTGAGGAAACTGACATCCACAGCAAGCATCACAGTTGACTGCCATAATGAGCAGGTCTGTAAATTCAAAGACCAACGACGTACTTACAAACACAGTGAAACTGTTCCACTCGCTATTTAATTGGCTGATGAACTTCTTCCACCTAGGTTTGACCACGGTATTGTCCACCCAAATATTGTGAAGGGATTCGCTGTGAATCGCTGGAGAGTTGAACAGAACAACGTTCAAAATACGAATGAAGATGGGGTGGGGCTTCTTGCTGTTACTATCATATAACGATCGATCAGCATCAAGACGGGCACCAAGCTGCCCACAGAAATTGACAAATTTGGCCCGAACTAGTTCGGAGCGGCGTTATTTGGGAGAAGAATATAGATATAAGTCACCCACAGAACATATCCAAGTATCGAGCTGTGGTTTGAGACAAATATATGAACATTCGATGAAGACTAGATTTGAATCTCATACCAACGATACAGACAGAGTGTTCGTTGACTTTTTCGATGTTATCTGCTTCTGATTAAGACGGATCCCGAAGATAATATTACTGATAGGCTGACCTTTCACTTGATCAACAACACTGAGTATGTTTGATAGCTCATCCAAGTCGAAGGGAGAAAGGGATGTTTGAGATGTGATTGATTCTGCCAGAAAACTCATTATGTAGCCAAAAGGTTGTACAGAGCACCATACCGGCATGAGCATAAGCAATGATATCTCGCAAACAATTCACTGCCTGTCTAGGGAGGGCACGCATGTTTGGGAACAGAGTGCAATGTTTCCTGCAGCATATAAGCGCAGATGAGTTAAGAGTAATACAATCAAAACCAGCTTGGATAAGTTTGATCACTATTTTTTCATAAAGGGCAGGTAATTACTCACCATACGTTGCTGGACGCACCAGTATTGCGCCTCTAATGCATATCCTAGGGTTTAAATATATCAAATCCCTAAATTATCTCGATGAGTTAATTACACGCTCACTGATGTGATTCTTGTCCGAGACACCTCGTACATGGATCATAAGTTCTCTGGATTTGACGATCTCTGGCCAGAAGATAATCCGTGCTTCATGATCTACAAAATAGTATCCAAAGACGCCTTCGGAGAGCTTTTCGATAGCAAGCTCCATTGTCGCGCAAACATTGCCACTCTCTGCTGCCATTCGATTGGCTTGCTCGGCTGCAGCCAGAATATCAAGTGCAAGGTCATTCTCCAAAATATTTTGATCAGTGAAGACTCTCTGTGGTATCACATGATGAGTGGTCTGAACCATTTAATGATTCTTGCGCACCTGATGCGAGTTAAAGAAGAAGCGAGCGCCCTCAGGGTGAGTGAGCTGTAACCAATTGGCAACTTTCATTGATGATCTGCAGAAATATGGTGATGAATTTCATTATTCAACCACAGTTTTCCTCACTCTGTAAAATTGTTCGGCCCTGGGCTAACTTCGAACACACGGAAATCTTTACTTCTACCGTTAGTGTTATAAATACATTCAAGAAACGCGAGTACTAAAAGGGCATACTGAGTGATATTCCTTTCATACCTACCGATTTGCGATGCAACGATTGGGCGAAGAATAATTGCTCCTGGTTGATGGACGTTAGGTGCTGCCGAAGATGTCTGAGCAGAATATGGTAGATAATCCATTGGCACCTGAGGTAATGGAAATGCCAAAGGACTCCCAACACAATGTTGAAAGGGTGCATCCTCCCTCTCGGGAGGGCGTACAGCAAGTGTTGTCACTGAGATCTGATCTTGTGTGCCCCCAACAGCAGGCTGAGTAGCTCCCATAATTCTATCAACGTTGGGTCTTTGTCTTTGTAAATGGCTATCATGGTTGTACGAAATCCCGTGCAGTAGTCGACGGAGGAATGTGATGACATGTCGGTGAATGCGGCACAGAAGGATCACCGATAACTTCAAGAGTTTGAGGTGTTTCACGAACGTGACCAGTTTCCGCAATAAAGACTTTTTGAGTGACAGGAAGGCCATGAGTAGACTCACTTCAACCAGTGGGGCTCAGTACTGTGGTCTTGGAGGGTTTGGAAAAAGTAAAAGTTGCTGTACTTCAAGAATCAAGTGCCCGGACAAGTGTAAATGAAATTTCCTATTTGGCCATCCACGCTCACATAAGCTGCAGTGTTATTCTGAGTCACGTGCAACACAAGGACTGTCACGGTAAGCAGTGATCATAAGTGGTCTGTAACTTACCGCCCACCCACCTAGTGTAACAGAGCAAGTACTACTAGCTGGTCTTCGGTATTAGTACCGCTTGTGTACCATTCCGGTGGAGCTGCCGAAATAAAGACATCTTCTCCATTCCGACTCGTTCTGATGGGTAAGATTAACTTCACGGCCGACGAAGCCTCCATCCTCCAGGCCTATAAGTTATCATCCCAGAACCCGACGTACGTGGCAAATCCACTGCCTGAATGTACGAATAACCATTGTATAGTAAATGGGAAGATATAGATCATGACCTCGAAGACCCTCTTTCTGACCTCCTCACCTCACAATCCAACGATGGAGACGGCGACCCCTTGGGTCTTGGCGGCGTCATTGAGTATGTGTCGTAGTTTAAGCCCCCAATTCTGTGCTAACAACATTCGCAGTCTGACGAGTTTGGATGCGGAATCGAGTGCGTGATTGTGTCTGACTTCAGCTAGGATTTCGGTCGTTCATGCGCTTCCAGAGATGTCTGTGCTGATCTCTTCTAAATCATTTGATCCTAAAGCCTTTCTATCTGCTGTACACCCAAACGCAACATACCAAGATCTTGCAGCAGGCATTAACCACCTCCAATCATCCATTGATGCCCGTTCAGAAGCTGTCCGTGTCCTTGTAGAGGATAACTTTGATCGGTTCGTTGCCGTCAAGGCTTCTACTGATGGTGCGTTATGTGTCATTTGTCTGCGGGTGCTGCAAAATAACTGGTACATGTTCATAGCGTTATATGCGGAGATGCGTGAAGGATTACTGAGCGACAAGGCGGAATTTGCTACTAAACCGCTTGTAGACTACTTAAAACGTTGGTTCCAGTTCATCCCTTTCAGTTCAATTTTTGATACGCTCCGACATAGGCTCAGCTGTGAAGGCCAATCAAGTCTTCCTTCCTATCCTCGAGAACGGCACGAAAACACAAAAGTTGCGCACTACACTCGGCGTTTTTGAGCGCTCCAAGTTCTTTTTCAGTCTCCCAGGATTTCTCGTGGAATCCATCGAGGCCGGAAGGTATGAAGCCGCATTGCGTCAGTACAACAAGGGAAAGTTTCTCCTCGATTCTCGCCCTGGGCAGCTCCTTCCCGTCGAAGCAGGTGCCAACGCAGGCTCTACGGCACAACAGAAGAGAATATTAGACAAGGTATGGGCGAACGTTGAAAAGGTGATGGGAGAGATGAAGGCGCTACTTTTGGCACGGTTGCAAGAACAAGGAAGGAGCGTTGAGGAAATGGAGAGAGGGATTGAGTACGTTTACTTGTCATTGTTGTGTCTCGCTCTTAACCAGACTGTCCAGGATTCTCCTGGAACTGAATGTGCCTGAAGACCCGATATGGACTTACTTTGATAGTCAGCATAAGCGCATCATGGACCGGATGAGTACTGCATACAGGACTGGTGTTTCAAACATCGATGGCGCGTTACTCTCGTGCTGTTGGGTACTTTTCATACTGACACACATCATAGCCACAAAGTCTCGCACGGCACCTGAACTGTCGACTCCGAATGCGCTCAGACAGATCCTTGGTGCGCAACTCCAAGCATGTATCGTAGCGCTGGAGAGCAAAGCTCCTGAAGCTGTAATTGGTGTGCTATCGTATCCTTTCTATCAATTTATTATTCATTTTCATTCCTGTCGTACTTAGCGCAAGCAGGTGGTCATGAAGTGTGGCAGGTTATCTGGGACATGGTAAAAAACGTTTCCGAGGTTATGGTCTCTTCGTTGCCCAACTTCTGGAAAATCGCAAGGAGCTTCTTGGAGGGGAAGTTCAAACGAGTTCGTGTCATTTGAGCGGTCATATCACTTTTCTGACGTTTACTCTTTCCTCCAGCCATCGTCATCGAGGCGCAGTGCCTCCCAATGCAGGCAAATGGCACTAGATATCATCAAGCTCTATATCAACTTCCTCTCGGAATTTTTTATTCTTTCTGATATCCTATCAAACTCCCCTACCCCCAACTCCCCCGAGCATCTTCCGTCTCATTCAAATTCGCTAACGACGGCTCACTGGCTGACCAAGATCCTTAGTGAAGTACAGGATTGCGTCACAGAGATTGGCGCATTGGAACTCGGAGAAGGCGGTCTGGTGAAGGGGCTAGTGGAGAGCGTGCGGTGGCGTTTTGAAGATATCCTAGTCAGATCTTGGTTGCGAGGTATGCGTTACTAACAACGCTCTACTATCCCTCGTGCATCTATTGACCAACTATCCCAGACGCAAACTACATGTATGCGCTCGAATCATTCACTCCCGATTTTTCCGCTCCTTTCACAACGCTCTACCTTTCTAATCTCGAATCGTTCATGCGCCACCTTGCAACGTCAGCATTCAAAATCGCGGGTGGTATCTCGACAGACAGTGGATCGGGCGTGTTGCGGGTAACGCAACAGAATATCGTGCCACCAGCATTCGTATCGAAGATCACGAAGGCATTTTTGGACGCAATATATGTGGTTCTAGATGGGTTTCTTGTGCTCGTCACGGAGGAAGCGCCACCAGGTGTGGGCACCATCGTGGCAGCGGGAATACCCGAGGGAGAAGGGAAGCAGGAGCTGATTGATCTGCGCGACTCGGTGCGTAGTTTTATGTGCTCCGTAATTCTGGCCCCTGATACAGTCATGTGTTAAGAATACGAGGCTGCTCCTCGTGATATCTAATTTCTCACATTTATCAGGATCATTGATACCCAGTATGTTAGCTCAACTGGAGAATGCGCTCAGCATATCAGTCGAGGATGATAGAAAGGTGTTCATTCTAATTCCCCTACTTGCGTTACCTTTCATGCTCACATTATGACGTAGACATTAATGAAAGCAGTGACTGCGCTCGACAAGACGCTTTTTGATGGATATGTCAAACCCAAGGCTGCCGCCGTCGCAGTCATATTGCAAGAGGGCATTCTCGACAAAGACATGGATTGGTACGAGACGCCACAACCTACGGGTGAGCTTGTCCACTTCACTTGTTGCTACCTACTCTGACATTCACTGCAAGAAATACGACCATATATGTACAAGGCCTTGATGGGCCTTGTTGAGATTCACGCGCAAATCAGCCGTGTCGCAGAGAATATACTCGAACGTGGGATGTACGCGCTTGTAGAGAACGTCGCTCAAGATGCATTGCTCTCATTCAAACAAGTCAAGCGGTTCGGCATGGGCGGCATGCTTCGCGTAAGCCACATCCTCCTTCCGTACAAATTACATTATCGATAAGACAATATCTACAGGCTACACTAGAGATCGAGTTCATGCACCAAACGCTTGCTCGCTACGTGTCTCCGTCAGCCGCGAAGACGCTCTCAGAGTTGTATAACAAGATCTCGCAGGCGTATGCACGACGGCCTGGAGATGAGAATTTGCAGGGGAATCTGGACAGTGTGAAGAGGACGTTGGCGGAGAGTCGGCGTGCGACTGGGATTGAATTTATGTGCTTTAGAGCGGCCAAGGACAAGAGTGGAAAGGCGAAGAAGGAGAAGGACGAGGGTAGGGAGCGGGGAAAGGACAGAGGGAAGGACAGAGAGGGCAGAGCTGACAACAGTACTTAGGTTCATGATCTCTCCAATAGTTTGATGACATTCAGTGCGATTTGAGATTCAATCGATTCTCTGAAGCTCCGATACAACCTACCTGGTTCATGTAGAGTTTGACTTGGCTCAGTCGTAATGTACCTTGGAGAAAGTTCATTTGGATTGAAGAATAAAGTTCACAGTACGATGCAATAATGATGGGATGGTACTACAGCAGGATACTACGGTGATGTCAAATAAACGATAGGTATGCGAGAACACTCGATACTAAAGCCCACCACGAAGACGTAGCACAAGGTGAAGTGTACTCTCCTTCTGGATGTTGTAATCCGACAAAGTGCGACCGTCTTCCAGCTGCTTGCCAGCAAAGATCAGACGCTGCTGGTCCGGTGGGATACCCTCCTTGTCCTGAATCTTCGCCTTGACATTGTCGATGGTGTCTGATGACTCCACCTCTAATGTGATCGTCTTACCCGTGAGGGTCTTGACAAAGATCTGCATACCGCCACGAAGACGAAGAACGAGATGGAGGGTAGACTCCTTCTGAATGTTGTAGTCTGAAAGGGTACGGCCGTCTTCGAGCTGCTTGCCGGCGAAAATGAGGCGCTGTTGATCGGGAGGGATACCCTCCTTGTCTTGAATCTTCGCCTTGACGTTGTCAATGGTGTCGGAGGACTCCACCTCCAACGTGATCGTCTTGCCCGTGAGGGTCTTGACGAAGATCTGCATACCGCCACGAAGACGGAGGACGAGATGAAGGGTGGACTCCTTCTGGATATTGTAGTCGGAGAGGGTGCGGCCGTCTTCAAGCTGCTTGCCGGCGAAGATGAGGCGTTGTTGGTCAGGGGGGATGCCCTCCTTGTCCTGGATCTTCGCCTTCACGTTGTCGATGGTGTCAGAAGACTCCACCTCCAACGTGATCGTCTTGCCCGTGAGGGTCTTGACGAAGATCTGCATACCGCCACGTAGACGAAGAACGAGATGAAGGGTGGACTCCTTCTGGATGTTGTAGTCGGAGAGGGTGCGGCCGTCTTCAAGCTGCTTGCCAGCAAAAATGAGACGCTGCTGGTCAGGTGGAATACTGCAGACACAACCATCAGCTGTAAGTGGCGTTGACCAGGATGTATACATACCCCTCTTTGTCTTGGATCTTGGCCTTGACGTTATCAATGGTATCAGAGGACTCGACCTCAAGAGTGATGGTCTTGCCAGTGAGCGTCTTCACAAAAATCTGCATTCTGTGGCTCAATGTCAGTCTCGTATGTACAGAAGATTAAAACGGTCAAAAACTCACGCAAAGGAGATGGACTATGGAGTATACAGGAGTTTGGAGGAGTAGTTTGTGAGAGCGATTGTCAGGAAACGCCTAGATAACGAGTCATTATATAATGGGAGGCGGCGGAGTTTAAACATGTAGCCACACTGTGACAGCGCCCCTCACTAAGCACCTTACTGGATCCTTCTGGAGGCGTAGGGCAGTATCCACCGCATGTGTGGCACAGGTTGCATCAAGGCTATGATCGTACGTAACAAGTGAAACGCAGAGTGCTAGAAACTAAGATCCTTGTCGGCGCCTCCAGAGTCTAGACTCTAAAGTACATCAACTCTAGCATGCAGCATTGTTTGTCGGGTTTGGGAAGGGGTCCCGCTCGGGGAAAACCCGTTCTAATCGCGAGCACAGCAGACTCTCGTACCAGTATTGAAACATCGTCACAGTATATTGGGATGGATGGTGGGGCCGTAGACCTGGTTGAGCTCGCTCGCAACGGCGGAGAGTCTGACAACTTTGAGGGCTGAACGCTATCGACAACGCCCAGCCTTTTCTTCGGTTTTGTGCGGTTATCATGATAATTCGAGTCCGAAGGACCGATTCCATCGTGAGCCACTGATCAGCTGAGACTACTATAACCACCGCCGTGTGTAACTTGTGAAAAGACTTGCGCGTTGTTGACGGGGCAATCGAGACCTTGCGCTTGGATCGGCTGATTATTTTTTTTCGGTTTGTCCCGTGCGAGATCTTCGGTGCATTGACATAGCATTATTTTGGGATGGGCAGCTGACCGAGTCTGTGCTCATGAGTAGGAATTGATCAGTACTCGCGACTGTGGTGGCGGGGAGGGATATGAATGCTGCAAGGGACGATGGGACTTAGAGTGCTCGCAGCTCAGCGAATGTTTCGGCGCGCGCAAGTTACCTTGACCGGCCTTCAAGTTAGCCCGGTGATCTTCGAATCCGCATGACAATTTGGTGCCCAAGCTACGATACATTCACAAACTGATTCAAATTCTTTTGCCATAAAGCTTTGAAGAAAGAAACATAATGCACAAATTTATGTCCTTCCAATATTATGATATCCTGTAAGTCGAATCTCACATTCAAGATCTGTCACCTCTGTCATAAATTCGTGCCTCAGGCGATGTGAAGGATACGATGGGCGCAAGACGCTGAGAGATCGTGACAACGGCTAGCTCAGAAGCGACACAATTGAGTTCTGTCTCTCCGTCTGGTTTTGCTTGTCCGATGGCAACAAAATGTTGCGTGGATGCATCTCGAGAAAGTTGCTGGCTCGTACGAATGAGTGTCATCAAGGTTGGGGTGTAACAGGAGATGTATAAATAGGATAAATTTTGGTTCTTCTTCTCGTAGAGTCCCACTGCATCATAGAGGAAGTAGTGTGAACTCAGCGGTGGGATGCATGAACCGGATTGCATCATGTATCGAGAGCTTAAACTACAGGGCAAACATCATTATTCCAGAGCTTGCGTAGGATGTTGACAATCTCAAGTAATTCGAGTTTAGGATCGGACGAACAAAATTCCTTTGTGAGGGACTGGGACATTTCCGAGGCAGCTCGTGTGATATCAAGTGGAACGTGGACAGGATCTTAGACACTTGTGATGATCAAGGCATCAATTATCACGGCTGTAGTTGCTTGCGTTGACGATGATGACTGGACCATCTTCTACCGTCTGCTGGAGGTACGCCAACAGCGAAGGTAAGAGAAAACGGGAAAATGAGGTAGCGTGCGGATGCGTGAGATGACATCACCCTATTGCACAGTCATCTGTCGGATGTGTTGATCTTCAATAGACCCGAGAACGCGTTGCGAAGGCGAAGGCTGAGTTGCTTGAACTCTGCTGCCAAGGTTGCACCAGCGTCACCAGACATGAAAAGTTTATCCAGCGGTATGCAGACGTGCTCCAACTGGGTCCAGAATACTCCGCGACCTAGTTCCACCAGTTCTACAGCAGTAGTGAAAAAACCATTGCAATTTGCAAACATTGCACGAAAACACATCCGTTTGCAAAGGATAATAAATTCCGCTTCATCACATCGAAATGGCGTGAGAAGGACGATAGAGCGGCAATGCGCAGCGAGGAATCTTAGGACAGTTTGATGGGCGAGTGAGGCAGAGCCGTGGTGGAACTGTTCCGCAGAGGTAGCCCATGACTTGGCAGGATCGACATTACTAAGAGAAACTGTATGAGATACTTGTGAGAGTTGTAAATAAAGCCTGAAAACCTCGTCCAAAACTGGCGACAGACCTAGCTGTTCGAATCTTGACACAAAAATTGAGAGCCAGGCCCTGGAGAGACGCGAATCGATAAGAATGGCCAGGGGGGATGGAGCTCCAGTGCAGCTCGATGGAGCTCGATGGCCTCATCAAGGTCGGTCAGGACGCCCCGTTGCCAGAATCTAACTTGAAGACAAGATTGTCGATAAACTTGGATCGGTGAGGACGGCTGTTGGGACAGCTCCGCAACGCCACTCGCCACCTCTCTACATCGTCTTTATTGCAGAAATCGGAGCTTTGAGATAGTGGGAACCCGTGAGGAAAATCTATGCCCGTACATTGCCCGGCGATGAGTCCCCGACTAATAACCGTTGGGAGCAAATACGTGTAATCATAAACTGCAAATATTGACACTGGTGTTGCAGTGAAGTGACTTCGAGGCTGGCCCGGGGCTGCTGGCAACGTAATACGTATGGGCAAGTGGTGCTTGGGTCTTTACGAACGTGCTGAGAACGTCGCCAAGAGGCGAGCCGTCAGCGCTCGGAGCCTGCTGCTCGTGGTGAGCGCGTAACTTGGATGGTAATCACGGACTTGAATAACTTAAAGGTCGGCGTTGACATGTTTTTGGCAGAAGTGGCGTATTCCTAGTCTGTGTAGACTTCAACTAGAGGATGGGGCCGAACTTCGTCGGCAGTAACCTTGTTTACTTTTGTTGTAATTTTTGAAAGACAGAATGGCATTTTATTTTTGATCATGTGATGTACTATTTTGCAAACTGATTTGTGGTGATTATCAACAAGCATCACGATGGAAGTACAGTGTGGTCAATAAATATCAAGTCATTTGTTAGCAATATTTGAGTCATTCATACTATGTTCTGATTGGTTCATGGAGCTGACCTATCCGCCTGCATACATACTCGTCAAAATGAATCACACAAAAGCAGTTCAACTGGAAGGATTGGAGAAAAATGTCTTACCACTAGTTCCACTGGAGTGCATGTTTACAATCATTCATGGCAAGGTGCCTAAAACAATTAGGAGGAGACAGCTGCCCATAATGCCAGCATATTCATTCACAGACTATCGGTCACAAGGTCAGACAATCAGTAATTCCATCATCGACATTAGTGCTGCCGTGGTCCGGTTCGGTCTGGTTCAGAGGCAGTTTGATGAGAACTGAGAACTGGACCTTGGTCCGGTTCTACCTTTATTGACGAACCTTGGACCGAACCTTTGCGAACGGTTCGCAGTGGTCAGGTTCGGTTTTTTTTCGGTTCGAACGCGAACCGGACCCAATTTGTTCTACAGGTAGCAAAAAAAAACATAGTCGAAGTACTTCGACCGCAGCAGCACTACGAGCTCTGTATCCCTCAACAATACCAACAACAGCACCTTTCCCGGCAACAATGCACTCTGCTGAGTCACGCAAAGAGAAATATATCAATGTCATTGCGCATGTACATACACGAGACGGAACGAGTGGGTGATATGTTGATGGTGCGGGAGTGGTGCCTGCCTCAATGAGGTTGCCGAGTCCGAGGAGTCCTGGAGAGGCTGTATCTATATAGGATGGTAAAAAAAAAGTTGCCCCAACCAGAGTCGAGTCTACATGTGCAAGTTCAACATACCTAAAGCATTGTGAGACATTGTTGAAACGAGGAGTCCTGGAGAATGTCCAATTGTAAGACAGCTATACGAGTTCAAAGGAGAAAGTGTACAAATGATGTAGTTAGATAGAGTTGAGAATACCGTAGAGTTTGTGAAGAGATTGGATGTGCGTTGAAGAGCAAGGGTGCAAGACATTCCATCATAACGGGCCGCTCTTCGTAGGAGTCGCCATGTACAGTCTGGTCTTGGGAGAGCCACGCGCCTTAGGGAACGGGTGACATGTAGTCGAAGTAAGACACAGGAGAACCCATGCTGACGAAAACACCGCTTATAGCAAGGAGGACACTTGCCTTTATGAGAGCATGTCAACATCGGCTTCAGTTCGCGACGGGTGAGGAGTTGGATAGCTTACCATGATGATAGTGCTTGTCGGGATAGAGAACAACCTGCTCCTAGCGGTTTCGAAGGCTTGTTTACAAGGGACGTGGAACGAAGGGCTTCGGGGAGGGGTTCAAATGCTCTTGGGTCAGTAATCGCATATGACTGGAAAGGGTGGCATAATTGAGTCATACGGCAAGGATTCCTAAGTTTTGAAATCATACCTGAGTGGAATAGAATGAAGCCATGGCGTGAAATAGAATAGGGAAGAGAGAGACTAATGCTCATATATAGTGAGAACAGGGCTCCCTAGGGATCAGCAGGGGTATGGGTAACCCCTGGGGGTCAGGGGTAAGGGTACTTGAGGGTAGGGGTATGGGTTTGGATTTGGAGACCCCTGTACCCCTGGACAATTGGTAGTACCCCTGGGCCTAGGCATAATACATCCCCAAATTGATTACCATAGGAGTGATTGATAAGTATAAAATTTTGAAGTTCTCAACAATATAATGGTTATTGGGCTTATTGTGATCTTATATTGTGAGTTAGCTCTTATTTGAGTATGATATAAGTAAAATACAATCAAAGGAAACATTTAAGTTAGTTTAGATGGTTCATAATGTATAAGATTTACTTGCCCATGGTTTGAGTCTCATCTACACACTTGGCTAGGACTCAAGAAGCATAAATTAAAGTCAGCCTACTATATCTTCTAGCCTAGATGGTGATAATACCCCTGTACCCTTGTGATACCCTTGTACCCTTATAATACCCCTGGGTTACCCCTGACCCTTGGTCTGAGGGGTAAGACCCTCCAGGGGTAGGGGTGTGGGTTGGGCTTATGATACCCAGGGGTTTACCCCTGCTGATCCCTAGGGCTCCCTGAGGCCGAGGTGGATCATTGAAGGCAGTATCAAAACACGCTTCGACAATGTGACAGAACTTCTTGCGGTTCGGGGTTCGGACCAGTTCAGGGAAGGTTCGAACCAACATAGAACCGTTCGGGCAATGGTGGACCGCGAACCTCACTCAGGTCCGGTCCGCCCCAATTCTTGAACCATGGACCGAACCAAGGAAGAACCTGACCATTGGTCAGGTTCGGACCGTGGTTCTGGACCGAACCACGGCAGCACTACGTGTGTGATAAAAAGGGTTGCTAAAAACTTGCTCATCGCACTACAGGTTGCAGTATACAAGGCGCTCCACTTTCAATACAAGGGAGAAGCGACTCTACCAACTGCAGAAGATAACTATATCAATATGCATTGTTTCACTAAGCCCGGCGCAAGGGTGTAGGAGTCGCGTTCAACTGTATTGACAGGCATGTCACGTCGGCGGCAGTTCGTGCCTGAATGATCAGAGCGCATGCTGCCAGGCGGTCTTATACTTACAGGCAAATGTTCTTGAGCATCCTTGAAATTCGACGTCTACATCTTTCCTAACCATAGAGAGAAGGTTGAGAACTACCAGTTGTTAGAGGCTGCACTAAAGACGGTCCTGAATCTGGGAAATCAATGCCCTTGAAAGGACACTGGACAGAACGGACTCAGTGAGTCTTCAATGTAAGTTCAATAACGAGTGTGGTATCGTAGCATATGACGCACACATCAGGGAAACGTAATTCATTACACATGATTACAGAGTGCTACGAAGCGCTCCGTAGCACTCTGTAGCACGATCTAACCTGCTGATGCACCCGGGCCATGCAAGGGACTGAAATAAGCGTAGCAAATCATCTGAGTCTATGTAAGAGACCAGGGAAAACGAGGGTACATCAGGAAACCCACTGCCGAGTGAAGTGACTTGTAGCAGCGTGTAGCACAGTGCTTCTTTTGAATCAACGGTAGCAGCTTGTAACAGCCAGTAATAGGCGAAAGGACTAAAACCTCCATACTGGCTCCGGGAATTTCGAACATGCCACAACGTGTCCGTAATTCTCAGTAAGCGATCACGATTATGAGTTTATCATAATCTTTGCGGCACGATAAGATGATGGTGATCCATTCAATAACTTTGTCAGGCAGGAATATTGGGATTGAGGCAGAGGGAAACTAGCGATAGTACAGGCTCAAGAAACTACTGGTAACTGAGAATAGCATGGAAGGTCTCTTTATCTGCAAAATTATTCACATAAAACTCCCGTGCCAGCTGCAGACTATTGTCGCAGTTCATGCTCGCTGATACCTCTCGACCGAACTTGGGAATTAGCTGGATAATCTGACGTACACTTTCCAGAGGTACGATGTCTCCCAAAGCAGTGTTGTTGGATCGAACACGGTGGTGAACTAAGAACATGTCAGTCACAGGCGCGGGAGTAACAATACGAAGCTCGTCGAAGGTGCTGACTAATGAATGAGAAAAGTTGAAGAATTCGACATAAAGGAAAGGCTGGTTCAGATGGGGGGCTTTAGTAATAGGCTGGAGGATAGATTTGACTTGGACAACGGCATAACCTAGCATTCAAGTGTGAGAATCTAAGAAGTTACGAGCAAGAGTATTAGACGTACGTTCGGATACTGCTGGGGAAAGCAGTTCACCACTTTCGTGAGAAATAAGGACGGTATTTCCTCTTCCAAATGGCATCAAAGAGCTTGGTGGTAGCGCCTGAACGGTCTGAGCAGGACTAACAACACGGGCATCTTGCATGGAGCGTCGCTGTATGCGAAAATTTTGCCAAACACGAAGGTGATCAAAGGAAAGGGAGCAGTTGGGGCGACAAACTCGTCTTCCATTGCGCTCGAGGTAAGATCTACCAGAGATCAGATCACCCAGCACTGAACGGAGATCAGGAATGCGAAAAAGCTGAGAGGCTTCTTCAATAGATAAGTTGGGATAATGCGGACGGCAAGCAAGCAGGATTGCGACAGAGTCGTCAGAAGAAATATGAGAGCGATCTTTGATGAATAGTGAAGTGATTGGTTTGCCGGCACCGACATACTGCTCATCAGGCAGAACAGTAGAGATCCAGGTTGCTTCAGGGTAGTGGAGCGTCATTGCGTGTGCTTCTCTTGACATTTCGTATATTAAACTTGCCCGCTGCGATTTGAGAACTGTGTAGAGCTGGAAGAATTGCAGTTTTTCTTGACGATCGAGGAAGCGGCAGCACTGACCATGAAAATCCTTGCGGTTGGTCATGCGGTAAGGTCGTTTCGCATGGGTGATGTGACAGCGCTCAGTGATATCACTGCTCCATTGATATGGGGCACCCATAGAGCGAGTACTCTGGGTGACATGTTGCATCAACTCCAGCTTCGGAATCTGAAAGTGATTCAGGGGACCGTTCTTGCCACGGCGACCGCCAGCTGTTATGATGGAAGCCTTGTAGTGGTGAAACTCGCGTAAGGCCTCAGTTAAAGAGTGTAACGTTTCTTCGTAGAGGAAGAGGTTCTGAGCTTGAAATATGAATTCTGTGATAGCGCGCAGTGCGCATGCAACATTATCGGGAACAGCACCAACGATGACGGCAGGAAGGAGCTTCTCAAGGTCTCGATGCTCTCGACCAGTCAGCTGCTTCAATTTAGATACACCGTTTGCCCAATGGCGCACACCTACACGAGGTTGAAGAGCTGATAGCCGACGATCGAGTTCCGCTCCCCCCATGATATTTACAGACCAAGTAATGGGGTGGTCGAAGAAGAACTTGTGCCATTGATGAAGGGCATCCGGCGTTAAAAAGCGGGATGGACATGCATCGCCCCAATCCATCCAGTACGGTTCAACTACGCCATTCAGATGCAGTGACTGACACGTCTTATAAAAGGACGCAATATCGCAGGGGTCAGAAATTGTGCATGCCGTTTCAATAGCGTCAAGAGTGTGCGAACGAGTTCGAGGAGGGTGCGGAAGAGGGTCCCCAAATTGTGCAGAAACGGCGAGGGAGATTGGTGAGCGCTTCGAGGCAGTACATGAAATAAGGAGTTGCTCAGGGTAGTCGGCTATCCAGGCAACCAAAGGGGTATGAATCATGCGCAGATCTCCTCTTGGGTCTGACATGATGCAGCCATCACGAGCGGCAATCTTCAAATTACGGGTGACAATTGAGATCGCGAAATGATAGACTCGTGCAGATAAAATTGCATGAACAGGCCTCGAGACGTTGAGAAATTTAGGTATTGGGAGGTAGGCGACCAAAGCGAACGCATGTGATGTTGCTTTCATGCGAACACCCGCATGGATATTAGCAAGTGAGATCAACAGGGGATGCATCTCCTTGTTTCCGGTTCCGATCGTTAGGGGTGTCTTGTCTGAAGCGCCAATTACACCAACAAATGAATGGCCTGGAGGAAGCTGATCCTGACGACTTGTCGTTAATACAGTGAACGCTCAACATCAGTGGGTGCCACCCACCTGTATCTCCCATGCATGATCAGCACTCATGAACTCTCCATAAGCTCGCTGTCTATCTGGACCCTCGAATTCTTGATATGGCTGAAAATCTATGCATGGCGCAAAGACTGGGTTGGCGAAAAGATGCTTGACGACTTCCAGGCCATCCCTCCAATATAGCATCAACGGTGCATTCGTCTTATAGGAACCGACCCTAATTTGTTGGTGGTACCATCGAGGAACTTTAGGTAGTCCTTCGATCTGAGCTTGCAGATCCTTAGATGTACTGAAAGAAGGTGGATTATTCTTCGTCTATATCTATCATTAATATACTTGTACAAGAAATGTCGATTGATGACTTACATGCTCGAGGTGGAGAAAGGCATCAATTTCCTTTTGCGATAATGCTCCCCTTGAAAGCCAGCCTGCGAGGTCAAACTCAGATTTCGATGCAAAGGGATAATAAATGTTTTCTGTATGACGGATGGTAGCATATTCGTCGTCGTCCATTCGCTGAAGATGGTTTTGCCCTCCAGGTTTGGTAATTGGTATATTGGGGTGGTACTCCCTTAGCGTGCCAGGACGTGGACCTGCGGAGGGATCAACAGATATGAGGGGGGCGTCACATGCTGAGTCGACCGCAGTGTATTCGACATGCGACATCATGGGTTCCTCGACATCGTCCAAAGGATCAAAGTATTCCCCATAGACTAGATACATACTGAACTATAGTCGCAGTTTGAGTGAGAAATACGTACCTTCTTGGTCAGTTTCTGGGTCGTCAAGATAGTCTTGTGAGAAACGATTGTGTTCCTCGAAGTCCAGAGCAACACCTTGGACAACTCTTTGACCACAAATAACAGAGGCTGACAGATGGCGAATAACATCGTCACTGTTTTCAAATGTATCTGCGCAGTTGGGGCAAGTAAATGCGTGCCCATCGTTAGTTGAATGGGGTACATCAAAAAGAGACAGAGACATGCTGATGAATATTCGGGGGGATTCGTCTACTGACACTTTGGAGTTGAGGAACGCCCTTATATATGTGTCTGAAATCCCTTGATTGCCCAAGTCTGTCAAATCTGGTTGTCTTCTCGTGAGCCGTCATTGTTATCAAGTGATCAGGATCATTTATAACACGTACCAGATAACTCATCTCCTAAGTGTATTGTCTTTCCGGCATTGCCATTGTTCACTTTTGTGAGAAAGAAGCACTACGATCATAATAGTTCAGCGCTCACCCCTCTGTTTTCCTGCCATTGTGCAGATAGCTCCATTACTCACCTTCTGAGTGTCATACCAGGTGTGGTTCTGTAGATCAGATTGAGTTATCGTGAATGAGATACCCAGATTCACTTTGAAGTTGAGCCAATCACGAGCTGCTCGTTCGTCTACCCCATGAACCCGAACCATATGCTCAGGCTTGAAACTTAGGTGAGGGTTTCACTTTATCAGGAAATCTGACTTACAATACTCTCTGGAATTGTGCGTAGAGGGTTCGGGTTACTGTGAATGGGATACCTATGGCATGGCTGGTTGCGGAGTATCGCTGGACTTTGCAAAATTTTGGCAAACTCATCCTCACACCGTGTGAGTTTTCCATTTGTTGATCCAAGTATCACTATCAACCTTGCATGCTATTGAAGAGTTTCATGCCCTGCAAAAGCAGCACTGGCAGTTCAGTTGCATCAGGGAGCACTGGGTCGTTCAAGAGGTCCGTTTGTTATTAAGAGCTATTTTAACTGAGCATAGCCCACTCACTAACTGTGCACTCCAGTGCTTCCGAGTTGTCGCCTCTCACGCCTGAGGCACTTAACAGCTCTCCCATTTTGAAGAGTAGCCTAAGGGCTAGGTCTGTTCATTATCAAGATCCATTTTGCTCGAGTGCATCATTTGCTTACCATGTACTCCAGTGTTTCCTTGCCTCCCACATCTGAGGCACCTAATAGCTCTCCCATCCTGAAGAGTAGCTCTTTCAGCTTAAGGGCTAGTTCCCCAGCGACTCCAGACAAGCATATTAGGTAAGTTTATTCAATGAGTGTCTTTTATGTACTACATCAGCAGCCATTCACACTAAGGACTCCAGCGTTTTGCCGCCTCTTACATCCAAGGCGCCTGATAGCTCTCCCATTTTGAAGAGCTGTGCCTCTTCCTGCTGGAAGACTGGTTTCCCAGTGACTCCAGTCAAGCCTAGGTTTGAACATGAGTTGTGTATTTTAGAGTGGTATTCACTATGACTTTTCAGAGTATCTACTGTTGGATCACTGTCTGGTACATATGAGGCGCCAGCTAGCTCTCCCATCCTGGGAAGTAGTTCCCCCATATCACGTAGCTCCCCCATTGTGAGGGGTAGCTCTCCCACCGCGAACGCTTCACCCCTCTTTACCACCATATTGGATGAGGGTAACCCCATACTAGATAACAAATCCAATTCTCACAAGAGGCCGTACGAATACAGCTTGCTGCCAGATCACGATGAACTTGTGGACCGTGAGAACTTTCCCATGAAAAAACCCAAGCTATTGCTCACAACCGTACGTCTCCTTTGGCGCGCTTACCTGGATGCAGTTCAAGAACTTATACATGTGTTAGTTCACTTGCGATCAACCCTGTGATACTGAAATTTATTTCAATCAGCGCATGCTCGAACTCTCTCGTATCAGCCGTCGGACTTTCGCTGCCAAGATGGAATATCAGCGCCTACGCGCTGAAGAACTAGAGCTGATCACGTCCCTCATGAGAGACGAAATGGAGGAGTCCCAGGCACATTTGAAAAGGGCCGATCTTCAAATAGGTTCACTCCAGAACAGCCTTCACAATGCAGGAGTGGCAGTAATAGGGAACAAAGGGAGAAAGGATGCCAAGGAGAGCGGATATAGCAGGATGTTCCCTAGTCACGATGACCACGAGGTTGATGACAGCAGGGAGCCATACAATTCTTCGGTTTCTTCTGGATGCGATGGCAGTGTTGATGGGAAGCAGACGGCAGGTGAGGAGTCATATTACTAATGTCGACTCCACCCATTCAAATTCTCGTGTTCGATTACTCTTATCTGACCGTTTATAGAGTACATATGTACATATGTAGTCTGCTGTAGTATCACTGGCGGTACAATTATGAGAATATGAATCTATCTTCTGATGGCACCTGACTCCTATCTCGACAATTGTGGCGCAATCATAATTCTATCACGGGTTCAGAACAAGCGCCTGGCTAGAAATTCATACTTGAGCTGAATCTTACGGTTCTTCTTCTCATTTGAGTCATCAACTCGTGCCTCATGCCGCGATCGATAAAACAGTGCCAGTGGGCCTGTCAGTTCAATTTCAAGTTGAACCGGTCGTGAACTGCTCATTCATCTGCCCGCAACCCGAACCATTGGTCCATATGCATTATTTAAAGGTGTGTTTTCACTTTATCAGGTAATTTGACTCTCTAACGCTACTAGTACTATGCCTCGCGTTGCTGGGCGTGGGCGTGGGCGTGGCAATGGTAGTAGCACCCCTGGCGCACAACCCAATGTTCACGAACACGGACACCCTTCAGTCATCGCCCCCTTTCAACCAACTCCGTTTCAAACAAGTCAAAGTGACTCGGGAGTCGCGACGGAACGTCGTATCGCTGCAAACGCTATGTTACAGGTATGTACTGCGCTGTACTTCAGTGCATTATCGATCCTATACTTACGATGATTCCAGACAGAAGGTCCTGCTGTCGACACGTTGCAGCACCATCAATCTCGCCGCAGAACAGCCCAGTTACCGCCGCAAGAGCGCCTTAGGCCATACGCGATCCCATCCTCAAGTTCACGCACCTCCAGCCAGCGAACGTCGTCGAGGGCCTCGATGAGCACAATGTCTCTCGACGACCTCGACGACAATGGAAGCAACTCACAGCGTGCGAGGCGTGGCTCGAGGAACGCTACCATGAATCCCTCAAATATCGGTTTTTACAGTGAGAAGGATAAAAATAATATATATCTTGCTCGGAAACTCATCGTGCTTGACATGATCCTTGAGTCTGGGTGGGAGAACGATCGCAGGGTGCTGGAGGCCATCGCCACCGAGTGCCTCTCTTCAGCATGTGTGAGGAGCGGCCATGGTATGTTTTTTTTCATTGATCATAAATGTGTACTTACTTGTAAATAGATACCGAGCCTACGACTAAAGTCCTCAAGTTTATAATGGACGAACTCTCAAACATACGAGGAAAATTGGTTCAAGAAGCCGAAAGCTATCTACCGGCCCTTGGGCTTCAGCCCGACTCGGGTACCATAATTGGAGAAGACGACACGGCGCGCATAATAGCGCGTGCGAATGTCCTGCTGGACGAAAGAAACCTTCAAGACTACTTTTTGCATGGCTGGGACTCTGATTGCTCGAAGATACTTGTATTTTCGTCCAAACCTTACTTCGATTTTCATGAAGGCTTTTGGTTTGGGCGAAATTCGCCTTTCATCAACGACCCAGCGTCGAGAACGCGGATCTCAAAACCCTCATGGTTTATGTATGAACTCTCGGGCGCCGCAGTGAGTCTGTTTGTCGAATCCTTGGATACTACTGACTCATTTTTGTTTGACGCTAGTTGAATTGTGTCATACGCCGTATTGCAACAGGCCAGCTATCGAAATCGAAAAAAGTGCTGTACTTCACCACGGACGAGTTTCAGCCAGTCGCAATTGGAATCCGGAACGCAATGAAGCGATATTTGGATTGCCCTGAGCTTGATGACGGTGAATTCTTACCACGCATCACCGCTCACCATGAGCACTGTTTGTAAGTGTATGAGAGACGCAAAAAATGATATATTGACTTCGTGTTTACAGAAGAGTTCTTAGGTCTCGTACTGGGGAAGGATCGCCTATGAAACAATACAATATATATGTCCCATCCTCCTCATCGGAACTATACCGATCGAGGACGAATAACTCCTCAGCAACTCTTTCAACGTCTTCGGCTTCGTTACCGTCGCTCACATTCCATCAAGGTACAGTTGCATCGTCATCATCGTCGTCGTCCAATGCATCATGGTACCCTCATGGTGTTGTACAATCGCCTCAAGTAGCGCAATACGCGCCATACCTCCCCGGTGATCACGATTGCAGTGGTTACAGCGGTGAAACACCCTCAGGTTTAAGTTCGCTTTATCATCATGTCCCGCTGGAGTCGCAGCCATTTGAAGAACCCGAAGTTGTGTCAGATCAGGGTGATGCACCACCATTCACGCAGGATGACCAACAGAACGACAATCAATTTTTCTTTACGCCGGGTTCAAGTGCGCTTGCAGGTTGGGGTGGTAGCATTACAGGTACTGGTAGTTGGAGGGGTCCAATGACATGATGGTCTCGTATTGTTATATTCGATGTCGAAGGGTAGCTCATTGTTTGTCCTGCTGATAATCTATTGTAGTACTAGTATACGATTCTTGCGATTGTACTATCTCAAATCTAATCACAACGGCAATGGTTTGAATGATCAATTGACTACTGCATTAGGAAGCAAAATCGAGTCCGAAATCGAACGGTTCCGTGAATTCGAACAGCCGACGTTCAAAATCTATTCTAACTCTAAGAGCTAGTTCGGTAACCCAAGGTAAAGTAAATTTGCCAACTTCAAGGATGATGTAAGGCCGGCACAGTAGGTGCCGATAGCTGAGTTTCAACCTTATGATATCAATATTAGTAGGACTTGTTATCCATTGCGCTCATTGCTTTAGGGATAGATATCGATAGATTATGGATACCATTGACCCCTTGCTCCAACAACTCGCTCAAGCCCAGGCTGTTCAGCCGCCAGCTGCAGGCTGTCGGCAGAATCATATGCGAATCCTACGTCACATTGCACTACTCGTCAGTGTCCTTCTGACTGCTACGCACTCATTGCTTCAGGACTCTGTACCTGAGGCATACCACACATCGGCCCTCTCAGGTGAAGAATGGGTCATGGAACTCATCGTTGGTCACCCGGATCATATGCGATGCGAACTTGGCATGCATGCAGATGTCTTTCACGCGCTCATAGCCGAACTTCGTGTTTTGGGTTATGCTAGCTCACGCCACGTTTCGCTCGAAGAGCAACTTGCCATCTTTTTATATACGTGCGTTACAGGGCTAACAATCCGTCATGTCGGGGAGCGTTTTCAACGGTCAAACGACACCATCTCAAAGTAAGTTTGTTTTTAATGTTATTTATGATGAGCTCACAAATAATTCCAGGTATTTCCGGAAGATCTTGTTTATCTTTGCGTCCCCCCCGTTCTACACAACCTACGTACGTTCTCCCAATGACACCGATGACGTCTCCAGCAACATCCGTAACAACCCAAAATTCTGGCCTTACTTCAAGGACGCTATTGGTGCGATCGACGGCAGCCACATCCATGCTCGCCCCTCATCATCTGACCGCCCCTCATATCGTAATCGCAAAGGTTTTGTTTCTCAAAACTGTCTATTCGCCTGCACCTTCAACCTCAAGTTCTCATACGCTCTCACTGGCTGGGAGGGATCCGCCACAGACGCACGCCTCTATGACGAGGCTCGTTCAGGCAGTTTGTATGTCCCTCCCGGCAAATATTTCTTAGCGGATGCGGGATTCCCTTTGTGTGACGAGCTCTTAGTCCCCTACCGCAGTGTCCGTTATCATTTGGCTGAATGGGGACGCGCTAATCTTAGGTATGTTTTATTTATTTTATATTTTAGGTTTTTTAATAACTATTCTATGTTTGCAGACCAACAACCAAAGAAGAGCTCTTCAATCTGCGACACTCATCCGCTCGAAATGTGATTGAGCGGATCTTTGGCGTGTTAAAACGCCGTTTTCGTATTCTTTTGCTCTCACCTGAATATCCTATGACCATCCAGGCACATATACCTGCCACGCTATGCGCGATTCACAATTTCATATCAACTCACAACCCTGACGACAACGTGCTCCCGGACGACGACGACGAACACTTCGATTACGACAACCCGGAGCACCAAGGGATCCCCGATGATGAGGAGGTGTTTGACGGAGCGGGAGGCATGAAGGAAGTGCGCAATCGTATTGCGCGCTCCATGTGGGAAGATTATCAGACCGTTTTGCAGCAGCGGGGCCTGCTAGATGACTCCTTTGAAGATTCTGACAATGATACGTAGCACTGTAGCACGACTCTCATGTATCCGCCGCCATCAAAGCACAAGATGTTTGCATTACCATGCTTCAACTACTGCATTATCATCATATGTTGTGTCAATAGCGCATTTTACATGAGTATACTAACTACCAGGCACAGGAAGTTGAAGTCCCAACCGCTGGGCTGTGGAAAGAATAAAAGCACGGCGCATCTCCTTGTCAGCGGTCTGTGTGTATATGTCAGTAGCTGCAGGGTCCATAGAAAAAACCTGTTGTATTATAAGCCGCTCTGCGAACGGCAGCTCTGCATCCTCAACCTGCAACATCTGCATGGCCCTCGAGCGCTGGTCCATTACCCGATCCTCAGGATAGACCATGCGCTCAGCAATTACATCTGTCAAGCGATTGACAGAGCTCTGGAATCCCATCACGGCTACAGCTGTGGTGGCCTTCGATATCTTGGTGTCCAACGGAGTCTGTGCATGGCCTCCTGATCCACGGCCTGATGCGCGGCCTGATACTGTCTTCGCTCTTTTGATAGAGCTCGACTCGGAGGGAGGCGGCATTTGCATTTGAGAAACTGAGGTAGATGCAGATGAGGCGGTCAGCTCCATGTCAGTGTGAGAACATTTGCCAGGAGGAGGCATGAAGGACGGAGAAGCAGGAGGAGGCATGAAGGATGGAGAAGCAGGAGGAGGCATGAAGGACGGAGAAGTAGGAGGAGGCATGAAGGATGGAGAAGCAGGTGTAGAAGTGAGGGCAGCTGCTGCAGGGGCGGTGCTAGGACCAGCAACACCAGCACTAGACGTGGCAATAACGGGACCAATCATGGTATTGTGTTCACCTGCGGGTACGCTAGGACTGGAGCTTGAGCTTAAGGGAGGGGGGAGAGCTATATTGGGTTGGTACCCTGTGCGCCCTCGGGCGCCACTGCCTCGTGGTATTATGCCGTCCATTTGCTCGTAGTGTCTCCATCCTGATGCACGAAAAGGGCGCATGACTGAATTTCCCTATTATCAAACAGTGAGACGCATGAAATAGCATTAGCGAACTTGACGTACCTTCTTGGAAACATATTCATTCCATACTGAGGTTGAAGCCTCGCCCTCGACATTTGCCCCTCTAATATTGTCCCAGTGGACACCAGACTGCTGGCGGTACTTCTGAATAGCGTTGAAAGTCTGCTTTAACTACACGATCTCTTATCAAGTCTATAAAATGATATATTGATATGACTTACTGACGCCCATTTTGTCTTACACATTGCCCCACTCTTTGCTGGACCATGCTCCAGGTACTCAGCAATAGCCTCTGCAGCGCCATTGTACGTCGCATCTTTGAAGTTGCCAGCATCACCGATCTTGTCCCGATTGTTGGATAGGTAGAGGAGAAACTGATCAACCTCTGTGTCGGTCCAAACAGCCCTCTCTGTAGTAGTATGAGATGACTCCTGAGCCATGGAGAGGATGTGGACTTGAGCTGATAACACTATCGATATGACACTAGCCCAGATGTTGTTCCGATTGCATAGATCTTGAGTCGTATGCTGGGGTGTGTGATAGCTAGACATGGATCAAAGGAAGTTCAAGCTCCGATGTCGGTCTCCAAACCGGAAGCTACTGTGCCGGCCTTACATCATCCTTGAAGTTGGCAAATTTACTTTACCTTGGGTTACCGAACTAGCTCTAAATGGCTTAGCACTATAGTTATAGTGTATTACAAGTCGTTACAATTTGATTCTGTAATAGTCGACTGTTACAGTACCGCATTCTGTTACAGTGCTTCTGCTTGCTACAAAGGACTTCATAACGCAAGATATCCTGCTGATGTAGGTACGTATGTATGATAAGAATGTACACAGATGTAGCGAATGTGGGTTGAAGGGGTATACTCTATATTTGACAATTTGGTTGACGACGATGGCCATCTTCGTCTACTGGCTTGAAGGAATTGATGGATCATTGAATATATCGATGATGCCTGTCATTCGGTGCCTTGTGGCCCACGACTACTGAAAACCCCCCTCGTTCGGTAAGAGAGACTACAGGTTCCAGAGCAGGGAGACTGCCTATTCCGATTCGGGGTGTTTCGGCTGTCTCTGCAACTTACTCAATAGGCAGAATAAGATATTCGTCTTGCGGCGAGATTGTATTTCCTTTGTCTGCTGCAGCTCTGGGCTGTGTGCTTTTAGCCCATGTAGAACATCCAAGCCAACTTCAGAGGTTAGCATTATCGGTGAGAGAGAAATGACTCGGATCTGAACTGAGCCAGGGTGAGCCTATAATTCAATCACGTTAAAACTTCCTGTATTACCAAAATCAAAGTAAGTCGATCCGGTTCCAAAAAAAAACAGTCAAAATGACGCGTCGAGAAACCCGTGGGGCAGACAGTGGTGTAGGGATGATTCGTGATAAGGTCTCTATCGTCTTTTGTGAAGCACACCTGAGCCTGCTGACTGAGCCTGCAGATGAGACGACTTGCAATCGTAGACATTACCCGCGTCTTCCAAGCGAGAAATGGCTCTATTAAAGTCCCAGATGTGTCACCGTAGAAGGAACCCTCTACATGAAGTTCTTCCAGTCTTTGTCCAGATTCAGGAGCACGATACGAGGAAGAGCATATGCCATTTTGCTGCCGAATAAGATGATTCGGTGGCTTGGATGATGTGTAAAGCAGCGTGCGTACTTGGGTCCCCACTCGGACCAAGGAATCTCGACAGGTATCTCTGACTGTGTGGCCTTTGTTGGAAAAATGGCCATAGTATCGACGACCAGAATCACTTGCTGTGAGCACGACAGGACTTCCAAAACTATGATTTGGGACTCTAGAGATGTCACGTAGTCAGGTCAATGCCAACAGCTGCTGTTTCTTCAAAACAGAATTCAAATGGAAGTCAGACTGCCACATGGATGCCAATCTCTTGAATGAATGCATCTTGCTAGAAATGTCGACCCAGTCCAGGGTAGTAGGAGTCTCCATGAAGCCCTGAGCATAAAGCTCTAATACGCATTGAATGTCGGCGAAATTCTGGGCCACATGCCAAAAGGTTTTGAAGGCCTAGCGTAATTCGAAAGTCAGCTCATAGTAGGAATCATTGAACCACGTGAAAGAATGAACTACTACACAGCACGGAGGGTCTTTGAAATGAAGGAGGAGAAGAATATGACTGTAATCATAGGAAGCGAGAATATCGCAACCTGCCGGCGCACACATTTGATATTCCCAGGGGTTATGGAGTACTGCTATCGAGTCGAAACGTGAATTCCTCGTTTCTGCACAGAGGAGAATTCCACATTGAAACATTGCATAAACACCCGTGGTAAATGTATGAGATTGTTCAAGTTGAAGCTTTGAACAACGCTTTCAGGAATTACATAACGAATGAAGCTTTGAAGTCTTGAAATGGCAGCAGATTTGCAAAAGAGAGCGGGAGCAATTTTTCAATACGCGTGACGCGACG